CCAGAAAGCCCACCCGTCACGCTAGCACTGCCTTCCAGTCCTGTATCACGCCAAGAAAGGATTACGCAAGACGAAGACTACAGCGATGTTGCTGCTGTAGACGGGAATTATAGTTCATGTGCCCGCGCACGAGTGCTGACGGATGCCGAAATTCTTGACATTACTGGCCTCGTGGTGCCGAACGAAACCGATTCCGATGACAACAACACGAATTTCACTAGTAACGAAACGGAATTTGACAACAGCACTGCTTGGTGGTTCGGAACAGATTTTTCATTTCTCTATAGCGTTTTTGAAATCGAAATGCCGCGCCCGGTGCGCATGCGCAAGTTCCGAGTCTTCCCCGAAGTCATTATGGAAAATCCACCAGATCAAAGTGCAGCAGTGCAAGCGGCTCTGGATTCTTTGACGGACGCCCTGCTTGTGGTCGACGGTCGCAAAAGTTGCCCCCTTTTGAAGGCATCAACAGGGGGCGGAAACATAACACGAAGGCCAGAACGAGAGGCAGGTTTTTACAACCAATGGGAGCAGGCTCAGAATACGAAGCACCATTTCTATGTGGAACAGGACTGCGATGTGACAGGCAGGGTGTTCCGCTTGTACGGAAAAAAAGCGACTAATGATACGAAGTTGACAACTATTTTTGGGTCCTCCCCGAGCACCTATGGACAGCAGAATGGCAGCGCTTTGCTTCAACTGATGGGAGTGCCCGATCCGGTGCCGCTCCGTGTCTGTGAGTTTGAGATTTTTGGCAACGAATGGGTCGGCTACTATTCCCCTGAGCTAGCTATGCAGGTAACGCCTGATCATGACCGCGCCTTTGCCTACGACGGCGCTGCGTGGCAGCATGACGCCGACAACACAACGCGAATTTTTGTGGAGAAGAGTCAACCAGACAGAAAAGGCGCGGCTTCTACAATAACAACATTGTCTTCGCGCATCGTTCCGGACGAGATGCCACCTCCTACCGTTGCGACGAACATCAACATGATGCTTGGCACCAGCGTCGACACAGCTTCGGAGAGCTTCGTCACGGGCAGATACGCAGAGCGCGGGTTTTTAGGCGGTTTACGCATTGAGATTCTTGAAGACGGTGCGCGGGATGATCTTGTCCATGCCATTCAGACGCGCAAGGAATTCACGTCATTGCCTGGCGGTGAGTTACCGATGTCGATGCCAGATTTCACGTTCCAACTAGCAAACTACTCTGTCGACGACTTTCTTAACGCGGAGCAAAACGAACGACGCAGTTACCAGGACTTCTACTTCGTGGACCCGCCGGCGCCGACGGAAGGAGTGAATTCCACGAGCAATCAAACAAATGCGTCAATAACAACTACACCAAGCATGGATATGGTCGCCAGTCAAGTAGATGCGTTTCTGCGCAGCAATGGCATTCTTACACAAGCGAACTACAGTGAAGTCCCCTTTTCTAGCATGTCTCTCCGGGATCTCATTTATGGCATGCCGCAGGACGTTCTGGAGATTCAGCTAGATATGGATAGCTGTGCACAAATCGGGAATGAGTCGAGCATTCAAGTCGGCTTTTTCTCAGACAATGCGCAAACAGAAACTGTGAGTAGGGAGACTGCGTACTTGACGGTGGAAACTTCGCTTCCTATAAGTGATGTCGACACGGCGACCCCTTCAGCAAAGTCGCTTGAAGTGGGCTCGTTCTCAACCGCCGTCGTGCCAGAGTCTAACAGCCTGCTGTTTGCAGCGAGCGGATCGGGAAATGCAGTCGCAACGCAGGCAGATGCAACTGCGGGCTCCATGCTGCCAGGCAGTGACGCAGCATCACAAGGAAGCAACGAACGCATGAATCTTTGCGCGAACCACAGCACAATAAGACGTGGCGCCCCAAGACAAGCAGCGCTGTTGTCTCGACTCTTGTTTCAAGCGCAGAGCCGGCAGACGAGAATTTACGTCGACTACGAGGTAGTCTCAGAAGAGCAAGCAGGAGATTATCTGGGTGGTATTACGGGCGGAGCTAATCTCTCCAACAGGAGCGATGTAAACGTTTGGTTGAACAATTCCAGTTCGGGCGACCGAGATGATCGCGGCAGTGCTTTCACGAACTATTCTCAGACGGCGACCAGTGTGCTCGCAAAAAGAAGCAATAGGAGCAATATATCATCCCAGGCGATGCTCTTCGATGAGGACGAAGCCATGAACACGACAGACCTACAAGAAACTCGTGGAGGATCGGTGTCATTATTGCGAAATGACTCGAATATGACCAACGACACGAATGAAACGCAGGATTCCGGTCCTCTGCTGCGGGCAGTTGAACGCGTCGTAAATGCAACTGTCTCCATGCGCATCGGTTTCTTGAAGGACACTGACAGTGGTTGCTGTGAACTTGCTTCACCACTGAGTGCGGAAGGATTAGGCCTCCTCACAGAGCCTGTGCCGGCACGAACTGGAGGACGTCTGATGATGAATCATGAGCCGCTGATCCGCAACGGTGAGGCCACGTGGCATAATCTTGAGTGGCCACAGGAGCCGGAATTCAGGCAGCGCCGGGCGCGGAAGATAGTTCGTATTTACAAGCTCAGAATGGCGTTCACGACTAGTACAAGTACAACTACCAGCACTCTTGATTTGACATCGGAAGATACGCTCGAGCAGAGCGATTCTGGGGGCGCAAGCATTGGCGCGGGCCTGATAAATGGAACGAATGACTCGATGAGCGCAAATGCAGCAGATATGAGCAACAAATCTGAGTCCGTGCGAAGAATAAATGCTTCCGATGAAGCACCTCAAAACTCATCAAGTAGCGCAATGAACATGACAGTTCGGAGGCTTTACGAAGAAAGTATGTTCGGAATCGCAGAGGAAGGCGACGAAGAGTCATCGACCCTTCAAGATACCGCTGCCGGCTCTGCGCGGGAGCGGCGAACTTCGTCAGCTGGCTCGTCGAGCAGTAGAAGTGAACAACTTGGAGTGAGACGCTACGTGCGACGTTTGGCAGGACACTCCGCCACAAGCCAGGACGTATCTACGGACACCAGCCAGCAATGGGAATCAGACTTCGTTTTTCCGTCGTACCCTGGGTCGCGACAAAATTTACAGGCCATTTCGATTCACCGCAACATGTATACTTTTCTTCATTACTTTCAAAAGCATCTCCCGGGAACAAGTTACACGCCTGTATCGACGTCCGAGCTGCTTGCACGCCGCGACGATGTGGCGGCTGAAGCGGTCGCGCGATTCGATCCTACATTGCGGAACGTTGTGAACGCGGGACATGTTCTCGAAGCAGGAGTTCCGTTCCGGCTCGATGCCGCCAAATTTCCAAAAGGGTTTCTGAAATTGCAACGATATTCGTGCGTATTGAGCAAGGTCGACGTGAGTCATTGGCGGCGCGTGCCCGGTGGCGACAAAATCACAGGACTTGAACGCACGCGCGTCGTGGCGTTGAACGGAACCGTGAGTTACCGAGAAGACGAGTTTCTTCGATGGCGCGATCCGCCAGACGTGGGAACTGTGCAACTCGCGCAACCGAACAGCGCTCGAGCGGTTGAGTCCTTCTTCTACCATAACGTAACCGCGCCAGTCTTAACCGAGAATCGCGACAGCGATGGCAATATCAACACCTTCCCGGAGTTTACGCTCAGCCAAGGCGGCTTTTACCACGTTTGCTGGACCGTCGATCCCACTGACCCGATGAGCTACGTGGACTACGGTGAACTGTTTGTCTACGGCCCGAGTGTTTGCTTGGAGGAAATGCGATACCAGCGGCGAGAAACAGGACGCGGACGTGCGTATCCAGAGATACGGGTGGTTACGACAGGAAGCGGCACGACAGTTGCCGCGAGCGTCATGTCACCTGCTGTCTCAAATGCAAATAGCAACATGTCAGCAGGAGCCACAGTCACACCCTATTCGGATCTCAACGCAAGTGACTTGTCAACGTACACAAGCGCGCGGACGATTGCGGAAAGGCACCGATCAAGCACAACTGCCGTTGCAACAACGCCAGCACAGGCAGCTTCCATAGGATCTACATTAGAAATAAAGTCTCTGCGTCAACCAGAAGAGCTTTACCACGTTTGCCAATGGGGCGAGGTCTGCCAATTCCGTGTCTCTGGCGATTTTTTCCGTTCCACCGACAACATTACTGTGCGTGACAATGATATCCTTTTGCACGAGCCGCTCGACCATGCGGGACGACGAGACTCGAGCCCAGCCGAAACAAGGGAACAGTTTGGACGCAACTACTTTTACTTCAGTCACATATCTAGTGCGAGCGATCTTGCCGCGTTTGACGTGCCCGGAGAGTTACATGCGCACTCAAGTGGAGCAGCTGACCCTTCTGAGATCTACGATGAGACGGAGGCAGCGGAACTTTACCAGGCCTCTGGCGGCAGTAATTCTATTGGTGCGCGCCTTTGCAGGCATCGAACGGGGCAGGCTTACGCCACAGACTTAGTCGAGCATTTCTTTGACGAGCGTGACATGGCCTATCACTCGAAAGCCGCCAACGCCGGATCTAACCCTACTGCTTTGGCTGATCCAATGACTGAGCAGAGCAATGCATCGTCCTTGTATCGAGCCCCTCCGCCACGCGACCTGCGCCACACGCGGTATTCCTCGGTGAAAGTGAGTCTGCTTATTAGTTTCTTGCCGGTGCCTGCCCTTAGTGGTTACTACGCGTTGTGTTGGAATGGCGATGTTTTTGTAAAGCGAGTGGAAATCGTTGGACCGAGGAAAAACAATACCCTCCATGCGTGTGCACTCGGCGAGCCCTGCTATCTCAAGCAGCTGCCTACAGGTGTGGAAGAAGGCGATCGTGTGCGTGTGGTCCCTGTTGCTGAATCGTGCGGTGTGGCGCAGCCCACCATATACCAGACGGAGTACAGCGTCCGCACGCGGGTGCTCGACAAGAAGGTCTACGAAGCGACTTCGAGCAACGCGAACGAGTTGCGGCGGACCATTGGGGTAAACGATAACTTTGTGGTTGGCAAGGCGGACGGCGAGTACAGTTTCCACTATTTCCGAGATGGCCCGCGAATTGCGCGTCGCGTTCGGATCTTTCCGCTTACGTGGGAGAAGGCTCACCCAGCCTTCCGCTTTGGTGGGATCACGGACTTCGGATTGGTGTCCGATCGCAACGTTGCCAACGAGATTCGATACGCCAGTTTTCAAAATCCGTACTTGCCGCGGTTGCAGGGTGGGCAGAGCAGCGACCCACGGACTTGCTTGAGTTCTGGGACAAAAGTAGGAGGAAACGTCGGCCAATCCGCTGTTGGATCCGAAGCTATGCGATTCCGTATTGACAACGACGCGGCGGAACTCGGTGTTGAAGTGAAAAATGTCACGGAACATGTAAGCCAATTTCAACGAGCACGTGAGCTGCGTTCCATGACAACCGGAATGCGCAGACCAGAGTGTTCTACGCTGACAACCATCGTGACGCCTGCAGTCGTGTGCGCGCCAAATTTGCCTTCTCTTGCGGAGCCAATCCTTGGACGTCTGGGCCTCAAAGATGTGAAATCGGGCACGCTGTACGGGAGTTTGTCTGGTTACGGGCCGCCCAACGACGCCATCTACTCTACAAAGAAGCACGAGCTCCAGAAAGTGCTGTGGTACGAGATCGATTTTGGAGAGTCGATCGAGCTCCGTGGAGTGGCACTGCAAAAACCCGGGACGCACATGACGGACACAGCAAACTACGGCATTTTGAAGACTTTTACGCTCGAACTAGACGGAGCACCGGTCTTGGATCCCCTCCCGGATCCCATGGCCGAAAGTGTGGTCGTCAATTCTGCGACGGCGAGTGGGGTGACACTGCCATCCGGCTTTATTGCAAAGGGCGGGCGGTATCGCGTTTGCACGTGCAGCTTGCGAGCACACAGTCGCAGAGTGGGCAAAGCAGGTAAGGCAGTGAATCCCTTCACGTACGACGCGCAGCTGTACGATTACCGCCGGATGTGGAACAACATGCGGCCGCAATTCGACACGAACGCGATAGTGCCGTCTCCTCCCGTGCAAGCCTACTACCGTGCCAGCACGGCCAAGGAGCTAACAGTGCAACGACGGGCCTCCGCTGCAGGCCGCATGGTCTTCCGCAGTACAGACACCCTTGACCCAGCCCGCGACTTGCCGCCGGCCATTCTCCCGCAGGACCAACAAGTCCCCAGGAAGTCTCCATCGTTCTACTCCTACACCGACGATGTGGCGAGAACAGCGGCCTCGGAGACGGCGGACGCAAGGCCAGTCGGCATGGAGAACTCGGGGTTAGCATTACGTGCCTCTCAGTTTTCGCGGCAACAAGGCAGCGGCTACACCGGTGCTATCCATCGACAGCCCACACAATTTGCGCAACGTGATTGGTGGAGTTCGCACGTGACCGAATACTACTCGGACTACACCCCAAATTACGTGTTTCCGGAGACCACATTCTTTTCCCCTGCAAACCGGCAGAGTGTTCTCGACAGTGTGCGCTCGAACAGCGGGGCTGTGATCCCACCCGCGGAAATTTCTGCAAGCACAGTGCCGGACTTACCGCAATCCACTATCCCCTCTGGGCAATTGTTTTCCTCTCCTGCGGATGCATTAGCCAATGTGCCTCCGACTGCGCAAGAACTAGAGCTAGACATGCTTCACAGAGACCCTGCAGTAGTATCGAGCTACGCTGGTGTTAGAACCGTGGCGTATCCAGCCACTCCATCGCACAGAGCCGAGGGCGGTCCAAGCTCAGCAAAGCCACCTCCGCTGGGCTACATTGAATCGCTACACGGAAACGGCGGGGTTTCGGCTTCACCTTACGTTGCTCCACAGACCTTTTACAATAAAAGGGTCAGAAGAAGACGACTGCAGGACAGGGATGTTGAAGGCCACGATGTAACAGTGACAAGCAGTAGTGCGCGTCGGCTATCGTACCACAGTTCAGCCAGCGGAACATCTGCCCACAGCCACACCCCAGCGTCACCAACAATGACACCGCCCACAACTGCCACGCCGATGACAGCAGCATCAGCAAGCGGATTTACCTCTGCCACAGCTAGCAGCACAACTGGTTCGACGACAACCAGCTACAACAGCGGAACAACCCCGACCATGTCGAATCAAGGTAGCGGTGTAGGAGGGACAACACAAATGTCTACCACAATGTCAGGAACAACAGCGACAATGAACTCCGGCTCTGGCCGAGTGGTTCCTCTTTATGTGGAACAGTACAATCCTGTATATCCAGAGCAGTACTTTGCCAGCCTTGAGCCAGCTCCAGCACCGTTGCTCGAGGCAGACTTTGAGGTGTGCGGATCGCATCTAGATTTCGCATCCGAAGTTGGACAGGTTGACATTGCGGGAGTTACAGATCCGGAGACCACGTACACATGCGCACTCGGTAAGACAGAGCTGCGGCCGGTGAAGCCAGGTCTGGATCTATCCATGTTGCGAGTTTCTGAAGACCGCGATATGGTCGCGCAAACAGGAGAAGCCACGGACGCTGCTCGGTCTTCATCATCTTCTGATGCCAGCTCGTCGGCAGGTATGGAGGTAGTGCCGTTGCCTTCTGCAGCTTCGAGTACTGCGCGCAGGTTTGACGCGCTGCTTCCAGGGGTATCCGAAGCAGAAATCGATTCGGAATATCCACAGGTGGTTGTGAACACATCGGCTTACTTGCAAGCAGCGCTGAAGCCTTGTGTGGTCGAGCTGGAAGGATACTTCGACGCGCTCGGTACCGAAGATAGCGCAGCAAGACTGCCAGGCGGCGCTGCGACTACACGTGATGGCAGTGTTGATTACCTTTTCGTATCGACCACTCCTTGCGTGAGTATTACACATGAAAGCATTGTAGACTTCACGGCGCTGACAGCAGCCACAGCTTTATTAACCAGCACAAGTGTTGAATCGGAAGACGCCACAAGCGGTACGAACCACACGAGGGGACAGAAAATCGCAAGATTCGCATCCCATCCGTTGGCCTCCCCAGGCCTCCGCGCGGGCACTACACCGTACTATCTCTGCTTTAAACGTTTTTCTGCTGAGGACGGCTTGCCGCAGCTGGAGGAGCTGCACGAAATTCGCAAAAGTATTCAAGGCTATTCCCAGAATTTGAGCAATACAGCAGCCGTCTACCTTCCGGCGAAAGCAGAGCAGGACCTGATCTACAGCTCATGGCTGAACAACGAAGTGACGCAGTATAAAAAATGTGTAAAACATTCGGACACGGTAGTAGAGAGGGGTAGTTTGGACGATACGAATCCAGGATCAGGTGCAGGAATATCTTTCTCGCCTGGGCGAAATGATACGGTCCAAAATTACACGTGCACTTCCTCGTATGCGTTACAGTCGTACATACCAGCCGGACGACTCTACGTGACAGGACCGCGCATTCTCCAACGCAAAGAGAAGTACTGTATCGTTGGTCACGTTTGTCGGTTAGAGATTGACGGCTTTCTCCAGGACCTGGAGCCAGTAGCCCTTCGAGAGATAACCAGTACGCTCGCTCCCGAGGCGACTGCTATTGCGCCGGAATTTGCTACGCCAGAAAGCAGGCCAGCCGACTTGGATCTTGCCAACGCGGTCCGGCCCTCATCTGCACTGTTCCACACGCTCTTCGAAGAAGCTGACTTGTCTAATCTGCAGACGGATGCAGAGCTGGTGAGCGACACCCCTGAAGAGGAAGCGGCGTCCTCGACGACATCTTCTCCTTCGTTCACCTCGTCCACCTCCGCTTCAACAGCGATCGAAAGCGCGGATCAGTCAACGTCGCCGGCCTCCCGTATCAAGCACTTTGGGCCAAATATTTTCTTCGGGCGCATGCCCGAAGTCGCGCGGGTGGCGAGTGAAAACTATCCGCTTCTTCTTCAGGAGAATGTGCAGTCTAATCCAGTGCAACCGCCTGCGGAAACGCCGATAGGCTATGCAGAGTCGTACGAGGGGCCCTATGTCTTGCCAGTAGAAAGAGATCTGCCGGATGCGGAGGCAATTAGTCTCGACGCTGGGGCTGTGGGACAGACATCTTCCTCGAGCAATAATTTGGGAACGGCAGAGACGCTTGTTGGCGCATCGTCCTCTGCAATGAGTAGTTCCTTAGTCACGTCATCGGCCTCTAGTAGCAGTAGCTCTGATACATCTTCGACGTCCTCCTATTCTTCCTCATCTTCAAGTCGCTCAAGTGGGAGCGCGTCGTCCTCATCAATGTCGTCGGGTAGTAGCGCTTATTCATCATCGTATTACCGACGCAGTCGCAGTCGCAGACTTTCTGGAGCAGAATTAGCTAGCGCCAGTAGCACGACTACAAGCGGGACAAGCGGTTCTCAACATGAGTTTTTTGCAGTTACTACACATCCAGCAATGCTGGCCTACGATGCTATTCGGACATATGAAGCTTTCAAAATCGCCGAGGTAATGGTGGCCAACGGGTCCTATCCATTCTTAGCGAATCGGTCAGTGTTCTCTCATGTTCTCTTCGGCGACGACCCGGTAGCTGTGAATGCTCGTAATGGTTGGGGCAACCTTACCTTCCCATATGGCCTTAACTCAACGGAAGCCGAAAGCACCAATTTGACGGCGCTGCAGAAGATGCTACCCACTGGGGTGGACGATTCTACCATGAATTTTCAGGCATTGGCAAGGCAGGTCAAAAAAGCTGACGACAGGGTTACTTTTGCAGAACTGTCCTCTTCTTCAAATTCTGCCGCTGGAGCATTGAGCATCGAAGAGCGGAGGGAGGCCTACGTGTGGCGAAGACTGCCGTTCCTTGTGGAACAGAACAAGACACTTTCCATCTATGTGGAGGCATATGCGAGCTACGTCGAGGAGAACTTTACTGACCTTCTCATCGAGAAAAACATCAGCACGCTCGACGATGCTGCGCTCGTAGGACTTGATGGCAACGCCAGCAATCAATCCGCTGCATACGATGATGCTACAGTCAACACTCGCAACCAGTCCGCTTCAGCAACACTCTCATTCGCTGCCCAAAAGCAAAACGAGTCAAACGCAACCACCGCAAACGTCAGCAACGCAAGCATCTACACGCCAATGCAGGCAGAGTATCCCACGGCAGTGCACTTCTGGAAAGTGAGCGACGTGACTCTATACGGACCATCTGGCAACAACCAGTTTGTCTGCGAGTTGGGACTTCGATGCGAGCTACGGGTTCCAGGGAACTGGCGGCATCTGATCAAACCAACATCCATCATACCAGCGATATCAAGTAACGCAGGATTTCTCAGGATTGCGAAAAAGGTATAAACATATTTCACAAAGTTGCTGTAGTGCCTGGAGTATCTATTTACTATTTTTAGGTTGGAAGCCTAATAACACACACACATAGTAAGTTGAAAAGCCCTGAAATTGGTGTCTGGTGCTGGTCGGCTGGCTCGATTCGGATTTTTTTCCTACTTTCTTGCATAAAAAATTCAGACGATGGTTCGGCAACTCACAAGTGCGCCTACCGCGGATGGCATAAGCTTTATCGCGGATCCACTGTTAAATCTGAGTGCAGGCGTGAGCCACGCAGTCGACTACTGCGGTGCCGACTTCTGTATCGAGATTGGACGGCTCTATGCCAAGGGTATTGTCCTGCCGACTGAGACTATTAGAGCGAATAGTTCCGAGCAATTGGAAATCCGGCAGGTCCAGGAATTGAATACTACTCCGGGCAGCCGTCTCTACGTGATGGATTTTGCGGGCCAAGGAATCGTGGATGCCAGCTCTCGCATGCGCACAGAAGTTTTTGAAGGCCGCAATGCGTACTTTGCGTCGGCCGTGAACAGCACTGAGGCGGGATGGGAACAATTGAAATTGGCAAACTTTAGTCTCGCAACGGCAACCTTTACGTTCCCGAAAAAGTTGGCGCTAAATGGAGGAACGTACTCGCACGTTTTTAAGCAGTTCGATGTTGTCCTTGTCTGTATCATCTGTTGATCCTCAGTATAGACACATCTTATGCATGCCAGCTACAATCATCCTCCGGTTTTTTTCTCTCTTCGAATATCTGAAACATGATTTTGCTTTTCTTTTCCCTATAATTACAGTTATGCACTGGTATGGTGCGCGGTCGGTTGTTCGTATGCGTCGGGTCAAACGAGGAACCAAATAGAAGCGTACGAGGAATCGAGTCCAGAATTTAAGCGTGTGTACAGAAGCACGACACGATACCAGCCTCTTGTTGTTGGCAACTTATCTCTAGACGCTGCCACCAGTTGGATACTTGATTCAAGCCTAAAATGCGTCTTCAACCAGCCATGCGACATCCGCAACAGGGACTACGGTTCGCGGATGGGAGGTACTATAGTCTTACAAGTAAGTACTAGGTAGTACCTAGAAATTTGGTCGTTGTCGTGCACATGCTTGCTTCGAATTTTCAAGAGCCTGACTTCAACTCGTTCATGAGGAAATCATCGTTGTTGTCTCATGATACGTTTTTCGAGATGTCAGGAGGCTTTGGCTGGCAGCCATTCCTCGCAGTCGCCCTTGACTAGAAGTCTGACAAAGAAAAAGTTCATTGCAAATTCTAGTGGAGTAGGACAATGGTAGATCAGGCCGTAACCTCACGCTTAAGCGTGATTGCAACTACTAACTCGAAATGAATCCATCTGACTGTACACAAAATATCATGCACAGCGTTGGGCTACACGACGATTCTGCTGGAGTGTCAGACGAATGTAACATCGGCGATGCCCGTGATACCATACAACACTCCCACGTTGCGATTCGGAGCCATTAGTAGCCAGACCAAACCATATTACTATTACTTGTGCTGGAATTCGCAGCCTGAAGGTGACTTCCTTGTTACTATTGCGCCGATCGAGCTGGTGGATCCGCGTTCACGGCAAGGATTACCTGTGTAAGAAGATGTCCAAGCCTGTCTTTAGTAGATGTGATATTCGTGCTTGAGGAGGATGTGGCGCAAGCGGAACTGGAAGGCGAAAAAACGTCGGCTCTGCGTATCTTCATCTAGCAACTACTGTAGCTTCATCTACGCAACACAGCGTGTTCGTTGAAAACCAACTTCTATTATCTATCAGTGTCAACACACATGGCAAAAATTTGAAATCTAAGTTTGCGCATCATGATTGAGCTCGTCCTCAGAAGAGCAATTTCCGTATACCAGAAGTATTCTTAGGAAAAATGGAAAAGTCCTCTATAAACTCATACATTATAGGAAGGTGGGAGTGGAGACTGTTGCATCTATAATCTAGTTTTGGCGAATCTACTCGGAGTACTCGTGTGACGACCGTGAATTTGAAATTTGACTAGAGTTGAATTTGAATCCTTTTTCGGTAACTTTTAGTACATGGACAGCAGGACGCGAGTACTGAACCAGTGCATATCTTTGCTTTCTTAGATAATCTATTAGTCAATCTGCTCAACAAACGCTGATTTCTTCTGTATTTATTATTGTTATTCTCCTTCTAGTATCTTTGACAGCTGTTACAGAAACACAGAAGTACATGTTACCTAATTATGGGAGGTGTCATGTCAGAGTGAGTAAGTCGTATGATGATAATCAGGATCGAAGCACTCCTAGTTCGTTGTCTTATTTTGACTTGAAATTAACTTGTCCGGTGGCGCTGGCGGAGGCAACCCTAGAGCTAGAATTTCGGTATGTTCATCTGATAATTTTACCCTAAACAAAGAAAAGTTCAGTCACGGCCGAATCCGAATACACTAACCACTGCTAGTGCCTAAGTTGGAAAGTCACTGCCTTGCATAATGCCATGCAGACTTATTTCATCAGATGTAACCACGAGAGGCACTTCCGCCGCAATCGACCTATTTTTGAATACTCTACCGCTGGACGCCAAATAGCAAAGTAGAAAAAAGTCGTCGAAATTTGAAAAGTTTTGTACTCACTTGATGTTCTTGGTTGCTACGGTGATTAATATTAGACGGGAGTGGTGCTGCTCTCGGAAAATCGGCCACAGTGAGGCTCACAGAAAGAATTACGAACGATCAGTCACTCGGACAAGGAATTCTTTAACAATGCTCAGTAGTCAATCGAGCAGAGATTATGGGCTCTACTCTTGTTCTAGAAGCGACTGTGTTCTTGACAGACGTGACAGAGAATTTCCAGTGCATGCACATAAACGGTGACAGAAAATATCTACTTATGTGGAAGCGAAAGCGGAATGGGGATATTCCGTGGCACTTGCTCTTGAACCTCTCGGATTTAGCTTGACGAAGAGGATAAAGTTGTAAAAAAAGTAGAGCCCGTGCCCGCTCTCGCAACAGAAATTGACCACGCAAATGCAAATCCTCGCATTGTTGAGAAGCAGAACCAGGAGACGGTGTTGAACCCGCTGCGACAATCCCTCCCTGCTGTGCAAGAAACGTCGAAGAGCCGAGATCACGCGGCTCCCACGACGGTGCCCTCGCAGCTGCCCAGTCGCGATTCGTCGAAAGTTACGAGCAAGGGAGGAACAGGAAGTAAATCAACAGGAGACCAACGAAGAAATAAGTCTTCTAGTATTACACCAGCAGCACACCTAGTACAACTGCACGGTGCCATTCAGCCACGGATCAACCCGCTGCAGAAGCGAACGCTGTATTACATTGTTTTGTGCCGGCTGAAAAACATCACAAAGCAGGAGTTTCGGAACCAAATTCGGGATGTCATGAGAACCACCACAAGGACCACTCTGCAGTTACGGATGCTCGGAAATCACGATCTTCATGCCGGAATAGGTGCAGCAGATGTCGACGTATGCACTGCAAAACTGTCTTTTTTACAGTTGAACGCAAATATATTATATACGTTTTCGCAGAATGAAGTATGAAGGAAACAAAAGTGCAATGTGCATAGAATTACTATGCTGAGTTCTTGCCAGAAGACATGTCAAACAACAGCCGTGACTCAGACAACAGCACAAGAAGTACGGCGGTTTTGCAGAGAATATGCCGACAAAGCTGCTCCAGGTGTTATTTTTAACCAGCGTGGATCAACTACATCTCAAGAACAAAGTACTGGGGAAATTATAAGTAGCACGACGGCAAAACGACCATCGACGCCAAACTCCGCCCCCTTCAGCCGGCACTTGGTTTACCGGAAATTTCAGGGAGAGATCATCGACGTGAGGGAACAACTGATCAAGCAAAAGTACCTGCAGTGGATCGAGGACATCGCTCGGGAGGAATGCAAACTGTTCGCCGCAACGCTGCAACAGGCGATGAAACGGTACGAACGACAGCGGACTTTTGACGAGGCTGCGCTCGCCGGAGTGGTCACGACTACAGGTGCGGGTGGTGGTGCCACGAAGAGTGGTACTAGCTCAACTGTAGCAGGTGGTCGTGCAACAAGAAACGGTACATCTTCCACTTCTGGCGCGACTACATCGTCCTCGTCTAAAACCCTCGTGTTGATTGAACAGGGCGCCACCGCGCTGTCTGGGTTGCTGTCGATGCGCCGACCGAGTAACGTTTCCCCGATGACGACGATCGAGCGGGTCCGGCAGCAGAATATGGGAAATAAAACCGCGAAAAACGGAAATGGTGCGTCGACATCATCCTCTAAAATCGAGGGGAAACTGAAAAACGGGTCTGGTTCATCTGCTGCTGCACCTACGGCTGCCGAGATAAAACAGGAGATGAGGGAAAAGGAACGGCTGCACAAGCGACAAATGACCACACTGCTGCTAGACTCCTGGTGGAGTTTGCTGGAGCTGTTTTCGTATGCATCTTTGCAAAAGTAGTATCGTACAACTTCCGGCAGTTCGTTGTCGGAACAATTGCATTCGCAAATTTTCACATCTTCTCGAGTTCTATGCAGAGTACTAAGTGGAATCATAATCAATTGGAACGCGTTATAATTCACCTTTAGAACATAGATTTGTGATGCGTACTTTCATTCGAAACGAGTGCGATACAACTTTTGCAGTGGATATTTCGGTTTTAATCAACCCCGTAGTCGACGCTGACAACGCTGTTTCCAAGAAAAAAACACCAGAATCACAGTCACTTTTGCGCACTTCTGCAATACAATTTTTTTACGTAAAAATGCATCACAGACAGAGAATCGCGCTTGATGCATAATTTTCCTTGTGTCTCTGCAGTAGTACAAGAAAAACTCTTTGGTCCACAGTCCCCTGACGCAGAAATTGCACAAATGTGAAGACTGCGATGCTGATGTTTTTTTGTTGCATGCGTTAGCTTCAACTTTTTCTCAGCTCCTATGGCTGCTGTGAATAATCCATCCACCGGTGCTGGCGGTGGTGGTGTGCTGAGTAAAAAGAACGGGGGCGGGGGTACTAGCAGTAGCAATTCGACGACCTCTACGGTCGCCGCAAACGGGGCTTCCTCCAAGAACGCGGCTGCAACCGAGCGGGAGGAAAAGTCCTCGTTCTACCTTGACTTTTTGCGGCAAAACGAGATGCTATACGGACGGCTGCAAGTGTTTTACGGAGATCTGTTTCTGGACGAAAAGAATATGAACCTTGATGCGGGAGGAGACCACCTGAAAATGAAATCTTCTTCCGCGGCCACTTCTACCCCCAAAAAAGGGGGTAAATCGCCCCCGTCGAAAAAAAGTGATAAAAACGCCACTACAGGAGAAGTAGAGCTGCAGCAGCATTATATGACCATCCCGAAGAATAAATTCCGGAACAACGACGGGGCTCGATCGCCACATCTCGCTGGACCAAGCAGCTGCGAAACGATCGATAGTAAAAACACTGAAGCCGCTGGTTCAGGTGTGGCTGCGACGTCGGGAGCAAAGAATACAACACCTGCACCAGCAGTCCTCGACGAGGTTAGTAGTAGTGCAGCAGCTGGCGGTAAAAATATCATGAAAAAAGAGGCCACCGGTTTATTTCCCTCTTTGGTTGAGGAAGAGAAGGTGCTGGAAAGGGTTTGGGCTGAAGTAGTTTCGCCGGTCCTGCAGGTGGACGAGAGGAACAACAACACGCCGGCTGATATTTGTGCCTCTTCTATTAGAAGTGCGGGTCTACTGATCCTGAAGGCAGAGGACTTTGAGAAGGTTGTGACCTTCCAAAAATGCAACAAGTGCCGGTGCTGGAGGGGGTGATTGATAAGTAAGGACTTACAACTATCGTAAGGAAAAATCCCCCGTGCAATCCTCGAGCCAGTCCGCCACGTTCCCGACGGTATCAAATGCAAATATGTCGGGGTCTGGAAAAGTGCAACGTTTGTCATGCACGTTTTGCATGGCGCGTGAGGTCTGTCATGCATGCCCTAGCACCGCAGATTCTGTGAGATCTTTACCATGCCTTTTTCGCATGAGAAACCGCCTCTCGGCCTTCTCAAAAGTGGACAGCTTTATTGGTAATCATACAACACAGATTTTTGTATGATTCAGATTTAGCATGACAAGTTGTACTCTTCCAGACCCGGACATATTTGCAATGCATAGACGGAATTTTTGGTCAACACCTTACCGTGGTCCACGATCGCGTCAAAATTAGGCTTCGATTTGCACATCTCGAGAAAGCTCTTCACGCTATTTTTCACTTCCTCAATGATCCGCGCGACGCTCGCACTGAAAAACATCTGGCCGACCTCACTTTGCATCAGGTTGTCGAGCATAGGCTTGACCGCCTGCCAGGCGTTCTTGAAACCATCTTGCTTGAAGAGTTCCATTCCCGCAAGTTTCTCCAGCGCGTGGCTCAATCCGTGCGGAACGGCCTGCACAGTAGTTTGGTTCGCCAACAAAAGCGACGAATCGTTTGCACGACGAGAGGTTGAAGAAGTACTAGACCTTTTTTGCAGCATGGAGGACGCGGAAGTTGTCGTCACGAGACCGTCGATCGGCAACTTCGTGAAAACATCGGACATGGGAATACCCTCGATTGCCTCCCCCAGCGCGCTCCCCATCAACGCGGACAGAAACCCGCGTATGTCGTCCCACATATGACAGTGCACAGCTCCCCCTTTCTTGCATGAACACCAACACAAACACCAGCACACGTGGAGCCTGTGCATGACAAATTCGAGCGCCTAGTGTAAGTAGTACTGTTTCGGCTTCCGGAATCTGTCATGCAAACAGTGCCGCAGGGAAGCACTTGGTTTGGATTTCTTGCCCTCTTGCATGACAAACGAGGGGGAGGGAGAGTTGTGCACTCTCATAGCACACTTGAATCATCCAGTCCACCCACGGGTCGTCCTCGCCCATGGTGTACTTCAGATATCACATGCAAATATGTCTGGAGGGTCTGGAAGAGTGCAGCTTTGTCATGCTTGTCTGGTATGACTCTTAAATCTGTGATGCGTGAGCGGGAAAAGGGCCTCTTGCCTGTCATGCAAAAACGCAGTTTGTGACGCGAAAAACGAAAAACACAGCAGCGCAAAAACTTGTCATGCTGGGCTGCATATTGCAGTGCGCCCACAATTCGTAGATTTGCATCACAAGTTTCCAGACCCAGACATATTTGCAATGCATATCAGAATCGCAAACACCAGCGGTTGGTATTCGCCCATAAACCACTCGGCCTTCTGGGCGAGGCTCCCGAAGGTTGCATTCTGGATCTTGTCAATCACGTACTGAGTCGGATCATCGTGAGTCGAAAAAACAACCGCAGTGTGCATGATGATTTCCGCGATTTTGGTCACATCCATTCCGGAGGAAAGATCGTAATTTGGGTCCGATTCACTCATCCGGGTCTGCAGGCGTTTCTGCTGCCGAGCGGTGTACAACATTTTGTGGGAGACACGACCAAGAGTGGAAAACGAAGCAACCAAAGCAGTGCTGTTGCTGTTCTTCTGCTCTTCGCCGTCGTCCAGATGAACAGAGTCAAGAGCCACGCCATCTTCAGTTGTTGTATCCCCAATAGCACGGCTGGTTTTCTTGCGTCTAGAAGTCACCATCGCAGCTGCGCCTGCGGCCTTCTTCATCTGCAGCAGGTTCTGCTTTGGAAGAGCTGCCCCATGATCTTCTGCCCTGCGATCCAAAGCTGCACGACCAGAGCCGCTGCTGCGCAACTTGTTCTTCTGCCCATTTTTCGTCACGAGGGTCGTGGAATGCGCTTCGACTGTCTGGTGGAGATGAAACAGCTGCAAGTATTACCGTGAAAAATGCCCCCACCCCCAAAGTTGCAATAATTTGTGATGCGAAGTTTCCAAATGAAAACTTTTTGTCATGCATGAAAGGAATATGAATCTTTGCGATGCAGAGTCTAGGCGTATATAGCATTGCTTGCATGACAGGCGCCGCTCTTGCTGGGATCTGTTGCAATACAAATTTTCGCTATTCACGATTGGAAATCTGTGATGCTGCTAGATGCAAGAGGGCGAGTGTTTCTGTTGGAAAGGTTTGCAATACAAATGCTCCCAAGTTCGGGGCTGGGGGCGTTTTTCATTGTGATAGCAAGGTGGACAGCGCCAGGGGAAGCGCAGCCACGCGGGCTGCGATCAAGACATCGAGCGAAGGGAAAGGGAAAGGCGAACCCAAGGCCAAAAAACCAGCAACGAAAAAATGGTACACGAGCCGGAGCACCAGGGGCTTCTTTGAGCAGATCATGAAGTTATCCTCGGGCAACGTTGCGGACCCCACCGACAACAAAGCGCAGGTAGCGTTGGAAATGATTGCTGCGCACGAGAGATCTTGTAACACTGGTCTGAATTCCAATTCTGACAGGGGCCTGGCAGGAAGGCATCGTCGCTGCTTGAGCGCGCCTATCATGTGAAGTGGGAGCAGAGTGCGGAAGATGGGAAAAAAGTACGGACTAGAGAGGTCGAAGACGAAGTTTGGAAAAACGGGCGAGAGGAACAAAAGGATTCCGAACTCCGCTTTCTAACGGCGTTTTTGTTCGATGTGGAGCATCGGATGCAGTTACTCAACGTACCAGGTCCGTTCGGTGGTCGAGGAGAGAATTTGGACCACAGCAGCGCGCTATACGATTGGAGGGAAAAAATCAGACTTACCTGCTTCAAGTTCCGGACGGCACTGGAGAAGGCGATTGGGCAACATGGAAAGAACTCGACATCGTCGTCCACTGTAACAAGGAAGATTACGTTTCGGCTGCCTCTCGCGCAGGCGCGTGTGGTGGAGGAGGGTGTGGCACTAATGAGGGACCCGTACCTTCGTCGCAACTGGTTTTTCGACACACTTCGAACTGACGACGGCGAACTTGTGGAGGCAAAAACACTTCGCGACGTCCTTGTTGCGAAAGCGGTGGAAACGCTCAGATGGAGAAACAGAGAAAGCCCGCCGCAAGACGCGAAGGAGATGATGAAACGGCTGTTACGCAAAGCGGCAGAAGATGACAGTACTATCGAGGACCTCACGAGCCTTGAGCAACTTCCAGCAGATTGGCGCAACGACAAGGAGATCGTGGCGCTGGCGAAAGCGGCCGCAATTGCGATGTGAGTTATGTTGAAAGGACGCTCCTGTTTTCCTCAAGCAGCAGAAGAACGCGGAAGAAACTGTTGAAATAAATTGTCAAAAAACCGACAAAGTTGCGATGTCTACTAAAGTTCATCAAAAGTACTACGTGGAGGCAGGTTAGCACCGTGAGCACCACAATCGAAACAGAGCAGAAGCAATCGCAAACGAGAATTATCGTACGCACACTACCACAACGACAATCGTCGTGGACTTTTTGAACAAGTATAATCCAGAGCCATGTCTTCACAGCAGGCGCATTCGCTCTATCGAAATGCCTTTAATACGCCAACCCGCCTTTGAAAATCCTATAGAAGTCCTGATTGGCTAGAAAAATGTTGAAGTGAAGTGAAGTGATTGGCGTAGAGAATCACAGCCCTAGATGTTGTATGTTGATACAAATGTGGAATAGTTGTAGCATAAAGATAGACAGACACGCAGACGCACTCCTACGTACTTACAACTAAGTCAATGATTATACGCGAAGAGACGACTCGGATTCATTGGCTCGATCGCTTGCTTGGATTACAGCAAAAACACATCGCCGCTGGCGCTTTTTGAGGGAGATTTTCAGGAGAGTTATGTCGCAGATTATTTCCACAGAAGATGCCTATGGGAAGCCGTTTTCCTCGGGCGATTTCTTGGAATGACCACTGCAAGGAGAACAGAAAGCAGTTGTGACGGAACCTAACTAAAAATAGATACTAAAAACTTTTCCTAGCATTCGGCAGATCGGGGTCTGCTGATTTGTGATCGCCAGTGTTCAATGAGTTGTTGCGTCCGGATGCGCAAATGGAGGAAAACAGGTAAGAGGCAAATTAATTGCTTCTGTCTTTTAACGTGTTTCTTGTATGACAAACTTGCATGACCCCACCTGCGCGAAGAAGTTAAAGCGAAGCGAGTCTGCGCATCAGTTAGACCTTCTTTCATGTCAGCTCGCAAGATCAGGGTTGAAGATCAGTGTTGTTGTTTCAATTTTTGCGTAGATCAACTGCGTAGGTCGCCTAAAGTGGGAAAACAGAAGATCCAAGCAAACCAGCCGAAAGAGACAACCGGCTGAAACTACCTGGAAAGTTGAAGCGTTACAAACCATCGGCAGGCAGCACCTAGTCCCAGCGAAAATTTTTCCTATGGTTGGCTTACCCAGAGAAAGTAGCTCAGTAGATAGAAGCTGGCTGTAGAGTTTATTCCTCCTCCTCCCCCTAGGCAATAGATATAGAAATCAATTTGATTTAGATTTTTTGCGTCGTTCTCGTTTTCTTTTGGTATTGCATAATAAAGACAGACATATTTCTCAGACATATTCTGGGACGCTTCTTACAAAGAAAAAGAACGAGCCCCGGACTTGTCGGAAATTTCGCGGCACAACAAAATGGGATGCGCTGGTGACGAAAACGGGGAGCCCGACGACGCTCGTCCGTACAGCCGAAAGAAGGGCACCAACCGAAACAAGACCGAGGTGCGGTGGGATCAATGTGATTTCAACAGTTGTCCGAATGGAGATCTTGAGGACGACGAGTGGCAAGTCGACGAGGACGCTAACGAAGAGGACCTAAATGCACTGCACTCTATAGAAGAAGCAGGAGAGGCAGAGGAGAAAACAGGTGAGACGGAGACGCCCACACTGAAATTGTGCAGCCAGGAATTGCAGAAATTCAAAAAGCAAGCAGCATGCTCTTCCGTTTCACAACGCAGAGCAGGTGGTCAGGTTTCCGCATCTGCGCTGCAAAGGCAGAAAAGCTGCGGTAGAAAAGAGCAACCTAGCAGCGCTCCCACGCAGTTCAAGCTTCCACGACGTTCCGATCCTGCCGCTTTTGTTTCCCAGTCAGCATCACAGCTAGTGCAACAAGAGCCTGCAAGTTGGTCACCGTTGTGGCAAGTCGGCCCGAACCAGCTACAATTTCCGAACACGGTTCCCGGGAGCGACCATGGCGTGTTGGCGTTTGCCTGTTTCGAGTGCGGAGGCGTGCTGCTACGTGGGCGGCAAATTCACCAACTGAAGGACATGGCGATCTGGTCCTCTCGCCTGGAGCTCGACGAGGCGACGTGTCCGGTCTACGTTCCGAAAAACAAAGCTCTATTTCGAGTGAACGAGTGTAAGTCGAACAGAGACGCGGACATTATTTGCAATTTTCACCAAGTGTTCTGCGCTTCCTGTCGTGACACGTGTGGAAAAGAGACAGCTATCGGGGCGATCTACTACGAACCGTACTGGGATTCGGAGATTGGCGGTCTCGTCAAGGACAAGGTCTTTCCGTGCTTGAAAATCAGGCATTCGTATTCGAAAGGGACCAGCATCGAGAACAGCACGGTCATCGTGGGCCTGCGCTCGATGGCGGAGGCGGAGAGTCTATTCAAAGTGTTACAAAAGGCAGACAAGCAGCCACCACCCGAGCAGAAGCAGTGCACGACCCGCTTCATTCACAATCTCAAGCAAGACAGAAAAGCTTTGCAACAGCAGAAAGATGCCTTAGAAGGCGCCCTTGCGAAGACAGAAGAGCAGGAAGAAGAGACTCGTCTCTTGCTGGCCGAGAAGCAAAATCAAAATCGCGTCATCATACAAAAGGTCGGAGCGATGAAGCAACAGATTCAAGAGGCGGCACGGCAAAAAGAAGCGCTGGTGGCAGATTTGGATGGTATGAAGGTGCAGATGGAGAAGGCCCAAGCAGAAAATAGACAGCTGTTGAATGAAAAAACTGCGATGGAGTACCAAGTTAAAAAGCTGCAGGATTGCCGAGACCATATCGCGGACGAGAAGGAGCGCATCGATCAAGAAAGAGAAGAACTGCACGCGAAGTTGCAGCAAGAGAAAGAGCAACTTGCGGAAGCAGAAAAGAATCTTGTCGCGGAGCAGCAAAGAATTGAGGAGCTCAGAGCAGAAACAAAACGACTCGAGAAAAGCCAGAAAGAAATAGCGGCAAAGGCCGCTGGAGGGGACCACACGATTTGGACATGGCAGAATGGGAACGAGTGGGAGCTCATGAACCCCGAGGTCTGTCACCAGCTAGACACTTATTACGAGACGTTTCAGACCGAACTGCAACTGGCGAGGAAGTCAAGCGGAAATGATACATCTTCGCGGAAGACAGAGCACTGCCACCTGCGGATCGGAAAATTTTCGTACGAGTTCGATTTTGTGGGCATGACGCAGATAAATCTGCATACCAACAAAGTACGCCGCATCCAGGTTCGAGTTGACCGACCACAGCATTGGACGCGGGATTTGCTGGAGCCTGGAAGCAGGACGAAAACTGATTTGGCTACGGTAAAGATTCCGCTAAACGTCAAGCGGAAAATGCTGGAATCTCTTGTCAACACGTTATGCGGGACACATTGTGGCAGCTCGTGCCCGTTTATGGGACTTGAAGATGCAGGAACTGGTCGTGTCACCCATCTTCAACTGAAGAACGCAGCTGCGTCATTGACAGCTTTCCAGGTCGAAAACTACCCGCTGTTCCAGAAGTACCAACAAGCCCGTCGGACCCTGCACCGGGAGCATAAGAGGCTTGGAATCAAGCCTCCACTGGTATTATCCGCCGTACCTGCGGCCGTGGAGGACTGTGTGAAACAACTTCTCGGAAGGCACCAGATGGAGCTCGAGCGGGATCTGAATGAGATGTACTTGTTTCATGGAACAGGCGCTGAGGGGCTCAAGCACATCTTACAGAACGGCTTTGACTTTCGGGAGGCAAAGGAGAACGGACTGTACGGACAAGGGACGTATTTCGCGAGCAATGTGTGCAAGAGCATGCAGTATACCGGAAACGGAAATTGTCGTCGTCCGCCGGAGCAGCGCTGTTACATCGTCATAGCGCGGGTCCTGATTGGTGACGCGCACTATACCAAGGAAACTTGTAGCGAGCGCAAACTGCCCCCCAAGCGGACAAACATTGCGAGCCAAGAGCCGTTTGATTCCATCATCGCGAACCCGGGACCCAAGAAAAACGGGGGTTTCTTAGCACATCAGCAGGCGCACCAGGAATTTGTTATTTTTGACAAAGCGCATGCTTATCCGGAGTTTGTCATTGAATATGATTCAGAGTAGCTTACTCTCACTTGTAAATAAATCAATCAACTACGTGTACGTGTACGTGGTCAATCCTATCCACAAGCTGTAGAGAGATAGTGAAGGTTTCACTTGCGCACACTCCGGTACTCCATTCGAGAACTATTTCGTGGTCTGAAGGTTACCGACTACTTACTTACTCATTTCTTGAGTGCAGGTTTTGCACTCCTCATTCCCATTTGATTAAGCACGATGAAATTCAAATAGCTGTTGTTATCTGCGATTGCGCACAAGAATGAAGACACTTCCTTCCAGCGCGAACCCTCCTTTCTGGGTTTTGTTGGTCATTTATGGCTACAACATTGTTCTCCTACTTACTTCTATCTGGCAGCCGAGAACTCTTTTATTTTTTGGTCTCGTGTTGAAAAACTCACACTGAGAGAAGAGCATCGAACACCACTGCGTCCACTCCCCAAATCCGCCATCAGCGCAACATCATCACCATGATCTTCTAGTAGCTGGCACGTTGAGCACATTCATCTGGTATCAATCAGCCAATCGCTCTACAATGCCCTAGCTTTTGTCTCAGTCAATCGCTCATATCTGAAGGGTCTGAGCAGCTTCTGTGCCTCTGTTCTAAGTTTGTCACCTTCACCTGCCACAGCGGGGGACTTCTCTATTCATGAAGAAACCTAGAACAGTAAAGCAGGAGAAGCTGAACCCAAAAAACTTTAAAACATAAAAAAAGGGTGGCCTGTCTGTATTCTTGAGGTTGAATCGGACGTAGCAACAGCCAATGAGAAAGAGTGCTTAATTTTACCTATGAAGTATAATTTTTATTTGAAACCATTGAAGAAAAAAGAAAAACAACAGACAGTACTTCATCAAATTTTGGTGAAATTAATAGTTTTCCTTTCATCCGGTACTTTCATGCACATGCTTCTGCTATGTGTATGTATTTGACTTGGTCAAATATATATTGTTTCTTTTTATCTGCTATTCTTCAGTGGAGCTTCGTGTTGAGAAATGTGAGTGACTGGAGGTAGTTTTTGCGCGCGGTGCCCAGCGAATGGTCAGAAAGTCTGGCCAAACGTGGCACAGCCGGGGCCTGGCCCTTCTCCCACTCCCTGAAGGGCTGTTATAAATATTCACTCCTCGACAACATCCATCGTACTACCTATTTCATCTTCCCATAAAAGAACAAAGCGGGGCGAACAACAAATCACTTAAATCAAGAGGAGAGCCATGGGGGCCCACCGCAGTAATATACCCGCCTCCTGGTGCTGGCCCTTCTGGGTAGTAGTCGATCAAATTGGTCACGCACTCTGCGTTCTGTGTTCAGCAGCACAACAACTCGAGAAACGACCGTCGCCGTGGCTGTGGTGAACGGCAATTTTGGGAAATCTACGCGGTTACGATCCTCAACGGACGTGGATGCTACCAGGTATGAGCACCAAAATTGCGCGTGTATTGGGTTCACAAACAAGCCTGCAGCCGCGCAATCAAAGACCCCTCATCGGTCTTCTTCATTTCTTCGTCGTGGTTGCCTTCTCATCATGTTGCGCTACATGATGAGAACGCAGTTCGGTACTTATCAAAAATAAGAGCATGGGCATGCAACTACAGTAGTTGCAAGCTCTGTACGAATACCGATAGCATGGCTACGACTTTGCATTCAAACAGAAATTATCGGGCACACGTCAATACTTGCTGCAAAATTCCTTGGTTCACGTACTCTCCATCCGAGTTCACAGTGTAGTATTCGCCGTGCTTTTTGCTGTCGTACAGCTCAGTGCGACCTGCATAATGTTGAGGATTGGAGGTTTCTTTCAACCCTAGATGAAGTTAAAAATAAAATCCGACACTAAAATAAAGAACGGTAAAGTCACGGTGTAAAAGGAACAACTAGAAATTGGCAAACTTACGAAAGTTGCTCCCGGACAAGCCTTGCCCATCGGGGAGCCTGACCGAGTAGTCGCTCCCCTCCCTACTCAGCGGGCGATACTGTCCCAGATAGAAGACAAACTTCCCTGATTTCTCGGACAGAAACGAGGACGGAACATCGCTTCCCTCCGAAAGAGCACCGGAGCAGTACTGATCATGCTTCCGAGATCCAGCCTCTTGTCCTGATTGAGATCAGCCGACGGCGGGCAAGCCTCCATTTCCGCACCCTCGAGGTGCCCGCTCTCGTCGGCGTCCAACAGACCGAACTGCACAGCGTTGGCGCCGTACTCGAAGACGAGATCCGCGGTGTTTCTCCGCCGCTTGCGCAATCTCGCGAGCTTGCCGCAGTTGGCGCACTCGGTGCTTCGGTACTTTCAGCGCGGATTTATTGCGCGTCATCTGGGTAAACGCGCTGGGTCGGTCCGACGGACTGGAACCTATGTCGTTGCGTGTTGACTCTTCGATTGATGAGCGAATGGCTTCAGAGTCGTTTGCTGAATCAGATTCAGAGTAGCTTCGTCGTTGCATGAGCAATCACATCCATTGTGTCAAATTGAACGCGCTGAGGCGCGCGAAAACGTTTAGAGTGGAAGTCTGCGAGCCAAAAGGTAATAAGTAAATACCCTCCGCAGAGCCGCTTTTGCGGCCATACATCCCTCCCTTGGAGGTCTGGGGCGCTCCCACGGGGCTGGCAATATCGGCCGCTTTATCCACAACGGCTTCCTCCAGGGAAAGTGCGGCCAAAGGCAATGAAAGGAACAAGAACAACATCACACGGAAACAGAGCATCTGAACACGCATGATTACCTTTTTTCCCACAAATGAATTGTGAATCGGGAGAGAGCTTCTCTCGTATCCTAACAGAAGAAATGGGAACGCAGGACGCGAACGAGTTGCGGCGGACCATTGGGGTAAACGATAACTTTGTGGTTGGCAAGGCGGACGGCGAGTACAGTTATTTCCACTATTTCCGAGATGGCCCGCGAATTGCGCGTCGCGTTCGGATCTTTCCGCTTACGTGGGAGAAGGCTCACCCAGCCTTCCGCTTTGGTGGGATCACGGACTTCGGATTGGTGTCCGATCGCAACGTTGCCAACGAGATTCGATACGCCAGTTTTCAAAATCCGTACTTGCCGCGGTTGCAGGGTGGGCAGAGCAGCGACCCACGGACTTGCTTGAGTTCTGGGACAAAAGTAGGAGGAAACGTCGGCCAATCCGCTGTTGGATCCGAAGCTATGCGATTCCGTATTGACAACGACGCGGCGGAACTCGGTGTTGAAGTGAAAAATGTCACGGAACATGTAAGCCAATTTCAACGAGCACGTGAGCTGCGTTCCATGACAACCGGAATGCGCAGACCAGAGTGTTCTACGCTGACAACCATCGTGACGCCTGCAGTCGTGTGCGCGCCAAATTTGCCTTCTCTTGCGGAGCCAATCCTTGGACGTCTGGGCCTCAAAGATGTGAAATCGGGCACGCTGTACGGGAGTTTGTCTGGTTACGGGCCGCCCAACGACGCCATCTACTCTACAAAGAAGCACGAGCTCCAGAAAGTGCTGTGGTACGAGATCGATTTTGGAGAGTCGATCGAGCTCCGTGGAGTGGCACTGCAAAAACCCGGGACGCACATGACGGACACAGCAAACTACGGCATTTTGAAGACTTTTACGCTCGAACTAGACGGAGCACCGGTCTTGGATCCCCTCCCGGATCCCATGGCCGAAAGTGTGGTCGTCAATTCTGCGACGGCGAGTGGGGTGACACTGCCATCCGGCTTTATTGCAAAGGGCGGGCGGTATCGCGTTTGCACGTGCAGCTTGCGAGCACACAGTCGCAGAGTGGGCAAAGCAGGTAAGGCAGTGAATCCCTTCACGTACGACGCGCAGCTGTACGATTACCGCCGGATGTGGAACAACATGCGGCCGCAATTCGACACGAACGCGATAGTGCCGTCTCCTCCCGTGCAAGCCTACTACCGTGCCAGCACGGCCAAGGAGCTAACAGTGCAACGACGGGCCTCCGCTGCAGGCCGCATGGTCTTCCGCAGTACAGACACCCTTGACCCAGCCCGCGACTTGCCGCCGGCCATTCTCCCGCAGGACCAACAAGTCCCCAGGAAGTCTCCATCGTTCTACTCCTACACCGACGATGTGGCGAGAACAGCGGCCTCGGAGACGGCGGACGCAAGGCCAGTCGGCATGGAGAACTCGGGGTTAGCATTACGTGCCTCTCAGTTTTCGCGGCAACAAGGCAGCGGCTACACCGGTGCTATCCATCGACAGCCCACACAATTTGCGCAACGTGATTGGTGGAGTTCGCACGTGACCGAATACTACTCGGACTACACCCCAAATTACGTGTTTCCGGAGACCACATTCTTTTCCCCTGCAAACCGGCAGAGTGTTCTCGACAGTGTGCGCTCGAACAGCGGGGCTGTGATCCCACCCGCGGAAATTTCTGCAAGCACAGTGCCGGACTTACCGCAATCCACTATCCCCTCTGGGCAATTGTTTTCCTCTCCTGCGGATGCATTAGCCAATGTGCCTCCGACTGCGCAAGAACTAGAGCTAGACATGCTTCACAGAGACCCTGCAGTAGTATCGAGCTACGCTGGTGTTAGAACCGTGGCGTATCCAGCCACTCCATCGCACAGAGCCGAGGGCGGTCCAAGCTCAGCAAAGCCACCTCCGCTGGGCTACATTGAATCGCTACACGGAAACGGCGGGGTTTCGGCTTCACCTTACGTTGCTCCACAGACCTTTTACAATAAAAGGGTCAGAAGAAGACGACTGCAGGACAGGGATGTTGAAGGCCACGATGTAACAGTGACAAGCAGTAGTGCGCGTCGGCTATCGTACCACAGTTCAGCCAGCGGAACATCTGCCCACAGCCACACCCCAGCGTCACCAACAATGACACCGCCCACAACTGCCACGCCGATGACAGCAGCATCAGCAAGCGGATTTACCTCTGCCACAGCTAGCAGCACAACTGGTTCGACGACAACCAGCTACAACAGCGGAACAACCCCGACCATGTCGAATCAAGGTAGCGGTGTAGGAGGGACAACACAAATGTCTACCACAATGTCAGGAACAACAGCGACAATGAACTCCGGCTCTGGCCGAGTGGTTCCTCTTTATGTGGAACAGTACAATCCTGTATATCCAGAGCAGTACTTTGCCAGCCTTGAGCCAGCTCCAGCACCGTTGCTCGAGGCAGACTTTGAGGTGTGCGGATCGCATCTAGATTTCGCATCCGAAGTTGGACAGGTTGACATTGCGGGAGTTACAGATCCGGAGACCACCCACACATGCGCACTCGGTAAGACAGAGCTGCGGCCGGTGAAGCCAGGTCTGGATCTATCCATGGAGTTTCGATGAATGTGCACTCACGTCTTCGTTGGGAAACAGATGGCAGAATCACGAGTGATTGGATTCACGACACTCAACATCCTCACACGGTTTCCTTCAACAAGACCACCGAAGTCCATGCTTAATACTGTAAAAGAGATCCTCCGAGAACACGATGTATTTTCGACATGTCGCTCACATCATCGTCAACAGTTGATGCTGGAAGTAAATATACCATTCATCATCATAGAAGACATCACTGTTTCTCCTGGCTGTTACATGTTCAGAGATTATCGACTTGTTGCAGCTGCCTCTGAATGGATGCTTTCGACAATTAAATCAATGGTTGCAGCTTTCCTCCACTTCACTGAGTGTGACGTTCGCCGCTGCTTCCTTGTAGTTTGTAAATGATTGACGCTAACAAGCGCTCTACAAGAACGTCAACGTCGATGCATGTTTGCATACTAACTTGTTTACCTCACTTTTCTCACACGGAAAAAAATAACATGCGAATACTCACGCTTTGTCGTGTTCGTAAATGACGAGCTCTACGCGAGATGATATTTCGCATAGGAGGACGGGAAAACTATACCGCCTTCTAGCTCTACTTGGATAAGAAGATTATATTCAACTTCAGGAAAAGTTGCATGTCTGTCTGTGTACTATGCGCGTTTCTCTTCACTAGTGACTAAGTAGTTAAAACTCTTATGATAGACGGTCGTGTAGTTGTCTGTGTCTAAGGTCAAGTAAGATCAGATCTTTACTTCTGCTGCAATCAAATACCGTTCTACATAGGAGTACTTTCTACTTCTGCTGCAATCAAATACCGTTATAGGAGTACTTTCAAGATATTGTTAAACGGCCGGCTCTGCTGACTCAAAATCCGGAATTTTCCTACTACTGTCTCCTCGCGAGAACGAAGCGATGTCGTCTGACCCGGACGCTACAACGCTGAGCAACGCACAACATTTGCCTACTTAATCATCAGGCATAACTATTTCTCCTCCCTCCGCAAAGAATTCGAGCTCGTTGAAGACACACTCTTGCCGTTTGTTTGCAGTATCGGCTAATAAATCCTTACTTTTTCCCGTGCGCACCTTGACGAACCCTCGTTCGTACAGCATCTCCTCTATGGCTTTCCACACATCCTCAATTGGGTATTCGATTCGCTTGTGCTTCATCCATGCCTCGCCGTTGACCTGAAACTCCTTGCTTTCGCTCATCCCAAGCTTCGGGCGCATGACCCGCATGACAATGCCAGCACGCGACTTGTTTTGCTCGTAAGGTGGCGGTCCAAGCATTAGATGATGATTGGAGACCATCATACATCTACATGATAAATGCAGATAGATGGTACTACAACCAGAAGTTTTATATATTACCAAGCAAGAATAGACATCGAGTTCGAGTTGCTATATCAGTGCCACAGTGTTGCCTCGGTGAGATTGAGACCGCTCGGTATCAATATCATGGCAATATCGGAAGTTTTGGTTTTCGACGCTCTACAACAACTTACACAGGTAATCGACCCCCCGGCATTCAAAAGTACAACGCAACGAAATCACAACAAAATTGTATATTATAAGAGAATTAGAACGACCTTGTTCTCCTTTGCGCCTTAAGATCTGATGCGGATACAAGAGACCAATATTGAGGATGAGTTTACAATTGCCGGGTAAGGACTCCCCGATTTTCCACTCCACTCCGGGTAAAGCAGCCTGACAGATACGGAAGACGAACTCAGCGACTTCAAAATGAAATCGCCGCACTTCGGCTGCCGCGGCCTTCTCCAAGTCCTCCTCCGTTGGCGCAAGTTTCTTCACTGGGCCTCCCGTTACCGCTGAGGTGCTCCCAAGCACTCTCGAAACATCGGCAAGCATCGCGGCGACATCAACTGGCCCTGCCCGTGCTATATCTTCCTCCACCTTGGGGCTATGCTTCTCCTCATCTTTACTGGCTGTCGCACCAGGTCCATGATTTGTTAGAAGAAGAACTCTCGAAATTACAGCTCCAAAGAAGTTGCCAAATCACAGAAATGGAAAAAAAAGGATGTTTATCACGCACCAAGTGAATAGACATCCATAGATACAACAACGTACTTTCTAGATACATCAAGTTGATGACCACCTTCTACCCGCATCTGTCAGCTCGTCTGTCTTTGTTTTGTGCATATTATGTGCAATTTCTCATACGAAGAGGAAACCCTTGTAGCCGTAAATTTCTTGCCTCTACTTTTTCACGTGGCTCTACAGCAAGAGCAGAGGGGGATGCTACAGTCGAAACGCTTCTTGAAGACCGCCGTCTACTGCTGCCATTGCGTTCGCTGCCGCGTCGCATTGAGGCTGATGCCTGTTGAGACGGAGCATCTTCTATATTTTCTTCGGCTGTCTGTTCACCCACTTCCCTCTCAGCATGGTGCGCGGCATGTCGTGCCAGGATACTGCTGCTCAGTGAGTCAGACGTCAGGGGACCACTAGAGTGTCGCAAACTTGCAAGCGCCATAGCTCTAGGAGTATTCCTATCACTGGTGCATGATCTCCTCATCAACACACATACAGAAGATACAGAAGTCGAAACAATTATCCTGAAGCTCCTGAACAGAACCCTCGCGTGGTACTAATTCTTCAGCTTGTAAACCTTCGGTATGACTGTATACTACAATACTGCCTCTTCACGGTGAGTCATTATATAAAGAAAAGTAATAGCATGAAGAAGTTTGTCGCGAGACACGGAGTCAGCTGTTGAAGCTGAGCGTTAGTATCTATCATTCACCTTCTACCACTACAGCCACCGGATCGCCAGGAAGGCCCCTTGAGCCCTTACATCAACGTCCTTAACGACAGAAGGTAAGGGCGCTCGCGAGCGCGTCACGTGTGAGGCGGTAGGGTCGCGCGCGAACATAATAATAATAATAAAAATAATAACTTTCTATAATCACATGATTGACAATTGGCCTTGACTATGAAGATTATTGAACCTCCTGGGAGTGCGAACATTTCTAATAGACTAAGATGGCACGTAGTATCAAAAACAAAACGGAAAAAAAATATGGGGTAAGACACGAGCCACGGAAACATCAGGATAACTACCCACGAAAACCGTTTGCCCTGGCAATTTCGTAGGAACGAGTTGGTCTTTGGTAGTTTTCTACACGTAGAAAATTCACAGACACCTTTCTACTTCTAAATAGTGAGTAACAAGTTTGTTCTTGGAGCGACCTCTTGATGCAGGAATCACCGGCATGCTAGGAACACTTTAACGTCCGAGGGAGTAGACTACACAATTATATTTTCCTTCTCGGACAATTTTGCTTAATAGCCTTTTGAAGCTGAAGAGCCTTCATCTTTCTCTCGCCATCCTCGAGCCATCGCCTTTTGTTTTCTACTTTGATTCCGAAGTACACAGGCCTTTGCTCGTCTCTCGACTCTCTCGGTGGAACTCTTTCCAACTTTCGTTTCTCCTTTTCTTGCACGTTTCTTTGATGAAAACTGGAATCGCAGTTCCATCTAAGTACTTGTAAAGGAGCGGAACGCAGTCATTGCTTCTCATTCGCGCACTGCTGAACACTTGTTTGACTTCACTATTTTTTGTTTTTATTTATGATGTTTAGCTTTTTAGGTTTTTTCGTAATTGCCTAATATAGAAATAACAGTCTGCCACCTTTACAGTGTTGCTAAGAAACTAAATATAATTTCGTATGTACAGTGTTGCTAAAAAACTAATTGTAATGATTAATACGGTTGCAGATTCCCAATGACTATTAATTGCAATTCATGTTTCTAAACATGCATTCCCAAAGATATGTCAGATTTTCGAAATTATCGCGTTGTTTTTTCGTGTTTAATTCCACAGCCTCGTAGATGGGTTATTTTGAATCGTTTTTTGATCTTTATTATTATTTTTTCAACGTAAACTGGACTGGTTTGTTGGATCCTCCTCCAACAACTTCTAGAAGTACGAGAATGATAGTACAACTACTTCATGTTTCATGTGTAAATATCTGATCGCTCCAACCATTATTTCCAACGGTTTATTTTCCAACCATTATGATTCAAATGTGATCGATCATGGATCACCGATTCAATCACTATCGCTTTTGTGAACTACGTGCAGGAGCAGAACCTTTGTCATCACAATGATCTTGTATCTGTTGCGTAGATAAGTATGTCTTTTAAGGTTCTCTTTTGCGTTTTTTAATTGATCGACGTCTTTATTTCTACTACTTGATAGTCTTGCCCTTTTTTTTGCCTATTTTCAATATCTATCTCCATTGATTCTTCCTGATCCTGGTTGGACGAAGTTCAACTTAGGCAAATAGTTCTAGTAGTTGATACGACGAGCTATATTTAAAACAACTAATGAATAGCAGAAGTCTCATCACTCGTCTTCCGATCTATACTAAATTAGCAACATGATCCTTCTTCCTCACTATCTACCTGCCGTTTAATCGTTCGCCTAGGCGAGCTTGGCTTTGAGTTCAGGATCGGCTGACGTGCAGGAGCTGTTTTCAGATCGGTGGCCTCGTCTGCATTGCGTACACGTTCCTCTTCCTCTCTGTCCTGGGGTTCCGCTTTCGCTTTGGCCTCTTGCTCCTGGCTTCGTTGTTGACGTTCCAGTGTTTTCTTGCTCTCTTCCCCGTCGTGCTCACGTGCTACGCCCCTTTCTCGTTGTTCAGCTTCCCGTGCTCTGGCCGCTTGGCTTTGTCGAGGTTCCAGTGCTGCTTGGTCCAGGTTTGGACGTGCTTTATTGCGCTTTTCCTCCTCGCGCTTAAGTGCTAGGTCCCTTTCTCGTTGTTTATCCGCTTGGCGTCGTTGCTCCTGGCGCTGTTGACTTGCTAGTACAGCCTCTCGTTGTCGCTTGAGGTTGAGTCGGTCTTGTTCTTCCTGCTCTTTCTGACGACGTGGGGCTTCAGCTTGAGGAGTTCGAGGAATAGAGCCGTCAGAGTTCTTTGAGCCACGAAGGCTACTCCCTCTCGCAAAATTAGAGATCACCAAAATCCATTGCGAGGATCATAATCTTGGTGGCGAAGGCGAACAACAATAAGATGACGATGGTGGCGATATTTGGAGAACGATAGGCGGTAACGCAGCGATAGGCATACACGTGTATTGCTAAGATATTTCCAAGCGTTAACCAGGAGGAAGTGACGCAGGAAAATGAAAATGTCGCAAGAAAATATTAATCCAATACGATTGAAGAACAGAAGATGAAACACACAACTCTCGCGGGCCGTTCTTACCTGCACCGAAGAAATGGAACCAAGGAAAGACAAAGAAGCTGACCCTATTCATTCAAGGGCGCAAAGAAATTCGACGGTGAGTCTGAGAACCATCAGAAGAACGCCAAGGCGCAGCGGCTTTCGCCTTCGCGGTTCAAAGCCTCTCACGCATGGCAGGCCTCTGGGAAATGAAGCGCCGCAGCCCAAGCAAAGCTAACCACCACGCGGAACGAACCCCAGCTAGTGCGGGGCAACTAAGGCCAACGCCAGACTGACCGAAAGAGGCTCCTAGGCAGGTGCATCTACCGCAGCAAAGCCCCCAGGCCCCGCACTCTGCACAAACACACGAAAACCCGACCAGACAACCAAAAACGCGCGGAGCTATGTTACTCCGCTCACAGGGCATTTGCGTCAATGCCTCAACAATTTAGGGGCGGGGGGGATCGGTTGAGGCAATTACTTTTATAGCTACTCAAGCGCAACCCCCTGAGAGTCCACCCAGTGAACAAGCGAGGCGGGCCGACAACAGGGCGGACGAAAAAAAACTGAAGCGGGAGACCTTCTCAACAAGACCACGCAAGACCACAGAGAAAGAAGTGACACACCGAGCGACAGACAGCTGGGCGCCTTCTCGTCGGCAGCCTTCGTTCGAGCACGCCACAAGCCCACGTCAAGAGCAAGGCAGACCAATACCGAGCCGCGCCGCGGTCTGTCCTCTTGCCGCCGTCAACGAGCGAGACCCAAAGCACGCGGAAGAAGCGCGAACGCCGCACAACGCTAGGAGCGAAACTATGCGGGCGACGCGCGCACCTTTTTGGATTTCGAACCATTTCAGAAAGCTCGCGCCAAACCGACGGCAGAACGATAGACGAAAACACGCGCTAGGGGACTCTACTCGGGATAGGAATAAACGCACCGAACAAGCGAAATTGCGCAGGATTGTCACAACCCGCGGCGGCGTTGATTCCTTCCGCCGCGTTTCTCTCCATGCATCGTTGGGGTCGCTAGGTGTCAGCGTATGAATAAACACCACCAAGAATGGCGCTGCATGTATATTCCTAAGCCGTAACGCTCGAAAATTCTGCATATTACCCATAATAACCGGATATCTATATTTCATAACTTCTAACTCCTTCTCAATGAGCTAATATGTATACGAAATAATATAATATGGTAAGTAATTCATTGTCCCTGGTGTAGCTTTAATTATTTCCCTGAGTAGCAAAAATATGGCACTGTAGCTAGTCTCTATTCTTACTGAAGAGATCGTCGTGGGAGCCTTGTTAAACTTAAAGTCGATTCTTGGAGGTGAAGATCTTAGTCCGGTATTCGCAGGGCGCCTCGTCGGGCTCGGAATAGCGCTACGAGGTAAACTATAATGTACTGGTGTGCCGAACGAGTGACGAGAAGACTCTTAGAAAATTCGGGATTCCATTTGTCCGCTGCGCACCCACCATGGCCTATCCACATTTCTCACTTGAACACTCAGGCCAAGGAAGGTGACCCACGAAAATGTAATCGCGAAAGAGTCCTTAACTAGGTGTATCTTTCGATCCGATGGCGTTATGTTTATCCCTTCTCTTCGCGCGTGAAGCTTCCGTAGGCTTCGCGTAGTTTGGAATTCTGTCTCGTCTCGTACTCGTTTGTAAAGCTCGAACTGAAGAGTCGCCAGCAGTGACAAAAAGAAGAAGCTGCCGGAGCAGCCTTTTGTTCATGTGCACCATTTTCCTCTGCACCTTCGAGTCCTTGCAGAAGGTTGTGATTACGTCGCCACAAGTAGTAGCTTGACGACGAGTAGAACTGACGTTGAGGGGCCGTTACAGCTCCACAACACGTCCAGTCACAGCGAAGGAGTCCGCTGCCAACGAACAGGTCTTCCTCTTCTACTGCCCAAAGTTGTATTAGAAGATGTAGTTGTGAGTGATGATGGCGAAGATGAGATCGAAGATGCGGCCGTGGAAGTTGAGATCGGAGATGTACTAGATGAACCACTTGGATACCTGCGCTACCTCGCCGAAGATGCCTTGATGGTTTCTGCCTAGATGTGAGGATATGTATTCGATGAGTCAAAGGATGACCGTGCGGCTTGTCGTGCTGGGATAAGCCAATGCGTATCCTATGTCCTAAAACAAGGGGTAAGAGTGAAGGTTCTGTATTTCATCATCTTCCCGTCTCTGTAATTAAGTATAATGATCGCGTGTCATCTCATGTCTCTTCATACTTTTCATCGCTATTCCTGAGCGAAGACTGCGTTTTTTGCGTTCAAGAAAGCGTGGCGAATCATCTTAGTACTTATAGGGTAGGCAGTTTGTCTGAAATCCTTGAGGGACTCCTTTAAGTGCGTCCCTTAAGGAAACTGCTTTCCTTAAAGAATTTCTATTACAAAAAGTTACTATGACTTTCCTTAAGAGGAAAAGCGTTAAAAAGCAGGCTGCTATAGCCTTTGGCTAATAATAGACCTCCTTAAGGGATTCGCAACGACGCAAAAGGAAGCAAAGCCCTCAGGCGTGTTCTGCCCGACAGTCCAGAGATTCTGTGGAGTTTTTTGTCAGTGGTCTACTTTGTCGCTCAAATTGCCAAGCCCCACCGTGATCCCCCCCAACACACCACGCGCCCACCCCTAGCAAATCGCCTCAACGAACTCCCAGCCGCTACCCTTATCCCCCAGCGCTTCTTTTTTTCAAAAACTTCAAGGAAGTCACTCAAATACAGAAAAAGTTGAGCGACCCCCGAAGTTTTTGGGAAAGAGTTAGCCTTTTTCTCTTCCACGACTCACTTCCGCGCACGCCAATCGTAATCGACCACAGGAGCGCGCGGGCGTGTCCAAGCTTGGCCTTCTCATGGACATGATGACACCCAAGAGGCCCCAGCCTTCAGATTAGATACGGAGCGGCCCAGATCTATACCCCCCCACACGCATCGACGTCCCGGCCCCCCGGGTCTTTTCCTTAGAATTCTCATGGACATGATCACACCCAAAAGGCCCACGCTTGAAAGGTGGACCCTGGTGAGCGAGGGCGCCACCATGTCCATAAGAAGGCCAAGAGTATACATCCCCGCGCTTGAAAGCTGCAGGCGCTGATGATGTCGACGCTTGGGAGAATGATAGCCCTGGGCCCTTGCATGTCTGAAGGGTGGACCCTGGTGAGCGTCATCATGTCCATGAGGGGGCCAAGCTTATGCATCTCCGTGCTTGAAGGTTGAAGGCGTTGAGGATGTCCATGCCTGTGAGAATGATAGCCGTGAGGTGAGCCCTTGCATATCTCAAGGGTGGACCCTGGCGAGCCTCATCACGTCCATGAGAGGGCCAAGCTTATTCCATGCATCTCCGCCAAAGAAGCCCGAAGGCGTTGAGGATGTCGATGGCTGTGAGGAGGATAGTTGCGAGCACTTGCTCGCGCATGTCTGAAGGGTGGGTCGACGGACCCTGGAGAGCGTCACCATGTCCATGAGAAAGCCGCGCTTAGTTATACATCTTCGGAAATGAAAGCCGAAGGCGTTGGGGATGTCGATGCCTGTGAGAATGATAGCTGTGGGCGCTTGCATATCTGAAAGGTGGACCCTGATGAGCGTCATCGTGTCCATGTCATGAGAGGGCCAAGCCCATGCGTCTCCGTGTTTGAAGGTTGGCGCCCAGCGTGGTCTGCGCATAGATATACTAGAGTAGTTTATAGACGCTGGGCGGCTGGGCACGCTGGGTGGCTGGGCAGCCTCGCTGGGCACGCTGGGCGGCAACGCGGGGCACGCTGGGCGGCAACGCTGGGCACGCTGGCCGGGCGCTTGGATAGCGCTTAGCGGACTTGAGGGCCACACATTGAGCATGCCGAGCCTGCGCGGCCGATGGATTTACTTGCGCCGCGGGGACGCGGGGCAGCGCGTCCCGCGAGGACAGACAAAGGCGGCGCGCCGCCCTCAAGGTTCAGGGCAGCGCTGGCGCAGTGCTGCGCCAGTTTGCGCAGTAGCAGGCTGCGCGGCGCCTGCTCTGTTCAGGCTTGAACTCCGTCGCGCTGCACTGCGCTATTCGGTGCGCGCAATGCTGCGCCGCTCTTGTGCGCAGCGGTAAGCCCGCCAGCGTCGTTGGCTTTGGCTTACGCTAGACTAGCACTGCTGGCGGGGTTCTCAAGCGGGGCGCCCTCGGGCGCCCCGCAATTGGAGACGCCCAGCGTGACGCTGGGCGCAGGTTTCGGAAGATCTGGCACATTTAGGTCGCCCAGCGGCCCAGTGTGCCCAGCCCAGCCATGTTGGGAACCCTTATAAACTGCCCTAATATGCCCAAGCGTGGCCCCCTCATGGGCCTCATGGTACTCACCAGTGTCGACCTTTTGCCATGGCTATGCCCTGCCTTAGAATTCTCCTGGGCATGATCACACTCAAAGGGGCCCAACTTCTGCGCACGCATATGCCCCAGCGTGGCCTTCTCGTGGGCTTCATGATGCTCAACAGGCCAGCCCTGGCGCCCATTGGCTCCCTAGTAAAAAGGTCGGCCAAAGCAGTAGCCAAGGCAGTAGCCATGGCAGTGCGCTCCTTACTAGCCTCGCCACCGTGGGGGCCAGCTTCTCGGCCTCTCTAGCCTTGGCCGCGAGCAGCGCAGGCTTGGCGACTCTTTTCGTTTGTCTTTCTGTATCGTAGTGCTCATTCTGTCTAGTTGTTAACCTATGCCCAGCGCAGCGGGCCCTTGATGGGCCCGCTTTCTGGGCATGTAATTATATATAAATATGTCTCATACTTATTTGCCTTCGAAAAGAGGTGACGAAAACGGAGGTGGGCTGTAAGCCTGGGCCTGGGGCCGCGTGGTGGATGATAATAGGGAACTGCGAGTATTCGACAACTCAGGATAATCACCGAGTATGACGACAACGATGCTGTTGACAGAGTAGGCAGCCAATTGAACAGTCGTGATGAGCGCGCGGCACCGACAAACACCAGCACCCGACAAACAACCGATTTCGCTTTCGATGCGGATGGCGGCCGGAAGGAACGCGAGGTATGGAGACCGAAGTGATGAGAGCAAACTGTAGGCATGTCATACGCAAAGAGCTCTCGTCTCATGGGGTCTGACTCACGGGTGCTTGTTTGTCACGATCTATGTTTCCATTGCCTGCTTCTGCACTTGTTGTAGTTATTGTTGACTGCCTAGCGAAAGACAGTTGTTGGCGTTACAAACCTAGTCAGTTGTGGCTGTTGACTCTCTGTGCTGGTCTAGGATGGTGACCCACCGGGCGGCGTCATTTATGAATCGAACAAGGGCCCCGCCCTTCTTTGTCCGAAGTGCCATCGCTTCGCAATGGTTCTGTCCGCATTGAGTATTTTCAAGCTTCCTGAGTCGCTCCGACCCGTTCCCTGTACGGAAACCCATAGAGCGCTAGCCGTTGCAGCAGCAGTGGAGGTCTACCAAAGAGCGTCGCTCGCTGTCTGGTGTGCTCTCTCTGCTCGCTCGACGTCATCCCTTGGCGTCCCCATCAGGCGGGTCGAGCAGCATTGTCTCCCATTTCTCGCAAGCACATAGCACGCGCGTCGCTATGGGCATCATCTCGAAAATTCGCGCCATCCCCGGCAGTAAGATGTCTACCGGTCCTTCTTCTTCTAACTCTAAGTCCAACATCGTGAACAGTGCTGCAGTTGGGGCATCACGGATGATCACCCACGCAAATGCGTGACCTAGTAGTTCGTCTGCTTCGTTTCGTCGCCTCCCTTGTGAAGAGACAGCTGAAAAGCTTTGCCCCCCTGGTGCATATTCAGTCATCCATCTGCTGACTTAGACAAGATATCTACGGCGTCTGCAGAGTAGCTTCTCAACCTTTGGAACTGCGCAGAAGCTAGATGCTCTGCATGCTTCCGCCGCCGCCCCGTCGACCTTCTCCTTGCTATTCATTTCAGAAATGTTTCGTCCTCTTATGCTCGATCTGGTAGCCACATCACTCAGCTGCCAGCAGTGTCTAGATATTTGACAAAAGCCGCGGCCCCTGGGCTCATGGAGTTGCCTTGCCCTTGTGTTGTAGCATCCTCCTCTGATTCTGCACTCAGTATCTAACGCCATCGAACTCAGATGCTACGCGCTTACTACACCCGAACGCCACGCGCAGAAGTCGGGTGGGACTCCGTAAGACGTAAGCTGCGCCACCCTCGTACTCAGCTGAGACAGATTAAGCATCTGGCTGGCATCCCCACCGAATAATGCTGCTAAAGCGAATAGCGCCCAGCGGGGACACCGGTCCCGCGAATGAAAAAGGACTGCTGCTCTTCCGTTAATGGTAACCTTTCCGCCCTTGTTCGAGCGTTTGAACATCTCCGACCAGACACCGTCGGCAGCTCCCAGCATCATTCGACGTAGAGGACATAGCCCCACGACGAATCCCACACCGTTAGCCGCCAGCAACAGCGCGCGCCTATGCAACCTCGCTTCGAAGGAGCGTCTCTCCTCGACGGTGGCGACGTGTTTCAGCACGTCAGCATATGTGCTCGGCCGAAGATTCAGCTAACAATTCGCCAAGCCAATCAGGTAGCATGGTCAGCATTTTCGCTCGTGCCCCGTTTGGCCCGAGCACGTTGGGGCCCACCTTGGGTGGGGCCTGTGCTGGCGAGTGACTCGAAAAGTAGAGGACTGCGCGCGCGGCCACCGTCCTCGTCTGCTCATACTGATCCCATCTCGCGCCTTCGTTCATTTTGGCGGCATTCAGCAGCCACTCGCTCTTCAGCAAGTGATAGCCTATAATTGCCGCCAAGATGTCGCCGATGTCTGTCCCTACTTCTTTATCCAGTTGCGTTTGGGCTATATGCTTTACCGGAGCCTCACGCCCAGCTCCTGCCACAAGAGACGCCACTTCTTCTAGCATCTTCGCAGCCGGATGCACTTTCGTCGGCTTGCGTCGGTCTTGTAGTTGTCGGCGCGCTTGAATGTTCTCCATCATTTGACATGCTTTGGCTTTCGCGTCCGGCCTTTTCGACTTAGGCTCCGTTCCATTCAGCGCCTCTAGTAATTCCGTCTCCAGCATAATCGTAGTCACTTCCTTCATGATATGCCTCGGCTCAAGAGGTGCACCGTCGGAATAACGTGGCCGCCCCCCTTTTCCACTAAGTGCTTGCTTCACCTTGTCCAGATTTGAAAGGCCGTCACGTTTGTTTTTTGCGAATGGTCTAAAGTTGTCCCTGGACGTTGCCGTTATTGTTTTTGACGATTATTAATAAACAGACCACCACGGTAGCCACCATGTTGGCGCGGGGAAAACAAGCATAAGCATACCAGAGCAGTCTATAGCACGCGTGGCGCATGGAGTGCATGGAGTAGCATGGAGCGCAGATCTCTAAGGGACGCAAGAAGCGCCCCCTTTAGCTCCATGCAGCTCCATGCCATGCGAGCTGGCAAACCTTATAAATTACTCTGCTATACCATATTGCGCAGTCAGTAACATCTGTGGGCAACAGAGGCGTATCAAGGAAGTGATGCAAACAGAACAAGGACTAGGGAGCAGAGTAAGAGGGGATAGTATGGAGGTCAGGAAAGGAGCAGGTTTGGGGTTAGAAAGGTGCGCCAGCGTCTATATTAGCATAGGTACTTACTTCTTTTTCTTCATCTGAGGAACGAACGGGGTGAGTACCCGACCCCGACGGCAGGACTATGCTGCATGTAGAACGGGAAAAAGCCGATGAAGGGCGCTTTTACTTGTACGCGACTGAAAAGAGTTTGCAGCTCGACAGATATGCAAAGTTATACATCGCATCCACACCGATTTGCTTTTGGAGAATCTCTCACACAGTTGCGCAGTTGCCAGAAATAGGATTGAAGTTATAGATCCGCTGTCGGACTATGATCTCACTCATCAAGATGAATGAACTGAAATTAGTACATTCATACCTCGATATAAATTGATTCTAATGGCTCCGCGTCCTTATGCAGATGCTGTGTGACATGCGCTGCAAGCCGCGCCGAATCTCTCCCTGTGGTGGTCATGAGTTAGCTTGCGACAAGTCTTCGTCCATGGTAATGGTTTTCCCACCTCTAGCTCTACCAAGTTCTGCTAAAAATGAAGACCGTCATCATGTTCCGAGGCTTTCACACTATCTTCATGATGCAGTGGTGCTTGATGATCAGCATGCCAATAGAAAGTAGGGGTAATCATGTACTTTTGTTCTTGTATGAATGTTCATGGTCGTTTGGCCAGTTTATCTTGTTCGTTTTCTCAAACAATCAAATATATAATAGAACAGTTGATAAGGGTTCCCAACATGGCTGGGCTGGGCACGCTGGGCACACTGGGTCGCTGGGCGACCCAAATGTGCCAGATCTCCCGAATTCGGCGCCCAGCGTCACGCCGGGCGTCTCCAATTGGGGGGCGCCCTTCTGGCGCCCGCTTGAGAACCCCACCAGCAGCGCTAGTCTAGCGTAGGCCAAGGCCAACGACGCTGGCGAGTTTACCGTTGTGCACAAGAGCGGCGCAACATTGCACGCATCGAGCAGCGCAGTGCAGCGCGACGGAGTGCAAGCCTGAACCGAGCAGGCGCCGCGCAGCCCGCTGCTGCGCGAACTGGCGCAGCACTGCGCCAGCGCTGCCCTGAACCTTGAGGGCGGCGCGCCGCCTTTGTTTGTCCTCGCGGGACGCGCTGCACCGCGTCCCCGCGGCGCAAGTAAATCCAACGGCCGCGCAGGCTCGGCATGCCCAAGGTGTGGCCCTCAAGTCCGCTCAGCGCTATCCAAGCGCCCGCCCAGCGTGCCCAGCGTTGCCGCCCAGCGTGCCCCGCGTGCCCAGCGAGGCCGCCCAGCCACCCAGCGTGCCCAGCGGCTATAAACTACTCTAATATAAGAGCCATATTTTTTCGTTTTGCGGGCACTGCCGAAGGAATCGATTGCAAGAGACTGTTTCTAGGGATAACATAAACACTCACATCAACAATCATGGATTCGTCATGTCTTACTGCGTATGAGGTAGTAACGTAAAATTTGCCGTTGGCGGACTACAATGTATTGAAAATATGATAGATTGGACAGAATATCAGACCATTAACGATGAGCATGAGACCCACTGCTATTTTTTTACAAAATTTGTTTTTCTTAGTTACAATGATCTTCACTCTAAGCGTAAAAAGCCTGCTGAAGAATTATTGATTATGTGTATATTCTTTCAAATATTTAGTAATAATAACAACAAAAAACGATAACGATCTTAGGTTTGTATTCCTAATCATGGATACGAGCAAGGCAACGAATTCTAGGTTTTCTCTATATTCTAGCACCTGCAGTATCTTGCCAAATAAAGATTACAAAAGATGAGTTTTATAGCTATTTTTACGACATCTTCCAAGACAGTGCAGCGAATGGATACGGAAACGCCACAGAGTTACCGTCTCCTGGTTTTTATGAGTCACGAGTTCAAGTGCAACCTCTAAACTCGACCACAACAAAGAGATGTCCTCTTATTCATCGGGAAAAAGCAAGAAGTTCTGAATATCTCTAAATACAAGAGGACGTAGTTGGCGACCAGAATGGGTTTCGTCTTTCACTTGATGAAAGCGGAAATGCATCAAATTTCTCCACCATCAACTTTTCGTTCCTTGGCCCATTCGAATGTACATGACAGCCGAAGCTGTGACTGTCCATGACTTGTTGCAAAATCGTGAAGTTTCAAAGTATACTCCTTCGTAGCACGAGAAACCATCGCTCGAAGGAGTAGTTCCTGCATTGCCACACAAGTCTGCATCTTTGCTGCTCTTGTCGTATGCAACATCAGCGTGCTGGTGGTTCTTTTGTACTCTAGCTAGAATAGCTCTCCACAACTAGAGCTAGGGGCACCATCCAACTCGTACTCGAAACATCTCACTTCTTGTACTTGTTCTACTTAATAAAATAATTACAACTTTTATTTTATAGTTTGATTTTGCTATTAATATTTCTTTAATTCATCTTGTTTAAGTAAGTTTAGGGCAACGGACAATGCTCGTTCCTCCGCACAGCATACCAGTGCGGATGCACGCGGCTGTTCAATATCACGGTTTTCACGTTTTCCAGAAGGCCGCAGAATTAGAAGCATCATACTGCAGCCTGCTACTGGAATCTGGCTTGGCAGAACTACGCTGATTGATACTGAAATCTGGTCTACTGGCAGAACTACGTAAGTAAAAAAATGAAGATAATGATGTTCTTCCTTGATCAGACTGCTCAGAGGACATCACTTAACAAATATTTTCTGGTGATGTCCTGAGAAGAAATGCTACCGCATGTTGATCGCATGTTAATGATCAGACCACTACACTGCAGCCATAATGCTCCTCATGATGATAGTTATCGAAATTGCGAAAAACAAAGTAGTCATTCGCCTCGGTGCCAAGATGCCTCTCCAGCCAACATTAGAGCCCAAAAGTCATTTCCTAGTAGTCTAGTAGTAGTAGTCTACCCATTCACGGGGTAAGTTCAACCAGAGGAGAGGGGGGTGGGGTCAAGAGATGATGGTGATGAAGTGGAGAGCGGATAAAGATGACCATGACCTGCGTAAATGAATAATAGTTAAGATGCTGAGATGAAAAATTCTCACGAACAGACATGTTGAGTAGAGCAGAGTGGTCAGCTTAGGTTAGGTGTTGGTCTACCGGGTTCACTAGCAGACATGGCTGCCTTAACAAAAAGCAAAAACCATTTCCCGTTGATATCTCGTGTACCCCTGAGAGAGATCCCGTTTTGTCGCGGGGACCAGCTTCGGCACGTTCAACGAAACTATGAAGGTGGAAGAAAGATCTTAGTTATTTACTTACCTCATTCCAAGTGCGACTGAGATAAACTACTATCCCCTAGTCGAAAAAAATCTGGCGAAAGCAAGACGTATGCATATGCACTCAGTCAATGAAAAGAAATGACTCAACAAGGCCATACGCGGCGGCGTGCTTGCAGTGTGTAAGTACTTAGCATTCTCTGTACCGGATTGCTGAATAAAAATTTGCATGCTGAAGACGCGAAGAGGAAGATGCAAAAGATACATCAAAATAGCGGCCAAAAATAGCAGCTAGTCTGTCACCCAGTTGTAAAAACAGTCGTGATGAAGAAATACTGTTCGTCTTTACTTTTATGTATGATCTTCACTTTTCCCGTAAAGTCCAGCCGTCCTTTGTTAAGCTTCCCCATATGTGCGCACGACCACCACGGATAGAGGTAATTGCTCTCAAAATTAGAGCGGCAGACATGCACAGAAGAACTGCAACATTACTCCTTCCGACCTTTGAAACCTCCAAAGGGAGTATAATCTTAAATACAACGAACTACATGATGAAAGCATTTCTTGCTGAAAAAGAAAATGTTGAAGTACGCGTGATGCTTAAGGAAATCCACCATGTCACGATCGTGTCCCATGAGGCTGCTAATCTTCCAATTGGGCTCGTTAGGTTTTCCCCCAAAGCGTCCAAGGAGGTCTGTGCAGCGGTCAGCTTCGTTCAAGACCAAATGCAATTTTTAGACGCGGCTGATGAAAGCAATCAATTTGGGCCGATCATGGCAAGAACAGCTCTGATGCTCCATAGCGTCGAACCATACACCACAGGGGGACCCCAGAGCCTTTCGAATTTCGACGCTCTGAGCAGAGCAGACGCGACGGCCTAAGTACCCCGACGGATCAGCCTCAGACTTTCGCGGTGGCGCAGCGGCATTTTGCAACAAAAGCGCTGGCTACTTCGGATCCACAGAACTGCACACGCGTAGCCAGGTCGCACCAGATGCACAGAACTGCACACGCGGGGAAGAATACAGCCAAGACCATGCCAAGCGCAAAGAGCTGCGAAGAAGACCCCCTGCGAAGCGTAGCACGTTCGCGAGAAAATGAGCGCCGATACAATACTTCTACGCGCTCAAGCTTAGACGCTTAGCGAGGAGCGGAGTCACCAGAGAAGGCGCCGGCTGCCCTTTCTGCCCTGGTTTTGCGGCAAGCACGCAGCGCCTGCTAGAGTGCCCCGCGCTCCAGACGCTAGCAGGGAGCCACGGGGCCTCGGCGAATGTGGGGGCGGCTGCAGCCAGTCCGAAGCCGATAATCCCGCACCTACGCGACCTAGCGACCCAAGCCGGCGGCGCGTTCTTGCAAGCGCAGCCGCCACACCTCCAGTAAAGAAACAAGGGAGGAGGAATAGCGGCCGCTGTGGTAAAACAGTCGCTACCCCCTACGATAGGGCGGGGCCGAGCTAGGTGGAGCCGAAGACAGAACAAGGGGAGACAAGTCAACACAAGAGGACAAAGAGAACGCAGACAAGACGAAAGCACGAAGCAGGAAGAACGACGAACGAAGCACGAACCCCAAGCAGACCCACCCCGAAAGCCTCAGCCCGAAAGAAAGCGAACGAGAAAGCAAGAACGGCCACCAGGCAGCCCGACCGCGCGACACCGCTACCCACGCCAGCCGCTACCCACATACGCCGCCTGCTGCATAGCTCGACACGCCCTAGGTAGCTGGCGGCGACGAGAGGGCAACGCGCGACCAACAAGGCTGGGCGCAACATAGTCGCAAAGGCGACCATAGCACAAAACACACGAAGCGCAAAGAAATCCGGCGAGATCGTACGCGCTGCCCGGGGCGCATCAATTATACAAACAAGCGAACAGCTCTGACGCTTATCACGACGTCGATAAAGTTAAATGTTGCTGGCGATGTCCATGAAGTTGATGACGATCATTTCGTCTCGAACAACTGTGCGACAATCATCACCAAAGAAATTATTGTAAGTAATTATGTATAGTAGGTGCGTGCTCCAGAGGAGGTGAGGGTAAACAAGCAAGAGGAACATTGATTTGCCTTAAAATTTAAATCGGTTCAGGACATGGCACTTGAGGTACTTTTCTACGTTGATTTCGGAAGCGCCGCGCTCTAAAACATGATGTGCCGCAGATTGCAGTCGTTCAAATTCGTGGCGTTCCTGCCTCTTCGCTTTCGCGACAGTAGGGCCATCGCGATGGTGCTTGTATGGAGCGCCATTCCCGAATCCCCAGAGTCCACTCAACTGACCAAAAAGTCCTTCCACGGTAAGCTTGCGAACTCGTGCGGAAATCGTGACGTCGTCACGCACAACAATCTCACTCATCTCGTCATGTGTAGCTTCATCAACGTGATGTTTTCTATTCTTGCCATCGTGGTCCTCGTGCTCATCATTGTGATTTTTCTTGTCGTGTTCTTCTCTGGCGTTGTCGACACCATGATGCGTACGAGTCTGCCGATGTCTTAGCTTCTTCTTCTTGCGTTCGCCTTCGTCGTGCTTTTCCTTTCTCTGCCGGATTCTCATTTGACGCTCGATCTCATCTAGTCTGCTTTCCTCGTCGCGTTTCCAACCTCTTTCTTCCATGTGGTCCTCGTGCGACAGGCGATGGAAGGCATCGGGTATAAAGTCTGGACGCACGTAGTCGTAGTCGTCGCCAGCCGGGTAGTCATTTCTCCGGAAGGGCGAAGGCACCGTGCGTTGGAGATCGCTGTACGCTTGCGAGTCCGCCCACTCTCTGGCGAGGGGCGCGCGGCAATCTTGTGCATTTCCTTAGAACAAGCCAGACTTTGTTTAACGTTGATCTCTTGCCACATTATGTCTAAGAGACGCAGTCCTCATCTCGGTAACCTACCTTGATGTCTGGCCACTGGACCAATTCTCGTGTTTGTTCTTTTTACTCCTGATCGTCGTGTTTGATTCGTGAAAACCGGAAACAACCCCACGACACTAATATACTTCTAAGAGATATGAATGAGGCTAGAAACAGATAAACAGTCATCTTAATATTTGGTTTTAGGCAAGCAATGAACGTCTTTCCATGAAGGAAGCGGGCGCAGATGATCCAGATAACCGTAGCTCCCACAACTCGAAAGGTGCACATGTACTGGCAAAGAATCTGTGGGTTCTGAAATCTGGCTCCAGCTTAGATGTACTTCTACCTCTACTAGGTCAGGCTCAAGGTCGCGATTGCGATATTTCAACTACTTTGCGATTATTCTTGTTTCAATAAAGCTAAAAAATCGGAGAAATAAATGCTGGTCCTCGCCAAGCTTCAGCTTCACATGCCGACGTATTTTACGACATTACACAAGCTGTGTAGCACGAAGAGGGAGACACAGATGTATTTTTGCCGCCTTAAGTAGAGTGCCCATCGCTGCAGCAGCTGGCAACCTCCGCTATGCCCCGCCATGAAAATGCGCTTGGCTTTCGGTGCATTTGCCGCTTCATTTGTATGGTGTCGAAGCGGAGTCTTTACAAGATGATTTGGCGGAAAATCCATCGAATGCTCCCGCTTTCCATTGATGTCGAATAGTCGCTGCAATTCGTGCTCCTCGTCCTCGGCGAGCTTTACAGCAGTCGAAGGAGGGCGCGAATACTGCCCCCTGCGTTGCTTGTCCCCATTCCTCACCGCGCGTTCATTCTGACTCCATGATTAGAACAGGACTCTCTCTGCTTGCAACAGGTCTCGAGGATCTGACCAAGAAGCAGTCCCTTGAGCGGACAAACCCGCAGAGTGAAAATAGCATCTTCCAGAAGCAGAAGGCGACACAATTTAAGTTTAACACGAACCCGCCTGCTGGTTCATCACCTTGTCATTCAGATAGAAAAAAAAACATAAATGTCGTACGTGAGGTCTGCGTTGTTTTTGTGCTCGATGTGCTTCAGTTGGGCCATTTCGGGGCTCTTCTTGTACGTCCAGTCTCCGTGTCCCCGTAAGCGCTCAACTACGAGATCAAGAACCTGATAGCTTGAAATACTTTTCCCTTCTCTCGCTAAGTCAAGGTTCGCACTTGGGTATCCCCTCTGTGCCGAGAATTAGACGAGTAACACTTCTACTTCTACTAGAGGAGTCATTCATATTTCGTCCGGAACAAAGATCTAGATAAAACCTCTCCGAAGGCCTGAATCAAGTCGAAGCCCTAACAACTACAACAACTCAATTTAAGTAAGTATTTTTTTTTGTGGTTCGAGCGAGTTCCGTTAAGGACCTACCTGCGTACTTTCCGCATAGATACCGGCATAGGGGGAAATCAAGAATCCAACTTGCACAATTTTCGGCCTACTAGAAGAAGTGCTATCTTCTTTCCGTAATGAAACGAGCTTTTTCCCTCCCAGCCACTGTGAAAATCGTCCTGCGACATCCAATAGAGGAACTTTTTGCTCTTCAGGTTCCGAAAATAGGGAACGACAACTCCTACGCGCTTGTTTTCAGAAATATCGCTATTGAGATACCGTGTCCAGTAAGTGCAAGTATGCTCCACGTGCTTTTGCAACGACGGAGATCGCCACGTTTTGTGCCAATAACTCGGAATCAGTCTTTTAGAGGTGGAAGTCTAATCCTACTTCACCAGACGAAAAATTTGTATATTTGATAAGAGCCAAACCTTTTTTAGAGGAAATGCTGAGCAATGATCATAACTACAACAATACTGTCGACCTGTTGAAATGCCGGATCTTCCTCGAGTCTGCGCGTGGTCTCCTGCCGCAAGAGAGTTGCGATCTTCTTATTATTCGAAGTCTCTCCGCTCATCTTCGTTGCCTTTTTCAGAGGACCCGTATTAGCATTCGTATCCACCGCACCTGGCAGTACAACATCAGCTGCATCGTCGTTAAGGAGTTCCGCGCCAGTCTCGTCCACGATCGTGAGCTTCCTTTTGCTCGTTTGTAAAGGCCGAGTAGCCACGTCCTTGTGGAGCAGATTCGGGAAGTCTTCTCCCCATATATTTGTGAATGCTTGAAAATCTTTGCCTTCGTAGATCTTATGCGCATCTCGCAGCTTGCAGTGCCATGCTGGCAATGCCTCAGATCCTTCATCGTCACTAATGCTCCATTTTTGTGCGAACTCTGAAACCTCATTTGCACCTTGCTCCCTCGTCTTGTGATCGTCCTTTTGCGTTTCTTAGAACTTTTACCACGGTAGTGTTATGCGAAAAATCGCCGTGTTCGCTAAAAGTGGACACACGTTTTTAACCTTGAGATGGAGTTTGCCTTCATCATCGGCTTCAAATCATACAATCAATGATAGCATGCAAGAAAGGGAATCACGGGGATCGATTTATTAAGCAAAAATACAACAACATGCCATATGCCAGAATTTCGTCGGCACCCCACAGTCTGTTTGCGTCACTTCTTCCCTCTCGGTCTTGAGCAGGGCCCCGCGGCGGTCCAGCTCCGGCCCCTATTGCGCCGTCCTCACTCCCAAAGCCCTCCCCCTCGGTGCCGAAGCTGCTTGCTTGTTCCCCTGTGCTTTCTCGTGGTTGGACCTTTGAGAGCGTGCTTTAAGCAAAAACGTGATGTGTATCAAATAAGTGTCTACAGCCTGGCTGCCGTTCCTGCGTTCTAGTCTCTTCAACAATCGTTTTTACCTGAGAGAAACACGAAAAATGAATTTGGAGGGATTCTTTTAACAATGTCTCGAACTGAATGACTAGAAAATCACAGACCAAAATGAATTACTCCACTCTGCGATGCAGTGTCTAAAAAAACGAACCAATTATTTATTAGTAAGTCGGAGCATGAAGGGTGTCGGTAACAATTTGGACATTGTTATGGTGAACGTGAAAAAAATGAAGTATGAAGAATGTCAATCTCAATGTGAGTTATTGACGGCCCTCTTAACAACGTCACCCGGCGAAAGGTTTGCAGCATAGCCCGCTCCTCCGCTTGCATACATCATTTCCTCTTCAGCACCACCAACTCTTGGTGGAAGAGGCCCAGCCTCAACCTCCGCTTCGGTATGCTCTGCCTCCTCTTCTGCCTCGTTCCTCTCCACGAAGTCTTCCCAATTATCGCCGAGCATCGCAGCGTGACGCAACTTTTCTGACCCATCTACTTGCGTCCGGCCGCTCATTTCCTCGTTTGGAGCATGGTGGTCGATCACGCTGTTTTCATGATGATCTTCCAGTGCTGATGCTGCGTTCAGAAGACTACTAGTTTTGCCGTGGCCTGTTAGGGCTTCAGGTGTGCCCTCCAGTGATGTTGCCACAGTCGCCACAGGAGCAAAAGCATGCATACCTGCATTCGCCGCACATGCTGTCGCGAGCAGGGCCGCACCTACGACGCCAGCCGCAGTTAATGCACGCCTGCTCGTACAGCGACTTGCAGTGGCAGCCTTCCTCTTTTTATCCCTGTGTTCTACTTCTAAAGCGTGATCGCAGGACACCAGATCTCTTGTAGTGCTGCCTGGCAGAGCGCGGTCTGGATGGAACCCGGGTGACCGTGACGGCGCTCCACTGCTTATGGAGACGAAAGAAGATCTCTCCGCAGCGTCATGTAGATCTCCACCACTCTCAACTCGTAACAATGCCGAAGCGGGGCTCGTGGCAGGATCCTCTTTTCCGCTACTCGACCTAGTATTCTCGATTCGGGGAACTTGCTCAAAAAAAGCGACAGAACCAGGACTACTCGAGGACGAGGGCGACCACGATTAGCGAGGAATCAAATAACAAAACCCACTGAGTCTCATTTTGTAACAACCGCAGACAATACTACTTATGCTCTGAAGATCAACCTTCTCTGACTTGTTGAAGCCTCCCACGAACGTGTAATTCTTATCGACAACAACACTTTCATATTTTTGGTCAATAAATAGTTCCTGATCCAAAAATTCACTCGTTCCTAGTGCACCACAGTTCATACTTGTTGCGCTTAAGTACTTCCATAGCGCATTGAGATTCACATTGGTCACTGTTTTAAAGATCAATGCCCCAACATGGGTATGGATATGGAATAGTCGATGCAACACTAGAAACGAGGCGCGCAAGTGCACCCTGAGCCAGAAGCGCCGAAGGTTGCCCTTCTGTTGGCTGTTGCCGCGTACTAAAAATAGCTTTTTCTTGATCTACAGTGTCGCCATATTTAGGTGGCATGCTACCAGCGGGTCGAGATGTTAGAGATGCTCTTGCTTTTCTTGTATTTTCCGGCGGCGCATCTTCGAGAATAGCGGAGGTCCGATTGCTGCTCTCGTCCATTCCATGCGCAGCACTAGAGTTGCCCCCAAAATCCGCAATCCCGGTGTCAGGTCTCCCCCTCAGTATTGGTTGATGAAGCTGGAAATGCGGTTCACTCGTACTTCCAACTCGCAGAAATAGAGGTGCATTTTCGCCTTCTAGTTATAGACAAGCATCGAGTCCGAAAGATTTCGGTGTCTCAAGTAGACACCACGTCTTTATGCAAGTAGATTGTCCCTCTGTTTGCGTCTCCTTCTTGGGAACTAGTGACTTACTACATAGCTAATTGGCTTGGTCCTACCAAATGCAAAGGGGGTATTTGCTGTTCTAGCATTATTGCAAAAACCTACGCCTAGCCTGTGGTTTGCACTCCTTGCCTGTTCAAAACGTAACTTCTCGCCCTGTGCGTGAATCCGCGTGCTCCGACAGCTTTCAAGCTGGATACCACGCATGAGCGAACTCACCTGCGTGCCGCCACTACCGCAATAAAGCAAAATAGCACATAGGCACGCAGAGCGGCGGCATACCCAGATGCGAATTGAGCCACCTGTTGAAAAAATCGTCATGCCCGTTCTAGTTCTTCAACTGTTGATTATTTGGAAAATATTGGGAGCAAGTTATAGGTTCGGTCAGGGTGAAAAGCTACGTCGAAAAATCGATGCTTCTCCCAGCCGAAGGACAATTTTTTTGTAGTTTATTTAGTATCCGCCCTATGCAATGAATACACCAGAACATCAATGATCTAATCCCATCGGGAAATAAGACTACGAATTCAGATCCTTCCACTATTTTTGTTCGCGGAAAGGAGGAGATGCAGTGTCATTATGTATGCTCTCTGGATCGGGACCTCTCACCTTCTCAATCTCAATATCGGAGATGCAGTATCATTAGAACAGCTTAGTCTTCTCGCCTCTCTCCCAGTCACACTCTCCTGCCCATACCTGCTTCGAAAATCGTGTTCCTACCAGACGCGCGATGCTCCCGGGTTCGTACAGCTATGCTTCCTCATCTCCGCAGTCTAAGAAGAACACGACGGCCGTTCTCATTTTTTATCACAACAAGTAGGCGCCTTCTTCATTGTTCGTGAAGTTTTTCATTATCTAGTGAGAGAGCGTTTTAGGCGTCTGTTTTAATCGTTTATTCAGCAAAGTGAAATATTGCGTGGAAAGACGGTGGCGCACATAGATCTACGACCATAGATAGAAATATTGCCAATAATCTTCCGTTATATCGTTATAATTGCATGAGCCGTACGTAGAAATGAATACAACAACAATCAAGGAGTAGATGGTTGTAATATAAAAAACTATGCGAAGTGTTATACAGGTTCTTTATATTTGATTGAATGCCGTCTCTGACTATGTGTAAGTTGAAGTTGATGCAATATTTCGTCGTCGTGCGGTATGTGTGTAATTCTGAGTTATGATGATTTGCTGCAACGTCTCGTCGTCGTACGCCAGCTGTTGTTGCGTCTATCTTCTGAAGCCTGAGCTTTTGTTGATTCTTCATCTTTCTTTTCTGTAGTTGTAGTGCCGGCGTTTCTCTTCTCTGTCTCTAGCCGCCTAAGCATCCGCGACAAAGAGGGCATCACTGCTGTTCTCCAAATGAGCGTAGATCTTGATCATCGAGAAGTCTTCGGGTTTGGCGTTCTCGCCCTCGCGGATGATCCAGAAGCAGCGGTTGTTTCCCTGCTCAGAGACATCGACCTTAATGCCCTTCATGTCCTTCGTCTTTTCGTCCCCTCGGGGGTGAAACTTCAACAAAGCCTTGATAAGGGCAAAATCCTGACCTTGCGGGTTCAGCTCTTCGCCGTCCTCCTGTAGTTAATTGTAATTGTATCGATTCTTTTCCCTTGGACGTTGATCGAGCTTGCTTCTATTTTTGCGAGTACTTCAACCACTACAACTTTCTAGCATAGTAGGTCAGTACAACCGTACTAAAAGATCTGCGTGGGTTATTCCTAATACAGAATCTTCTTCGACAAAAAAGAGTAGAAGTACCCTGGTCGACTGGATTTCGCGGACACGGTTCTTGAGTTTTTGCATGTTGTCGAAGACGTGACCGTCGCAAATCTTAATCTTCATTTTGGGGGCATTCTTGCGGTTCTGCTGATCTTGCTTTTTGCGTCTCTGAACAGCCTCGCTGTTGTGTAAATCCAAAATCTTCTTCAAGACTCCAGTGTCATGAACCAACTCTACCTTTACCGTGACCGGTGCTGTAATTTTTTGGGTAGTTGCGGAAAATGATAATATAGCAGCCGGGGTGTGAAGCGGCGAACGGCCGCACAGCTGTAACCTTACATACTACTCTACCAACCGCTAGAAGAGCGCATCAAAGAAACTGCTGGTTAGATTGGGTTTCGATTTCGTTAGTGTTGGAATTAACTTTTATTTTCGAGACACTCTTGTCCTGCGGAAGTCTACACACGGCACGCGCACTACAACAGACCAAACGCAAACCTAGAACTGGCAATTATTTCAATCCAAAGGCTCTCAAGCTCGGGATCCAGCTATCATTTTTATGCACAAGCACATGACGACTAAAAGTTTTGGCCGCCACGAATCGCCGACATCATATCTTCATATAAATGATCATAATCATTAACTGCTTACAACAAGTACCAACTTCTTTCGTCTCTTCGGAGGTTTTTTCGGCAGCATCGTCTGCCTTTTTCATCTTCGGTGTAACTTCGAAACTCGTAAATTCCTTCTTGAAATACTCCATATCGCATGGGAAGCTGGTTACGGATGCAAACACGCATCGGACGCTCTCTTCGCCGTCTGCAGCCTTGGAGCCCGGCGATTTCGCACTCTCGAGGATGTGCGGCGTGCAGGACAACACGAACGGCTTTATCTGTTGTAATATAAAGCGACGACGATGATAATCATGATGATGATTGTACCTAATCTAGAGGTAAATATTAGCGTGTATTTATGTTATATGCATTTACATCTAGATCTAAATCTTCGAAGCGGTTGATCATATGATAGATGATCATGTGCTCCAAGTGTCTTTGTAGTTTCATCCGAAAATTTTAAAGATGAAGGTAGCGGTATACTTGCGATACAGAGAGATACTAGCACGAGCACGATACGGAGTGGAATGTTGCCCAGATCAGTATTCCGAAACTATCGACGGATAGATAAGGGTGCCTTTATCTAATCAAATATAGCATCGAAAAAAGATGAACCCGATGAATTGACACTCATTTTTTGCCCGCCCGGCGGTACTACTAGAAAATTACAGTATAACGCAAGAACGAACTACTACTGCCTCCTCCTGCTCTAAAAATTATAAAGTAGATGAAAGTGAAGTAGAGGAGTACGTTTTTCATTCCTGCGAGGTTAACGGCTTTCGATGTTGCGCACTCCTCTTGAAGGGCCTTCATGCGCTGCTGCAGGCTGTGCTTGATGTCTTGAAAAGGGGTTGCTTCTGTGAATCCGGTGATGCGAAGGAAGACGCCAGCGCGAAGCGTGTCTTTGTCGAATTGACTACTGGAGTGAAACTTAGAAGTGTCGACGTCCGGTCTATTGCTGTCCACGCCACTTTTGCCTTTGCCACCTTTTCCGCCTTTGCCGCCCTTTCCCTTGCCCTTATCAGCTCTAGCCTGCAATTGTGGGAGAGCCTGGTTTCCCGCACGTCGAATGCTTTGCCCGTCGGCATGGCATTCGACGGATGTGCTGCCCTTGAGAGCATTCACGATTTCCTCAGCGGACTTGACCTGAAATTATAAGGGACAGCACACAATGAACATTTGACACGCGTCAATCTCAATGTCGAGGTGATTATTTTATTGTGAGGAACCGACAACAAAAATTATTTCGACCACACACGATCATGCGGAGTCATTTATTCTTGCAAAGTCAGTTATTACTCCGAGAGTCTGCATTCGCTTGCAGTTGAGAACAAGCGCGAGCGGTAAGTATCCGTCTTGGGCCGTCGAGATTTCCTTGTGGAAGAATCCGTCACGGGCCAAATTCGCGTCGCTGAGATAGTACTCTACTTGTTTTTTGATTTCAAAAACGCCTTGTGGTGCGTCTTTGCCACTTACTTCTGGCTTTTTCGTTGCGTCTTCCATCTTAGCATCTTCTGTCGTAGTCGCAGCACTAGCAGCAGGTTTGGCAACGGCTTCCGCCTTCTTCGATTCCGTGCTGTCTTCAGTCACAGCATCAACCTTAGTTGTGGCTTGCTCCGGAGTGGCCTCAATCTTCTGCTTCTTGGCATCCGGAGAATGCTCAGCGGCCTCGTCAGAGACGCGCTTGGCAGTCGTGGTCTCTTCCGGCTTCACCTCCGACATTTTTTGTTTTCTATTGTATTAAACGACAAAGCAAAAAGTCGCAAGAAAAATTACAACGAATTACAATTGATAGGGTGGATAATCAGGTGTGGTCCTTGTACTTATCATGAATGGAGAAAAAATTCAACCCCTATTTATATTTTCACTTCCCACGACTTCTTGCAAAAAACAAGTGAGAAATAAAAATGGTTTTCGGATTCGGAAGGTATTAGGTTGCCGTCGCTTAAGACAAACTATCTTAGTGTCTCGATTTCATGAAGAAATATTCACATACAGGGCTGTCACGACATGGTAGTGGGACCAATGAGGAGGGCGAATATTTCGAAATCGAAAGCAGGTAAAAGACCAATAAGCAAGCAGAAACACGGTATGAAGATCACTCAAACCTGGATAGAGGTCTCACCTATACTAAAAAACACTAGGTTCGTTTTCGTTCATACGGTACTATGACGACAACAAGCGAGAACGATCGTCGTGGAGAACAAAGTTAATGTTGTAAGGAAATACCTAGGCGGCATATTAAGCATAAGACAGCGCGTGGCGAGGGGATGTGAAAGGATGTTCAAAGGAACTGTGTGATCCGGTGATGTACTGCAGATCATGATCCGCTCTTCAACCAGGAAAAGGTCAGAAACAATTTTTCTCCGGATCTATTTTTCATCACACTCTTTTCCTTTTGGAGGTAGACCATTGGTCTCTCTTGTCGTTGTTTTTGATCCTCAATACGCACTGCGTCTAAGTACGATCTTGATTGACTGAAATTATCTTGATGAGTCACGTTGTTGGCAAACAAATGGAGCTTGATGTAGAAGTTGATGAACTTTTTAGTACTACTCAGGACGCTCTTCTTGTTCTTGGAAATTAAATGATCTTTTATTAAAAGATTTGATCTCGTGCATTATTTTCTCCGTTGGAAAATGTACTAGTCGTGGATCTCTGGATCTGGAACACGCTTCATTTAAATGTTGCTCAACAGGGACGAGGATGACCACCATAGGAAAAACATTGAGAATTCAATTGCGAACTAAAAAATGTGAACATTCTTGCATATCTGACTTTGAGGAATGAATCCAAAGCCAAATAGCGACCTCCTTTGTACATGTAGGCCACCTGTAAAGCCTTCAGTTGAGCGACGAGGAGAGAGGATCAAGTTTTTCAGGTCAAGGCGTAGCGACTCAAAGCCTCCAGTCAAACACGCAAAACAAAAGTTCCCCATTGCGACCGAACTCTTAACAGGTCTCATTCGCCTGCTTCATCTTTCAGGCACATCGGGGACCTCCGTCCTCCTTGGTCAATCAATCAATAATATGCGGCCGTCTAACGAGCGGCGGTGCTGGATAACGGAGGAACAAACAGACCCAGGGCCAACTCTGGACTGTGCGAGCACGACTGTGTTCCCGCTGACCTAGCCCACAAAAGATCACCCATAGCAAAAGACCAGAGGCTAGTCACCTAGCGTGGTCTGTTACAAGGAACCGCAAGCGCAAACTAGCTGCGGCTGTCTTTGGACTCTGCCCGCTTTGCTTACGCTGTGTCCGGCTAATGATCAATCAATCAATCAATCAAATGCTCGCATTTAGGTCTGCGTTGACTCCACAGAGTGGGCAATATTGAAGCTGGGTTTTTACAACGAGAAAAAGCAGAATACAGCAAAAGCGAAAGTGAGAGAATGAAGCTATCTTTAGCGATGATGAATATAAACTAGTAACGAAGACGAGAACGATCGATAGTAGTCACTTTGTGGATCTGTTGGCGATGGTTATTTTTCCTCTCTTTCTTCGTGAGCCGGGAACTTTAACAACAGCTAACGGGATCTAACTTACTTCAACATTCATTCACTCATTCATTCGGAACTCGCAAAAAATCCGCGTTGACCGACAACTCCGGCGCAAGTCTCTTTTACTTTTTCCTTACTTGAAAAGACAGCGCTACGAAGTACGTTTCATCCATCAGCTGGCAATAAGACACGAGGACAAGGACATAAGAAAACAATGGTTCATTGATTTGAAGACGCTTCTTTCTCGTGCTGGCTGATACCCTCGAAGCAATGAGTGCGCGTATTTCTTCACCACGGAGTTGGTAGCGGTGCTAGAGAGCCGCATGCGGATAGTTGAAAAACTGAAGAGCCGCACCAAATGTGAGGGGACGCAAAGAGGCCAACGGCGGTGAGATAGTGAGTGTGATCGAAAATGGCCTTGTTCTTTGCTCGGTACACTATTGATTCGTCATGAATCAGACGCGACACTTGCATGAAATACGCGGCCTCTCTCTCTGTAGTAAAGGTTAAGACTCTGCTGGATAACGATAAGTTGTAGCTGTCATAAATCATGCTAGCGAGGACAACAACAAGGTGCCAGAAGGCTGGGTAGCAAAGAGGATCTTACTTCTGCAACCACGACTGAAGGAATACTTCAGGGGATGGCCTATCCATCACAGCGAGTCTATCAATCCAGTATCATGAAAAATCTGCTTGTTCATATAACATAATCATTCCGAGACGATCGAATTAAGCTTTTTCTAGCTAAATCATGTAAAAAAAACTTTGAGCGAATCAACAAAAATCCTATTCATCGTCTGCTCGTGAAGTTGGACATACACTTGTCCTCCGAGGACTACGACAATTGAAATGTAGGCTACGGTTGGTTTCACACTAACTAACTGCGGTAGAAAAGTGTGCAACGAGGATGATTCCTCGCCTTGAAGATTCAGTGGGTGATGTTGTAACAAGAACTAGTAAGTGTGCGGTTGTTGTACTAGTGATCGTCGAGAAGGAGGGTTGCGCGACTGTGTGCTGTTGTACTAGCACAGTCCTATGTCGACGACTTTCCTCGGCATCGTTCATCTCAGCGCTGAACGCAAGCTCGACCAAGTCATCGAGTTCCTTCATCATGTGAGTAACAGCACGCACAGAATTACATACAACGTCGTTGTAGAACTCGAAGTGGAGGGCATGATCCGAAAACAAGCATACCCGTAGTCGTTGAGTTATTGCTATGCTTTAGTCATGAGGTGTCTGTATGCTTGCTACCAAGGACTGGCGAGAAAACCACACAATAATCATGTTGTGATCGGCTCATGCCAGGCGTAGTTTGCGCGCTTCTTCAATCATTTTTGAGAGCGCAGTGCTGGCTGCATCGTGCCCAGATAAGTACACGACAAACAGGCTGCGTCATCAGTTCTCTCTGCAGGGACAGTATGCACTCCAGCAGCGCGTCATACGATTGTCCATGCGCATGCCCCTCTCCTATTCCCTTTGTATAGAGAGTAGAAAAGGAAACGTGACGGCCACGCACCACGGCACGACTCGAAGTAGTGTATGTGTTCAATCTAATACCAGCCTCCCACAACCTTGTAGTTCCCCTGGATTATCTTCACTGAATAAGTCATATGTGAAAATGAAGACGCCAACCAAATTCATAAGGAATGTTATTCAATCTAGTATCACCCTAGTGGCTCTACTTACATTGAGATTTAGAGGGGTTCCTGCCTCAGCCCTGCTTTTTTTTGTGTGCCAAGATCGCCGGAAGGGTGACCCCAGTGATATCCGGCGCGCCTCCCGGCGACGGGTGGAGTCCATTAGCGTCCTTCTACTACGGTGCACTAATTGCCTACGAACCCGCCGACTCTAGTCGGATGAAACCCAGGGGCACAGGAGGGGATTAGTTGCGTTATATAAACCGCCACCGGCCGCCAACCGTCCCACTCTTATGCGCCTGCCTTCAAGGCACGAGGGCAGGGCCGCCAACCCTGCTCACCCTTGACGAGTGCGCAGCTGAATAGATCTGGTATCTGGTAGCCTGATTTTGATCATAAGGAAAACAAGAAGAGAATCCTTGTGATCAAATTCAGGCTACCAAATACCGGAACCATTCAGCAAGCAACTGACAAGTGAAAGACCAAGAATAAATTGTTACTGGCTTAAAGCCCTAAATACAACACTGAGCACCGGATCGGCAGAAGTTATCGCTGAGTCCTTCCGTGAGCCCGCTGGCCGAAAGCTCCCTCTACATGCAGCACTATTTGTTCATCTCACTTGCACCTCGTCCCTGATGAAACGCGGCAAGATTTAGTTGACCGACGAAGAAGTTGTACAGCAGCCGCACCTTCGCAACACCTCTAAGAGCACTCCTGCAGAAGCAGCGCCCTCCACTTAGTTGAACTCCGCGGACACCTTGATGAGCTTGAAGAATTTCTTGAAGAATCAACTACCCCAGAATCAACTACCCCAGATACCTACTCAAAATGCTCCGTACTCTTTATTCTTGAGGCTGATGCTAGCGACGGAATAAAGAATAGTGAACAAAATGATCTTCATTGTTCTTTGTAAGGTAAGTAGAAGTTGTTCTGCACCATAGCAAAGGGCTGCTAATGTGCTGAAGACGACACGACCACGAGTCAGTTGACTGGGCACGCCCTCATACGGGCTTCCCGAATTGCGTCTCAATTGCTGCCCAAACACCATTTCTCAAAGGTAGGACTTGAATTATTTGAAGATAGTGATGATTTTTAAATGAAGAATAATTCATCTCTCATATTAGAGGCGCCACGTCAAAGATACATTTTATTTGATTGAGACTAACAACACGCCAAAAGGCAAAGGTTAGGCTGCGATGACAGTCCATGTGGACTAAGCTTCACAGCGACTGCACCGCAGAACTACTTCTATCTCACTGTATAAATCAGGTTACTTAGATCAACATATGACGCGCCCTGTCATTCACTGCGGTAAATAACAAAAGCGCTTCTGCAGATCGCCGTCATTACACTGCAAAGCAGTTCCTTCAACCATCCCTACTACCAAGTTGACACGAAGGTGTCAGTGTCCAAGCAAGACCTAAGACGTGAAGCTAGTCTTCTCATCCGGCCCCCAAGGTATCCATATGCACAGCATGCTATCTGGATGTATTTCGAGCTTCAGTAGGATAGCCTGCATTACCTAAGTTCCAAGCTAGCGTGGAACTCTATAAGTACTTTCTTTCTATCTAGCAGGCATCCCTGTAAGACTCAGGAACTACAGCGCCCGTTTCTCGACAGTGATATTGGAATCAAGTGGCTTCGCATCAGTTCCACCACGTACCTGTCAGACTGTATGGAGAGCTACGGACTGAGATCCGCCTCCAGTGAGCCGAGAAGTGAGTAAGAGTCTCAAAAGAGTTGCTCCGCCACAACAAGGCACCTTCTGGCCTGAAAGTATTATTCTACATCTATTCAAATTCATCGTCTGCTCCATCCTATTGCTGCTTCGTTTTGTCCTCCGCCTGCATATCTGCCCAAGCGCCCATCTACATCGCCGAGGTCCATCGCCGCGAAGATGAGAGCGGGATGAAAAGTGATCAACGGTTATTGAGGATTGAGGTTTGTCATTTGAAAGCAAGTAGATTAGATGAGAACCGATTCCGAAAGCGCCAAAAAAGCGCGCTATACTTCCATTCTAAAACAGAAGACCGATTTTTACGCGACGCGCACTCGTGATTACAATGTCGCTCGTCAGGATGATTCTACAGGTGCAGCAGCTGCAAGAGCTGGCGCACATCACAGTTGCTAAGGCAAGCGTGGGATCTACAGATATTTTTCGAAGTAATGAGGCACCCGCTGTGCTGCCTACATTAGAAAGTACCGAAGTAGTGGGCAATAATAACTACCCAGAATATCTACAAACCGATATTCGATATTCGATAATTATACCAAAGATGTTGAAGAACAAGCCGACAAGCGCGAGGTCAAGGTGAAGATGCTAGTCTTCAAGGGATTGAGCATTTGACTCATGACATGCTGTATCCCTCAGGTAAGATAAGCCTAAGGATTGCATCCAAAACTCAATTTAAATTCCGTTTTTATTCACCACGAACGATAGGAGACCAAAAAATGCCTATTCCCAAAAATAATGTAGATTGTAATAATTGTGGCGGAGCAGACCTAACTCGAAAAAAGAAAGACCAGAGGAAGATAGAAAAGAGAAGTGGGTAGTTATCACCAAGTCAGCTCCTATCTGCTGGAACTAATTAAGCGCCGGCGCTATCGTCGCGCTGTCAGCCCCACAGGTCTCACCTTCAAAGGCAGGCCGGAGCCCTGCGCAACGCCTCCGGGGAGTGCTCAGCTCTCTGGTTGTGTGCGCAGGTTTACTCGCTACGGGGTACCGGTTCACCAAATAAACCCCCAACCAGAGAAAAGGGCCCTTGCTGCTTTGTTTCTACTGCTAACCTTAAAACTCTCGCACGGAAGCCGCAGCAGAATACCCAAAGTCAACACTTGCGCCAGCGTTTATCTCAATGAGTACATATTTACAGAAGAAAATATGGAAAAATTCTAGAAGCAACTTTTCCGGGACGAGATCAAAGTGCACCAGGATGAGGCATAATTTCAATTCGAGCGTGAACGATTTATAAATATTCTACTTAAACTGAGACAGATGATGCAACGCATGTCATGCTCATGTCATGGTTCCTCTTATGTAGCAATTATCGTCTACTTCTGAGGCCATCCAATATCGTAGTACCTCCTATGGAGATGATGATGTTGCAGATAATGGAATCCATCTACTTCTCACAACAAGAAAATATTTCAAGAAATGTTGAACCATCTCAAAACAGCCCCAGTCAGCCGAGGATCTTATTAAGGAAAATACTTAGATTGACACTTGTCAATCTCGCTTTCGTTTAGGAGAAGTTGTCACGCTGAGAGAGCACCTGCAGACGGGCTGCACTTAGAGATGTAAAAAATGGAAAGATGATATCTTCATTATTTTTTTAAGTAGTTCATGATAATTACTTATTCTTATTTCGCGACACGGACGTGGTTTAGGGTCTTTCAGAATTAAAACAAACAGCCCTTGGACGACGAAATTCAAACTTCGAAGGATCTTCAAGATCATGTGACTGTCGTCCAAGAAATAAAGATCAACGACATGCGCTACGCAGTACTGTTGTCGCAGTATACCCTCGTGGGGTGTGCAACATGCAAGAAAATGCCAAGGAAAGCGGCTATCACGGAGAACGCTCTGTTGGTGCTCCGTGAGTGATTATTACCCTTTCTGGAGACGCCTGCTTAGATCATGAGACACTCTTTCGTTTCGGTAGCCCTCAAAAAAAAGAAAAAAAAATATCGAAAAATGCTAACACGCATGAAGAAACAGTTTCTGTTATAGTTTTCAAACAAAAAACTCAAGCAGATCCTAGATCTTTCTATCTTTACAATATCTTGCGCAGTGTCACAAGTACATGAATAGTCATTCAGCATCGCGCTTCTTGCTGAAAAAATAAAACGGTCGTTTGCCGTTCGCAGCCATCTGCTTTATACGAATTTGCTACTTCGTCCTAGTATCCATACAGCTCTTTGTTGATTCTTAGCTTAGCTATACGATTAATTGACCACGGATGGGAAAACCAAATGACAACTAAAAAAGAGAAGTAGGTCATCAGAATTTCTTTGCATTTTATCACACTGGCGGAGACTGACGTTTGTGTCTATGTGTAATATCGAAATCAGGTCAGCATATGCCTGTCTCACGACGCAACATCACGCAGATTGTATTACTCTTCGAGGCGAGTACTAGTCGATTATCGTTACATCTGTGAGTGCGCCTGAGCCTTGGACGCTGTGAGAAACCCACAGCGCAAGCGCAACTCATAGGCGTCCGGCTGAAGCCATAGATACCGAATAATTCGGAAGCTTCTGAGTCGACGCATCCTCCTAATGTGTTTCAAATTCTACGGCGAAGGTGGCAGTTGATAGGTAGTGTCCCCTGTACCAGAAACCGCATCGCCAGTTGTGTCAGAAGTTGCGATCATCATCATTCGTGTGCCTGAGTTCCCTGTCGCTGCCGTGTTTGGGTGCTGTGGGTTTTCAAGGGACCGACCCGAACCACCCCCGCCTCCAGATATTGCCTTTTCAGAGATGATAGCAGACGACAGTACGTTGACGTTGTCTAATGAATTTGTAGTCGACCGCACGACCAGGGTACTGCGACCACTCCTCGATTCGCTAGGAGAGGGACTGCGCTGTTCTACTTGTTTGCTCCTCGCTGGTGAGGCTCTGCCCGAATACTCCTGATCACAAGTTGTAGTGCTGCTAAGCACAGTTATATTTTCGTCCTTTACTGTTCCACCACCTTGTTGGTCCATCCTCTGTGCTAGTAGTGCCATTGGTTGAAAGTGCATCGCGCCACTTCCAGTTGTGCTAGTTCTTGCTCCCACAGATTGGGATCCTGATGTCTGTTTCAGTCCTCCCCGATCGTGTGGACCTGCACTTGAAAATGAGGGCGACGCTGCTGTTTTATTCATCGATCCGCGCTGCAGGAGAATGTCGCGCAGTGCTGCCTCGACACCCCTGTTGACAGCGCTATCCATGCGATGCAACAGCTCGGACTTCAATGACCGGAAATCCTCATCTAAGGCCTCCACCTTCTGCTCATGCACTTTGCTCAGAGTATTGAATTCTTTCACCAAGGTATACTGCATACTGACAAGGTCGCGCGCCTGCTCGCTGCTTTTCAATGCCATCACGCCATTTACGAATTCTTCTATGGTCAGCGTCTCGGAACCGTCTCTGTCTAGTACTTCGAATAACCAGTGCAACTCTTCATCGTGGATCTCGTTTCGCAGTAGAATTGCGCGTATCTGATCGTCGTTGAGGGACTGTGCCAGCTCTTCTTTTGTCAATTCACCATTCTTATCCGTATCCAACTCGCCAAAAATTTCCAGCAACTTCTCCTGCATGATCCGTCGGTCCTGTTGAACCTCAATTTTTTAGTTTTCAAAGATCAACGATAGTTGAAAATGTCCAGTGGATGCATCTGCGGCGCAGCACAGTGGTGGAAGAGCGACGAGAGCAGAACGAGGGACGAGCACGAGAGCAGGGTCACTATCTAGCTTCAGAGCCCGCACGCGGGAGGTCTGTAGGGTAAATGCAACGCGGCAAGGGGGTCCAGCCTTGCCACCTTTGCCAGGTCTATCGGGTGCATGAAACTCAGCAAGCACGTCCAGCCTTGCCACCTTCTGCCGGTCTGTAGGGTACACGCAACACACGGCACGGGGGTCCAGCCTTGCCACCTTCGCCAGGTCTGTCGGGTAAATGCAACACGCCAAGGGAGTCCCGCCTTGCCACCTTTGCCACATTCGGCAGCCTTCTACCTCCGCCCTTCGGTGCTTCAACGGCCTCCGGGATGGTGGCGCTGTAGGGTCCAGGCAAGAAGCAAGAAGGGGTCAGAGGTGGGCGCTTCGAGGCCTTCTCGCCCCGCAGCCCCTCAGAAAAGGGTCCAGGGCTGGAGGCCGTCCCTCAAAAAGTTAGATCGGGCAGGGGGGTTCTTCAGCCCTGAGCCCTGGAACATATATAAAAATATACTTATGCATATGCTTAGAAACTTCATGATGCAGCAGCTAGTCCCCAAAGTTGTTTTCTGAGTACAGTGTCGCCTCACCTGTCGCATGAGATCCAAGTCGCTTGTGCTGGCCAGGGACTGAATGTGTTCGCAGATAACGCCGACAACCAGATTGAGGACTGTGAAGTTGGTCACGATTATGTAGCCGATGAAGAACAAGGCCATGCCGGGCCCGACGGCGCGGACTACTGGGTCAGCTCTGGCGGGCCATTCTTCAAGCGTAAGCACGATGAAGAGCGAGTACATGCTACTGCCGACTGTGCCGAAGTATCTGAAAACGTGAAGTCAAAGAAATGAAGATTGATTGATTGGTGTACCTATTCATGAGGGTACCTATAAAAAAGTTTTCCCAATATTATACATATTATGAATAGTATTCATGAGGTAGACAATAAGAAGAGTCAAGAAGAGCATGCTGATCTGCTGAATGAATCTGCCACATGGACACCTCCGCCATGCCTGCGCCTGGTTACTTATTGTTATTGTGAGGTAACAAATGATATAAGAACATGATTGTGTTTGCATTCCAGATATGAGAGCACCCACAAGAACATACTGAATAATGAAGTGAGGTACAGCACTATCAATCCTGTACTTGAAGTAAGGAGAGCAGGAGGAACAGCGTGATACTGAACAAAAAATACTCATCAATTTTCGGTTCGTCTGCGCAATAATCGGGATCCTGCCCGATAAGCCTCGTGAGAAAAACTGCCGACGCGTAGATCAAGAACAAGAGAAGACCCGCAATCCACACGATGGTACTAAATGCCGCAATTAAGCCGTGACAGAGGAGCCAGAGGGACTTGCAATACCTGAAAGACGACGCAGCGACGCCAGTTCTTATAATATATATGTCGTAGGGCGGCACGGCCCCCCTCCTGTGGTCTGGTCTGTGGTGGCGCGCGCGCACGCTTTTCCGCGCTGATTTTCGCGGGTTCTAGTTGTGGAAGGCGTCAAAACTTGGCGCGGGCCTCCACTTGCGCCTCTCCGCATCCGCAATGTGTGGCCCCTGCTGACCGTCGCAGGCGGGGGGCCGCCGAGGGCGGCCACGGTCGCAAGAGCAAGCAAGCCGATGACCAAAGGCCCGGAGGGTACAAGCTGCACGGCTCAGGGGGTCCAGCCCCTCGCCTTTTGCCGCCTTCAGAGGCCTTCCAAAGCCAGCAGACTGCTGCGGCGGCGAAGCATATCGGAGGCACGACTTAGGACACAGGCAGGCACCTGGACGGGGGCGCGGGCGGTCCCTTGGGCTCCTTCTGAAGCCTCCCACCTACATCAGAGGCCTGTAGGCAACAGCCAAGCACCTGGAAGGGAGCGGAGGAGGCCATTTGGCTCCCTTTTGAGGCCTTCCACCCCCGTCAGACGCCTCCAAAGGGGGCCCGGGGCTACCGGTACCGCCCCCCCTGCGCTAGGGAGGGCACCGTAGCCCCAAGCCCTGGAACATATATGACTCAGGGCCAAACAGCCCCCCTCCCCCCCTTAAGGTCGAGAATGGGACCCCCTGGGCTTCACGGGATTTCTAGTGCGGATATGATCTGAGGCCAAGCGATCGCCAGGCGGGTCCTGCTCCTGCTGGGGCCTCCTGTGGCTCCTGTGGCTCCGGTGGCTCCGGTGGCTCCTGTGGCTCCTGTGGTTCCTGTGGTTCCTGTGGTTCCTGTGGTTCCTGTGGCTCCTGTGGTTCCTGTGGCTCCGGTGGTTCCTGCGGTTCTTGTGGTTACTGTGGTGCCTGCGGTGCCTGTGGTGCCTGTGGTGCCTGTGGTTCCTGTGGTTTTTGTGGTTTTTGTGGTTTTTGTGGTTTTTGTGGTTTTTGTGGTTTTTGTGGTTTTTGTGGTTTTTGTGGTTCCTGTGGTTCTTGTGGCTCCTGTGGTCCTTGTGGTTCTTGTGGCTCCTTTGGTTCTTGTGGCTCCTGTGGTCCCTGTGGTTCCTGTGGATGTGCTCACTGCGGTCACAGTTGTGCTGTCGTTCTAAATTAGGCGAAGTTAGCACAGGCTGGAGCCTCCTCTGTTTACATTTTCAAAATGGTAAGGAAGCGAAACCAACCTGCCTACACGACTAGAAATCCCGTAAAGCCCAGGGGGTCCCTTTCTCGACCCTACCCCCCCCTGTGGGCTGGTCTGTGGTGGCGCGCCCGCGCGCTTTTCCGCGCGGATTCTTCGCGGATCCTAGTGGTGGAAGGCGTCAAAACTTGGCGCGGGCCTCCCCTTGGGCCTCTCGGCGTGCTCCTATGGGCCACGGTCGCAAGAGCAAGCAAGCCGATGACCAAGGGCCCGGAGGGTACAGGCGGCACGGCGCAGGGGGTCCAGCCCCTCGCCTTTTGCCGTCTTCGGAGGCCTTCCGCTGCCGGTGCACTGCTGCGGCGGCGAAGCCTAACCGATGCACTGAGGGCACAAGCAGGCACCTGGACGGGGGCGCAGGCGGTCCCGTGGGCCCCTTTTGTCTGTAGCCATCTAACCCTTCAAGTCTGTAGGGTACACGCAAACGAGAAGGAGGCAGCGAGCCCCGTGGTCCTCCCTTGAGGCCTTCCACCTACTTCCCAGGCCTCCAGGGGCCACGGAGCTCCTGGAAGGGACCGGGGGTGGCCCCTTGGCCCCCTTTTGAGGCCTTCTTCCCGACGCAGACGCCTCAAAAAGGGGTCCAGGGCGCTCGGCCCCCCCCCCGCTAGGGGGGGGGCGGGGCGTCGCCCCGCGCCCTGGAACATATATAGATACATCACGTAGGTACTGGTACTATTTTTCCTCTATCTTTTAGATAGATGACACTGCAGTATTCGCTTATAAGTAAGAGCAAACGATCAACTGAGGTCGTTGATTACTGTGGTGGGAAAAGAAAACATGCAATAGATGGCGCTGAGTACCTAAGCAGCTTGACTGTACGGAAAACACGCATCACCCTGAGAAGCCGGAAGATGACGATGGTTCCGATTTCGTCCTTTCCGTAGAGTAAAAGGACCAAAAGATCAAGAAAGGAGCATACTATTATGAAAGTGTCGAATATGGTCCACGCATGTCGCATAAGCAAACCAAAAGCAGCCGCTACTTGCTTTCTGTACGGCCTTGAGGCGTCCCACAACCGATGCGAAAGTGACACGCTTCGAGCTGGGGGCAGGTCAATCAACATATTTATATTTATTCAACACAATACACGGAGTCTGACGTCGAGGCCTTTCAACGATGATCTTTATTTTATCATACAATGAATAATATGAATCATGTATAATTTTCATAGTGAGGCCACCTAGTACAACATCCAGTACATATTTCCGCATTAGAACTCTTCAACTTTTCAAATCCCGTGGTCGCCTTCAGGTCTGCCCTCAAAAAAGCTTATAACTAGTGACAAAAAATGTAGTACTTGCAAGTGCGATAATCTTCTGTCCGTCTTTGCTTGCGTTGCTGAGCCGTGCGGTGAGTCGCATAACGTTGGCATTTTGTCGCTGTAACTTGGAAGTTCCGGCGGCCGCTAGACCACTCGCAGCAACTCCTGCCTTCGCTGCACACATCTGGGCTATGCTACCATTAAAGCTGGGTCGTCCTCTGCGTCCTCACGGAGGTATTTTTGGCCACGCGTATCCCGAACGATGAGTCGCTACGTGACACGGAGATGTGCACAGGACGAGAGATAGTAATAGATTCCAAAGCTACTTCAAAAAAAAAGCTACGAGTATGTAGTACACAGCGAGCAAAAAATGGGACACCTTAATGCAAGCACGCGGCCCACTACCGACGAAATCCTTGTCGACGTCCTTGTACCGCATGCTGTTCCCTGAACTGCTGCCTGAGGTACTGCGCCGCAAGGAGCGCTCTTTCTCCATATCTGTTGTCGACGGTGAGCAAAGAGTCACTCCCATGGCGTCCGATCTGTCATGGTCCGTCCTATTGACGCAAAAGGGTGCGTCGAGCGGCTTCTGTTCCGCAGCTGACGACACAACTCGTGCCTTCTTATTCGATGATGATGTTATCTCCACCCCTACCACAGCGCCTGTATCAGGATGGTTCTTATTTGCTCTTGTTGTTACCGTTTTGCTGCAACTACCGTCTCCACCTCCATCTCCTACTTGGTTGAAATTCTTGAGGTTCACATCATTGTCGTAGAGGTTAATCGCGTTCGGATGATGCTGCTGCGATGAAAAGATGCCCATTTTGACACCGAGGGAACTCAGACAGCTGCTTACGTATTGACCACTGCCAGAAAAGCTCCACCTCGGAGCGTTGCATACTTCGTCGTCTGCCCCACCCGAAGGTCTACCAACTGAACCTGCTGAGCCGCGGAATGGCACCGCCTTAGAACATCGAAATCAGTAGAGCGATGTAGATGATCATTGGTTCGGTTAGATAGGCTCACGATTATTGTTTCTCGGAAGCTAACACCAATTACTGAACTTCTAGACTTAGACACAGAGAGAAATCATAAAAACGATGCTACAACGCCTAAGCCTAATTCAAATCAGGCTTCTGAACAACTAGGACTAGGAAACGCTTACTCTGTATTTGCCTGTGTTCTTCCTCTTCGGTACATATTGTTGTGATGTAATTTCAGCCGCGGCGAAGATCTATACTAGTGCTACCTACAACACGTGAGACCATAATGCTTGCTGCATGCTGCTGAGAAGCTCGCCATGATCGAAACCGGAGGTAGAGTTCCGCGCTGAAGGCGAGAAAGAAGAAGAGTTCAATCCAGAAAAAGGGTGACTCGATTACAGAGCTCGCGCTTTCATTAGAGGTAGTCTTTATTTGCGGTACTTTTGCTCGCCACGTCAGTGTCCAAGTACAAGTGTCAGTGCTGGCGATCCAGTAGCTGATGTATCCATTTTTAACTCGTGTTGCTTAGTCTTAAACTCTCTCTATAACTAAACGATCCCCACTCATCAAGAGCAGAAAGATGCATCAGAGTCACACATGATGATCATTATTCAACAACACTAGTCCAGATCTTAATATCAGCTCCTGGAACGCCGTGATCTGGTAAATCAGTCTCGATTCCGATCACCATGAGGTTTACCAGAATGAGAACCAAAAAAATGAGGTCATACTCACCTTCCCGCTCCCCGATTCGGCTCAATATTTTCAACTGTGGTTAGAAAAGAGAAAGATGAGAGATGAATGAGTGGGACAATATCAAGGCGTCGACGGTGGAATGGAATCTAATTACTCTGATTAGCCTAATAAGAGGGTCTTCGCGTTTCACTCTCGCCAGCGGCAGAGTTGTCAGTGCGACGCGCACCATGCAGCGCAAAAAGCGCTCGCCTGAAAAAGTAAGCCGCCGAGGATCCCCGCCCGCGGCGCCTTGCTTTGTCACATATCCCCGAGCCCGAACACGACCGGCGGCGCGCCTTCTCACATTGCTCACCCATTGCTCCCCACCTGCGCAGAACACAACATCCGAAACACAAACGCCACACCAATCGCCGCCCGCAATTATCCGGCGACGGGGCGGGCGGGCTGCTGCAGTTGCGCCACCTTGCTTCCCCTACTTACAGCCCCCGCTATGGGCGCGAACAATGAGAGACCACAGCCACACGCAACGAATCAATTTAGCACGGCCCCCCCGCGCACCTTGCTGCCACGACAAAGACCAAGCTGCCAGAATAACCGTAAGACCCCGCGGACGCATCCGCTACCTGGCAAAGAAGCGCCATCCACTACCGGCCGCCCAAGTACGCAGCTGCACGCAAGACAGAGCGGAAGGACAGAGGGGCCGGCTGGTCCCTCTCTCACGCCATTGCTTGGGCCAGCCATCACTTACCACGCACAGCACCCGCACGCACGGCGGGGAAGCTGCGCTGGTCCCCCGCACTGTTGCCGCAATAGCTCCGCCCCCCCCCCGCGTCCGCACGCCGACAAGCCACACCGCCACCTGCCACAAAGCAAAACAATGCCAAACAGCCACGCACAAGACACCGAGGACGGCCTGCGCCCGCCCTCCTAAAGAAGAGCCGGCGCCGCCGCTTCCCCCATCCCCCGATCGAAATGACAAAAAGCGGCCCCCCCCGTCAGTCGGTCTCTCTCTCTTCCTTATCCGAACGAGACAGAGCGCCGACACCCATAGACAGACAAGAAAAGCCTGCCAGGCAGTGCACAGACATGGAGAAACGAGTGGAGCAAAAGCTGCCAAGCCCGACGCGAAACAACCCATGCCACAGCGAACCGACTCAGCCTCACACGCTACGCACCCACGGGCACCCAGGCGAGCGAGTCTCACTTTCAATTTAGTCGACGGGCGCGGGGGGCCGCCGCAGCCAGCCGACAAACAAAAAACAAAGAACGAAAGGCCCACAAAAAAGGACGAAGAGACCAAACAGCAGACACGAGTAGAAGAAAGAGCAGCCGGGGCCCCCAGGAGTCATTCACAAACCCAACACAGCGACAAAGAAAGGCGGCTCCAAGGTGCACAAGCCTGCCCGCCAAACCGAAGCAAAAAAGGAGAAGGCACCACCGTCGAACCCTACGAGAACTCACACACTGCCCGCCCGCCCACGCACGCGGCCACCGGTGCAGCGCACCGAAGAGCATAATCGCGGGACCACCTCCACCCCACTTCGAATTAGATAGACGAAGCCAGCGAAAGCAAAAGCAGTCAGAGGCCGGAAATAGCTCACCCAGCCACCCCAGCGACCGATGGGGCTTCAAGGTCAGCCTACAAAGCTGCATGACTGAACGAACACTCACGCACGCAGTTAACATTGGCACCCGCCCCGTTTGAAACGAGGGCGCCGGCAGTGCTGACGGCCCGCAAGGCTCCAGACATAACAACCAAGGCGACCCACTTATCATCGGCGACAAAAATCACCCAGCCAAACATCCCAAGCCAGAAGAAAAGGCACAGCGGCGAAGCCCTCGACCCAAGCGCCGGCCCAGTGCCCGCCACGCGCCCTCCCCCCTTCACCCACACAACACAACCCTGCGCGGGGACCCCTTCACAAGTTGCAACGCGAAACAAAGCGAGGCCCCCCATCCAACAGCGAGCGGCAGCGAAGACGACCTGCACACAGCACAGAAAACAGACACCACCTAACAGCAAAATCGAGCCGGGAGCGAAATTAATAATATGACTGAAGAACGACCGAGCCAGCAAGCCAACACGCATGGCGCGAAGCTCCTCCGCGAAACAAAGAGAGAAGGAACGAAGACCACACCTCCCAAAGACACACCCACCCACACACACCGCCGCCCCCAGCTTCATCGAGCTAAAAAGCACTCCCCAAGGGCTGGCCACTCACTCACACGAACAAACAGCGAGAAACGCACTGGCAATCACCTGACGACACAGAGAAGAGGGGGCCCCACCCCATGGGCAGGCAGCCTCACTTACTTAGATTAAAACAAGAAGCACCCCTACCCTGCGCCAGATTTTCACGCCCCGACATGTACAGAGAAAAGCGCCCAGCGCTTTGCTGGCTCCGGTGTGTCATGACTAGGCAAGTACGCCCAAGCTGCACAGGTGCGAGCCATAACGAATACGAGACAAACAGCGCGCGCCAGTAACTACTTCCCACGCACCCGAAGCAAAAAGCAAGCGCCTCTCGTTTTTAATCTCAGTAGCCAGTGCCGTGAGTGGCCCAAGCTGCGGCACGCCTCCCTCGTTCGCTCCTAAGTCACTGCCTTAGCAAGATGAAAGCCACGACAGCGAGGGGCCGGCGCCAGGTCCTTCGGCTCATGTGTTTCTGTTTGCTTTTTTCTTTGCAGAAGCAAGCACGGCACGCGCCATCCGCTTCAGCGCGTGGAACTGATACCAACACCGGCCACAAACAAGCCACACCCCTGCCCCCTGCTTAAATTTTTTGCCTCACGCACCGAAATGACCACACTCGCGGCCCCAGCTGCCAGCTTGTGCCAGGGGCCTGCTGCAAAAGCTGCGCAGCGTATATTTTTAAAGACAGAAGCGGGCAAAGACATGCTCTGCATACTATATTAGACACCAAAAGAAAAGAAGAACCACACACACCACCCGCGCCTGCTTGGTCATTTCGACACCAAGCCGCGCGCGCGCAGCGCGCGCTTCTGTTTTTCCATCCGCGCGCTTTTTTTGCGGGCTCCGTTTTACATGCAGAAAAAAACCAAGCGCACGCAGCGCGCCCCTCTAGTTTTTTTTTGTTTTTTCCAAGTGAGAAGCTTGACGCGCGAAAGCCTTCCCCCTCTGAATTCTTGGCGCTACTACCCTCCGCCCTTGAAATTGCTTGGGTGTTCGGGGGGTCAAACTGCCCCCATATCGCAGGGGGGGTTTTCAGTGAAAACCCCCCCCGCGATATTGTGCGAAAGTAGCCCCGGAACGCAGTTCCTTGAAGAGAACGCGTTCCGGGGCTACTTTCGCACAATATCGCAGGGGGGGTTTTCACTGAAAACCCCCCCCGCGATATGGGGGCAGTTTGACCCCCCGAACACCCAAGCAATTTCCAAGGGGGAGGGTAGTCGCCCCAAGAATGTAGAGGGGGACAGCTTTCACCATATAATTTTCCACTTAGAAAAAAGCCAAAAAAAGTAGAAGAGCGCGCTGCGCGCGCCTCTTTTTTTCTTGCACAGAAAAGCCTGCAAAAACAAGGCAGAAAAACAGGAGCACACGCGCAGTGCGCACGCCTATAGAACGAAGGCAGAAACCCAGGCGAGCTGCCTGGCCCCCCGTTCCTTTCCCGTCGCTCTGCATACTGCCAGAGAGGCAGACACACACGAAAAAGAGCGACCCCACCCACGCAAACCGAGGACACCCACAGACAGAACCAACAAAGCAAGCACGTGGCCCCATCTTTGCGCGCCTGTTGCCTGTTGCGCTGGTTCACTTTGCTGCACCCTACCCGGAGGAGGGCAGCCAAGGCCTGAGAATGAACCTGGGCAAGCAGCTGCCAACTACCTGCACCCGACCACCAAGCCGCCAGCATAACCAGCGCGACCAAGGGGAGCACGTTGCTCACAAAAGTAGAGTGGCCGACAGCCTGCCACAAGTCAGAACAACACACACCACGCACCCAAGCCAGCGCGCCGCGCCGTGTGTTTCGCAATCGTTTCAATCAGCAGCACCTTCTGGGTGCCTCCATCTCCATGGTGATGCCAATACCATAGCCAACAAGCCCCGAAAACAAAGAGAAGAGAAGCCCCGCACATGGCGCCCCTGTCTCACTCCAATGATGCAACACAGAAGACGAAAGCACTGGGCCGCGCCAAAGGTGGAAGGCAGTGAGTGCCACTCGCCTCCCATTTTGAGCCGCAGAACACTACACACACAGCGCACCCCCCACCTCCGAAAGAAAGCCCAGCCAAGCCCCGACACAAGTTGCCCCACTCCGCTGCAGAACCTGCGACACCAGGCAGCCGCACGCCGCAGCGCAAACCTGACGGACCACGCGCCACCTGTGCCCCTCACTGGGCACACCCACGAGCGATCGACGGAGCAGCGGCTCTCAAATGCGAACGAGCCGACAAGCCCCAGAAAAGTGAAGGCGCGGCGCCCTCCTAGCGGCGGCGCCGGGGTTCAAGCTGTGCCCCCCGCTTGGCTTCTCCCTCGTCCTCCATAAGTTGCCCAACCAACACCAGAGAGCAGCGAGGGATATAAGCTCTAAAACAAACACCAAAAAGCAAAACGAACCACGACGCGAGGCCAGAACCCCTTGCCCTGCCCATGGGCGCTTCTGCGTTTTGATGGTCTCGCGCTGGCCTGCGTCTGCCCCCCCGCTGAGCTGCTTGCGGATGAAAGACATGACACCGACGACGCCCGAAAGAAGACCAAAAAAAAAAAACAACAGCTACAATCTATCAGCACACACCCCAGAGGCCCCCGCCTGCTTGGGCTTACTTTCTCTCCTTTTAGGAGCAATAGTATAAGCATCACCAGCGCCAGCAAGTTCCCTCGGCTTCGACGAAGCCCCCAAGGAACAAGAAGGCGACACCACCTCACGCCGCTCAAAGCAGTCACCCCCCCAAATCACAAAGAAGCCGCAAAGCGCCGCGCGCTCTCATGGCTTTAGAACAAAGAATCAACTCCGCAGGCAGGTCCACCACCGAAGAAGGTAGCTGCCCTAGCCAGGGGAAGAGAGTTCACCCACGGCCCAGCGCCAACAACGAACGACGGCGCAAACAAGGCGCTACCTTGCGAGAAGCAAACGACCCACACCAACCAAAAGCACCGCGGCGCCATTACCTAAGACACACAACAGCAGCCGAAGAGCACCCGAGACAGAGACGACCAGGCAAGGCCTTCCGATCCGTGTTTCCGAAAAGGCTCCCGATGTTTACAACTATAATCCCCCAAAAGCCCGCCACCCCTTAGCACGCACACCAGCCCGCTCACCCAGGGGCACCCCCTAGCTTTTCAAGAAACGCTACACCGAAGCAAGCTTTGGCGGGTCCCCTGGTGCACTGCGTTGCCCCGTAGGCAACACGCGCGCGCCCTCCACGAAAAAGCATAAGCGAAGCCAACCGAACTCGACCAAACGAGCAACGACAAAGAAAAAGCACAACAAGCGAGAGAGGCTGGCCCCCCACCCCAGAGCCGCCTCCAGGTAGTTCCAACCAAGGTGCCCACGTTCTCCCTCGATGTATTACCCCGAGCCTGCAAAACCCGGCAGCACCCGCTTCGGGTTCCGCTCTCCTTCAAACAATCCAACGGAAGCCACACCCCCACAGACACCCGAGACACAACTACACACAAGCCCAGCCAGGTGGCACTCGAGTTTCATTAAGACGGGGCGCCCTCCCTGCCCGCAGAAACAAAGAGCCACACAGCTACACCATGCACCGTCCCCACGGCACCGCAGCGGCAGCCCCTCGCGTAGCCCCGCTCAGTTACCTCCCCGAAAGAGTGAGCCAGCGAAACTATTAACATAGGGCCCCCCCGCTGCTTCACGCGTTTCACCTGCCCCGCACAGCAGACCCCGACAAAAGCAGCGGAGGCGCGCCACCTATGCACGCCGTCGCCCGCTCTGTTTGCTACCATCGACCGACACCCACGGGGGCGGCGCCGTGGCGGCTTTGTGAGTGCGCTCTGACTGGGCGGCCCCATGCCGCTGCGACGGAGTGGGCGAGCCCATGACCACAAAACGAAGGACCCCGCCACCCACGGAAGCTTCGAAAGGCTTGCCCCTGAAATAATACGCGCGACGGTGTTTGTACCAGGAGAGGGGCCGGCGCCCGTGTCAGCTCTCATTTCTGCGAGAGTGGTCGCGGGGAGTCACACCACAGCGGGGCGGCGTGGTGCATTCAGTCTGGACGCAGTGAAGGAACAGCCCACGGGTGTGCGTTCTTCATTTCTACACGGAAGGGCGAGCGCACTCCGCGGGAGCGCTGAATTTTGCAGCCAGCCGAGGCGGCTTTGGTTGGGCACTATTCGCAAGCACCACGCAAGCAGGCGCGAGGCTGGCCAGAGTGCTTTTCCCCGGCTGTTCTGCACAGGAGGCGCGTGTCACTGTTAAGAACTCTGCCCACGAGATTCGAAGACCCTACTATTAGGAGTTTAAGAGTACCTCTTGAATTTCTCGTGAAAGGAACCACGTACAAGATTGCATAGAAGATGCAGCGCTATCTTGCTTTTGCAGACGAGTGAAATTGATGGGAAAGACGTTGATTTTCTTTCTCGACCTACTTACGAGGAAAAGGAATCTCTACGAAAAAATTCTTAATTTTCCCTTGTCTGTGCAGCGAACTGGGCATCCTCAAACTCTTGTCGGCCGAACGCTTTGGCGCTAAAGCCCGCAGTTCCTCCGCTTTTGCGTATCATTGTTCCCAGCAACGTGCTTCTTTACTAGAAATTGGTAGTCGTAATGCCAGGTTGTGGTAACTTCTGGTCGAACTACTTGTATGACCCAACTTGTGCTGGTTCTGGTGTTCTTATCGAGGATAACGCCGCTCCCTGGAGGTTGTAAACGAATCTACTTGCTTCAACATCAAGGATCTATGTTAGTTGCTAGTACAACCATGAATACTTGTTGTATTTGCACTGTATACGATTAATAATAAGAACTACATCAACCGAAATAGACGAGACCATCCTCACCGGGGTGTCTCTTCAGTGTAAGTCTAAGTGTTCAAGTTCATCTAAGTAATTACTAAGAATGAGCGTGAATCTTCATTAGTATTTATTGACTATAAACGAGCTGTGAAGCTGGTTGTATCATCCTTCTTCATTTCCCTGTTCCTCCACGGTCCTTTTCATGAATTTCAACACAGATGTTGCAGTCAAAGAGCCATCGGCATCGGTGTCTAGGCTGAGTGAGCCTTTTTCTCTAGCTACAATTCAGTTGTTAATTTCGACTATCTATCGCCTGGAAGTATCCAGTCAGGGTACTTGCACTAAATACCCGTTACGGCGGATTACCATACCAGAAACATCAATGTATCAGAGATGGCGAAGTATGACCTTAATGTAGTGTCCTTGCCTTCCACTGAGACAGTGACATTGTCTGTCCAAAAAAAATACGTAAAGTGCACATGCAGTAAATAACCCTCAATTTTAAAGAAGAGACTACTTTTCCGGTCACTGGCTGAAAGCGGGTCGCCTCATCCTTGCACCACCGGACCAGCATCATGCCGTCCATCGTATGAAACAAGGTACTCAGCAGGTTTTAGGGTTGCTCGTCTTGTGGTTGTGCCTGCGTCATTCAAAGCGCAGGGCCCGCGTACAGGCCTCGGTGCGCATTTTGCTCGAACATTATTCCATATGTGAATGTGTGTCATGAGAACTCACATTACAATCATTTCAGGCATTTATCTATCAAGAAGTCGATAGAACACTCGCTGGTCGCTTTTTCTATAAAGATCGATCTAAAACTAAATATTTATAGTTACAACATTGAAACGTCAGTTCATTCTCATTGTAGACAATTAGTACTCGAAGTTGTGGTGTTAGTAATTACTGCAATAACTGTCTTTGCGTTTGCGATCTTTTTTTGGATGCTTCTTTTGGGGCAATTAGGGGTTGTCATCACGTTGCGCTAACATGCCTCTTTTGCTTCGCCGTGTTTTTGCGCGGCTCAACTCATCCTACGCTCGTTGTAGTCGTTCACTCAGGTAATAGATTGTGCGCACTAGGACTAGCTGCGCGGAAATCTATGTATTGTACTCAAGAAATCTAGGACCAGGACCGGCCTTTGTTGAAATTTGCAGCATCGGCTGAGTTGTTCTTCAGGATATTATTCACAAAATCTTTTAGTTAAGTACATCGTTTTTCACCCAAAATAGTTTCTATATATCGCCTGATTTCTTGTCGACGAGGATATGAAGTTTAACATGAAGGTGTCCTGGTTTTCTTGTAGAGCTGTGGGCCCAGCTTCTTCCTCATTATCGAGCTTGTCCTCTTCTGAGGCTTGTGCTGGTACGAAGCGTATTGCTGCGACGTCGATAACGCGGTGCATGCTTGGCGCGGATCCAAATTAGCGACCACAGACGCAGAGAGTGGAATTCCTTTTCCTCTTCAGTCTCACGAATGGCACAATTGTTCAGCACCTACATCAGTAGATGCACTATAAACATATTTATACATAGTGCACTTAAACAAGATGATGATCATCGTATACATAGAAGTAGCCCTCACTCTCTCATTGATTGTATGTTCTATCATTGAAGATCAAGATGCATAAGCTCCTGTTGCGCCACTCTTTGACGTTCGGTTCCCCGTTTTCCAATCTGGAAAAAGTGTCGATCGGCCGTATGCGGCGCGATCGAGGTCCACCGAAAGGCTGAGAGCGGCGCCGAGATTCGAGCCCCCGACTATGAATCCATGGTCGCTGGAAGCACGAAGGCAAGCTGTAGATTGGCATGCTGGGTCGTCTCCGTCGAAGTACAGATTTGCATTCGGGTCGACACCCCGACAGACCTCAACAGGACGGTCGGTTTTTGGCACTGCAGCCCTGCTTTGTTGACTCGAAGATGCTCCTGCAGCAGCTTCCGAGGATATCCCTTCAGCTCCTGTTGAGGATGACGCCATCTCAAAAAATGACTGACCACTAGCGGAGAAGGCAAAGACGTAGCAGTCCTCGGGGTCTGCAAATTGCGTCGAGCGGGAGTCCGCAGCAAGAGCAGGCCACACTCCGGGACCGTAGAGGCATCCACAGAGCTCGTGTGTAGGAAAGTCGGCAGAGTGATTGGTGGAAATAATAGGGTAGTCTGCGTGATGAATCTCATCAGGTGCAAGTGCCACCCCTACTCCTTCACTGGAGGCCACTTGAATTCGCGCGACCACCAGGTAGTACGATTCGCGGAGATTTTTTCGATTGCGTGCCTCCGCTAGGGCTCTATTCATTTCCGTAACGTCGCCCCCGTCCCTCTGTCTTCGGTATACGACTTCTGCCAAGAACGCTTCTCGCTGAAATCGCTGCGCAAGAAGCGACTCACGACTCTCAAATAGCGGTCGGAGCCATTCCAGCCATGCGAGGTCGTTGCCGCTTCCAGCGTCATCGCGGCAAGTAAATTGCATTTGCTGTATTGATAAATCCTCATGTACTAATCTCCTAGTCAAAATTCAAAAATGGATGAAGATTTCCTCATTAAACAGAACAAAAAATGTTCGTGTTGATAAAAGCCTAGTAAAAAAATTGCCACTACTTCGAGTATGTATAGCTCTCTTTTCGGAGAGAGGAGGGGAGGGGACTCTTTGGATTTTTTTGTGGCTCGGTCAGAGAAAGGCAAGCCTTGCATAATCTTTACTACCCTTTAAGTAGGGAAAAGAACATGATAAACAGGAGGAGAAAAACACAGAGACTAGGAAACCGACTCCCGCAGATCGCTAGCTTTCGAAGAAAAGCGCGATGGCTATTGTTCATGGTCAGTAGCTACTGTTCGTGGTCAACAGCACGGCTCTTCCCTTCCTGCGTAGTGGGTGTGGCTGAGGTGGAATGCTTGAATAAATAAGTAAACCAGGCGATGAGAAATCCTCGTCATGTTCTTTTTGCTTGTTCTTCGCCTTTGCGTCTCGTCCGTGGCGTTGTGGACGAACTCAATAATATCTTGACGCAAGGTGCTGCAGTGCTAGGAAGTTTATTGACAAAATTCAACTTCAAGCTCTTTGCATTTTTCTAAGAGGCAATTATTGAGACCAGGAAGAAATCAAATGTTGATGTCTGATAAAAATATATAAGAAATCAAAACGGGTTCGCAAGAATACAGAATGAGTTAGCAAGGTAATTCGATCGCAAGAGGAGATCGAAGTGGCAAATCACAGCTGTTGATAAATTCGTAGCCGATTTAAATTTTTCACAAGAACTACGGTCTGGATATCAAATACTGATGCTAGAATATATATAAAATCCTATTGATGGCGATTGCGTACTACAGAGGAAGTGCGTCGCGTACTTCTGGTACCATAGAGATAGAAGAGAGAGATCTTTGAGCCTCATATCTATGATGCGGGTGCGCTCTTCTTAAGCCTTGAGAGCGCCTCACTACAAGAATTAATGTTGAATTCGGAATGGTTTGTTCTCTTGTGGCAGTTCGTTGCAGGTACAACTAACGCATGACCAAGAGCCTTCTCTATGAAAATCCGTATGTAGTGAATTCTTAGCGACGCCGTGCGCGATTGAATGACGACCGGAGAAGTGTGACGCATGCGCTAACATGACAGTTTCTTGAATGAGGACAACCACACATGACATTCATGAGATACGCCGGAATTTTTTGAGTCCCTCCCACTTCTACTGCCGCTGCGACAACACTAAACCTGGAGGTGGCCCTAAAGATATCTGATGAAATAAAAAGCTCATATGCAGCAGCATGTCTAGGCATGATGTTGATTATGAGTAGCTGCAACTGAAATGAAAATGAATAAATTATGATGTTGAATTCTGTCTGATTCTAGTTTTTACAAAATTCACTAGGCGCTGTAAAAGCAAATCGTGGTGTACAAGTACATGATACAACTGAGTGTTAAAAATGTCGGTTTCATCGTCATGTTACTCGAGGATTCCTGTAGCCTTTATCCATCCGTGAGGAAGCAATAGGAGATGCCTCCTTATTCCAGTGTTCTCGCAGGATCTCCTCCGCTTTTTGTATCCGCAGCATCGTCATCGTCAAATTCTTCGTCAATGCGCACATTGCCAAGTTCAATGGCATCTTCTTCGCCCTGCACCTGCTGGGAATACGCAATCGCATGTGTATTCTCGTTCGGACGCCACAGAAAGGCAGTCACCACGGTGAGAAAGCTGAATTAGAGTAGTAGTAGTTTACCCATTCTTGGGGTAAGTAAAACTGTATTGAACAGGGGAGGAGGGGAAGATGAGTGGGTTATTAGAGACCATCACTGAGTGGTACTTTCATTTACTAAGCAGGAAGCAAGTCGTAAGAATTGCATGCGCCGTGGTCTGGAGTTCTTTCATGCTTTATCTTAAACTTAATGTCACAAAGATCAGATGATACCTCACATTAGTTCAGGCTCAGCGACCTTAAGCAAGTTCAAGTTAAGCATGCACAACTACTTTGACGTGCTAATACGCCTGAGGAAAACTCCACGAAATTATGGCCATAGTAGCTAGTATTCTTCTTAGCGTTGTGATCACAAGGACAAAGAAGTCTTCAGTGTTGCTGTAGTTGGAGAAGTAATTATAGTGCTAAACTTCAAATAGTAAAACTTATGCTCTAGTAGTATCCACCAAAATGGGCATAGAAAAAGATGGCATGTGACGCAGCATCGGTGAAAATCCATCGAGAGGACCAGTTCTGCGAGAGATCTTCTTGACGAACAACGATGGACTCATATATTAGAAGGAGGAGAAGGCCTCCGCATACCTGGCAATAGAATTGATAGGTTTTGGTTTATTGGTAAACTGATAGATAGTGTACCCACGACTCAGAGGGCGTACAAGGAAGGAGGTTCGTCACGCCGTGTTGCTATTCAAGGAATTCCAGCAGAGCCACTGCTTACAGATGCATTTTTGATTCAGAAAAACAATCGTCCAAAAGAAGAAGTACCGAGATAAGTGCGAGGCGAAGATTCTGGTACACCTCAGCCTTCACTTCTTGCTTTGACTGCTGCAAATCCTGGATGGTTTGTTGCAAGGACTGCATAATCCACACGACAATCCAGGACACAAAAAAGCTCCCCGGCGCAACATCGATCATGAAACGGGAATCTTCTTGAGATAGAGCCCGACGAGGGGGCGTTAAATCCTACGGTGTTCGCTAGTTATCTTCTGAAGTCACTCAATGGACCGCCCTTCTTAATAACTACGCGTAATTTCTTATTTCAGGGTCGTCAGGAGTAGTAATCAGCCATGATTAATTCTGTTCTAAAAAAGTACATCATTGAACAAGTAGTTACATTTAGATCGTCCTACTAGTGCGCACGATGTCATCAAGAAAGTCAGACACGATATAGGACAAAAGGCCGTACAAAGGATAGCTTCCAAGGTTGAACTGTTAACATCGATGTTGCTCAGTCCCGGAAACATCTCCACCTGCCGCCACGTGTCGGTAATGACAAATGCTACCGTAACCAAGACCACGTGTGTAAGCTGTAGTATTGTCGTTATACCATCGGATTCGGAAGTACAAGAACTTCTACAGGAGGGGAGCAAATAATAGTTAAAAATGCGCCCGCGTACCCCCAAACTGCTCCTGCCTCACTCATTCAGTAGCAGCAAGTTCATCCTTGTCTCTTGTGACTCAATCATCGAAGATGTGAATAAACTGTACCGTTTTCTTTTCCGGCTTAGCATGTGTAACGCCGATGCCGAGGCATGCAAGAAGCAAGAGAGCATAGCATACACCTTGCTTCACGGTCGTTCCGAGGGTAGCGAGAATCATCATGCCCCACCAGCGAGTTCCCACCATAATTTATGAATGTGGAACCATTGCAGTAAGCCAAGTCTCTTCACTGTGATTTACCTCTACGACATTACCTTCGTCGTGACCTTCAGTAACCAACATTGATAAAAAACCGAAACTACAAAATAAAAACGGACAAGACCTGCCAGATACAGAGTGGCTCTTGTCCCTAGCCAAAGCAGAACTTAACAAAGTGCTGAAAATCCTAAACACCTTGTAGAAGGCATCTTCACACTCATAAAGTGAAACGAATATTTTCACACTAACAACTTGTGTTCTTAAGTTCCAATGCGACAGGCTTGCATACCAGCAGGCTGCCTCGACCACACTGCATGCTAATGCGCAAGTGATGAACTTATGGATGATGAAGAGGACGTCACTCCAGGCCCAGCAGTATGCAATCCACAGCATCAATGCCACCGCATTAAGGGCGGAAAGGAACAAATAGAAACTCAGCTTCGGCATCTCTTCCGCCGGCAAGAATCCATTCACCGAGACGACACCAACGTCACCTGGATCATGAAGCAGTAGATCATGAGGAAGTTGTAGATTATCTTGTGCATGTGCTTACTTTCTATTCCCCATTGAACTACCTCTTAGTTATATCGAAGCAGTTGAAAAGTATCAGAGTTTGATGGAGAATAATCACGAATCACGAGGACATGTGGCATAAACTTGCTACACCAGGGTGCTGGCATCCGTCATTCACTCAAATGCCTTTCCTACAAATCGCGGGGGAAGTTCACAGGAAGAAAAAAAGTACTAGAGCAGCCTAAGTAGTAGAAGAATACCTGAAATAAATTTCGCATCCTTGCTGTAATTTTGATCGCCACAATTCGATATTGCTAGAAAGTAGAGTCCCTCTTGCTTGGGTTTGAAGAGCTGCCCGCTAAATCCACTCAGGAAGGTCGATTTGTCCAGCTGAAGATAATGTGTTATGTTGACTCATTTGTGAAGAAAGGTCAGGGATGCGAGGTGCAGCAGATGTTGTAGTGAATAAAAATGTATGTCATCTTCATTTCATCTACTTGATGTGCTTAGTATTCAGCTACGTATAATAATATCCCATGTAGAAGATTTGTCTTTTTCTGCATCAGTGTAATTTTCGTTTGATGTATTATAATATACGCCACCAGAGGAAAGTACCATGAAACTGTACGCATCCGTTTGCGGCTTCTCCTGATCCGTGTAGATGAAGGCCTGCTTCGTCCTGCACTCTTTTCTTTCGATATCTGCCTCCTCGCAGGTGTCTTAACGCTTTCCAAAATCACCCATGATGATCCCCAGCAGTCGTCCTATCATGATTTACCAACCTACTATGATCTTCTTAGTAGGATGAGTAGTGTTGTAGACCTGCTAGTGCATAAAAGTCTAAATGAACGTCTTCTGATATGTCGAGTCTGCTGTCCTCCCGTTAGAAAAAGTACAAAGGGGATCATTTGTCGTGACAAAGGTGCGCCATAACAGAAATGATCAAACTGTATTTTCTTCTCGTTTTCGAGAAGAGAGTGGTGCAACACGTGCAGCTGCATGCTCGAAAGATTAGAAATGAGGCGGGTTACAATGGTGGGGAGCAAAAGATTGACCCTCGTTATGGTGTTATACTAGCATAATGGCAGAACGATAGTCGGTAGATCTAACAAGTCAACGAACTAAAGGAAAATGTCTTCCGTGCCATCAAGAACTTCTAATCAAAGCAATGTAGAAAGTTCTCGTTACGCATTACGAGTCGTAATGAAAGTTGACGGAAGGTTCTCGAAGGTAACGGGTCCAGTAATGGAAAATTCTGAAGTGACAACGTCATCCACTGTGAAATAGTGGAGGATCTCGAATGTCCGGCTATCCGGCCATTGCCGGATTCTTGATAACCGGAATTTTTCACCCAGTGTCGTGGAGAGCAGGCACGACGAAGATACCAAAACATGAAAAGTGTCCTTCTGGTTTTTGATACAGAGAATCAATGATGGCAATAGAACATAATGAGGTTGAGGGTAATGAGGTTGAGGGTAATTGGGATAATGATGTTGATCAGGACATGGTATCGTTGTACACTCCTAACCATCCTGAGCGACACTCCCGCCACTTCTATTTGTAGTTTCTATTAGCAAGAAAAGGCCCTCTTTTCAAAGGTTGCTTGGCAATTCAAAGAGAAACGCAAGAAAAAAATAGCCTTTAACGTGGGTCACAGACTTGCTAGGGATGGAAAAATCTTAAACCGCACTCATAAAATAGGGACACAAAACGCGCCATTTTCCCCCGTGTTGAAGCACGCAACGATGAGGCCAGAGATGTCATGTTTTTGTCTGTTGATGTTGATGTTCTGCTTACAAACAAGTGCAGGATTTTGTTGATGAGCAAATAGCACAGCAGCTGTTGTTGTAGTTGTTCTTGATGCGTTAGAGCGACTGCTTCTAGTACAACAAGAACAAGTAGTACTGTATGGGAAGCTAAACTAGTTGTACCTCCTATGGATGCTTCGTGGTGACTGCGAAAAATATGTGAATCTCATCAATCTCTCGGATTTCTGGATTTCTCTCGTGTCTTGGATCGGGTGCCTTCGCTCTGCTATCCGTTCAACGAGGGAGAGGAGGAACTGTTATTGCTCTAGTTGATCTTCTTCGCGACGAATACGTATTCAGGTTCTAAATGATCTTCGCGCGTCCTGTGTAAACTTTCGCAACCAACCGGCCAGCAAGAAGAACACTGTTTCTCATATGAGCTGAATCGGATCAGACCCACAACATGTTGTCGTACAGTTGCTGCGGTCTACAGAAGAACACACGCAGCAGCGAGAACCACTTTTAGATCGACGGCTTTCCACCTTCAGATGTGCATCTATGAATACTTACACAAAATACACCTTTTTTCCTCATCTGCGCTTGTGCTCGACCGCAGCCACCGTTTGTCTGCTTGAAAGAAGCATGATATCATTCACCTGTGCATTTTTCATGAAACCAAGAAGAGAGTTACTAGAAGTACCCTCGTTCTTTTTCCCATCACGTCGAAACATACGGCCCATGTTGTTGTTATAATTAATGGCATTAGTTTCACAAATATTTACGTCAACAGGGTACAGCTACTAGGGTGTTGTACCTACTCTCCTTAGACCCCTCGTCCTCCGATGATTCGGTTGCATCCACTTCATGAAATTTTATGGTGATGACTTGATGCCCTTGCCTGCACCCACATGGATCCCTGGAAGGGTGGCGAGACACGGGGCTCCTCGAGCACCGAATCATTTCATAACAACAAGACTGTTTATCAGAATGCCAATGTGTACGAACGTAGAAAAATGAGCTTGTCCTGACTTGTACCTGTTGATCAAAAAAAATGCTGGTATTTCGATCGACTCACGAAGAGGAGCAAACTTGATTGTTTACAACTACTTCGTGTAATTCAAATGCTCCGAGTATTTTTCACTGGCACACCACCGAGGCGACCCTCTAGAAGGCTACAGAAAAGTGATCATGATGAAGATAGATCATTATAGACGCAGGTGGGTTGTGCTTATCTGTTAGTGAATGTGAATCTTATCTGGTGTCTGAATCTGAAATGTAAGTGCGTTCCTGAAGTCAAAAAGTCAGAACTACATCAAATAATCCACACGGTACAAAACCAAAACTGGATCCGCGCATCTGACCTAGACCACCAGGACCAGCACGGCCACGTGCTGAACTGTGTATATGCAGAATTTTAGAGCGTAACGCGATAAGAATAAACATCCGCCACCGTTTTAGTTGTGTTTATTCCTATCCTGACACCGAGCGACCCCGACGATAGAGAGAAACGCGACGGGAGGAATCAACGACGCCCCGAATTGTGAAAATCGTGCGCAGTTTTGCCTGTTCTGTGTGTTTATTCCTATCCCGAGAAAAGTTTCCTAGATCGTGTTTTCGTCTATCGTTCTGCAGTCGGTTTAGAGCGAAACTCGTGAAATGCTTCGAAATCGCAAAAGATGCGAAGGTCGTTGGCACAATTTACGTCGTAGGCGGTCTGTTGAGGGTTTTCTGTCGTGCGAGTTGCGCCCATGGCGTAGTCTGTGCGTTGAGGGTATTTCTGGCCTTTTAGTCTGCTGAGAGGATAACTTTTTGTGAGAGTTAAGAGGATAGCCCGCTGAGGGTATTGCCGTAGTGTTTCAGCAGTGTTCGGAGGTCGTTGGCACAATTTGCGTCATAGGTACTTTGCTCGAGATGAAATCTGTCGAGAGTATTGGGCGGCGAGTCTGTTGAGGGTATTGCGCTGACTCTGCTCGGAATGAAATCTGTCGAGAGTATTGGGCGGCGACTCTGTTGGGGGTATTGCGCAGCATGTGAAAGAAGTGCACACGACGCCGATGGGAGAGAAGTCCACACGACCCAGCGCCAATCTGTTGAGGCTGTTTCATTGCGACCTGTTAGAGGTTCGCCGCGCTTGTCAAAGAGAAGAGGCCGGGAGCTGTCTAGTCGAGTGCGGAGCCATGCTGCAGCTGCTGCATTGAGGGACGAACCTGCGCGGCTCTATTCTGTTTGAGATTTTTGCTGGTTATCTGTTGAGGCTTTAAGCCAGCCTCGCAAATTTTGAGAGTTTCGAATTAGATAGGCGCCCAGAGGGGTCCACCGTGCGCCCATCTGTTTGAGCTACTACTTAGTGGACGTCTGTGGAGGGTTGAGCTGAGCAAAAGTCTGGGCTTTAAAGTTGTTTGCGTTTCGTTAAGTAATTGAGCGACTAAGACGCGCCGAACGTGACTCGAAGCGCACTGACGTGGCGACATACTTAGTCCGTCGCTTCTCTTTCAAGTCCATCCATGGCGTTGCTGCCCCCCCCTCCCCCTTGGTGCTTTGTGTGCTCATGCTATTTTTTCGATTTGTTGAATCTGTACAATGTTGACAGTCCAGGCGCTATTTCTCAACTCCAACATTTTTGATGCACTCGCTGCTGATCGTTAGACGTGCCTGATTTTCTTGCCTGTTGCGCAAGCGCGTCGAAGCAGATGTATGACTCGCCCGCGAGGACTAAGAATGCTCATGAGGTACGCGCCGCAGTCAAATAAAAGCGAACACTTTCGCAGCTGTGAAAATCTGCAACATGCAACGCGTTGCCATCTTGTTCGCCGCCACTGCTCCACACCGCGTTCGATAGTTCTGTCGTTTCTCATTGATTTGGAGCGCAGTGAGTTTGTCGCGTGAATAGGTCGCCGCTCCCTTGATTGTTCGCATAATTATCCTCAAACGATGCCCGTTCGGCCTCATTTAATTGTGTTAGAATTGTATGATTGCGACGCATGTACTTGCGTCCTTCGCTACTGGTTAACGCTCCGATTTGTGTTTGGTTCACCTGTTCATTCCTATCGTTCCGTTTCCACCTAAAGTTCTGCATATATACATCATAACACACAATATCAATCGTGGTTCTATGTTTAGTGCTCGGTGGTCAGGCGTCGACAACTTCATTTAGTCTTAGTAGACTACTTCTTAGGGGCGATGCGCACCCTTACCTGTTGCGCTTTAAGGACGAGTCGCTTACTGTTGTGCTTGGGTTTTTTCTTGCGATCCGGCGACACGTTCAGATCCACAGTCTACTTCCGCGAGCATATCATTTGTCGACCTCCGTCCTACTTAGGTGAAGTAGTCTTGCGCGTTGAGCGAGAAATACAAAAAACGGCAAAAAGCGAGGATAAGCATAAGACTCGTGTATGCATGAGAGGGATTGCAGTTTTTGTTCCAAGTACTTTTTACGGCCATCAAAAGGTAGCTAGTAGCATTCAATATGCGGACGATATACCCAATTACAACCCGCGCCGGCGTATATGTTCCCGAAGTTTGCGAGATTCATTTTTTTAACTGTACAAGGAGTGGCTCGGGATTATCCATAACTTTTCAGATGAAGTCAGATGGTAGAAGAACATTCGACGATGGTAGAAGCAAAGTCTGATGAGATGGGTGACGCGGCGCCAGAAGACACAAGGCAGGAGGATGAAGGCAGAGCAAGAACAAATGTAGCAATAGGTGAGGAGTACAGGTATGGAACCAATGAAAGAATGACAGATGGGCAAGAAGATAGAACGACACGACCAATCGGGTACAATGTATTACTTAGATGGGTTTAAGTTGTCCTAGTTGTCCCGTCTTATAAATATGATGTTGCTGAACCTGAAGGTGGAGGCGGCGTGTGTTGATTACATCAGGATGGAGATTATAAAGGCGATCATTATAATACTTATGAAGATATTAATGCTGTGAGTGACGTGAGTAATAGACTGCATGCATGCCTCATTCTCATTTTTTGCAAAGCGGGTATTTAGATGAGCGGTTCGTTTGTTTTAACGTGATTGGATGCCGCGTGCCGACGCGCAATGCATGGCAGTCTAAGAGGAAGAACATTGCAGCCACTTCGCTCCTCGGAGAGAGCGTCAGCATGATGCAAGTTCTACATTGAGATGATGTCCCGCGAAGAACCACGACACGACATTTCCATCTGTTCCTTCTACACCTATTACCATTTGAAGTAGTAGAATAGTATTGATATTCATTTTTATACACACGGCCAGGTAAAAGAAAAGTCTACTCTGCAATGTTGAAGTTCAAGTTGGTTCATTTTTGTTGCATAATCATCTGTGTAGTTGCTTAGCCTTAGATCATTCGGGAGAGATCAGTTTGCGGAAGCCAGAAGCCAGCACCGTCTGTCTTCTTGGCGTACCATAACTAGGTAGGACTCAGAGGTAGTACGAGACAATAACTCCACTACGCATTCTCTGGTGCCAGTACATGCTCCTTCTGCATCGAGTTGAAATGTTCTGAGTCAATAAGTCAAGTCTAACATCTTGGTATCTTACGGTATCGTTCGGGCTCGGTAGTTCCCATGTTATTCAACATCACAGACGCAAAAGACCAAAACTTCTGAGGCATGTGTTTTAACTACTAAGGCCCTCGATGCTCCTCACAAACAATCAGGACATGTGCTCGTCATTTTATGGTTCATTTTTACAAACAGCTGGCGAGGGATGATGGACGTCGCTGGACTTTTCTACACATGGATACTCAAAGTAGGTATAACACGAAAGGTGCAGCAGGACAAAAATAGATCACGACGACGAAACACAACAGTTCAATCATATGAAATCGAAAACGATCTTCACAACGAAAGCCAAATATAATACACATCACTTACGCGACCAGCGGGTTCTTGTCAGGCACGGATGACCTCACAGACAGAACGAAGCCCGAAGACCCTCCAACACTTTTTTACCAGAAGAGTGAAGCTGAAGACTCTCATCTGCAACTATCTACTCCGAATCTGGAGACAAACTACGCAACTGGGACTCGTGGCTAGGTTTGAGACGCCAGACAGTCAGGACAATCGCTATCCAGATATGAAGCGGAGTCACTCATTAGTTCTTTTGCCTTTACGTAGTATGGTGAGCCAAATTTTTCTTGTCATTTTAGGTACACTCAATACACATCATCTTCACACTGGCACTCACCTTTGATTAAAATATCGACAATCGATTCATCAGTCATCACCAAATACACACTCAACACAAAATAACGCACGATTCCCCACAACACCGGAGACTTGCTTCACCAAAAAAAGCCGACATAAATTGCGGTGTTGTTCTACTACTTGATCTCACCCTTTATCTCGTCCGCTAAGTAACTTCTATGCTGATTCCAGTTTCAAATTCTTGACTACTTTCGACTACATGAGTCTAGGCAAGGCGGCCGGAAAACCGTTCCACCTTTTTCACCGATCAACCCATGCTCTCCTTCTTCATCGCTGAAGAACACGATTGATGTCGGTATACCTTAGGACACAGCAATACTACCATGCTCCAGGATGAGTCCGTTCCATTTTTCTCCGCGGCTCTTCCTGCACTTCAAAAGATGATCTTCTTGAAAAAGAAGTTTTTTCCGTAGTACGTGTCTAGGTTCCGAAACGAACCACCCACGTGACCGAGAGAGTCTTTGTACTTTTTCTAAATCTCTACTTCATCAAGTATGGAAATCGATCGATAATATGATCTCCTGTTCTATACAAACATCTATATCATGTGACTCTGGATATCTCCTATGATCTAAATCTAAATCTCATCCATGTCCATCAAGGTCCACGTCGACGTAGCTAGCATTTGGCGCAGCCTCCTTGTTCTCCAGGGTTTTTACAACGAAGTGGTAGTTGCTTTCTGTTTCTGTTGAGATACTACAAGGCTCAATAAGTAGATGAGAGGTGTCTACATGGATCAACATCATGAGGAGGTTTATTGGTACAAGACGAATGTCTGTGCTTCTTTCGTCAAAGGAAAATACAAATCTACTACTGGAGTTGATTTATACAGAGAAAATGAACATGAGTTATACAACATTACTCGACAAATTCACATATAGCGTTGATACAACTAGATACAGATCATGCCCGGGAACGATTCATTGAATGTTGACTCCAGTTCAAATATTAAAAGATAGGGATCGAAAAGTTTGTTACACTTCATAATTACATCATGAGAAGTCGCTGAAGTTTCGAATGCAGTTTCTGGTGCGAATCTCTGTTGCTCTCGATTCCCCATGCTGCTTCTCATTGTCGCGGACTAAGAAGTACCAACTTCTATTTTTTTCTGTAAACTACGACAGCTATGCTCTTCAATCAGTGACGAGAGAAAAGTTGGAATATGACATGGATGCCCGTGGTGAAAAGAAGATGATGAGGTATGAGCTTGATTCAAGAATCTGTGCAAAGAGATACAAGCATGTCAATGAGTTGCAGTGGAAGGTACGACAGACGCACAAGGAAAACAGGTGCCTCCCGCACGAACATGGTCACGACTTCCACTACTCCTAATATTCAGCTATCTTCATTATGTTTGACCGTTATTATCTATGCAACCGATTTCTTTCCGTTGTATATACTACACGTTTGCTCATTCAAAAATAGAAAACAATTAAAAGCCACAATATACGAATTTCTAGCCCGAAGGTCAACATTTTCACATGACTGCGATTGGCAGCAGCTCCTCCTGATGACATCAAAGTCGATCAGCCCGACGTCGATTACCACAACGAGTACAGCGGCATCTTCTTCAACTGACAGATTCATTGTTCAATTATCAAAGTAGAATTATTTCTATTTGTAACTACGCTGATCCCAAAAAAACATGATTTTTTTTGTCATCGATAATCGAGGACATAAACGAGAGAGCGATCCCGCGTAGAGGGCCCACCTGACTCGTCCTGCTGTCCTCAACATCAGTAGTTTTCTTTTTCCCCTTCCTACTTGCCCTTCACCGAGATGAAGAATGGAATCTTTCAGCCTCAAACTACATCAACCAAAGCCACCAGCTTAACTCATTTCCCCTCCGTGTCTACTTTACTTGTTTCCACCGTAGATTTCCAACGGAAAGTTGTTCTTCTCCATCCAAGCGTCGTCGAGGAACTTGCTCATGTAGTTACGTGTGCTGTCCGAGAAGAGGACGCAAATGCGGCCCTCCGTCATGCCCGAATCTTGGATGAAGGGTCTTAGAGGCAGATGCAGAAATAATATAAATATGGGAGTTGATCTTCTTGATGTAGTTGCACGTTTTGTTGTACTTCTTCTAATTGAAGCAACACGTGTGTACTTATTCATAAATATTGGTTTTTACTACCACGTCTGAATCCTTACTACTTTGAAAGTAAAAAGAGGCTGTCGAACGACCAATTCGCGGCGTCAACAAAAATCTCAGAATTTCATTCTACAAGTATTATAGATGAGCAATTTGTTCCGTAACTTGAGCGCGCCATCCATGCAGGAACCGCAGGAACCACCGACCATAATTCCTTCGTGTCGGATGATACTGCGGGCCATCTTGAAAGCATCAGCATCGTCGGTTTTCACCCAAGAATCTGCGCCTTCTTCGCGATCCAACACCGACGGAATGAAATCGTATCTAGTAGAGATGGTAGTGGAAGTCGAACTTGTGAAGAAGATGACAAGAAAAGTAATTTCATTTTGATAGATTGAACAAGTATGTATCGTTAGTCGTGCTACAACAGGATGATTGTGATGGAGGAAGAGAAATGGCAACTTCTTTGCATTTCATTTCTGAATCAGATATTACCATCTGATGAACAAGGAAATACCCGATGCCCTCAACGGCGTAAGGCTGAAGCCGCTTCTCCTCGTTCAAGTTTTCCGGAAGCGCAAGGATAGAGCTGTAGTGGGGTAGTATGCGATCAATCTCCAAATCACCGTCCTCGTAATCATAGAGGTACGAACAAGAAGGTTATTTCATTTATGGATTTCAGAAGTAATCATGCTCGAATCAGTTTGTTCTATCCATCGGCTTGCAAAAGAATGTCTACTCAGCAGAATTTGATCAAGACCATACGGAAATCTTGTTAAATTTCGATAGCTGTATCTATTTTAGAAAAGTTAAATTTCTAGGCGTTCAACCAGTAGCGGTAGAAATACCCCTTGGGATCGACCCCGACGACTTTGACCGAGGGAATGTCTTCTTTCAGTCGGCGAGAGACGCCGGTGAGGGTGCCACCGGTTCCGGTAGTAAGGACCATGACGTCCAGTTTTTTCTCGAGTTGCTCCGCAATTTCGCGTCCGGTACCCTCGTAGTGCGCAATCGGGTTGCCGACGTTCTTGTACTGATCCAAAATGTGGGCACAGGGAATAGCACGTTGCAATCTGGGTCGATCAGATGAAGTTGGATAAAAAGTTTTCTGCCGAGCAACAACATCTTTAACTTTGTATAGGGACGAGGAAAGATTTTTTACGATTAAGAATCTCTTGCAAACATCTTCAACTGATAATTTTCTAGGTGCGAATCTGCTGCCTGATATAATTGGTTACATACTACCTATTTCTTTTGATATAAGAATATCGTTGTGGTTGCTCTTCTTCTTGTTCTTGGTGATATCTTCTTGTTAAAAACTATGTTCCATCAGACCAAATTTACAGGGGTATTGATGGAAGTAGCAGTCATAGGGGAATAGTAGAGAGAACAAGAATAATACCGCAAAGCCAAGGCGATGTGGCTGTTGGTGTCGTTCCAGCCAGCCTCAGTCGGGGTACGGTAAATTTCGGCGCCAAGTGCCTTCATCATATTCAGTTTCTCACCACTCATTTTCATCGGCATGGTGATGATAACCTGGCACAGAGATCAGACTGATACGGATATACATGCTCCAGGGCTCAGGGCTGAAGGCCCCCCCGGTCTAACTTTTTGAGGGGGGGCTGGGCGGGAAGGCCTCGAAGCGCCCGCCTCTGACCCCTTCCCGCTTCTTGCCTGGACCCTACAGCGCCACCATGGAGGAGGCCGCTGAAGCACTGAAGGGCGGACTTGGAAGGCTTCCGAAGGTGGCAAAGGTGGCAAGGCGGGACCCCCTTGGCGTGTTGCATGTACCCCACCGACCTGCCTAAGGTCGCAAAGCTGGACCCCCTTGGCGTGTTGCCTGTACCCTACAGACCTGGCGAAGGCGGCAAGGCTGGACCCCCTTGGCGTGTTGCAATTACCCTACAGACCTGGCGAAGGCGGCAAGGCTGGACCCCCTNTACCCTACAGACCTGGCGAAGGCGGCAAGGCTGGACCCCCTTGGCGTGTTGCAATTACCCTACAGACCTGGCGAAGGCGGCAAGGCTGGACCCCCTTGGCGTGTTGCAATTACCCAACAGACGTCCCTTGTTCTGCTCTCGTCCCTCGTTCTGCTCTCGTCGCTCTTCCAACACTGTGCTGCACCAGATCCATCCACAGGGGGGGCCTCCCTCCCTGGTACATACATAAGTAGACGTTCTTGTAATATTAAGTCGATTCAGCACGTCCAAAAGCAGAAAGAGGAGAGAGAGGTTATAAAAAAATTAAAGATGTGATGAATCTGTAGATGAACTTCTCATTGTATTTTTGATTTTGTTGCTCATCTCTACCTTGTATCCCTTGATAGCGCCAGCCATGCACAATCCGACTCCAGTGTTACCCGAAGTAGGCTCAATCAGCACATCTCCTGGCTTGATGCGACCATCCTTCTCAGCTTCCTCGATCATGCGGAGCGCAATTCGGTCCTTGACGGAACCTACGGGACTAATCTATTGAGGAAAATGTAAATGTTTCTTGTTTGTTCTTCGAAGATGTCATAACGAAAACAAAATGCCTGATGGAGTTGCGAATGAGCACATGATCGAAAGATACTAACTTGAATGCTACAGCTCGAAGTCGTGAAAGAAAAACTGTCACTCAGAAATTCTATCCATCGTCCGTCTTTCTTTCAAATTCATTTGAGAAGAAAAAGAACCGCCTGCGGAGTAACATTCGCACTTAGCGTAGAGCTCGAGTTTTTCCGGCAGCGCCAAGGCCTTCTTGAGTCGATCGAGCTTGATCAAGGGGGTGTTGCCGACGAAGTCCAAAGCGGTTTGGGCAGCTCCGAGGGGACGCATTTTGGGCGCGAGATCTTTGCCGGCCACGATCTTCGCCTCTAACTGGTCCTTCACTGGTGCCTCCGACTCGTACGCGCATTTCTTCACCCCGTCGTAGCTGGGGAACGGGATGGCCTCTTCGTCGCCACCCTCAACGAAGGGGGTCGCGGCGATCTTGTCGGCGATAGCCTTCATCTCAGCAAACGTCGGCTGCATCGCAACCTTCACATCACCCTGTTCCGTCGTCATTGTCTTTCCGGGGACGCAGCAAACCATTGTAGTGCGCTCAAATTCGCAGCTTGTTTGGACAAAGAAGAGCTGGATCACACGCGGTGGGTCGTTTTCGTCGAAGTGAGCAAAGATTGCCGCTATCGTACTCGCACGAGTTGATGTAGCGTATGATATCAGAAGCAGATGACTGGTTGATGGCGGGTGAAAAACTTGCTGTAGTTGTAGACGATGGTAGCGTCGCCGTTGCTTCTTGGGTTGAATGGTAATCGTCGACAGCTCTTATCTACGACAAGATCAAGAAAAATCGCCTGAAACAAATGAATCAATGTTGCGTTCAATTTTGGCAGTGCGTTCTGATATAGAAAAACTTCAAACAACAACACTGGTGAGATGCTAGATGGTAGGTAAACCAGATGGGCGTTTCTACACTTTGTGGTATGTGTCTAGTTTCCCTATACTCAATACATTTGTAATACAACGAACAACAAATCCCAACATTTTTGTTTGAGGTTGGGATATGGGAATTTAGGGCTTAACTTAGTAACCATGAAGAAGATTTTTGCCTGTGGTACGGGTAGTCTTGAAGAAGATGAAGAATCGCTGTACCATAAAAAAAAGGAAAGAATCTGCAAAGAAACCGGAGAAAAGCCACGAAATACGAAGACAAAGCAGAACAACAATCAATGTTGGAGAACGAACAAGATGATGAGAATCACGAATTTTCTATATTTGAGTTAATTTTAATTATTTATTATGCCTAGTATGTCTGTCCTAGTCCTTCATTTCCTACGAAACAACAAAAAATCTTATACCTCTTCACTAAAACGTAAATGAATCTCAGCGATGTATTCGAAAAACTGAAATAAGCGAGCAAGTACTAAAAATAAGGGAGATAATGAAAGAAGAGGAATGTAGTCACGACTCTTTCATTTCAGTCCGTAACTCGCTTATTTTGAGTTTTCAATTAGTTGCTTTCGCCTTGCGTCTCATCGCACCAACACTAGCACTGCAGCATTCATCTTTCCCACAATCAATGGTCTCTCATCACTCTTAATTATCAGTCTCACAAAAAATGCGGAAAATCAAGTTTGACAGATTCGGTTTGTTGCTCGAATACGCTCTCAGTATTAAAGTGTGCGCCTCCACTAGGTACATGAAGACTTGAAACTTCGTACTGCGACGATGGAAAAGAGAAAACACGAACGAGTCTCGCATTGGATAAACATCGTGAAGCGGGTTCACATGGGTACAATATCATCTCGTTCCTCAATTATTCTCGTCACTCGAAATGCACAGCTCTTCCTCCAACAACTACAACAAAGTTTAGAGTTTGCGAGAATCCATATCTTCTTGTTAATCACGTTCGTTAGGAGGCGCGATTATGTTGCTATTAGTAGGAGCGTGGAGATTTCAAGTCTGTGTCAGTAGGCTTAGCCTAATCGTGGTACGATGCCGTCTTTACAAAATTTGGATTTTTACAACCCGAACTGCGTATGCCGCTTATCTTTCACCTACTAGTATCTACATCAAAGAGACTTCGTTGTCAATTTCTATAATATACCAACAATCCTGAAAATATGTGTGTAAATGAGCTGAGTACAATTCATCTTTTTATCTTCAGAGATTCTTTGAAATCGGAGTGAAAATCATATCTAAACTCACCTCTAGCTGAAGTTCTAGTACTGTTTGTTGTGCAACCGTAGTTGGATTGTCTGCCTCTCAGCTATGCCGATGTCCTGCAGCGTCGCTTCGCGAGCTTCCTTCTTGTGTGACACTAATCTTGCGTTAAGGCTAGAGGGCGCTGCGGTCTTCGTGTTCTCTTTCTCCAACGGAGGCGAAATCTTTGGTGCAACAAGCAAGTCGAAATCTTCCGTGCCGGCTACGTTTTTTGCCCACACATACAGCTCTTCCACTCGATCCGTCTCAGCAAAAACTTCGTACGGCTGTTCCTAGATGACGGGGAGGCGAACCGTTACGAATATCCGTAACAACCAACGAGAAAGACCATGATAGATTGAGATTGTGTGCGTACCGATGAATATTCGGGACCCGCTACCCCAAGGATGCCCTTGTTTTCTTCTAGTACTATGAATTTTGTTTTTGATTCAGTAATACTAAACCACAATTGATTATTAGCTTGTAGTACTGTGAAAGGAGTGAATCGATGAAAGAAATTTATCAAGCACGAGAATGAAGGCAAACATGAGAGAAGCGGAAACGCGAGCTAATCAGGAATAATTACTAGTAAAACGAACTTCCTTAAATTTCCACGTTCACAGATACACAATTGTTTTTAACCTTAGTTATGAAAGAAATACCTGTAAAAGAGCAGTTTGCTCTGCCTCGCGACTGATTGTAAGTGTAAATCGTGCCCCGCGAAGGTCGTCAAGTGGTGAACCGTCAAAAGATTTCCGCGACGCCGCATGGTGCCTTCGCACTTCTTCCATGGTCTTCATCGGAGAAAAATACCTAAAAATAACCAGAATCATGATAGTGAAAACCGCAACAAGAATCATGATATTATGCCCAAATCTTGTTGTTCATCTACCGGTCACTTTCTTTTAGGTACTGGTATTTGAAGATGGATTACGACTATTAGGTAGTATACTGAGGCCCAGGTGACGCACCCCGGCTCCTTCGCGCAGCTTTAAAAGGATTCGGGATGCGCGTAGAGCTGGATGCAGGCGTCGGACTCTCCAAAAGCTTCGGCTGGGCTAGATTCTTGTCAGTCGATGCTGATCCGATACCTAATGATGTCATCGACGTCACAAGGATCTAAACAAGCTCGTCATGCAAGCCAGTCACGTTTATCAGCTGTAAGAACAAGAAATTATCATGAGGAAAAATAGTACGTCGCTTCTTCGCTGATCGCTCTTCAGCACTGCAATCGTCTGCGACATGATTAGAGGAGAAGCTCAATTCTGCAATTAATTCTGAAGAGTAGGATCGTCGAGATAGAAATTCTCGATTACAACATAACAAGAATGCTTGCACTTCCAAGTAAGTAGATGGATGGATGCTGCTTTGTTGTAGATGAATTGATGTTGAGCAGGGATGATAGATAGACAAGTCTTAGTTATCATCGCTGCTTTGCCACTTTCGTCTGCATCGATGTCCATCAGGCTAGTGCTCGGTTGGACAACCAGAGACGAGCTCGCGCGGCTTGTAGCGGATGCCAGAAAATTCTCGTTGTCGGCTCGTTGCGCTGAAGATGACGCTGCGTCTCCTGTGGTCCAGGAAGATGGTTGCTCGTCTGGAGCGGCGTCCTCTGCTCGCTGGCGTTTTCTTCCAACTACAGGAAAAGCCCAATTCCAGATCCGGTTGAACAGACCACCCACAGCCCCCAACGTAGAAGATGCTCCAGAAGAAGATGTTGAAGTGGATGATGAGGAACCGAAGAAAGTACTCTTTGCCTCCTGTGGAGATGCTTGAGCATCTATTGTAGTTGCTGCAGCAGGAGCAAAACTCACGCCTCCACCGGATAATGCTGTTCTTGATGTTGTCTCGGTTACCGGCTTTTGCTGCCCGCTTGTTCGATTCGCAGCTGCTGCTTCTGCACGACCGGCTGTGAGGTCCATAGAACTACAGCTAGGTTCGATGCCTTGGCCCTTTGCGGGCGCAGGACGAAATGTTGTTGGACTTCCGATACGACCTTCATCATCTTCGTCATCTGCACACGGTAGTGACATGATATAAGCCTCCTCGATCGTGTCGGCCTTCTTCACAAGTGGCCCAGAAGCGCGTCCGTTCATCAAACCAGGTGAAATTAGAATGCAGCACTATTCTTTTACTACAGCCCACCATCCTGAGTAGTAGACACATCCCGGGACACCTTCCTTTGAACGTGAATCTAACAACATCCCCATCGAGATGAAAAGGATGCTTGCCGAAGTTGATCAGTCGTGCTGTTGTAGTTGTTGAGGCCTTAATGATAGTAGAGTGGTTGTTCGTGCGTGGAGGATGCCAACACCTGAGGCCGACGTCGGTTCCTGGATCCGCAATGACGGTGCTTGCGGGCCTGCAGTTTCAGCCTTACTGCCGCACATTGAAGGCTGTTTCTTCCGCGAGGAAGACGAAGAAGACGAGGCACCCGACGAACAATTCGTTGCTCTTTCCGCTACCGCTGCTTTGGAGGTGGAGCTAGCCTTGTTGTTGCTGTTGCGACGCGCAGGCATATTCACTGACGAAGTGGTTGAAAAGGTTGAGCCTCGACAAGATTTCGATGGCGCATCTGTCCTATGATCTTCAACATGACAACTACCTTTACGAAGGTCCTCCGACTTGAACACGGCATCCTCGTCATGGTGATCGTCGCTGATATTACTCTTCACCTGCTGATCTTTGTCTGTGTCGCGTACAGAAGCATTTTTGCTCAGCTCGTCCGCATCCCTCTGCCGGTCTGTGCACGATAATGCTGGTGCAGAACGGAGATGCGCTTTCATCTCCTGCTCCATGATCTCGTCCTCATCCCTTTCATCGTTTAGGTACGCTTTCTTCGATGAGAAGACTGAGCTTCTTGAAATTAGGCTCGTCGTCGCATTCATGTCGCCGCCGTGGTGAGGCGCTTCTTGCTCCCCATCATTCTCGCCCTCGTCGTCGGCTTTCGGCTCGTCATCATCATAATCACCTAGATGACGGCGCGCAGTGTCCTTATCCCGGCACAACGGTGAGGACGAAGCGCTGGAAAGACCAAGGCCACCTTCCGGAGCCGCAGGTGGAGAAAGTTGCCGCATGCGAGAGCGAGGCGTTCCTGGTGCGATGACGATGATGATGACGCAGACTTTTGGGATGCCACCCTCATCGGGTGCAGTTGGCGTATATATAACTGGTAAGCGTGAGATAAGAGCCAAGAATTACAGGCAGTAGTACTGTTTCTTACCTATCGTATGATCACGTTGCACTATCTTTTGTACAGTGCCAGCTGCACGATAGTACCTACCCTATTAGAATTATCAGTAAAACCGCCTTAACATTCTGCAGACACTTATGTTTGTTTTAGGGGACACACGGGTTCTCTCAAAAAAACAAAGAAAATATATACAAATATTTTGATTGCTGGTGCCTCTAAATGCAAATGGTAAAAATGATGCCGTGTCGTGAATATTGTCTTGAGCTTCTTATTTTACGTATACCATGCGGAAAGCGCGACCCCCCTTGGCCTTGTGAGAGAATCCGCGGCGGTGATTGGCTGCCGCCTCGCACATGAGACAAGGCGGCTGCTACTTCCTCTGGGCTCGATCCACTCTCCTCACCTACTTCCGACCGAATCTCATCGTCTTCATTCTCCTGGTGGACAACACAATGATTTATTCTTGTCGCACTTCTTCGCGATTACATAGTAGGTGAATCCTCATCATCCTCGTGGTGAAGCCCGTCAGTAAAACTGTCTCTAAAACTCACTGAGCACTTCTGTGCTACAGTTTTCAGTCACTGTACCAGTGTTTATCTGAAGTTTGAGATTAATTTTGATTTTAAGGAAGACACGGTGTAAGTGAAGGAGAGCAACTACAGCGAAGACGCTCTTCTTCAACTTCCTCTTGCTTTATCAAAACGGCCACTGGACCCACCAGCATGATCATCAAAAAGTCGGCTACCTTCTCCACGTCCGATATAGGTGAGCTTGGTGCTAGCTTTCTGCGCTTCGGTTCAAACTCGGATTCTGTGCCGAGCTCTTCGTCACTGATCTCGGATCCTCCGCCACAACCTCCGGCGCCATCCATTTTCACTTTCTTGAAACAGAGAAATGAAAATATTATCAAATATACGACGTTCCTTCTAATCGCGGCTGACCTTCATTCAACAACACCAATTATCTCCTTGAAAACAGTGCTCTTCCCGTGCAACTTGTAGAAAAGCGCAAGAGTTTTCGATCTTCTAATTACAGTTTTTCTCCACACAGTCGCTTAAGCGATTCCTTGTTGCGACAACTATCGTAGGCGTAATGCGCATCTTAGGTACGTATTCCATTTTCTTGCTGATTTGTCGTCTCTGGGCCCTTGCTTGTTCAGCTCCGATTGGAATTGCGTAATTACCAGACTACCACAAAGATATGAAGATAGGTAGATCCAGGCCAAGCTAAGTAGCTGCTACTTCTATCTAGGCTCTTTTTGGCTTTTCTCGAAGTCACCTGCTTCTCTAGACACTGCTTTTCCACACTCGTCGACTCGACAGATGAAAGAGAATGCCGTCGTCCGCGATATAAAATGTGCATTTTCTTGTTTAGTGTGTCCGCAAGTCTTCGAAAACAAGGAAAAACTCTCAAGTCGGAAAAAACTGAGTCACGCAATCTAGCGTCGTAGCTCCATCCTCTCAACCATCCGCTCCAGATTTTCAAGAACAAGAAGTAGATACTCGTCGAGAGTTGTAAAATAAATGAATACCCACGTAGGAGTATTGAAGTCGCTTCGCGGGAATAAGCTAGCAACACACGTCGCTATTTTTATCAAAGAAGAATTTTTTCATCGCCAACGAATCGCATCGACTAGTTTGGAAAAATGTTTCCATGACCACACATCGAATTTACTGTGTCAACCGAGGAGGACTGGCCTTCTTCCATCGCCCAACGCCGTCTACGTCCGTCGCACGAAACTAGACTTACAGGCGCAGCCAGGCGCTACTCCCTATCCCTTTCTTACGCGATTATTACATGATGAAGAAATCTCAAAATGATAAAAGTCCGCGTAACTGGGAAAAAATGCTCCAACGCCTAAATATCATCTTCATCAGTAGCTACAACAACTAGCAGCTACAACAACTAGCTAACCTGGAGATTTCTCAAAACCTACAGGTGGAGTTCACGTTGTAGCAGTGTCTATCGGCTGTGTTTCTGCGTTCGCCTCTTGCTGCTTCCGTTGTTGAATTAGCTCACGCTTTTTTCGTGCTTCTTCCCTCCTTTTCGCGATGAGAGCTCGCTGATCCTCCGTTAGCGTCGCGCTGCCCGCTGTGAGAGGCGGCGCTGTTGGAACAACTGCCGCGACGTGAGGTTTTGCCACGTCATCAGCGCCAACTGCTTTTACTTTTAGAAGTCCAAGTCGCCTCAATAATTCACTCTAATACACCCATCACTAGTACAACCTGATCTGCAAAAATCCTCGTAGACATAATCTGAAGAGTAAGTACAAACCTCGTGAGAACGACACTGCGATCATTGCCTCAAGCTTTCTCCTGGATGCCCTTCTGGAGTCTTCAACGGCACAGGAGCTGCTACAGGTGTAGGCGGAGGAGCTGCGTCCCCGTTTGAAGGTCGCACGGAAGCCACATGTAAGTCATCGGCATGCTTGTCCTTCGCTATCGGAGTCGGTACATCTTCAAAAGCTTGTGCGAAAGACCGCTTCTGCCCCAACATCAGGTCCTGCATACACTGTCCTCCTCCATCATTATCGGGGGGAAGGCATTTGACTTCTCCAGTTGCGACTGGAAGCTTCGTCGTTACCAGAGCTGAGCAGGAAACAAAGTAGTACAGTGAAAATTTGTCATCCAGAAAGAGCGTATGATCATGAACAAGCGTCTCAAACACACAGAATAAAATGACTAGAATTTCTGACATTTGTTTCATCAAGCACCTCATCCGTGTTATATTTGATCTGACAGCATTTCCTTGCTTTCTGTTGAAATTCAAATCCATGTACAATTGAATAACTGTCGTGTCTGGCTGCAAAGGCAGAATACCTTGTAGGCCGCCTGCTGCATCGATTTCACTCAGGAGGCGGAATGCTCCTCCCTGAAACGTGCCCGCCGGTTGCATTTTCGGTGCCTTCTTCGAGTCGGAGAAATCGACATGCGCGTATCCGGTTAGCGGTACACTCGCCTTCGTGGTTTGCGTCCAGTCTTCAACAAGTGTGTCTGCCTGAACAGTTTGCAATTGAAATGGGTGCTGGTGATAACGTTGAGTCTCTCTAGCCTGGAGATTTCCTTCGTCTGGTAATTCTAAGTTTGCAACATGTGAAGACGTCACGCGGAGAGTCGTAAAGGACCCGAGGAAAGCAATTTGGGGTCGATAACCTGCGCGCACCGTGCTGCAGCTTCATTACTTACATATATTCATTGACATCCACACCTTGAATTTCTTGATTGCTTTCTCGTTTTCTGTGCAGATTCCCAGCAGCCTCGACTCCACGTTTTCCACACCCCTCTTCCTCAATTCTAGCTCCTTCTGGCCGACAGCGAGACCGCAGCGCCGAACGGGCATTGTAGTCGGAAGAGAAAAAGATGTACCTCTCGCCTCAAAAGAATCTGCTCTCGCACTTTCGTTCTTCTTTCGTGCGTTGGCTTGTTCGCCATCGGCATTTAGCTTCGATTTTACCGAGGAGGAAGGTTCAGGCTCGACGGAAGCAACTGTGGTGGAGATTTTGTCATCCACCGAGACCAGATAGCATCCGACAAGATTCTCTCCTTTGCTATTCTTGCTGAGGAAGTCTGCCAGTTTCTCCTCAGCAGCACCCTTGGTGAGCTTTAACGCGCGACACAGGTGAACGACACTTATGCCACCTGCTTTTTGCAACCGAGATGCAATTTGCTGCTCAGTCATTTTCTTGCTGCACTGGTTTATAAACTATTGTGTCAAAGATGTGCTATGGAGGTTCTCGATAGGTAAAAAATCACAGTGGCACGGAATGTCGGCTAGAAATTTTGTTCATACGAACTTCTGGAATTGAAAGAATGTGCTTCTCTGGCTATGTGTAGTCAAAAAACCTCACCTTCCGTCATTTTTATTTTGGAAAAAGCCTAAAAAATTGCAAATGTGACAAACCTATATTCTCGTACACTTGAAACTCGACCAAGGAATATCTATCCACTTTAGGTGCATACCCAAGTAGCCAGATGTTTTACACGCTCTGCGTGATTTTTATGAAGCGGAGCATGTGCATTGGAACAGGAACACCCAACCTCAAACAAAGGATTACTGCCAGGCGGAGGCGAGCAAACTCCTTCTTCCAGCCTCACACAACAACTTGTGTTGCGCGAAATCTGCTTTCGGGAGATAGGGTAATACCTTTCCTGGGGTGGAACTCAGCGACAAGACGAAAATTATGCGCATAGTCAGTCTTGGTAAGCAGAAATCGTTTCATCTACACTCGTGAAGACACGTCAGTGCGATGAGGGATCTTTTTCATCATGACTGCACAGAATATCGTCTTCGTTCACTTGATAATCGTGGGACCGTGCAGAAGCAGAACTACACCTGTGCCAATAATATCCGGACATATAAAGTTGCTATAAATTATCGCAAGCATGATGGCGATGGGGTACGGGATCTACCAGAGAAGTACATCTACTTCTACTACAAGAGATAGAGAGAGAGAATGGGGCTCACCAGGGAGAGGACACGCTCGTGCATTGAACATCAATCACTCGAATGCCAGACGATTTTTTTACCCAGGCCATTAACTCTTTGAACGCTCACGTTTGCATCTCAAATCTAGAGGGGGTTCGTGGGAGCACTACTCTGCAACTACAGAAGAGATATACAGGATAGGTGACCTCGGCATAGTCGTACAACTCCCTCGACTTGTCCTAGTTCGACTTAATACCGCGGAGCAACGCACCTATATGAACAAGGCCCAATCTCTTCTCCTACAGAATCGCAATGACCGATCATCATCATGAGGCTCAGAGAATTTTGAAAACCAGAGACATTGAGTTGGGCACTACTCGAACACGGGACGTTTGCTGTATCGCCGGGTGCTGGAGTCTGTGAGGTGTGTTCTCACAGGTCGCGTTTAGCTGTGGAACCAGGCACGGCTCTTGCTCTATCACATTGTGTATTTGAAAGAAACAGAATCTGTGAGAATCCCACTTATGGCCTCGCCACCCTTGGTGCTCCATCCAGACGCGTTTGAAGTAAACGAGCGGCAGCTGCTGCTGCTCCAGCAATCATGATGCTACCACGGCTTATCGATCACCTACCGCCTCTAGTTTCGATCGCGGCCACGAAGTGCCATCTTCATCCTCCTGCTGCTCGTGTTTATTCTCCATTGCCATCTCGACTGCTACTATCGTGTCACCTTCCGTTTTGGTACATGATGATAGTCAGAGGCAGTTCGAATCTTCTTAGGCGTCGTTGATGGTGACCTCGACCTCCACACCAGGTTCAATGTGGATGGAGGTGATCTGCTTGACAACATCGGACGGGGAGTGCAAATCGATCAAACGCTTGTGGATGCGCATCTCGAATTTGTCGTAAGTGTTGGTACCCTCACCGTTCGGGGCCTTACGAGTGCAGATACGCAGGCGCTTGGTCGGCAGACGGACCGGACCTTGATGAAATTTTGAATTGGAGAGATGAGGATATAGATGGGGTTCTCGCATAGTCGCTTTAGGTTGATGGTCTCAGACGGACCCAAAACGAGAGAAAACTCTTGGTAAGAAAAGTGTACTACTGACCGTCCATCTCCTGGCTAACCTGCGTTACTTATTAACAAATCTTTTCGAGACGGATATAGAGGCTAGAACCTAAATAATCAAGGACTTTTCATTACCGCCTACTATCCAAAAGTAGAATTTTAGAAATGTTCCAAAGTGGTACCCTTGCAGGTGAGGTCCTTCGACTTGGCTCCTTCGATGAGGTCAGAGCAGACTTTCTCCAAGGACTTGACGTTACGGGATGTGAGCGTGATGCGGATTTTGTGGAGGGTTTCCTCCTCCTGCTCCATACCCATAGTCTTTTCTTTGTCGGCCATTTTTGGAATTCAGGCAGGTGCCAGTCACGTTAACTCGAAAGTTAAGTTCTGTGAGTCCCACGAGGAACAAACAATTTTTCCCTGTTCAAGTTAGTCGGAAGCAATAGAGTTGAAACAAGGCAAAATTGATTATGGTATCCGTTTATCTTAGGTGCACGAGCGCGACACAGGAGTTATTACAATGGGAGCAACAAGAGTTGTGAGTGTAGGAGGAGACGGCGCGGATCACCTATCCCTATGAGATCCGGCTGTCTTTAGAAGTGCACTGCACATCAAACACTTCTTTAGAGTTGCTGATCATCCAGATTTCGAACTTCACACATCACCATACGATCTGCATACGTTTGTAGGATCTGATCTTAATCTTCTAGATTGCCTTCAGTGAGAACACGAAGATGATCTCTTTTCGTGATATACATCTGCTTCAAATTCCATCTTCAGGTGACTTTCAGTGAATTGATTTTTCTACAAGTAACAAATTTGAGTGCACGTCAATTTCAACACGGTGGTTAGCCGAAGACAACTGACCACTACACATCACTTAAAAGTTTAGAATTGAAATCTCCAAACCAAGAAATTTAGGATTTTTTTTTTCATTCCAATTCATGGCCTGAGAAGCCCGCCTTTTTTTGTGGCGCCATGCTTATCCGAAAGGGAAGAGCTCGCATGTTTTTAGAAAATGACTTTGACACTTTCTAGCTCAACATTCATAGGGAAATAGTGAAACTATTCCCCAAAATAGGGGATTCGCATCGGTAACCAAAACACTCTCTAGTAGGTGCAGAAAATATCATCGTAGTCCTCGTCTAGGCAACTTTACTCGTCTAAAGTACGCTAGAGCTTAAATTATCCAAGAAATTAACATTATTCCATCAAATTCAAATTCATTTTCTGGCGAGCTCAGAGCCAGAGGTGAAAGAAACGGTGTTTGCTGAAGCTTTTCTCTGCTCTCGTAGTATTTTCGCATCGCCCTTCCTTCTCAGACGCTTCCTTTAATGCTGCAGCAGGGGCAATAGCGATAGTGTCTGGGGCCAACCTCGCTTTCATCTTCGACGCAGTGGTGCACAGTAGTCGAAAAAGCGACAAATTCGGATAAGTCCTTGAAGCACGGAGCCACAATGTATTGCCACCGTCCTTCTATACCCGGAACGATTCGCTCGTGGACGTTCGAAATCCGCCAACGCAGAGGCTCACCCTTGCTTGACTGCAAAAACACGCCCCTACAAATGCCGGGGTGCGGTGCGGTCCTCTTAATGATACAACTTAGTGGTAATGTGTCCGAGTCCACCTCCAATGAACTCGCTTGAAAATATTTGCGGCGGCGGCGGTGCAGCTTCAATGCTGCGCACCGCATATACCAGCATGCATGTCCAAATCGCGTCCAGCGTCCCGCTTGTCCTCACATGTATCCGCGTGTGCTTTCAATCTGAACCAGTACTGCTGTCGTTCTCCTCCTTCACAAGCGGACATGAGATAGTTCCAGGCATGGACAATGAACTGTGTACGAGACCCGAAAAGGAAGCTCTTGTGTGCAACTTCACACTCCGTACATTCTTACATTCGCACCGCACGAAGGAGGACATGCATTGGGAAGATGTAGTCACATTGGTCTTTCGTTGACTGAACTATGTCCGTTGCAAAATTTTGTTCCATCGTACTTCACAGGCGAAGCCGTTTCCTTTGTCCTAAAAATGTCTACGCGCTACTACATGTATTCAGTAGTGACGCATATGGTGAAAGTTGTGTGCACTGTAGTTCAGCGAGTACGAGATTATTGCATGAAATAAGCCTTTCCTCCCAAGCGCGGATCACTTGGCGAAGTCATGCAGAGGCACTGGGTCGCTCAACTAGTATTCACGGGGACATCAACAGCAACACCTTTATTAGTCTGACAGTAGTAGATATCGTTTGTCGTGTGAGTGTTCGAAAAAGAGTGAACGACAACTAAGAAATCACTCCACCAAAAGTTTCGAATTTTGCGTCGTGTACATGTATTTTACTGTATGTTGCAGAAAGGATTTTTCACCTTCACTTTCGAATGCAGAACCGAAGCCGACACACGTAACTAAAACTGCGCCGTTTGAAAACGTGCCGATCTTTGTCTTCATGATCGACGCAAGGCCATCGGCATATCAACAGATTACCGCCGAAATCCATGGTGGTGGCAACTTACGATCAGATCCCACTCTGCAGCAGGACGATGTTTCCGACGAACAAGACTGCGCCATCAGTCGCCAAAGATCAGTGGCTCCGCGTTTCAGAAGGTGGTTGCATTTCGTCAGGGCCACAAAGCTCAGCAAGACGAGGTAGCCCTCCTAATACCTCTGAGTGCGTTAGTGTTGTAGAGGGGCCGTGACGATATAGCAGTCTTTTGGCAAGGGAAACATGCGGGGACGGACCTGCACGCACCCTCACCTTGTTGTAATACAACAAAAGGGCGTGTGGTCGGGGGTCGGGATTCAAAAATGTGAGTGGATGCCTCTATTTGCGCTTCCACATCTGTGATCATGCACATCGAGGCACCGCTTGGTCCATCCATTCAGGGGCAGGACACGAAGAAGTTGAAGGGACGGACCTGGTTAAAAATTAGCTGTTCTCCACGACGACGCACAACTCGTCGAGATCTACTTCATCCGAGTATTGACTGCGTTCCTGTTCTTATACTAAATTTCCAACAAATAAGCGTACATCATAGCATTTGGAATAAGCATTTGTGTCATGTCTCCGATGTGTAGTGTCCATTCAATGTTTTAACTGTTACCAACTTTCCACGATCTGCACACAACCAAACAGTCACGAGCAATATCTAACCTTGACACAATAATTCTAGTTAAAAAAGAGATTATGATTACAATAACGAGAACAAAGAAATGATTGCGCTAACGGGATGCACCACCTGATTGTGGGGACATCTCTGCTTTTTCATTCTACAAGTACAACGATCAACATCGCAACAACTGGTAAAAATTATTGAGTGCTATTTGTACGAGAGATAAGTCGATGATATCGGAAGGCCGTTCAAATTATGACAGGACTACTACTCATGCTGGCCATATGAGGCGCAAGTTAGAGGTCGCGTTCGCTAATTTTCGTGCGACTATGGGTAATCGCGAACAACAACGACTACGCTTACGGTGTAAGAGTATGGTTATAGCTGCCATGAACATTTATGGTTTCATAACAGCTCTGAAGCGTGTTGGGCAAACCCAAGCCGCGCCGGCAAATTACGACCTCGTCTTTCATCAACATACTATAGTACCATACCTTGGACATATCAAATAGAGCTCAATCATGCTTTCTTCTGCGTTTGCAGCATCTCTTTTTGTCAATCGAATACTACTTCATCTATGTTATGACATTCTTGGTGTGACTCACTGTTGCTGGATCGCTGCGATTGCAGTCTACTTTATAGTTCAGCCTTTTCGGGTTCCGCAGTATTTTCCGGTTCCGGTGCAGCAGATGCGTCCGCATCAGATTCCGGTGCTGGCTCCTCCGCAGACTTCTCGGAGGAGGCAGTGCTCGCGGTCGCGCTATCGGCGTTGGCCTCTTCACTGGCGGGTGTCTTGCTGTCTCCCGCTTCCTCGCCAGCAGTTGCGCTGTCCGCCGACTTCTTGGAACTCGTGGCTTCTTCGTTTTTACTTGCTTTCATTTTCTCTGCGAGCAGGGCGGACACAGCCGCCAGGGCGTCTGCCTTCGCCTTCTCCTCAGTCTTCAGCTTGTCTGCCAGGTCGTAATCCTCCGTGGACACGGCGTCCACCTTCTTCTGCCGCAGCTCCTCAAGCTCGGCTGCCAATGCTGCCTCTTCAGTCTCCAGTTGATCAAACGTGCGCGTGTCCGCCTTAGTTCCTGGTGGTGGATGACAAAAACAAGATGAAGATTGACCACCAGAATAGCTTGGTCCAATATCAAGAATAATGAAGCTGGGTTTCAATACACACACACAAAATCCGCCTACACACGCATCCAGCGCTCGAGTCTCCTCCCAGTTGTCGCACACAGGTTCTTGTTTAGCTAGTAACCACAACGAGAATCATTCACTTTTTCTTTTGCAACTACAAGTCGACAAGTGCGGAAAATTCTGCCTCTTTCTAGAATCAATCTCAACTTTAAGTTGTACCCTTCTTTCCTGCACCACGCGGCTTCTGCTTTCGCTCCTTCGGCTTTTTCGTCCGAGAGAGTCGGTTCAAATCGGTGATAGACCGATCCAGGTATCCCTCGATCTGTGCTTTCGTGAATACTGGCTCTTCGTGTCCCGGCTTAGCGGCCTGCTCTGCTTTCTTTTTCTCCCAGTCTCCCAAGAAGTCGTCGACCTTCTGCAATGCTTTATCTACCTCCTCTTTTTTCAACCATGGCATACCCTTCACTTTTGTTTTCGTCTCTTCGATCTGATTGATGTAGAAATTGGAGAGGTAGATGTAGAGTGCAATTCATTTAGACGACGGGACATCATCGTAGCGGTGATGCTGCACCTTCATTTGTGAAAGACAAAATAGGCAAAAAACAAATGCTGAAAAATTAGAAAACGGGATCATGAAGTACCTTTCTGATCTCTTTCTCCATGAGCACAATAAAGTCTGCGCGAGTCTCGTATTCGATAGCCCGGTCTTTGATAGGATTGAAGAGTTCTTCTAGCGACTGAAGTTTCTCCTTCATCTCGGCCAATGTTGTCTCCTTCGTGACATCGTTTTCTGACCAGTTTTCGACCTGTCGTGAATTTAATAGAGGCAACGACTGAGATTATATAGGGGATGTGGAAAATTACTCATGAGAACAATTTGTCTATTTGCTCCGCCGCCATAAAGTCTACAAGCAAACATCTATCTGAAAGCAAATGTTGCAGTCATAGTTATTCGATACTGTGGCACAAGCGACTGTTGATTATGTATGAATTTGACTACCTCCTCAACTTTGTTGAGCAGCTCTTTGCGCTGAGCTTCAGTGGTGACTTGCTGATAGACCTCGGCTTCCATTTTCTCTCGTGCCATGTAGAAGAAGGCCTCCAAGTCGTTCTTAATTTCGTCCATCTCAGCCGCTTCGTTGTCGTGTTTTGTCATCTTAAACAGCACGTCCATAGCCTCTGTGATTTCCTGCTCTGTCATCGGCTTCGGAAATTCGTCGCTACGGCTCACCTAACAATCACGTGAAAAGAGAAGTACTCCCAAGGTTTCTTTGAGTTTGATCTACAACTACTTGATGGGCTAAGGACAGAAGAAGTGCTTCAATGACAGGAATGTTGATTTTCAATGTTTGTGGCGGAGCCGCGACCTAACTAGAAAAAAGAAAGACCAGAGGAAGATAGAAAAGAGAGAAGGGTAATTATCATCAAGTATATATTATAAGGTTTCCGTGGTATGATCGTAAGAACAGTCTGTCAGTGGTTGCAGATTTACTTTGCTTAGTGAAGAAGCATGTCTCCAGTACCTTGAGGCCAATGATGTGGTTCTTCTTTTTAAGGCGTTTTTTCATGATTGGCTTATCATCCTCTTCCTCGCTTTCGGCTGCTGTTGTATTTGTCGCGTTCTCAGCCGACTCATCCATTTTTTTCTCAGCATCCTCAACATCCTTCTTTTCAGCATCGTCATCCTTCTTCTCAGCATCCTCGCCGTCCTTCTTCTCTGCATCATCCTCTTTTTTCTCGACATCCTCACCGTCCTTCTTTTCGGCATCGTCGCCTTCTTCCGTTTTCTTTTCGACAGTGGAATTCGTGCTGTTCTCGTCCGTAGCGGTCGTTGAATTGCCAGCCTTTAGCGCTGCTTCCTTCTTTGCTTTTTCGGCTTTTCGCCTGAATACGGTGGGTAGAGATAGTTACGACGTACTAGAAATAGAACCATAATTTCGCGAACCACTACCAGTAATGCAACGGCGAAGGTCGAGGCGGCGGTAATTACCGGGCATAAGTAAATGCAAGAAGATACTCATTCATTCATTCATTCATTCATTCGAACCACGTAGCAGCTACAAGTAGCTGCCTGGTTCCGTTGTGACCCGCATAGAGACACGGCAGCTTGCGGCAGCTACATGCCAGTGCAGACATAGAATATGTATCGAAATACTTTCTCCTCGCCGCCATCGCTTCTTCATCGACGACTTCCTCTTCCCGTTCCTCGACAAACAGGGCCTCGACCTTCTTGGAGAGTTGGATCACGCCACTGTAATCTGGTCCGAGAGTGAAGGCGACCTTCGGAGAGGTTCCGTTCGCGACCAGGTGACCGTAGTCTTTTTCAGCGGCCTCCTCTAGTCCAGTCACGGACCAAGTCGACAACAACTTGCCACTCTCATAGAGCTTGATCTGAGCAGCAAGTGATAAACAGAGTTTCTTTTGCTCGAAAATAAGTCTTTCTGAAGCAAAATAGGCAGTCACAATTTGTCATATTCTACCAAATTGCAGGACAATTCAAATTTTACGATCTACCTACTTCCTATTATTCACTCAAGTAGTCCTGAGGGATCGATCATAAGTAAGAATACGCTGAAATCCTCCTTCGCGTCGTTGACGGTAATCTTCTTCTTTACTCCAAAACGGGAGCCGAGAATAGCAATTTCGGTTGTGTCTTTCAATGGCTCATTCGTCTTCGCACTAATCAAATCGATCGTGTAGCTGGTTTGCGGTGGGGAAATAGATAATGATGACAATGATGGAAATGATAATGCTTGTAGTTATGGAGGCTCCACTTGGCTCGGCGATAAGATCACAAGAATCTGAATCAAGATGGACGCTCAACATAGCGGAGCGACGTTGTTCAGTCAAGAAGCCATATAAGTCCTTGTTCATTCATCATGTAAGTACTTGTGGTAGTGTGTGGTGTCGCTGAAGAAGACTTTCTTTCGGGGTCTGATTACGCGACTGGAGTTTGCCGCGAAGAGGGAAGCACCAAGGACGAATGTCTCATCACCGTTCAGGTGCTGGCCCAATGCGAGGGCATCCTTCCCCTCGCGCTGCTCCTGCGCCTTGGTGAAGTAGGCGTTGAGCACGTCTTGCACCTTCGGCATGCGCCAGGCCATACCCACGATTTCCATCATATCGATGTCGCTGATCTTCATCTTCGCCTTTTCCAGGCACGCCTCAATCGGATTGGTGAGCTTGGCCCACATGTCGCTTAACAACGCCTCAAAGTCGGCACGCGTGATTTTGCTTGCGAAGTCCTTTTCTTCATATAAGTTCTCAATCGAGAACATGCCTTCCTTGCCGGCGGAGAGATTGTGACGCGTCTTCTTGGCTTGGGCCAACAGCTTACGCAAAGCGCGCGGCGATTTCGCGATATCTGCAAGCTTCGGGTACCTTCGAATTCGGTGTAATTGTTTAGCATCAACACGCTGTTCCTCACCAACACTAATGATCTTGTAAATTTCAACACAACGAATGAGGAGTTGATGAAGCTGGTATACATCTACTAATACAGGGATCCTGTTGTATCGAGGACGACCACGTGTCAATGAATGAGATAAGTTCTAGGGGATCATCTCGCCAAGAGCTTTGTTGAATACGATTACCATTATCTTATTCGTGAATATCAAAAAAGAAGGCTTTAGCGTCGGGGTCGGCAATACTTTTTGATAAATCGTTTCTTCATTTCCTCTGCCAATGCGAGATCCCCAAAATGGCCACCAATCTGCTCGTCGTGGACACACGCTTTCATGACAATGCTGGGCGTTGTTCTACCAGCAACCATCCCTGCCGCTCGGGGTGAGAACTCTGCAATGCATACTTCGGTAGATCGCGCACCCATGTTGTAGAACCTAGGAGTCGGTTTAGTTTTTGGAAGAAAGTTTTCAAATGTAAAAGAAAAAACACACTTGTTTTCTCCAGTAATTGGTTCTATTACAGATTGTTTTTGGTGGCACGAGATTTTCAATGAATTTTGTAGTCACGAAGATGGTTTCTGAAATTGAAAAAATGTAAAAATTAAAATTCTTTATACAGAACGTTCTCCGTTTTCTCCTTGCTCCAATCCATGGCCATGTTTACTGCGCCGGCGGATGTTTCGTGAACGAGGATACTATTAAGACCCGCAATCTTCGCGGAGTCAATGATAGCTTGTCGCTGACGCTGGTTATAAGACGATGGAATAGTCACGACAGTATCACGGATGGCTCGGCCGTCGTTCGAAGCTTCCGCAATGCCCTTCGCATATTGCAACACGTTCGCTATGACCAACTCTGTGCTCATCGATGTGCCTAGAGTGAAAAAATGCACACACTCACAGAAATTTTAAAAATGCGGCTCTACAACAACGAAAACCATCCTTCTGCTTCACATTTACAAACAATGCATGATGATCAGAGGCTCTCTATTCCTCCCCGTCGCTTGGGATCACTTGTGTAACCCTTCAAACAATCTTTAAGTATCAATACTGTATGACGAGCATGTACCACTTATTTACCTCTAGTTTTAACTTTTGATGCTGTCAATGTTATCAGTATCCTGGAAAAGGTCATGATACGGCTAAAAGAACAGACAGAGTGAGTACCGGTCTTAGCGTCGGTGAGCAGATCCCAGACGCCTCTGGTTTCGTTCTTTACTAGCTTGTAGCTTGAGTAGTACTCGTTGGAGAGGCCGAGCGCATTGTCAATGCACTTCGGATCCTTTGCGAGGTGCTCCTCTTCGGTGCAGGCCTCGTCAACGCCCTGACCGAGCAGCCTATTGATGTAACTGAAGGCGCCGACGTCGTTGCGGTTTTGTGATGCCAACGCTTGGTCACCAAACGCTCGCACCTGCCCTGCGAACGAGACCGCCGCCGGCGTCTTCCGCTGAGAGTGAATGTTCAGTGCCAAATCCGCCTCTCGATCCTTCACCAACGTCACCTTCATGAACTCGTTGCCGAGATCGATGCCCATCATTGCCGCGGGACCATCAGCAACTACGGCAGTCGGGCCGTGTGCGAAGATCGTCGTGGCGGCCACAAAAGCTGCCGCAGTACGTCGCGAGAAACCACCACGCCATGTTGAGGTCGTTCCGCGCCTCTTCGAGGCCGCACACGAGGAGGAAGATGACGCATCTGACGAGGACAACGCAAATGACCCGGAGTCCTTCTCGCGAGTCTCCTCTCTCAAACCACGCGCCATGATGGAGAGCTGGACCTTGTTAATCTGACTTGTCTGGTATATCTTTGCCACTAGATATCCTATAATTTGTAGTACTCCTACTTGTTTTAGAAGTTGTTCTCCAAAAGTAGTATCGGGGGCAACGTCGACAAACCTCGGTTGGGTACGTCACAATAAGAACCACCCCGTTTGCTCGCTCACACACATGAAAGAAAAGAAAACGGAGGAAGATCGAACGGCGCTCCAAAAGGAAAGAAACGCCGTTCTAGATTGTGGATGATCAATAGAGGGGAGGGGATGTTGCCAAAAACTTCCAGAAAGAGAACCTACAATTGCAAAATGAAAGGGAGGACGGACACAATGCCAGGGAGATACAGCATGACATAAATAAACCACTACTACACCACCCGGCCTGTTGTATAGAAAGTTCAAGAAGTTGTCTGTCGGTGTAACAAACTGGTACTGATGCCATTACAATCTAGAAGGAGGGTAAGATATTTTGAACAAGCTTGAAACTACTACGAGCCAGCTGAACGTTGTAGGAAAGCTGCAATTATTCGAGCCGCATAGTATGACGAACGTAAAGGATTTCTTTGTTTGCTAACGATGAAAGAATATTCACTATCTTCTATGCATGTATGATCCATGTAAAGCATCAAAAAGATAGACCAAAAGATCTCACGCCGGACATGAAGATCAAGATGTCTGACGTCACCACTATTCTACTGAATGCGATCTCATTTCGGACTGCTACTGTAGTGTTCTTGTCATAGTTTGCACTTGACTCGCATGAGAGATCATCATGGAGATTGCTTTTTGCACAAACACATTGATTTTTGCATTAGAAGAACTTTCCACTGTCCTGAAATTTGAGACCATTTCATGATGATTCGGAGTGAGTGCACACCAGCATGTTGATCATCACAGCGATAATTGGGATTTAGTGTTCTCCTCACCTCTCTCTATTTTTTTTGCGAAGTTAGGAGCTTTTTTTCTACAATGGTGCTCTTAGTCTTAAGGTTGCGATTACATACAAATGTGAACAACGCGTCGAAACGACACTTTTTGCCCTTTACAAATTGCATGTGGCGGTTTACTTTCCATATCACTATCTGGGTCAATAAGCAGAGTACACAGCAAACATGAGACTGTGAACTTTGATACAACTTTTGTAGTCTTTCTCAAACATCATTATGCACCACAGAAGAAGACAATAGGAAGTCCAAATGGGGCGACGAGAGTGATTGTCGGCTGAGTCAGCGACAGCGGCAGGGCGTTGGATTCGGAATCTAGCAGTACTCTGCGAACGAAATATTGAGAAGAGCGTCGGAATCGGAATGCACTAAACCATGTATGTAGAATCCTTACCCGAAAAAGTGGACAAATAGAAGTTGGACCACAAAAAAGTTCTTCATCGCCGAAGTATTAGTTACCCTCGCGAAAAGCTAAATAGAAGCAAGCTGCACAAAAATATGCCAAGATCAAAATATGTTTTATCGCGAGAGGATCCAAACCTTCATCTTCGTCATGCATTTGCATATCTTCGCTCTTTGCAAATATAACTATTACCTTTACATCAAACCTGACCAGCGCACCCGCACGTGGTCTTATCTATCAATTTTTACTTGTTGTACTAGACACATGAGTACGCGAGGAGACATACGTACCTAACACGGCGCATAGTGTACCCCCGTGAATCCTGTAATTACTCCTGAATTTTTTCACATGTCAAGCATCATAAGAGTATTCCGCTCCTGGAAATCTCGCGACTTGTTAATCGTCACACACCATATCATGTCGTCGTCGTGGGTGGCTCTATCGGTTTGTTGAGTAATCATAATATTTTTGATGACAACATTTAAAGATGGAATTGATAAGATTCGCATTCAAGTAGACTGATAGACGTAACTTGCTGCAATCGTCCAAGAATTTTAGGGAGTAATATTTATAAGATATATATTCAGTGCGCTACATACACATTCCCGAATCTCCGCCTCGGAAAACCAGAAGCCCGCTGGCGAGGCAGTTGCGTTGCCTGCGATCACGCACTCGTGTGTAGTTTGCGATCCCTATGCTGACTTACATAGACGATCGCGATGTATAAAATCAGTTTTTTCCTCGAAAGCCTTTATTTCTGCTTGCTCTATTAAACGAATCACATGTCGCAAATATATTTGAGGGGACTTTCATCTTACACTTTACAAGCACAGCGATCAGCGTACTTTTCCGCGCACCAAAAAGCCGAATAACGTTCGCGAGAAACCTCAATTGGGTGTGTTGAAGGACTCTCTTCCCTACTTACTCATTACTCAGGATTAAGTACAAATACAATAACAATTTATACACGGGGTCGCCATACACTAGTATAAGTAATACAAGAAGAGAGAAAGGCAAAGCAGGTGGGGAATCGGTGAGACACTGTTCCCGAGTAGCGAAGGCACGCGCACGTAGACTACACGATTCTGATTCCACTGATCAGCAGCAAGTGCACGCACCTCAATGAGGGCTAGATGACCAAAAGCAAAGCGAAGGCACCAAAGAACCAAAGCGCAAGCAGCGAAGACGGACCCTACGGAAGGCGCCGAGCATCAAATATGCCAAAGCGACGCGCAAAAAGAGAGAAAGGCGAAAGCCAAAACCAAAGAGCACAAAACCCTAGCAACCATCTCGCGCACAATGGACACCAACTCCAAGTCCTCAAAGGACGCAACAAAGTAAGTTACGAACTCAAACTACGGCGCCAAACTGGCCAGCAAAAACTACGTGTGAGCTTGTAAAGGGTCTTCGCACTCACGGCCCAGCGATGGATGAGGAAGGAAGGATGAGAGAAGAGGACAGAAGTTCTTGCTTCTGCCGTCCGGTGCATAAACAGAAATTTAAGCAAGCTCAAACTCCATATTAAAAGGCTCTCGAGTTTGTTCGGCGCACCAGCATGGGTGGGCGCAAAGAAAGCGAGCACTTCACAGACGCAAAGATAGAGGCATAAGATTAGTGAAGCGAGCAGGAGGCTCTGTTAACCTAATGAGAGCTAAAAGCTAGAGAGAGAAAGGCGCTCGACTTACTCGGATGGCAGACTAACACGATCGGAACCTGAGAGACGTACGCAGAAACTAGAAAGTTGCGAAAAGAAGAGGCGAAATCAGTTAGAGAAAAGCTAGCTGCGAAAACGAGATGCGAAAGCAGTTAGCAAGATGGAAGATGCTTACTTTCCCGATTGCATTAATCGATACTAGAAACGACACATATTTATACGAAAAACAAAATAGTGCAATCGTTAAAGGACTGTCATCAATACCTACCTCAGCACGGAAAAAAAAGTGATATTGAGTGTATTTAAATTAAGTTAATTAATCAAGAACGACAGTTAAGCAATATTCATTGATGACCTGGTCGCGTTGCTTGTCGGGGCAAAAAATGAAAGGGAAGAATATCAAGTGGATTTTGACATTCACACGACTGGCGTGGGCGTCACAAACCGAAAAATAATAAAACTGCATGTGGAGTATTTCTCGTTTTTCGAACTTTCTACATCAGCGCAAAACCTTCAGGCGGGTTGCTGCGGCTCGCGCCTGCGTGCTGTGAGGTAATAGATGGCTGATGGATAATCTAAGTAGTGTGTGTTTGCTAGAGCTATTTTTTGATGAATTGAAACATATCTTGTTTACGCAATTGCAAGCTCCTGAATGGTTAGTCACATAGATAAAAGACGATGAAGATCATGGGTAGTCTCGAAGAATGTTAGGAGACCGTTTCAGTTTTCATATTGAAGATCCAGACCTCTGCGCATGATGAGCAGCTGCATCGCGTCAGTATCTACATCATCGTCAGCACATTTCGCAAGTAGCATATCTTCTAGAACTCCATCGTGAGCGCAAGACAAGAATACGAATACCTATGTCAACAAAGTACAGCCAACAACAAGAACGACATCTCGTCAAAGTATTCTCCTCAGGTGCAGGTCGGCTTTTTTAGTGTGTGATGAAACATCAGATGAAACTACCAGTGAATTTTGTTGATTTATTACATGTAAGTGGTTGCTACGCAACAACTGATCGACAACATAATATTTTCCTCCACCACATATGCTGATATAAGTTGCTTTTGCCTAGATTATTTGGTATAGTCAAGATCAAATGAAAACTTTTAGTCTATTTCTTGTAGGAGTGGTATAGGTATTTCTAGAAAAATAAGACGTGTCCTTGGAGTGTATCCACTTCACGACCACCCGGATTCCATGGTGCGATGGGATGCCACGACTTGGGGATTCTTTGCATCCAGCGAAGGATCCGTCGGCTGCTCCTTCTTTTTCTTGCGCGCGATGCCGAATTTTAAGTATATCCGAGACTTCCGCAGGTCGTATTCATCCGGCGCCTGTTTCATAGGCTGTAGCGGAAATGCCTTGACAGGCATCTCGTCTTCCTGCAGGACGCGGCACAAGGGATAAATAACCTCACCGATCATGTCATCGCTTTTCATAAAATCCCAATCCCACAGTTTTACGTGGATGTACCTGAACGTGAAAGCCAGGGATGCACTATAGTTTCTTGTTGTTGAAAAAGGTCTAAAGAAACATGAACAACATCATGAACGAAGTACCTGTGGCCCGACTACAACATGTTATTCATCTTTTTACTACAGATCTTCAATACAATTCGCTATTATCGTGTACAACCCACTCCTGAACACGAACCACGTATTGACACCCACTTCAGTCCACTTAAAGACAAAAGGTCAAACTAACGAAAAATCAAAATGATTATTTCATTTACAAGTAGAAGTAACGCAGTACAGATTCTCGTAATTGTCCACGACTTCAAGAGGAAGATCAATCGGAAGGCGCTCACGCCAAACAGGGAATTGATTCTGCCGAATCGGTGACGACTTCGCCCACCCAAGAGCTGATGTGTAACCTAGTGCGTATTCATTTGGAGCACGATCGGATAGGATATTTGCTTGCTTCACATTATGATACGAAACCCCTACCCATTTATGTTGAAGATCTATACTAAGTATAAATTATCTCCCCATGATGTAGATGCAGGGAAGGGCCAGTATGAACGAAGCAGAAAAGAGACGCAACATTACGTCTTTACATCCTAATCACATAATATTAATCCCGACTCACAGAATAGGAATAATAAAAAACTAGTACCTCGCCCAGTTGTTGGCCCTTCGTAATCTGGCGCATTTGGATCTCCTTCGACAATACTGACGGTGATGTAGGGGTCAATCGTACCGAAAAGGTCAGCCTTTGGCAAGTCCGTTGCTTTGTCCAACTGAATAAATAACTGGCTCTCTTGCTGCATCTTCACGAGCCGCTGACGTGCTGCGTGTGTGTGCTGATGCGAAAATTAGAGTCAGTGGAAACAAAATCTTTAGCAAATACAGACCTTGAAACCTAATCCAAGTGTTGATTGCTACTTAGTGCAGCGAGGGAGATCATGGACACTCAATATGTTGGCGCTGTGGATACGTAAAAAATCTCGAGCCCGTTAAAAAATCAGCAGATCACGGAGACAATGTCGCCAGCAGGAACTCTAACACTAACAGTAGAACACTGATGATTTAGAGAAGACTTCCAAATAGCAACAGTGCACGTAAAACAAGGTTGTTTCGTCAGGGACTGCTGAAGCTGTGGTCGGCATACGCTGGCTTCCGCCGAAAACTGCCCGCGTGCTTTGTAGCCTACTTGACTGTTGTGCAACCGGGTGAAAGGCTATGCCCGCCATTTGCGCAACGTCCTCCGAAGCGGCCACATCGTCATCCCACATGTCCTCTTCCCCGATTTCGTCCTCATTCTTTTCATCTTCATCCGGTTCAATTTGCACCAAAAATTTAGAGCATCCAGTTACACTTACAGGCAAGATTAAAGAGCCAAATAAAAAATCAACAACGTCCCCTCCAACCTCCGAACCAAAAACACTGGAACCAAAAAAACAAGAACCGACAACACCTGAACCAACAGCACCGGATCCGGAAGCACCTGAACCGAAAACACTCACACAACAAAACCATGAACCTCTGACCCTATGAACTTATGAACATCTGAACTCATGGGCGTCTGACTGAACTTATGAGCCCTAGGGCGTGGCGTGTCATAAACCCAGGGCCGCTACTCCCGCCAACGCGCTGTCCGTGATGTGTAGCCCATCGCGACCGCAGGCGATTCAATTGAAATGCCAGGCGATAAAGTCAAAAAATTTGCGACTTTGCGCAAAAATAGCAAAAGTCTTGACTTTATCAACAAGGGCGAAGCCTCACACTTTTCAAATTCAAAAACTCAAATCCAAAAACTAAAACCTAAGACCCCATCAAATCCAAGACCTCAAATCCAATACCTCAAGCCCAAAGCTTCAAATCCAAAATCTCGAGCCCAAGACTTCAAGTCCAAAATTTCAAAGCCAAGACCTCTAGTTCTGGCCCAGCGCTCGATGAAATCCAACGCTGCAGATCCAAAGTCTCCAATCCAAGACTTTGAAGGCCAACGCTTCAAACACAAAAGCTCAAATCCAAGACTTCAGACCAAACCCTTCAAACGAATCCAACGCTTCGAGCCCAAGGCTTCAGCTTGCCATCTAAAGCTTCAAAATCGAAGCACCAAGCCCGAAGCCTCACGCCTAGAGCTTCGCTGAGGCTCAAAGCTTCACACTGAAAGCGGCCACGGGCTTCAAGCTGCAAGCCAAAAGCTTCAAACTCGCCCCAAGTCTCCACCTCATGGACCTCAGTGCAAAGCTTTGCACTCAGGGCTTCCAATCCCAAAAACCTGCACTACATTCAAAAGCAGACAAACTGCGAAACACCTCAAAAACCTCAGAGAAGCGGCCTCGTCTGTCAAATTCCGCGGCGCCTCTGTTCCGACTCCTTTTCTGCGGATTAACTCCGCCAGGAAAGCGCCGCGATCTGGCGTAAGAGGAGCGCGGGAGGCGCGTCTTGACGGAGGAAATGCCTGAAGGAGGTGGAGGATTCTAGTGGAGGGAGAGCCATCGGGCGCTGAAGTCTAGTCTTCTTCTTCAAGCAGGAGCAGCAGCTCAGTCAGTTGATGAGGCTACCTACACTCCATCGAGGTTACCTTGAACCAGCAGCACCAGTTCAGTGTTCAGTCGATGAAGATATTTTTCAATCAGCTACAACATTACAGCAAAAGTTGTATGCTTTTCGCAGTTGGGGGCGCCTTGGTAGGGATGGCCCAGACCAGTCATACTCTTCCACTCACCCACATTCATTCAGCCTCTAGCTCTACCTTCTGGAAACCTCATCATAAAACTTTTTGCAACAATTAAGAAGCTCCTGAAGCTTCACCTAAATGCTACACAACAACCACTCAACGAAAGAATGCCATGAATGGATACGGAGTGAGTTGATTGATGATTTTGCTGTCGCCAGATACATTGTGTTATTGAGCCTATTGGATTTCAATTGAATTAAAACGAGATAAAACGAAAAATTTTGAGAATTGCAATTAATAAATTTCCAAAAGTTCAAATTGTTTCTACTTCTAGGAGTCTTAGAGTTCCACGTTGAGTCTACTAGACTTTATTCAGTGTTAAATTGTAGAAATAGAATTTTGAAAACTTTCAAATCTTAGAAGAATCAAATTTGGGACCACAGCAATTTTTCTGTAGGTTCAAAGCTTCAAAGGCTTAAAACTTTCAAAAGGTCCATTGCTCGAATTTTTGATTTAAACCAGTTCACACCTACACTCAAATGTAAAAGCAAGGCCGCACATTCCAAAAAGTCGAATGTGTGAGACATTTACCTTTAAACTTCGTACGTTTGACAAGATTGATTGGCTGAGAAGATCGAGGGATTCTAATGGTGGTTATGTTGCTGATGCATGGGAGAGCGCACCTGCTTCTACTCGTATCAGCGAATCTTCAGAATATCTCTGACATAGAAAGCTACAAAGCAATACTACTACGAGGTGTAAAGAAACCTGAAGATTTACTAGGTGGACCGCAACGAACATCATAATCAATGGGCCCGATTGCTGCCGTGTAACCGTGCGTTTGTAGTCTCGGCTTTCTTGAACCATTTGCCGCTGCTCGGCCGCCAAGGCTAGCACCTTACGAATCGAGCTGCCCTGTCCTTCCAACGTCAGTGCCACGTGCCCTGCGATATTCAACAACTGCTCAATGTCGTCAGTGTGTAAATTAGAGAGAGCTAGTAGAAAATGATTGAAATGATCACAAGTCAGCAAAGTCGACGAAGTTCTATTTCTTGCGTGCACATCAACCTAGGGACACCAACTTGATGCGTCTTAATACTTATACTCTGAGGCAGCTATGTATCAGTATCAAGATGTATCAGTATCAAGTAACACATGAAAAAGCAAATTTTTTTAGTGAGCAGTTACGATCTCCTCGTTACTGGAGATCCCGGCATGGCCATCTCATCATAATGAAAACTTCGTTGCTCTTCTTGTTGATAACCTCCATGCAGCCGATCACGTGCCTCTCCGTATTGATGACAGGCACGCATAATCTTGTGCGGATATCAATCCCGGTCCCTAAGAAATTGTCGTGTTTTGCGGGATCGTAGTACTTGCTTCGAGGAAAATCAGGTATGTTTACTAATTGTCCTCGCTGGCAGACTTTTCCTATGATGTCTTCGTTGAGCTCGAACTCCCGAAGAGGCAAGAGGTGCCCCACTTTGGTTTTCAGCTTCTGTCGCACTGGGTCGATAAGGAGCAAGTGCGCCGCTTCGCATCGTAAAATACCCGCCGTCTCTGCCATCAGCGTCTCAAACAACTTCATTTGCCGCTGCTCAATTACTCTGGAATGAGTATGATGAAAAAACTACAGTTGAGCATGTTGTTGCGTGGAGGAGCGCTTTACAATAATCATCTCCGATTTTACATCAAGGTTATGGTTCATGAGGAGCAAATAAAGAATTCTATCGTTGGCATATCTCTACAGAAGAAGAAGAAGAAGAAGAAGAACTTTGGGTATACGGGTTCATCGTCGTGTACTGCTCTCGGTTGACAATCTGCATTCGGCACATCTCGATAACGTTTTTGAACTCCTTCGCCTGATCCTCTGCCAAGGCCGTCGTAATCTGCATGTTGAACGGTTTATCATACTTTGAACAGAAGCACCTGGACATCACTACCTTGTCCACGTTAAAGCACATGCTGCACTCATTTCTATCCGATCCTATAAGCAAGATAGATTCTTTAGCTGTAGGTAGGAAGAGGTCCTAGAATGTATGTGTAAGTACGTGAGAGCAGATCGCCGCGAGCACCTCTTCGTCTTTTGTTGTGAAGCCTGTATCTGCTTTCTTGTTGATTACCTCAACGACTGCAACTATTGGCTCCGTAGACTTCTCGTCGGTGAGATCTGGCGAAGAGTTTCTTCCAATTTATGGGGTAATAAAATGCAACAGAACTACCTTCATGTTTGCACAGAAAAGAAGTTTCCCCACTCATGCTCACCTCTAGGAGTTCTCTAGGTTAACGGAGAAAGGGCCTATACAAAAGATCTGTCTGTAGCCTAAGACAATAGCATTGGATGCAGTACTCATGACGGGCATGCACAGGACGCTCTTGATGTCTCGACCCGTGTCACGATAGTTCGTGTGACGTTTCTTGTTGAAGAATTCGCTTTGTTGTATGTCCTTGATATTGATAAATTTCCCAGTTGTTGCGCAGTGTCCCATGACGCCCTCGCCCAGCCGCGCGCGGAATTCCGGGATGTTCTCCGTTGCGATTGTATACATTTCCTTTTTGTCGTGGTCTATCATCATCATGAAGGTGGCCTCGGCATTCAACAAGTCGTTGACATCCGTGACGACCCGGTTAAGCACGTCAATGCGCGTTTTCTCCCGCTTCTTCTTTTCTGTGGCCTCTGGGTCCATCCACAGCAGCGGGCACATCCCGAGGAAACAACCAAGTACAATGCCGAGTTAGAGCGACGGCTCAGAGAAAAACATCTTCGTAGTATCAAAAAGAAGAAAATAGCAGAGACGTCGTGTAATAGTCGCAGTTGCTTGTAGCTCTCATAGATACCTTCAATATTAGATATTATATGCTTCGTGATCATCTTGACGTCGTGGAAATGGATCGGCAACAAGATGCATTTCTGACTAACATAACCGAAGGCCTGCCCCATGTACTGGTACACTTTCACTGGAGTTGCCCTCAGCTGATCGGCATCGAGCGGCGGCATCTCCAAACCCTGCCGTTGGGCCATGTCTTCTATCACGCCGCCAGAAAAAACACCACAAACGTCGCTGAATGTGTTGCCTAAAGCGGCGGCGGCCATCGTGGAGAAGCCGAATTTCACGCACAGAGTCGCATCCACTATGTCACCGACTAGAATCATCAAAAAATTGTCTAAAAACCCGAAGCCAATAAAAGGAACAGCTGAGGCAATGAAGACCGTTCGCAGTTGTGCACTTGTCACTGGCTTCATCACGTGGGCTTTCAGCGCTGCAGCTGCGCTTTCCGCGGATGAAGGTTCTTGCTCAGGGGTATCGGCGACCTTTAAGCGGACGGGGGACACGTATGTGTGGAAGTTACGGGTAGGACTGGTACCGCTAGAGCTGGCATCTACTTGCGACGCCGCGTTCGTCGTAGCGAAGTTGACAGGGATATACCGGATGTAAGAAACGGTGTTGTTAAGCCGTGTACTATTACTCGCTGTGGACGAATGTGAGGATGTTGAAGATGAAGATGAAAAAAATCTGCTCAGGAGGAGCGTCTGCTGCATTTCGCGACTTCTTGCCGTCCTCAGAAAAGACAATCTGCTGTATTCGCACACGTGATGAAAAGAAGTAGTCCCAAAGCGCGGAAAAAAGCTCACGAGCGGCCCGCGCGATGATCTTGTCCCTTCTGCTAAATGGGAAGACAAGCCAAAAAACGAATTACTCCTCGCCCATATACTCGGAGGATCAGAAAAGTGGGCTCCGTACAAGAACTCCTCCAGCTTCTTAGTACTCCTACTTGCGCGTGAGGTTGTTGACGTCCGTATTCTGCTCTTGATCTTTTTCATGTGACTGCGATACCTGTCGAAGAGGCCACTTATTCCAGCAGCGCCGTCACTCCTGGCAGAAAATAAAACTCTCATGGTTTCGCAGCCGCCAAAAGTGCTCGATGGTATCTTCAATCTTGTACGCCATCTGCTTCGAAGATCGCCAGCGCAGCACGAGGAGCACTTGGATGTTGTAGAAGTTGAAGAGTAAAAACTCCGTCTACTCAGCGTTGAGGAAGTGGAGGTGCCAGTCCACAGCGACTGTGCACCCACGGTCCCGCCTCCGAAAGCGCGCATTTTCCCCGTGTTGTAAGGCCGGCGCTGCGCCTCTCTTTACAACTTCTGGAATAACGAAGGAGAATTTGCAATTAATTTTACTCGACACTACATGTCTACTAACCTTGTCCAGATAACCTTAATCGAAAATCGAATGATCATAAAACACGCCCTTCATTCAAGGTATCAACCTTGAAAGTTTCCGAGAAAATACCCATCGCGAAGAATTTGAGTTTATTTCCGCGTATCATTTCGTTACTACAAGAATACATAAAGTAAGGAAGCCAGGCAGCGGTATGCTGCGGTGTATCAACGTCAAGTTCCAAAAGAAATATAAATACAAGCACAATGAGAATACGGGGTATGCAAGAATGCCTTTGATACACTGACTCTAGCGAGAAGTTGATCTAAAAGTTCACGAGCCATGATTTCCTTTTCTCAGTGTCTTGTACTACTACCAAGAAAAGATGTTTGATATTCTCATTGGTCGGAGAATGCATACATGCTGCAGCACGTACTGCTCTTCCCATCCACTTGTAAGTGATCGCTCGATAAGGTTAAGGATGAGCGAAATTTTGGTAACCATCAATCAAATTTTTCGCATTTCCATAAATACTATCAGTGTAGCGGGGAAGCACTTGTTTGAATTCTGTGAGTAAGCAACCATGGGCGAAGATGACGATAGAAATTGAGAATTTCTTGTTCTACTTTTAAGAAATATTTATAGGCGATATTAGCAGAAATATGCGTTCATATTTCTAACTGAGTCATAGTACGACGAGCACCGAAGCAGTTGTTATTTCCGGAAAAATATTTCCTTTTCCTGTGGGTTATATATAAATATGAAATAATCATTTTTCGACTAAAACAGTAAAGAGATTGTCGAGATACTTCAGGTCCCGCCCCACCAAGCTAGGAAAGTAAGTACTACAAGACCCGAGGATGAGTCAGACACCAGGCTAAAAAATGTAGAAGAGCCTGAATCTGTACTGGAGGTGGTCATCTATGTGAAACTTACTGCTCTTGCTGTCCTACATTGAAGATTTTGATGGAGAGTCGTGTGGTGTCGTTGATTGACGCCTGAGTGACTGCATCATCGAATCATAGCTGTTCTCTTTTTCATCAATGTTGTCGGTTACTGCCTCGTGCCTTAACATTTGTGACCTCAGATTTTGAGTTGCGACCGAGATCAGAATCAGAATGAGCGCATTATTTTCCTCTCTAGAAGCAAGTGCGCGGAGGTGCCTTCGATCATCCATAAAGCGACATCAAAAAAAATCCATCTTTGGGGAGCGCGCTTTTGTTCGATTTTGTTGCAGGAATACGATTGACGCGACTATTTTCACGCTCACTTCTGCCGGGTTTCGACCATACATGGTCGCCATGGTTTTCGGGCGGAATAAGCGGCTGCGTGACGACAGAGTCGTGACTCTCCAACCGTCCTTAGTACCGGTGGTTGCTCCTTGTGTTTTCTCAAATTGTTGTCCTTGCAACAATGTAGAAAACAAAGATGAAATGAAGTAAGTGCAGGTATTGCTCTTGTCTGCGTTAGCGTTTGGTGCTCCACATCGTGCTTTGCAAGAAAAGCCACAATGTTTATAATGCAGCTGGTGGTCTATAACAAAACATGCAACCTCAAGCAGACAACAAGCTGCGGTGACACTGGCAAGACGAAGACAACAGAGGATGACCGTGGTAAAGAAGCGAAATCATTTACCACTATAATTGCAGGCGTTCATCATGAAACAAAAAAGTTATAGAAACAACGAAGCAGATGCAGGAAAGAGGTTCATCTCCACACGCAGCAAAGAAAACCGAAACGAAAAATCGATGCCCTGATCTGACCCAATTTCATGATCTTTGCGTTCAGGAGTATGGCAGTGGTAAGCTTCTGGCTAGTGTCGGATCATCCCCGTTTGTTTTCGGTACGGCTAGGTCGTGTTCTTACAACATCACTCAACATCGATCATGCAATTTATCAGTCTTGCGTAGGTTCGTTCGCTGGCGAATGCTCCGACGTAATAATGCCTCCGTGCTCCAGGAAGCGTAGCATTCCATAGCCAGTGGCGAAGCTGACGAGTCCCGAGGCTGCATTTTTCACGTAGTACAAAGTCTGCGCCCGAGCAAAGTCGGCTTTTGCGCTGTCGCGGGCGGCCTGTGCTTGAGCTTGTCGCGCTAATCGCTCTTGTTTTGACCGTTTTGGTCGTTGTGCGACGCCGGGTATGCCCGACGAATGTGCAAGATCCACCGCGGCATTTCTTTCTCGTTCTATCGCCTTTCTGCTCGATATAGGTTCATCATTTTCGCTTCTACTGGTAATAGACGTTTCAGCCCCATCCGAAGTTGGACTTTTTTGTGAGCTGTGGTCTTTATTAATCACTTCGACATCGACCGCCCGACCATGGCTAGCAAGTATGTACTTCGCAATATCCGCCTCTATCTTCTTGCTTTGTGCGATAGACTGTCCGGCGTCCTGGCGCTCGCCGGTGACAACCGCCGTTTCGGTTTCTCGCTCATGCGTAGAAAGTCTTCTCGTAGAAGATGTCGCAGCGTGCTGGGTGGGAAGTGCTGCCCTCGCAGGATCCGGCTGCTGCGGTCGTCGTTCCGGCTCTATCGAGGTTACGGGCTCAACAACTGCGGACGAACTGGAAAATGATTGCCACCGCGAATTCCGCACATCGATCGGACTTCCCAGCCTCGAGAGAGACCGGATCGGATTCTCTGCACCACGTATCTTCGAGCCTCTTTTTTGTTTTGCGAACAAGGCGTGCAGCGGAGGCTTCACGTGTGTACTCATTTTGCTAGCGATGCTCAGCTGCATCTCGTGGGGGACTTTACAACCAAGTTCTTGTACCCAGGAGCTTATGTCCATGCACTTTTTGTTTGTCAATTTTCGCGGTTGCGCTTGCGAGTGAGGAACATAACCACATGAGCATCAATTATTATAGTGCAAAATCAAAATCAATGTTACTAGCGACATTCAGGTAGATTTATGTCATTTTGTTTGATTCATTCATTTATTTCACGTCAACGCGACAGAAGTGCTCGCCCTCATTGCAGCAGAAATGATAACAGTATGCACTACTTGCAGCAGAAATAAAAACTTTCTAGGTTGATTCTGCTACGACAGAAATTACAGACAATAGTGGAAAGAGTGTTCTTGCTCAATTTGTTTTTTCAAAGTGAGAGTTGTTGACAAGATGGAAAATCACAGACTTCGCAGTCATTTGTCTGTACGCGTTTATCAACTTGCTCTCTTAGGCTTGTCGGTTAACTCTCGTGGTAGTAACACAGAAACCTGCGTGGTTCCGTTTTGTCTACCTCTCGCTCCTCTAGAGGATACTGCTCTCGATTCAGAAGATTGTGTCTCAAAGTCAAATTACTGATGTGAGAAGTTTGACAGTACCTACGACATAATTGTGGGATTTGCGTCTCGAGTCTTTCTCTTTTCCGTCGTCTGCACGAAGCTGTTGTGACTTCGACTCATCGTTTACGGAGGCTGACTGCTGTGTTTTCTCTGCAACGTCGAGATACGGATCATAAGAAGTAACACCTCAAATCAATGAATCATGACAGCATCAGTTGCATGCTCATGATGATACGCACTCTGTACAAGTAAACAAACATTCCAGTTGCCGGCAATGCAATTGATCACGCCTGTTTTTCCAAGCCCAAGCGATCGGCTTGTTGTAAAGAGCAATAAAGGTAGTTCGTGTTGAAAATTTATTGTTGGATACGAAAAATTCCTCAACTGTTTGTCATCGGCATCCACAATATGCGCATGATCTCAACTGATGATCCTACTGAATCGCAGTATTTTTCGCCTTCCTCAGTTGTGCTTCTACATCTACCTTCTTGATCATCCTCGCGGACAACATCGAAAGTAACTTCGTTCACAGAGAGGGACGAGTTGGGAAATTTGGGAGGAAGTTGCTGTCGTAGAGAGCGGATGAAATCTTAGACCAGGACTTTTCTCGTTGCACCACGTAAGTTTTTTTTTGAAAAATGCAGCCAGGTCGTGCAAGTCCTGGCGCACACCCATACACCCCGGCCATCCCGTGACTGTAGGACTTCGGCGTCGCCGACATTCGGAGACAGGAAGCCGCCAAGGGTACCTGGCTCGCCGTCGATGGGGCCAACCTCCGCCGCGGAGGTCTGAGCCAGGCAAGGGGTGACCGAAAGCTGCCCTTTTTGGACAAAAATGTACCGGATCACTTTGGCTGCATTTTGCGCCCCTTTTTTGAAAAAAAGCTGCCGCGTCATTTTGCGATGACCGAAACAAAGGGCCCCACCTAGTGGGGGCTAGGGGGTGTCTTAAGGCGGCCCTTTTTGGCCCAAAATGGTCGCCAAATGACCCGGGTCGTTTGGAGTCTCAAAGTGGGCCCTTTTTGTCCCCCTTTTTGACACCCCTCCAAAGCACCGCCGAGCCGAGCCTCCCAAGGGTTGGGACTCCCCTGGGGGCGCTTTTAGAGTCCACGCTTCGCGATCCTTGGGAGGGGAGTCCCGCTCCGAGGGTTCACCGCCAAGCCATCGGGATGGCCCCAGCGGTCCCGAAGAGGTTGGGCCGTGTTAGGCTAGCAAATAAATTAAAAAAAAAAACTGAAGTGGTGCAACGAGAAATATCCTGGTCTAAAAATCGCTCACACCGTCGTCGGGACTCCGATGCTCGCAAGCAATCCATGCCTCTACCTTGTCGAAGAATTTTCCAGCTTCATTAGCCACTAGAACTTCCTCGACGACTTTCTTGAGTAACAATCCGCAGTCAGGTCCGTACAGAGGCTTGTGGACACAGTCAGCACAGACGACCAACAACGTCGTTGACGAAGATGTGCAGGTACTAGGGGGGACTTCCGTTTGATCATCCTGCGTTGTTGCTGTAGGGCGTTTTAGAACAGCCCGGTCAGGATCGACATCTCCTGCGATGCCACTTCTTAATCGTTGAAGGAGAAGGGGTGCAACCTCAGCGGCGTCTCTCCAATCAAATGCCTCGGCGGTGATTCGCTCGTGCTCTTCGTCATTGAAATCGGAGTTTGCCGCCCCTGCGATTCCTGGTGATTCTTTAAGCGAAGGTTCTGCGAAATTCAGACTTAAATTTGCCCTAGTTGCTGCAACCACCTCGCCAAAATCAGTAAGGATCGTTTTTCGGGCGATCCCGAGTTTATGGAGCACCATACCCGTAACGCCTAGGCCACATCCTAGCTCAAGCATGCAACATGCTTTTTTGCTGGTTTCGTCTCTTGGAAGAAAATCTGCAACAACTGGAGGGCGTAACCCTATGCCCTCTGTTGACACAAATGAAGAATACACCGCTTCCGCGAGATCTTTTGCCGAAGGCCACACTCTCGATGCTGCATACTGTAAGAGCTCTTTTCGATGAGGGAACTGCCGTAAGCGTTCGACAAAGGAGAGAGAATTTCGCTGCTGAAAAAACGTAGCATCCTTGATAATGCGCAGATATGGCAGGTCTTGCTCAGTGTCGCTCTCTCGGTGAACACTTTCTTCTTCCTCATCGCTAGTTGAGATGCCCCCGCCGTCCACCTCCTCACTTTCTAGAAATACAAGTCCTTCGCACTGAGCATCCTCCTTCATCTCACTACTGGTACGCGCTCGGTCATCAATATCGTCGCCACCTGATTCAACGTCGTCCCAGTGGGTCTCGCTCTCGGCTTGTCTCCTGTTGCTGCAAGAACCACCGCCGTGCGCACCCGACGATGAAGCCGAAGGAGTTCTGTCGCGAGAGGACCAGCGAAGGCGGACCGAGATTTCTGTAGGTTCCCCATCTTCCGGGTACTCTTCATTTCCCTCAAGCTGGATGCGGAACGGCATATGTGAAATCCGAATCGCGCCATCAGGTGCCATCTTTCTTGCGTTCACATCATTTAAGAAGAATGTCAGTTCCTGCATCAGCTCCCTTGATTTCAATCATCCTCTCAAACGATTAAACGTGAAAGCTATTTTTACTTATCAGACGCTCGGAATAGGATCACTGCTTTTCTTCAACTCGAACAAGATTTATGTCTCAACACGTACCTTCTTGGTTGCTCTAGGCCTACTAGCAGGCCTGCCTTAGTCGAAGTCACAAGACAATATCAATAAATCAAGATGTTGCAGCAATTATAGTAGATCGTAATCGACGAATATGACATTGATCGAAGATCCCTATTTACTTCGCGGCTCAGATCAATTCCACGACGATCAGGGTTGATCGGTGTCGATCTTCAGACACCTGATCTATCCTGACAGCCTAACGGCAACGCTCAATATTAATGAAGAATGCTTCAAAATACAGCTTGATCTTGTAGTTGGGGGGGTCCCCTGGACCAGATGTATAGAGATGATGAACTTGTACGCATCATTCAATATGCTCCTGGTATCTTCCGGCGCAATGAATGACCAGATCGCATGACGAGGAACACGAGGCAATCGAGATTGAGGCCACCTTGTTTGCCTTCGAAGAACAGCAGACCGCAAGGCAGGCCGACAGCACACTTAGAAAGAAGAGAGACACTGCAAAATCGTGGAACATGCTCGTCTGAAGAAGCGTGCAATTTAAGAATCTTGATGTTAAGAAGATTTTAAGAACTGAAGGGCTCGCACTCGCTTTGAGGTCCAATCATCGCCTGTGAGATGAATTTTCTCACGAACTCCTAAATGGTTGCATACCTCTAAGAAAATTTAGATTTTGTTGAATTTCTCTCGGCTTGACTTTGGCACTGACGTGTCAGCTCCAGCTTGCATCATAGTTAGCTGAGTAAATAGTCATATCTTCTAGTAGATCAAGAATGATACGAATGGTAACTTAACATTTTCTGACCATGCTTTACTGTGATCGAAAAGTCCCAACATGGAGGACCCTAAACTACAACACTAAGGAATGTAGTCGGTGTTAGTGCTGACTTGTTTAAATCTCTTGAGTACTCTCTTGTGTAGCGTTGAGCGCACATTCATAGGAAACTGTCTGACCCGCTTTCGATAGTTCTGCTTCTTCGAGGACTGTAATCGCGTTGAAACTCCGGAGATGAAACAAAAGGATCAAGAATTTAGTTGTTCTGGACTGATCTGCGAGAAAATAAGAGATGAAAAAAGCACAATTTCGGTGGTACCAAATTATACTGTTTTAGTATCATCTAGGAGTAGGTGGGTGCGAATCATACGAGATCTTCGGAGATGAGGATGCAATTATGGCCGTGAAGATGATACAGAAGAAAGGATGTCGAATGAGGGGCAAACAGTTGAAACTCCTACTCAGATGAAAGTGCGCTCAACATAGTTGTTAACTATTTTTTCTGTCCATCGCCATACTTGTATACCCGCGCTAGAGACCCAACATCAATAATCGGATAATTAGAGATGTAGCGATCGAGCCTTACAGATAAAAAATAACAAGGAAGTAGAAGGTATGGCAAGGAAGAGCGACCCCTCCGGATCGCATGGGGAACCCTTCATTTGGTAAGTATTGTGAAGATCCTGTACAACATTAAGAATCCTGGTCGACTAGTTGTTGTATCAATCTTTATTCATCTAGTTTAGGGTGAGAGAGGCGAACTGGCGAGGGGGCTGTTACGGACTGACTCATTGATGCGGTCCTCTTAGCTCGTGCACACGCTGCTGGCGTCCTGTTCAACGAATGAAAATGCATAATGCTGCTGAAAATGAAATGAATTCAACTAGAATTCGTTTTTATAGACAATCTCATGGAACCATGAATAATAGGTCGGTATACGAATGATGCATACACGTATACAAGTAATTTTACTTCTCTAGCATCCATACACCAGCATACCTAATATGTATAGATACGTGGAATGATAATAAAACATCAAAGGGATGCGTAAACCATTCTAATTGTTTTTGCAAGGGCTGGAGGGTACGATGGCGAAGAGCAGGAGAAAATGATGTGATGAAGGAGGAAGTCTCGGTACTCAATCATCATCATGATCCCACAAGCCAAGACTTGCGGATGTGATCATGATGAAGAGCGGCGCAACCTCTAGTATAATCAAGAAACGCAAACGAGTTGGGGAAGTCATATGAAATAACGTATGGGGCAGAAGACTCAAGTACTACAACCGTCTTGGCAGCACGAGGTGTTATGACCCCCCATGCAATGAAACGCAATGAGAAGGCAAGTAGTGGCATTAACCAGTAAGCATTTATTTGTTTGTATCTTATAATATTCGCAACGAACGGGAATCTGAATCGCGATCGGTTGTAGGCAATACTAGTAGTACATCTTCACGCGAGCCGCATCTTACACGCATCTTCTAGTGATCCTACAGCTGCTTGCAGACCGTGGTCGGCCGCCTCTGTTCGCAGTCGTAAGTCTCCCTGATCGTGCCTATTCCGTGGACTTCTACTAAGAGAGTTATCGTCGCAGAGACAAGGCACCAGATGAGACAGTAGGTTTGGGCAGAGGCTACTCCGTTCGCGACATTTCGGCCTCTTCGGTATGCGCCACGGCACAAGTAGTTAACCACGATGTCAATCAGTTCGTTGGGCGGAAGGCAGCGAAAACAATAAAACGGAAATAGTCGAAAAGTTCAAATTTGATAAACATAAATTTCTGTTCGGCTATAATGTTGTGAGGAGATAGTTCCTGTAGTTCGCGGACATCATTTGTTTCTGTAAGAATCTATTACATCGACGAGAGCGAGGGAAGGCAAGATATTACTACGCGTTCACTTACATCAGCAACACGACAGCGTCCTGATCTTATAAATTTCATTGAAGCGAGGGACTACTGATCATGCGTTGCGAAGAAGAATCCGAGCGAGCACGAGCTGCATATGGTCTATAAAAATTGGAATGTCTTTGATGAAGGTATTTAACCGTAACGACCTTATTCTTGAGTGTTAAGAAACTACGATCAAACTGACACATCACCATGACCTTTGCCGCGAATACGCACGGATATCGGTGAGGATGAGTATGTCGATGAATGTCATTATCAAGATCAGAGTCATCTAGTTTTAGTGGTCATCGTAGTACGATCACTACATGTACATGTTACTGTGATTGTTTTTCAAATCAAATATATTCTGTTCGTGCTACTGTTTACTTCAGCGTTCGTGACATGTATTTTCAACAATGAAGAAACATGACATGATCATTCTCAAATGTAGCTGAGAAGTTATGGCAGGTCTGTCAAATTATTGAGACCAACATCCTCAATATCCTCGCGGTTCGGAAAGTAGTCTTTGCAAGTTCCCGTGCGGCGCACATCCCACGTAGAGCAGTGCAGCGAACCACCGAATTCGAAGACCTATTTTTTAGTTAGCAATGGAAAAAATGTATTTTTTCATTAGGATTTCCTGATACACGACCATCTTCACCTAAAGAATGTTTATCCGAACTAGCGAAAGCACAACTCGGGTGTGGGCCGAGCTGCTGGGTCTAAATTGCCACATCTACTTGTGGGAGCTGTGTTGTGTATTAGAAAAAATAAAGTACTAGGTTATAGTAGAAAAAATAAAGAACTTTACATGCAGTACCTGGCGATAGGGAATCGGGATGACATCGAAGCCGAGCTCCTTTTCGAGCATATTGATAAGCGGTTTCTCTCCTTCCTCCACCACAATCTTGTTCGGGCCGATAGAAAAAATGTTCATAGACAACCATCTTGACGACTGGCACATAATAGGATGCTCCTTGTCCGTCGTGTAGTACGGAACATCAATCTGACATATAATATTTGAAGTTGAAAAGTAGAAGGGCACCTGCTGCTGGCCCAACATCTAAAGTCTTAGCTCCTAGTCAGCTAGTGCAGTACCTAATTGGTACTTACTCTACTTCATGAACAACATTATGGTCGTGAATCAAAACACAGTCTGAAGATTTTAATCAATGAATGCCTCTATAAAAATACATCAATTGTAGTTCTACCAATCTCCAGTCATTCTGGCGGAAGATTTTTACTTCCTCTTCTACGACTGGTCGATCCGGATTTGTCAGAACCGTGTTTCCGTTCACCGCAACAAAGGTGCAGTCAGTGTGTGATGGATACAGATCGTACGGGAAATGAAGAGTGTGGACCTGGCATGACGACATGGAAAATCACAAAAAGATTGATGATGGAATGAAGAAAATAAATGGTCGTTGCTCTCTAGTAGCACCAGGAGTGCGAGTAGAAGTTCTTTTACAACTATAATTGATGTAGTTGTACTAGTTCTTTGTTAATGGCAAGCAAGTACACAAGAGCTTGAAAATTGAAGCGAAGAGACCATCACCATGTTCTATCCACTACCTACAAGAAGAAGAATTCGGAATATTGACGTACCACAAGAAAACTTTAAGCTGACCTGAATTCCCTTTGGTGCGAAATGCCTTTTGAGCCATCGGATACCGGCAAGATTGGTGACCATGCTTTGCTGCACGAACATCATATTTCCGATCAATAAGCAATCAGCTGCATCGAACATGATCTGAGAGGAAAAACGTTCCTACTTTTTGAAAAAAATTTTGTGCTGGACGAGGTTTAGACTGTATGCTTGTGGGTTTACGGTAGCAATTCACGACTGGATGAAGCATCAAGAAGTATCGTTGTTCACGTGCTATATTCCTACTCGCTGGCGCTGGGAGTAAAGAAAACAAATCTCATGATCTTGAAATTTAGTAGCAAGAAAATAAAGCTTGATGAAGGAAAACCTCTTTCTCCGAGAGGCAGTACTCGTACTTGTGCATACGTTCGATACGCTCCTCGACAGACCAGTCCCAGAAGGCGGTGTTGTAACTGCTGTCGGCCATCATCGGTTTCGGTGCTGCGGTCCAGATCATACGCGGATCGTTGTCAAAATATTCCCGGATCAAAGTGCGGAAGGGGCGATATTCGAAAAACCGAGATCGCTTGCACATAGTAGCCTCCACAATCTCATTACCTAAGAAATCATGTGTGAGGACAGGGTGGAGATGGAGTCCAGGTCGTGCCGAGTATTTACCACCAGTAGTAGTCGTATGATCATCATGCAGTTCATTCATTCATTCATGAGAACTTTGAAATAGAAAACTAGCGCGCTTTCTTAACGTAAAAACTCATCAATCATCACAAAGAAAAACAAATTCATAAGCAATACCAATTGTCATCACGACGTCACGCGGGCATACGACACAGTACTGGTTTGGCGACTCAAAATCCGGTGTTTTTGTTGCCGTGTTAAACTTGCACAAAGATCGATCGGGGCGCTTCACAATGACTCCCTCTCCTTCCAGCACATCCTTCATACCTGCAGGGATGTTTAGATCAAGTGCGATGATGCATGGGATATCTTGAGTCTAATCGATTTTACTAAATGAAATTATCAGTCTTGCCCAGAATGGAGGAACAAATTTCATCGAAGTACACAGCGAAATAGAAACTAGTCGAGATTGTGAAGTGGCACACCATAGCAAAATGGTCTCACACTTCAATTAGAATAAGCTATTCCATGAGTTTCCTTGAGAATATTACTCAGCATTGAAGTTAAGCTCATTTGAAGGAATCAAGAACATCATCAAAAAGTCGCCAAATATGTGGTAATAGGTCTAGTCTTCATCAAAACTATGAGTCTTATCTCCTATCCAAGTAATATATTGCCCAATTGACACTCGTAGTAATGACTCAAAGAAAATTCTGAAGATTTGACTTTGAGTCAGTTTTGATTGTGGATGAAGGCTCTTCATCAGGAAAGGAATCTAATCAAAATGCAATATAACTGAAATTTCCTGGATATTCCCTTCAACATGAAAATTCAACCAATATTACACGAGACACTTGTCCTCCAATTTGCTTTTTAGCATTCTACATGACTCTGGAGTATAATACAGCAACATGATCAACAAAATGGGCTTGTGAACCTTAGATAGTTGAAAAAACATTTCGCGTGAGATGAAAAAAGATTCTGCTCACAGAGGCCATTACTTTTTGTGTGCTTCCTAAAAAATGGTTGAAAAGTTATCAAGAGTTATCAAAAACCATACTTCTACCCTATCAAAGTTCAAATGTTGTCTAGACATCTAAGAATAAGCTACTTTTACCCTCCAACTCCTTGTTTGCTCCCTCGATGAATCTTCGCAGTTTTGGTCCCGTCGGCCATGGCATCCACTCGGAAAAAGCGTGACTCATTTTGGCACCTTATGCGCATAACAAATCAATGGAGGATAATGTATTCTACTAGATAGGTAAGTAGTACTTTCCATGGTTCTACGGCTATGTCTATCGAAAACTTGCTAGAATGCGAGTACCGTGCTTCATCCTTCTGCTCCTATGCAGGTGAACATGAAAAAACGAAAACTAGTCTCACCCTTACAACTTATGGTCGTTACCATATTTGGTATGCTGGTCGTTGAACTCGCTTTGACAAGCGGGCTCGAGCGGAGGAAAGCACGCATCATCTGCAACTCCGAGGATTACCTCCTCCAGAGGGTCGAAATCGGTCCAACGGTTTACAATCGGTGCGTCTGGGGCAGCCATCTTTGCTGATTGTTGTCCTTCTTCTGCTGGGAAGGATATGACGGAAGTAGTTTGATGGTACTAGTGAGTGTGAGTCCTGTGAAGAAGACTGACTAGTTAGGCGAAGTCGTACTGAGGATTGTTCGATCTCGATGTAGATGTCTCCAGTGATTCGCACACACGCTCACGCGTCCTTGCTTTTGGAGTTCGTCCCGATTATGAGTTGTTCTCGCGTAGGAATCCGAATCCACAAAGAGAAGACAAGCGGAAGGAGCAACGAAAGACTGTACTAGGCTTTGAGTTTTTTTACAGTAGAATCCTTGTTGTAGAAAATTTATACACACTGTACACGAGAAATAAAATCTCTCAGAAAAAAACTGAGCCCCACGTCCTCGCAGTGAACTGTGAGTCACTTTCTCTGCTCTCAAGAACTGCGCCTAAAATGGTTAAAGGAAGATGAGAATGGAAACAACCAGCACGAGCTTCCTTGCTAACAATGAATTTGTCCACAGTCCAATGACCACTCGTCTTGATCGTTTTGTGATCATAAAAAAACGGAGTACTCACACTGTCTTACAAATAAGAAATGAAGCCATGAGGAAAACGTAGCGCGTGCTCATGCGACCACCGTTAGACATTCTCTACTTTGTCACTCCGTCTGGATCCTTTGTCCGATCAATAAAGAGTGCCACAAGCTACGGCCATTATAATACTGTCACTTGCGTCGAAGCTAACTTCTTCCACCTCTGTTTCTCCAGGGGGCGCGCAAATCGGACTTGCCCAAGTAGTTACACTGTCCCAGACACTGCGTTTCATTCATGCTGCAAGTCCCAAAAAAGGAGTAAATCCATCACCTGGCTCGCGGTTACCTACAAGAATAAGGTGCCAGTAGACCATTCCCTCCATATGATAAAAGAAAGTCGCAACGTGGAAAAGACAAAGAAAGACTCAGTGGTTCATCACGTTCACCCCTATAGAAGAAGTTGTGGCTAGTTTCACAGCCTAAGGACAACCTTAGGCTAAGAAACCACTACAGCCTTAGTGAGATTGCTTCATCTAGTGCTACTTCTGGAAAATTAAGCTGTAGCTCTGTCACTGCGCCCGCGCGTGCGACTTGCTACCTGTTGAGAGTGGACTCGGCCCCATTATATACCCTGGGCCCCGGCGTACACGGAGCAGCAAGAGGACAAATAGGGCGCGACCGCCGGAGGTTCGATCGAACTCGAAGGGTATTAAGCTAGGATCGCTAATGATCTTAGCCCACACCTCACGAGAGAACCGTAAAGATCGAACAGTTGGCAGGAACGCACAAGTCCGACGGACGTGATCCGACAACACAAAGGGACTCGGGCGGGTGGGATGCGCAAACTCGACTGGTGTGAGGTGCTGAGGTGGGCTACCCTCACCCACTCGCACACGCTCACACACCAGAGAGAGGACGGTCAAGATTGAGACGCAACGCGTCTCCCTTCATCCAGGATGTACGCACTCAATAGAAGTTCTTCGCGCCTGCAATCAAGACTATTCGTCAATATTTCGTGTCTTGCGCTATTGCGGAGCTCTACTGAAAAAATGAGCCTCAGCTTATAAGACATAAGAAGGGTAGCTTAGACTTGAGGAGCATGCTGAAGGTGCTGACATCAAAGGAGGCGAGTATTATTTTGCTAATGCTGTCAACGCGACAGACTAGCCCACAAGTGGCAGCCGGATCCGTCTGAGCCAACGAATTTCAGCGAAATGAGTCATGAGATAAGAAAAGCCAGACGCCAACGGGTGCGCGAATCTGATGCCACAGGTGAGCTAATCATGTGTCACGATGATAGTGAAATTGAAAGGGTGAGGAGGGAGGGAAACAAAGGAATACATACGAAGGATGGAGGAAGAATACTGAGTACAGAATACTGAATACGGAAGACGGAATACAGAATAAGGAATGCGGAGCACTCGCGCGGCGCATATGGATACGCAATACCACACGCGTCGGCCGGCCGCGCGCGCTGCGTGTAGGATGCGCAGCCCCCAAGAATACGAGTACGAATATGCATTGGGATGGGGATGGGTGACCGATGCCAGCTAAATAGTACGCGCCTCGGCTAGCTATGCCGAACACCTTCGCTATTCTTCCATATCAATATAATAATCATATTAGAGCAAGGCGAAGAATGAAGTAACAAGACGTAGACGAAGAAGAGAGGTAATGAAATAAGGAAGGTTCTTGAGGTTGTTCCTGCCTGTGTTTTCCTCACCCTTCGCTCTTCCGAGCCACGGATTGTCCGCATAGTGTTATCATTGATGTTGTTGACATTGCCTGAAAACGCTTCGCTCCTGCATTTTTACCTTCGATAAGAAGATGGGTAGTTGCTTGAAGCAGCCGACTCCACACTTCCGCAAGCCTCGAAAGTGGTGTCACGCCATTTCTGCCAGGGACGAAACACGGCAAGGTGTTTCGTCGGCGCATCTGACGGCAGATAACCCGATTCTTTTAGAACGGTCTCCGGATGCCCAAGGCGATAAGGCCACCGGTCCATGTTGTTGTCGATTAGTCCCCCATCTATTGCGCTCTGATAAATGCAATAAAGCAGTAAGCGGCACTAGTTGTAGAAGAGCGAAAAATTCTCCATGGTCATTTGTGTATCTAAGATCAAAAACAAGAACAAGATTCTCTTGAACTTGATGCTGATTCAAAGTTACATGAGCATATAGGAGAACGAGAAGCCAATCTGAAATATCATCAGTAAACAAAAAAACGAGTACCGGTGAATTCTGCCCACCGGGGTAGTGGCCGATCAACCAGGTATCCAAAACGTGGTTCTTCTGGACCGTCATGTCTCGTATATTGCGGATAAACTGACAGGCCGCTTGCAACGAGAGATGCTGAAGCGCATCCCTTGTCAACGCTATTATTTTCGGAGCGGTTGTATCATGACCTACATCCGTTTTGGCAAGTGAAGTGGACACATCATTAGAAGAAGCAGTTGTGCTGGGTGTACTTGATGCTGAAGCTACCTCTCGCTCTTTGGTCGTGCTGCTGGATAGCGTGCTATTCCTGCTGGTTGCGACAGCTGAACTTTCGACAGCATCAGCTTTGTTGCTGCCAACATCTTGACTTAGACGACTCTTAGCGTCCCTCGTTGTAGCACTATCTCCAAGAACTTCCCTTTTAGTTTCTGGTTCAAGCTCTGCTAGAGAAGCAGCGACATCAGGAACATTGTTCATTTGAATGTTTTTCTCTGCCTTGAGCAAAGCTGCACCCAGACGGCGCATTGTGCGCGTGTTGGCCGGTTCTGATAAGGATAGGTCAGCACGCAGAAGTTGGACCCGGGTCTCAGTGCTCTGGAAGCGCAGTCGTGCTCTTGAGAGCGGTATGCGCGCGATGTCTACTCCGATGTACTGGAAATTTGGTCGCGTTTTCCAGACCTCCTTCAAGAAAACCGCCGTCCACTCCATAGCTCCGCAGGGCACATCGAACATGATATCGATGTTGTTGCGCGTAATGTAGCTGTGTAGGTGTCGTCGCAAGCCCACAGTGGCGTCGACACGCGAACCCGGACCCGAACCTGAGCCACCGCCAAACCAAGCCCCCGTTTGGTAGATTTTCTCAAACGCCGCCTCGCGTGAATTATGTGTCGGGTCACCCGCGTCCGCCGCTTCAACTGGAACAGACGACCCTGAGCCAGCATCGTATTGGACTTCCGAAACGCCTTGCTTCATGACTTGAGCCTCAGTGGTCTGCGTCGCTGCCAAAGACGAAGATCCTGTGGATGGATTGGAACTAGCAGGCCTCGCACTAGAAGTCCTAGAAAATGAAGATGATGTTGTCCCGGTAGCCAAAGCAAAACTACTAGAAGATGGTAATGATCCGAGGCTCTTCGACCCCCGATAATTCTGTATCGGGTACCTCATGTTTCCTTTTGACCATGTCTGGGGGGATCTATTTCGTAACGAAACCCGAGTTGGCGAGAGAAGGGGACCACCGGCACTGCCACTAGTTCTAGAGGAGTAAAAATCTTTAGATGAAGCAGTTGCTCCAGAAGTTTCAACGGGCAAAGCCGGATTAGTTCCAACTAAGGAAGATTCTCCTGCTCCATCTCCTCCTGCTGGCACATTTGAAATCTCGTCGCGAACACTGTCCTCAGGACGCGCAAACCACGGCCTTAAGGCGCCTTTGTCCACCGCGGCTTTCGGTACATCGCCCAAGGCGCTTGATGACGGCTCGATTCTCGCTGTTTCCCCACTTGATAGGTCGAGCGGCCGCTGCGATTCTCTAGTTTTGGAGTCCGAGGTAGAACTAGAAGGTGTACCATCTAAAGCTGTTGACTTTGCTGAGGCGAGAGACGCTGATGATGCACTACTAGATGAAGACAAGGCGCTGGTGGGTTCGGAACCATTATTGTCCGGTGATCTGCTCCGGGAGCTACTCGAGTAAGTGGTCGACGCTAGAGACGATTTTGAACTTGTTTCAGCTAGACTGTGCGAGGTAGATGCAGACGAGAAGAGTTCTGAACTTGAAGACGAGTCACTATTTGAATTTGAAGATGTCCGTACCGAGGATGGGGCAGCAGCAGCAGCACTTGGATCTTTACCTGCTGTGTGACCCTGACCATCTCCTGCGGTCCCAGAGGAATGAACGCCGAATAGTTGCGCCACCAAATCTTGTTCAGGAGATGCTGAGAACAACCCCTGCAGAAGACGCAGAACCGAGAAAGCGAGAGCGCCCCAAACCAATACGCGCGGCGTGCGCCCGATACATGATGACGTGGTCATGTTGTTATTGGGATATGGTGGTTAAATCAACGAACAACTGCTTATGCGTATCTCGATACTTCTCGTCTGCCATTGCCTAGACGTCAGGCATAAGAAAAAGAAATTGGGAAAACAAGCTGCAAGCTGGTGGCTATATAGTGACGCAGTGGGACTCCAGAAAACCACTATAGAACTACTTAGACTCTTCCGCCCGATATCAGGCCGAGTTGCTCGAGTTGAACGAGTTCCACACCAAAAAAATGGCCGCTGCGCCCTTCGGGCGCAGGCACTGGCTTCGATGCGTCCAATACGTTGCCCAGGAGCGCGAACCAGAACCACCCCCAAAAGCGAACGCCTCCGGTAGCGTCTCTTCTCACTCTGCGAGGCGCTGCATGCGCGGGGCAGACAGGAGCAGCGCCACCCGGGGCCCCTGCTCTCGTAGTTATGTGTTACTAAGTTAGCGAGCCTACGTACCTAGTAAAGCTGCTGCCCTGTAAAACAACTACACAAATAAAGCCACTCGATTCAGATGCATCCACTTACTCAGGAGGGCCTTGCTTGTGATGCTAGCTACTCACTAGGCGGCGCGCCACCCAGTAAGTCCACCACAGCGCAAACAAATGGGCGCCAGGGCGTGAGGCTGGCTGCTGAAGGGGGCCCCGTTCTAAAAAACAAGCCGGGCGCCCTCATATACTCGCGAATCTCGGGCCCCAAGAAGTCGAACGAGCTGGCCACTCATCAGCAAAAAAATGAACCAGCGTAGCCAGACCGCGACCGACATCAGCGCACGACTATGCAGAGACACCGACACAACGAAGGAAGCGCTGCACCTCGCAAGGCACGGGCCCGCGCCACTCAAACAAAAAAGGCCCCGAGCTTCGCCTTGTTACTTTCGCGAAGCTCAAGCCCCGAAGAGCTCAGCCGGGGCGTGTACAGGCGGCAGATCTGCCAAGAGACAACAGGCCGCGGCTTTCTTCTGAACTCCGTGGCTTCTTGGCCCGCCATACCGCCGCGGAGTGCGGCGCTTTCAAAGTGGCAAGCTGCCCAGAGGAAACCGTTAGCAACTCGCTCCGGGTTGGGCCTGACTGTGCGCCTCGGCAACTCGTGGCAACTCGACAGAACTCGAGCAACCCGTAACTCGAAAAGCGGACTACTCGGCATTAATATGAAGGGGAAAAAGCAATATCTTCATATCATGAGGAGTAAGAAAGTGGCTTCATCACGAGAAATAAAGTATTCGAGTACTTAATCTGAAGCAAGTAGAACAAGTTTATTCATGGCGATCACACGTTGGTCTTATTTGTCATCGATGGCCCTCTGAGGCTGTGCCTGAAGCTGGACCTGGATTGATAATCTTACTCTGCAGATTGGGCCTCGTTATGCATCGTTGTTTTTCGGAATATGCCAAGATGACGTAGCTAAACAAGTCCTCCATCTTTCACGCTCGTTTTGGCTGATTCATCTCACTCTCGAGTCCTGCACGAGCTGCTCAAGGACTCACAGTCTTTGAATCACAGTAAGTTCAAGTCATAACAAGTCGCTCGCTGGTACCCTCTCTCTCAATATTGACTAACATTATCGCTAACGCTCAGACCACAGGTCCCTCGGATGAAACTTGTTGTGCATAAAGCACTGTAGACAGCATGCATCAACTACCGCATAGCAATCAATATGACAAACAAAAATGGCTTACCCTTGCAGGTAGTGATTTGTTAGATTGAGCTACTAACAGTTTGGGGGTACTACGTACTTTTTAAGAGCATCTTCTATTAGTACTTAGTGTGTATAATTTCCTTTATTGATTGTCAGAAGCTAGTGGGTAGAACTGAATCATATTAGTCCAGTTTAGAAGCTAAGAGAAACTAAAACCTAGTACTAGAACAAATTAGAGAGTGGTAGAAGTTTTAAGTTACTAGAAGTGCGAAGCTAGAAAACGTTAGAACTTGATAAAAGTTACAATTCAAATGAATTACCAAAACCTTTTTTTTTTGTAGTGCGACCGAGTTCCGATAAATCAGTGTTGAGTTTTGGTCCAGATTTGAGGTGTCAACCTGATCAATTGCTTTTGGCTTCATCAGGAAATAGATTTGTAAAAACGTAGATAAATTCGAAAGTTCTTGGATTTCAAATTGAAAACTCAAATTCAAAATCCAAAAATGAGAAGAAAACAGCTTTTCTTGAAAAGTGTCTTAGATATCATCAGCTGCAAGTGCAACCCTTTTCATGCACTCAAGAACAACACAACCAAGTCGAAAGCGCACGTAGAAGATGGCATTCGTTGAGGTGCTCGAAGCAGCGTCGCGTGCAGCTGGTCTGGCTCTTTGTGTTTGATGTTGATTTGGTGATAAAACATCTTGGATAATTTTCTCAAGGTGAAGGGGAAAGAGGACACATCTCATTTATTGGGCTCTGGGAAGTCGAGGGGTTTTCATTTGATGGGACAGTTCATCCGTGTGGCTTTCACCTTCAGGAGCGCTTATTTTCTTCCTTCTCCTCGGTACATTAACTGTCCTCAACACCCCCATCGGCTGCGGTACTGATGTCATCACCGTCACTGCGCCTTACTTGACGTACTTCATCTTGCTGTCCGCCGCTTGCGCTTATTGACGACAAGACGAGCCCAATGAGAACTTCATTTTTCGGACTGCAAGACAGAGGAAAAAGAGAACCCAAGCTCACTTCATATCGCGGATCTCTTTCTCGGACATGCGAGAGTCTATCAATATCGGATGCTTGCATACATCGCTTCACCTTCCAAAAATGGTCTTTTTGCTCAAAGGACCAATCCGCTTCTTTCTTGTCATTGTTGCCAACTACGTCGACATCAGCACAACTGAGAATATCCGAAAATGCTAGTTCCACTCGTGCTAGAACCTCCTTGTCCTCCATGATTCCCTTGTTATTTCCCACTGTCTTGTAGTCTTGATCTTCATCGTCTGCAGCTACATGGTGATCAGTACGAGTACCAGTAGGCAGGCTTCTACTTTGTTCCTCCTCGATGACAACAGGCTCGCAAATATCAGGATTAAACTCCAGAGCTGCTTGGAGCTGCAAGAGTCGGATGCGCTCCTCTAAAGTCGCAACATCGTTGACCACGTCACCCTTGGGCTTTTGCTGATGTCGCTCTGCACGCGAGCGCCCTTTCTGGAGAAGTTTTTGGCGGTTTTTCCCTGACGTAACATCATGGTCTTTTCTCTCCTCTCGATTTTTCGTTTCACAATTGTCATCAGCAACTTCACCTTGTTGTTGAAGCCCCTCCAAGCAGTCCCGTAATACGATTGACCGGACAGCGCTACTGCGTGGCACCGACTGCGACAGTTGGAAAAGATTGGAGTAAAACTCACGCTCACGCCCGCGGATTTGACCGTAGCAGCACGGAGCTAGCACGAAACTGGCTCCGCGGCGCACTGACATGTTCAGTATCGAGTCCGTGAGCAAGCCACAACTATGAAGGCTGACCGCCAGATCCCAGCTTCTATTCCTGTTCGGTGTGGCTATGGTACAACTTGCATTCGCTCTGTTTGAATTGCCTTTACCATGTCGACCAGCATCCTCTGCGAGAACATCCGTGTCCTTGTAAATGTACAGATCGTGATACTCCTCAAGCGATGCTGCAACAAAGCGGGCATTTTTCAGTCCCGCCTCTTCAACGCGCTGATTGCCCATACCGCATTTCCCAGGACATCGATCCACACAAGTAATGTCAACTTTTTCGGGCCCGAATAAGTGGGCAACGAGAAGACCCACGTGGCCAGAACCGGCGCAGAAATCCACGACGCGAAGCGGGCGGTCAGCGATTCCTGATTCTCCGTCTGCAGCCCTATGTCGACCACGCTTTTCCAACAGTCTTTCTATTGCAGGAATTACGTGCAAAGCGAGTAAGCTTTCGAGCTGCTGTCGCTTGCGCTCGGCTCGCCCAGGCTTCGAAAGTACACACAGTTCGCTGAAAGGATCCAACGCTGGAGGCACCTTGCTCCAATCAAGTCTGACAGTGCTAAAAAGCTCCTTGCTTGGTGCTTCGTCGCCATCTTCATACTTCTGTCCACAGTCATCTCTCAACGCCACGAGGCCTGGCTTTCTTGGAGTCTCCCTGTCGTCTCCCTTTGCTGCATGGGGTGCGCCAGGATCATCGATGCTGAAAGAAACATTACTCTTCGAAGCTATGATCCTCTCTGCGAGCGTTGCAGCGCCGTCGAGGACGCGCGCGCGCTCCTGCCGGCGACGCGCGAAACGGGATTTCATCCTTGTCTCTACTCTCTGGTCGACACATACACAGAACACAACTAATCTATTCTAGGATATAAAAGCACGTCCCACATCATCGACGACCAGATGCTCGGCTTTTCTATCACAGTGAAAAACTATCTTATTCTTGCCTAGTGCTCGCCTCAACAACAACCAAAGCCGTCCACTCCTCCTCCTGTACCAATTGTCGTTGATAAAGATTGGTGAAAACCTGTAACTCCAAGCATTCGCGGAGTTTACGGAGGATCATTCAAATGAATCATACCTTTCTTTATTGAGGGCGTTGTTGAGCTTTCTTCAAGTTTCTTATCCGTATTTACGAAACATGCAAGTACAACTGGCCCCTTTTTTCGTGCTGATCAAATTGGCTAAGCAGTCAGATCAAGACTAGGATCTAGATCCTGGAGACGGGATACGGCTGGGTAGATCTTATTTCGGATCTATTCGCACTCTCAGAGACGCAATTGATGAGTGATACTTCTTAAGTACTTGGAAAAAAGTTTTTCGTCTTTGGTCTCATAATGCTCTCCTGAAGACCACATGTTGCTCTAAGGTTTTTGTCGAAGTAGAGCTTGAACTTTCGGCGTAAACAATACACGCCTATAGAAGCCATAGCGATAGCTCCTGCTGTGCAATAGATAATATGCAACATGATCTTCAGGACCAAATTACAGCACGCAACTTTAGGAAGTCGTCGCTTCTTCCTCTCCATAATTCTGGTCAAAAACGAGGACATTCCTGGCTTGTCTGAATGTTTCACGGATAAACTTTGCAGTGGGACCCATGTCCTTCGTTAGCTCGTGGTACATTTCTCTGCGCGTTGTTCGCTCTGCTTCTAGGAGAGTCAGATAGTAGCGTTGAATATCAAGCCCCACGCCAACAGATGCGTCGACCGCGGACCATGCGGCGTCGTCAGCCTGCGAAGACAGCGCCTCTACGTAGTCCAGGGCGGCTTCGGGCGTCCGCTCTGACTTCTTGCAGACGCCATCTCCAGAGGGCGAAAACAAGTTCTCATCTTTTCTCTGGTGATGCTCCTCTTCGTGATGAGGAAATCTTCCGCCCAGATGAAGATTATACTCATCTCCATCTTGCACTTGCCTATTATAGTCATCATGATGTGGATAAGAATGCTCCTGCGTATCAACGTTGTCATTACCATCTTCATCATCAGAATAATCTTCATCCCTGTGTAACAAGCCGCGAGGATGCCGTTTTTGATGGTGCAGATAATATTTTTGAGGAAGTGCGGCAATCGATTCTGAGTCTTCCGCTGCTTCTTGAGAACCAGACTCATTGCCTTCTACTGAGCTGCCGAGAGTATCTTCTCCACCACTGCTACTTCCAGGTGTTGATTCTGACGTGTCTATACCCGGATTCCAGTCCGTTGCAGCACCTCTCGTGCTATCCTGGTCACGCCCCTGTGTCTCTGCCTTTCCTTGCACTTTGTATTCATTTTCTGCTGACTCCACTGCCGCGTACTCATCCCCTGGTCTCGTGGAAGAACCAACTGGCAGCGCTTGTGCTGTCATCTCCCCAGGTTGGCCTGATTCACTAGCTTCATCTAGCTCACGTCGTTCCAGCTCTTTCGACTGCGCTCGCTCGTTCTCGAGTTGTGCAGCCTTATCAGGATTAGTTTCTGGCTGTTGCTCCTGCGTCGCTCCATCATTCTTATTCTTAGTGGTCGTCGTCGTGCTCGTGTCTTCTTTTCGCGGTCCTTCGGCCTCCGCTTTTGGCATTTCTGCTTTCTCCGTAGGCTGAGCGACATGCTGTGGCCCGAGCCCGTGCTTGACTTCGACTTCTGAATCAGTTGTAGCTTCAGGCAGACGTTCCTGTACCCTCTCCGAGGATCCCGCATCAGGCGGCTGCTCTGCAGGCCCCACTTTTTGCTTGTCTAACGGTGGATGCTCTCGAGCACGTCCGGCTTCTCCCTGGTCAGCTGCAGCTTCTTCGGCGGACTCTTGATTGCCGGCAGCAGGCTCGGTGTGCTCACCAGACTGTGGAAGTTGACCGTCCGCAGCTTTGTATATATCGGCATCCGTCGGCGCTTCCTCCACTTCTTTCCCGGCGAAACCTGTGGCAGACTTTGCTTTCGCGTCAGGCTGCTGCTCGTCGAATGCAGCGAGCGTCTTCTCTTGCTCGCTAGCTCTGTCCTGTTCCTCTCTACCCTGCTGATTATTCTGTCCATCCTGCAGACCTGTCAAAGCGAGCTTGGGAATTACGGATGGACGCTGAGCGAGAGCGACAACCTGGTCGCCGTTCGCGACGCCGTCACCAGGCTTCTCTGGGACTGTGTCTTGGGAATCGGAGTTTTCTGCTACTTTTTTTCGTTCTCTTTCTTCCGTTAGACGTTTAGCTTCCAATAGACGTTTAGCTACCTCGGCCGGATGCTCCTCCGGTGGACCACGACGACCACGATCCGATAATGGTTGGCCATTCGGAGGACGGGGCAGAGCTTCGAAACCTCGAGGGGCACCAGCCTTTTCTTGTTGATCTTCGTCAAGGCTCACTTGAACTGTGGAAGCAGCAGATGGAGAGGCAGCAGAAGCGCCATCTGACTTCGACGATGACCCCAAAACGAGAGGACCATTCAGAGCAGCGACCAGACAGACTTCGCGTACTAGAATAAGAAGACTATGATGTACTCCTGTGGTGATCACCATACTTTTGACACCGCTATATGACACTGATACAGACGAGGAGGGGTCCAGGGTACAGAGTACGTTGACGAATCGTGGCTATTGTGAGGAATGAGGAAGAGGGCTTCGGCTCGCAATATTTTCATCCGTTCTCAAAGCAATGCGAATGCTCACTATACCGAGGCGAAGAGTAAATATACAGAGATCGCTTTCGCTCGCTGTCGCTCCGTCCAAAAATCCGGCATAATAATTCCTCTCCATGTCAATCTTCTTCGCCGAGAACCTCCTCTTTTGAAAGAAATTGGCAATTCCCAAGTTGTCAGGAACTAACTCCGAAGTAGTAAACAAGTCACGCCTCTACTTCGAATGTCCGTACCTCCAAAGTCAGAGACAATTTGTCGAGACTATCAGTATCAAGTTGCGCCAATCTTCAGACTGTCGTCGCAAGAAGAGACAAGGAGAAGCCGAGTAAGACAGGCTGAAGCTGGTACGTACAAGTTACAACGACCCAATCATAGGAATTATATCCGGCAATTCGCAATTCGCAGGGGGATGCTGTTCCTTGCAACGTGCTTCATGATGAGAAATCAAAAAGAGGTGGAGGAAGTCGGCCTTGTACTGGGTAACATCTTGCTAATATAATTGCTTCTCAATCACAATCAATTAGGTTACTTATAATTTATCGATGAAGCCGTCCAGGTCGACGCCTTTACTGATGTTCATCAAGCATGCCAGAGAGATACCAATTTACCAGGACGGCATGACAGAGACGCGCTCTTTGCGCTGTTTCAAGTGTCCATCAACTGCAACTGCCTGAAGACTTGTGTCAAGTCAAAACTCCGCTGTTAGCGATATCCATACCCATTTGCTGCGTAGATGTTGGGGTCTTCTTCTTGATGCTGATTCGAGCTGACCTCCTCGAGAACGTGGGCCAGTTCCGCGGGATTCACAACGCCCTTGCTTCCGTATTCGCCTCTTGACGGGGGCCACGCATTCGTAATAGCTGGGGAGGACGCGAGGGTGGGTGAGGACCCAGCGTTGGAAGTCGAATAGATAGAAATCTCGTACTGACTACTGAGTGCCGAGCATTCATGCACGTTCGGTAGCGGCGCTGGAGCCACGTCTTCCACGGGTCGCGCCAACGGTCGCGAGCGGTGAGCTACAACTTTCTGAGCATTTGAGATAGCGATGTTCTGCTCATCATGATTGGGCTGATAAAAGTCTCGCTGTGGAGAAAAGTCCCTGCGTGGTGAACGCGACCAACCGGGTGCAGGTCGTTTTCTCTGTTCTTGGGTAGCAGATGGTCCGCGACCGCGAATGCTTCCGCCTCTGCTTCTTGGCGAGATCACTCCGAGCGCTTGGATTGACAACCCGTGTTGCCCTAAATGCACTGCAGGCATGTGCGCTGCGCTTTTCTCGTACTGACCAAGTTGCACTATGTCGATTTCAAGCTTCGTACCTGTACCCATCCTCGCGGCCGCGTTGTCCACGGCCCATTTTTGCGCGATGTTGTCGATGTGAAATTCGTCATCCTTTGAGCGCCACGCTGACATTTCCTTTTCCATCTCCGCGATTAGTGGCGCAGCTGGCCTAGTCCTCCGAGGATGGTGTAGCGGATGATCAGCGTCTGCGAATCTTTCCGTTTCCAGGCCGCGGTCATCGCGAGTGTGGGATGCAGTGTCTTCGGTACTTGTACTAGTACTGTCTTTTTCCAGACTCGCGGAGGAAAACGGCGAACCATGGCCGAAAAGACAACGCGCAGGCAGTTCTACCGCTGCAGTGGCCGCAGCAACTGTTCCGGACCACGTCATGTTCTTCAACTCGTCCATCAACGAATGGAATCCGTCATGCCTGGCTTCGTGTCTCGCCGCTTCTCTGTGCGCATGTTCTCTTTCCCATCGTTGAAGCGTTCCCGGACGCGGTGGCTTATTTCTTTCTTTAAGTCGCTGATGCCGACTCTTCTTTTTGGTGTTGCTACACATAGTTGTACTAGAACTACCTGCGACGTCGTGAAAGGTTTTGCCATGCTTCCTGGAAATCGAAAAGTCGCCTCTATGATCTGGATCCTCATCTTCTCCACAAAGCACACGAAGATGGTGGGGCGCTTCCTCATCCTCAGCATGCATTCTCCTCAGTAGTTGCACGAGACGAACGTCGTAGTTTCGAACATGACGCGCATCTGCACGCATCTCAAGAATCGTCCCCTGGACGTCCTCCGGCAGCTGTCTTAACGAATCCCGCACAGTAGGCGGTAGATGTTCCAGGTCATCGGGTTGGTAGTTCTTGAAGTCCTCGTGGTCGGGGTGATGGGGATGCAGGGAAATAGGCGCGTCGCCGTTGGGAATATTTGTGTCTTTCGAATTCAGTCGGTTTTCATCATCGTGCTGTCCGCCTGCTGCAGACAGTAGCGACGCTAGAAAGCCTTTTTGCTCCGGTGCATTTTTCGCAGCCTTCTTGTTTGCTTCGTGGTGTTTGTCCAATGCGATCTCATAGTGGCTTCGCCGGTTAACGACAGGCGGTGACGGGCGAGACTGCTGCTCTAGAAGCTTGCTTTGACTCCTGCGGTGTTCGGAGAAGTCGTAATAGCCGGAAAAGTAGTTTTGACGTCTGTGTCCTAGCGGCGGATCGTGGTCGTGGTGCTCAGCTTGTCCGACTGAACCTGAGCTAGAAGTCGCTCCATATCCAAAAAATGAGGAGAAAAGCCGCGACGGCAAGGACTGCCCATCGTCTCGTCTTTCTTGGTCGCGCTCTCCACGATCGCTCTTTCGTGCACGGGCACTTCCTTGTTTGCGTTTCCGCTTTTCCTCTTGTCTTCGCTTCGTTTTTTGCTCCTGCGCCATAGCCAGGTCTAAAAGCGCCGGTCCGGATAGGCTATTCACGTCGACATCTTCGTCCTCATCGGTGTCATAATCTGTAGTGGACAGATCGTCATCTCGATCCCCTTGTGCTGAGTCCCTATTGAATCCAGCAGGCAATAGGTTCCAGAGTGTTTGGGAATCGATACCAAATATCGACGTGCCCCTCGGCTTCTCCGTTTCGCCGCCGGGGCCCCAAAGATTGACAACGTCCCCCTGATATTGTAACATCCTGACGAATCGATACTAGAGTGACCAGCAAGCCGAAAACATCATCTTCTTTACGCACCAGTCATTCTGTTATAGATGCACTCATTATCATTACAATTACTGGTTTTTTCATCACCTTCTACTACAAAACGACGAGGAAGTCAATTCATAAACTCGAGACAAGCAAGAATGATCCAGGGGATTTCGATTTCAGACCATAATAATTGAGACCAAGGATCGACTAACCCTGCGTAAAGGCTTTGCTCATGCTATAATCGTGCAGGAACACCAACGAACACGATCACACATAAAAACAAATCGAAATCCTCTATGCGTTTCTAGATACATGTGAGTGAAATCTTAGCCAACAATAGTTTACAAGTGAGCGGGAGGAACCATCTACAACCTGGACGATGTTTCGGTGGGCGGCACGGTTCACTGAAAAATGTATAAATGAGTCTTCTGTTTCTTCTAAAAACCAAGGCTAAGGGAGAAGTTAATTCTACCTCTCCCCGAAATCATTCGCCCGATAATGCTCTCGTACAGATCCATTTGCGCCTCTCTACTCAGCATGAACACACGAGATGACGACGACGACAGAGTCACAGTTAGAGTTTTCTCGCTCGCACTATCTTCAGGTGAAGGCAACAGACCAGTCTCTCTCTCCGCCTAACATAAATCTGAATTTATACTGCAGCTCTCGGATACCGAGCCAATATCACTCGATAACAGGATCAGAATTCAGGAGTTGGATCCCCAAGACAGGCATCAGAAATGCAGCAGGCGTTACATACTTACTAAGTTTTCAATAAAAATATTGATCTTCAACAAGAACAACTACATCTTCTTCGCTCGATTCGAGAAGCAGAAGTATGAAGAACGCTTCTTGCACTTGAATCGCATTCCGTGCCTCGTCTTGAACTCTCTATAATCTCCAATGCTATCGATTCAAGAGAAGACTATGATATTTCAAAGCAACATAGACAAGAGAACAACGGCGATGAAGCTTTTTGAGGATTCGAAGACGTTGACTCGATTTTCGTTATTTCGGGTAACTATACATGTTCGTGGCAATCACATTCTTTTGGCGCAAGAAGTTGTTATTGTTTCAAATTCAATACCTAGACAAACAACATACAACTAGTCATTTTTTTCTAGGTCTGTATCATCATAGAATCAGGCTCTGCTACTCATGTCCGTTGGTCCTCATCATGCTCTTTGTGATAGTAATGCATACGATGATCATAACAATCGGAAACTCGATGACATCGATACCTTTGTTGTGAATGTCATCCCTTGATGGAGGTTTGTAAGAAATGTTAGTTGCAGCACCGAGCTGCGAAGGAAGGAGCGAGTAGAGCGAACATGCTTCACATCGGCTCCGCAGCAGAAAATTCAGAGTCCTTCTCGTTTCGAATGCTGCTGCTAGAATCTTGCTGGGCATTTTCACAATTTGCTCCGTGTGGTGTAGGGTCCGTCGCTTCTGTTGTTGTATCGCTCATAGTGTCACTGCTCCCTCGCGTTGTTTTCACGACCTCCCAGCTGGCGCGGCGCAACTTCTACATCGGAGTCATTATTTATACACAAGAGATGATGTTGTTGTTGAACAACAGCTGCTTCGTTCTCCTAACGAACATCTATGTTTTGGACATCTAGCTTTGTTCAGGAACTTCTTTGTCATGTGGGACAGCCGGGGCACTAGCCTTTTCATTTCTACTTTGTTTGATCTCGCTGATGCTGCGCTATTCACTTGTGTCTTGTATACGACAAGGAGGCCAGCAAAAGTTGTAACGATGTTCTTTTTCGACAGTTGTCTCTGTTTTACTGTAATTATATCAGTTGTAGTTCACCTTGTCGGGAAAGCACGAGAGGTCCTTCTAGATATAGTTGTCGAATTAGAGTTATCATCGATATATTGTTTCTATGCGCGGCTGTGTGTTGACCGGTATTTAAGCCTCCGATAATGTCTTAATTCCTGCTGTAAGAAAGTTGGCAGACGATAAGCAAGAAATTGACCTCCACTTGCCTGACCATACTAAAACCACACTGCGGTGATGTGCATGTGGTTTTTTTTCGACATCTCTACTTGTGAACTTTCAACTACTTACAACATTTCTAATCAATAATTCAAGAACTACAGATGCGATTCTAACAAATTGCTAGGTCATATTACTGCGGTTTATTCTAATTGATAACGATATTTATTAAGATTAACTACATCAAGGCTCTACTTTTACTAATACAATTACTTTGCACGACGAGGACTACACGATCCAGTACGTCCATAACATCAACATATTTTGCCGACAAAATTGGAATTCCTTGTTGTTTTCACGACGAATAACATTCAAAAGTTCCTAGATCAAGAAAGTTTGAAGTGTATTTCAACAGTTTAACGAGTGATTTTGGCTTGGTCTTGCCAGCCATGATTGATTTGGCAACGATAGACTTGGTTAGTTCTTTAGTTAGTTCCTTAGACAACATACATTCTACTGTATCGGTACATACGATAAAGCTTATCTTCTTCTACGCAAGCTCATCTAGATTTTTACCCCCCCCCCCGCTCCACCGCATTTGAAGGTTGCTGCATTTATCACACAACATCCACCGAATGGCAATTTAACTACCCACTACCTTACTATTTTCTCAACTCGAAGCTTGCTGGCCTGCAGCGTCCTCTGCTACTCAGTTCATACCCCATTCCGCATAACGAAACAAGGCTAGTCTGTAAACGTGATTTGAGGAAAACATTTTGTATGTTGTGTCCTTTCGCACGATACACTGTTCGATTACGATGGAACTTAATATCCAACAACCGTTCATTAATTTTGTTTTTGTTTTTCCAAGAAAAATAATAACGACTTGTGTGAACATTATAAATATTTATAATCCGGCACAAGTAAAATATTTATCAAGTGGAGTACCTGCTTCGAGCTTTTTCACGTGTCTACAAATATTTCCATTTGCGGCTCGTGTCATGCGCCTTACATCGCGACCGGTGCAGCGGCCTGCTGCCTGAAAGTTACGGTGGGTTTTTTCATATTACCGTAGAAGTGGTGAAGATTCCTGAGGTGCGCACAGGAGTCAAGCTCGTTGTTGTCCAAAGATTCCGGATACCAGTAGATAGAGTGAGAGTATAGAAAAAGAAATCCTCAAAAATGATTACCCCTTGGCGACGGGAAGGAAGAGCTTGAACTCCGGCGGCAATTCCTCTTCGCTGTAGAGGCGGTCGGAAAAGTAGATCCTGCGGATGCGGCAATTGGCATGGAGCTGAACGCGGAGGGTCTCAATGTAGTTCGTTCCGTACGCACGGCGGGTAAAATCACTCAAGTTAAACTGGATCTGATTCCATCCCTCGTCCAATCGCATCGGCATTGTACCTTATTAATAGAAGGACGGCATAGCCATATTTCTTGCAAGAGGGAAAAAGAAGACAGAAGGAAATTAACTTCAAAAGCATATGAAAATTGATGATCAATAGAAATATCACTGGACGTGCCCCCTGCAAGACTAATAAAAAAAAACGCATAATTTTTGGATTTTGCTAGAAAGAATGGTACAGATAAATGGCTTGACGCGGGTCGTCGACTGGTAGTTCGATGCTCGGAATCGTCGTCGGATATTCTTGTCATCCAAAACTTGTACTTCGAATGTGAAATACCTGTTGTAGTGCATCAAGACAATTAAGGGATGTTGTCAAGCTTTTTGTTCGAGGATTGTTCTTTAGCTGTTTCAGAAAAAACAAAATAAGCAGCAACAGCTAGTAGAGATGGAGCAGATCAATCATGTACCAGGCTAAGCAAATAAAAGCTCACAAAAAGATTAACATAGCAAGTAGTACTTCTTCAAGTTCTTGATGATCATGACCAAGAACGGAAGTTTGATTCCGAGTGTCCTCTTCGGGTCTGCTGGGCAAGTAATGAAGTTGGTGCTCACATTTGTGCCCATAATTTCGAGGACTGATGACTGAATGTCATTGTCGGTTAATCGCTTGATGTGTCCGTTTCGCACCTAGTCAGTTTGTGGTTTATTGGAGGCAACTTAGAAGATTCGAAACAAATCAATGAAATAAATTCATCTTCATGGACAATGTACTAGTTGTAGTTGCAGATTTGGAACGTGGATTAGAGGCATGGATTGTAATCTTGAAAAACATATTGAGTCGACCTACGTTTACGTACTAGTACCTTCTTGTCCCATATCTGCAGTGGCTTAGAGCCCACTGAGTAGAGGATACTCAGAAAACCGGACTGAAACGTGTTTCGGAACATTTTTGAAAGTTCTTGTCGAGGAAGGCACAATCAGCTAGTTAGCCTAGTGCTAACAAGAAGTCCACCTACTTTCCTCGTCTAATGAGAAAAGTAAGGAGAAGAACTCACTATGGAGAAAAAGAGTCAAGAGGAGATTGCGAGCGATAATACAGGCGATCGAAGGAGTGGTCAGTACTAATCATGATGCTTATCTTCCTCATTCCATTTTGCGCTCATTATGATAACGATCATATCCCCAACATTGTCCTTATCAAACAATTCTTTAGGGCAGACGATGAGTACGAACGGCTAGAAATCGAACGTGCTCCCTCCAGAAGTCGTGCAACACGCAAAAAACATATACTTACATACGCTCGTCTCTTATTGAGTCATTCGACGTTCACATGACAGGACGTTCGGTCTTCCAACCTCGGTGTAGGAGGATGTTGCCACTCGTTAGAGAGTTAGAGGTGCACTGCAAACAAAATAATCGATAACCGATTGACGTTGCAAAAACGATGACATCCTCCCGAAAGTCCATACTCACTGTCTCTGTCGAGATATTACGACCAGCAGCTGCGGGACTAACTCAGTAATTATTCATGTCCGCATTGAAATCACACGCGTGGAACACAAGAGAGCACTGCCCGATTTATACGAGTATCAAAGTCATGGATTTGTGATTCTTGATTCTTTTGCGCATGCGCTGTTTTTCTTCTTATATATAATTGTTCACTGCGCGACCAAAGTGGTAAATCAGAATTCGCAAACAGAAAGTGAGAGGAATAATGGGGAAACAGAGTTGTAATCACTTTCGCATCGTGCTCACATGTATGGGGGTGCAAATAAGTGGTGTATGCGCGGTGACAACCTTCATTTGTTTTTGTTCTTTTTTGCCCCCTTCGACGGACCAGTTGCTGTTGCAGCAGCTGCTTGCTTCTTGCTCTCCCCGGGGGCTTGCTTCCACGCCATGTGCGTTGGGTTTCGCTTAAGGTGGTCGAACAGTTTGTTTTTGGTATGGAACGTCTGCCGACAAAAGGAGCATCCGAATACGGTAGGCATCGAGTTTGCCTCTGGCAAGCTTTCGCCTGAACCGGCTGGCCTTGGCCGGTTCGTGGCCGCGCATTCGCCTGGCGCAGAAGTCTTCGGCGCTCGTCTTCGTTTGCGTTTGCCGCTCGTTTGCTGGGGATTTGCAGCTTCATCGACATCTTTCTCATCAATATTTATCGGATCTGCTCCGTCGGCCTCTAGATCCGTGTCAACTGATGCTTTAGGGTTTACTGTTCTTGCATCCACCTCAGTTTCTTTTGAAGTCACGTCAACATCATCCTGGTTTGATCCTTCTGCTTTACCGGGGCTCCCTGAGCTTTTATCGCCAGCTGCCTCTCCACTGGTCACGCTTCCACAACCAGCTGCAGATGTAGTTTCCTCGTCTTCATCATCTGAGGACGGTGGCACTTTTTCCTTCGCCATCTCCTCCTCAATTTTACCACTCCTGGTTTCTTTTTCGCTACCTTCGCTTTTACTACTTGAGTCGTCAAATTTCTTTGGCTCTGCTTTTGCGGTCCTCATGTTAGCGAATCGGGCAAGGAAATCATCGTCCTCTGATTCGCTTGTCGAGCCTGACGTCTTTGATGCAGTCCTCGATTTTCGGCGACTTCTACTGGAGGAAGCTTCTGATTTTGCAACTACAGACTCGCCTATTGAGTCCGCAGTTTGTGTCCGAGGCTTCGGCGAAAAATTGGCACCAGGTGAACCTTTGTCTTTTGATCTAGTTGGACTGCAACTGTTAGTGGGAGACACGTCTTCTGCTCTTGAAGATGCTGTGCGACTTCTAGAAGGACTTGATCCTCCACTTTGCTCTTGGTCTTGTTTGTGGTCCTCGTCTTTGTCTGATTTCGCAAGTACGTCGTCCTCGTCTTCGAGATCGCTCCACTCATCTTCTTCAGCCATAAGTGCTTCGACTGCGTGCAGATGCTTCTTTGACTTGCAGTGTGCTTTGAACTGGTTCTCGCTCTTGAAATTTTTTCGACAAACTTCGCAAACATACTGTACCGGTTTGTATTCTTCGTCGTCCGCTGTGCCGCCTCGGGGTGTGCTTCTAGCGGAACCAGCGAGATCCTCCTCGCCCACCAGTCGCGCATTGCTACAAGACGACGACGAAAATGAAGCGCCGTTTAAGAGTGCTTCCTCTTCTTTTTCGCGCATTATTCTGTCGTTTTCCGCCCACCGCTTCTCTTCCTCGAGCAGTGCAGCGGCACGTGCCTCACGTTTGAGTAGCTGCTCTTCCTCCCTTTTTCTCTCCAGATCTGCAACCTTCTCCCGTTTCTGGGCAGCCTTCTGTCGCTCCTGTTCCTCCACGCGTGGGTCGCGACGCATCACTAAGCTGACCAAGCGCCGAACCTTCTGGTTATACTCGCCTCTCGCTGCTTGGCGCAACTTTTTATTTTCGGTCTCTGCCATGCGCCGATACCGACGGTTTGGCTCGTTTAGCGGATTGTACCTTCGTGGAATGAAGAAGAGAAAGAGTTTTTTGGAAAAATATCGTGTTCTTGTGCGGGTTTCTAGATTATGATTTTCTGTCATGCTGAAAAATACTTCTTCTACGATGAAGATATTAACGCATATTTTAGTTGAAGCAAGTACTTGTCAGCATGCCCGAATGGTCGTTGTGAGCAGAAGCCGTTCCAGTGCTGGTAAAAAGGTCCCGGTCCTTCTGCCCACTTGTCTGCTGATTTCCCAAAGGCTGGTGCCAAACGCTTGTCGTCGCTGTAGTCCTGCTCTGCGATGTCGATTTTGCGGAACAGCTCCTCGTAGACCTGAAAAAAACCGCCACTGTTGTCGTGATAACCGTCATAGCAGGAGCTGCTGAAGAAGCTCCAAAGGTCGACTGACCTCTCAAAGGGATCGATCGTTTCGTCGTCGTCATCTCCGGTACCGTATAAAATCTGCTCCCTGTGGCTGTCATACCAAGCGCGCTCCTGTGGATCAGTTAGACACTGATAGGCCTCGCCGATCTGCTGAAACTTCTTGGTCGCGTCTTCGTTGGAAAGGCCATTCAAAGAAGCTTTGTCCGGGTGCCACTGCAGCGCGAGCTTCCGGTATGACTTCTTCAGTGCCGTTTCGTCGCAATCCTTAGCCACGCCAAGAAGCTCATAATAGCACACTCGCGCGCTACGTGAACCTTGCGGCATTTTGTCACAGTGACACTGTTGAATCGACTCGTAGGTGTTAGCAAAGGCTATGATGTAAATGTGTTTGGTCACAGAAGAACAGGGATATGGACATGAGACAGAGACAACTAAACGACAAGAACAAATCCCCCACACAAAAGGTCAAGATATCTCAAGAACTACTACTAGATCATGCAAAAAACTGGTACTAAAGGCTAAGACCAGGCGCAGAGAGCGCAACCTGAGAGACAACTTCGCCTATCCTATTCGTATGTCGCCAGGGAAAGTTCTAATCGAATCTGAAGATAGGGGGGGTCCTGCTGTTACTCTTCGATGGGAAGCGGATTGTCGTAATATGTTGTTGCCGTCAACCTCAGTGAATGGCTTTCGCTCAGAAATCTCTTGCTGGATCATCATGATCGTGAGAAAGAGGGTGGATCAAAGATAACTTGTAGTTGACTCACGTGATGATCTTTTGTCTGGTTGTTCTAAAAATTAACTCATTTTCATACGCTGACAAATATCGTGGTTGTGGTTCCTCGGGATCGGCCAAACGTACCAGTAGTTGAATTTGAATTGATCACGATCATCGTCCTAATATTAATATCTCTCGTTGGAACTACAAAACTTGTCTTGTTCGTTTTCAATGAACACTATTTTTCAGAATTCCAGAATCAATGAACAGGACCTATAGAACGAACTTAGAATGCTCAGAGAAAAGCGAACGCAACTTTGCGTCAGAGTTTTGCTACGATAATTTCATGTTCCCCCACGTCCGGTGACCAGATGAATACTCTTTCGCCTCCTTGCCCCGATAAAGATTCAGCAGGCAACATGATTGAGCATTGCAGGAGCTGCGAGAAGACTGCGACATTACCGGATGAACTAATGTAGTCAACCGCTGATTGCACTGCAATGCCTGCGAGCACGAGGCGCGCCCCTCGATTCGCTGATACGTGGAGCATGCCAGATGCACCCGCAGCAGCCATGGTAAGCTCTGCCGTGATGTCCACGAATGGTCCAGTCTGTAACTTCTCAGGTTGCAGCTCACTTCCAGCTCCCTCACCGGTCCCCGGTTGACCCTGTCTATATGGCTTTGCCATGTTGATGCGGAGAAAAGCTTGCTGCTCGGAAGGAAAAAGAACCTGAACGAGGGATACTTTGCGTGAATGCCCGCCGCCCCAGCCGCCACAATCTCTATGTTCGTTGAGAACCGCCTCTTTGGCGCTACAGACAGCGTGGTTGAGCACCGCTGAGCACCCAAGCAGAGTGCTTTTCATATGCCCGGTCATATCGTCACGCCCCTCGGCCCTGCGTGTTGTATGTTCATCATCTTGTACTCAGTGTAGGTACACGGAATCACTCATTCTCTTGAACATACGTAATCACGCTGAAGTCAAAGAAGAGGAATACGTAGCAAGAATCGAATCATTTGGACAACAACGAGGAGACAAGTGTAAGTGGGCAGTACGTATGCTGAAAGAAATCGTCGTTCCAGCAGTCTGGCACTAGCTTTTCCATTACGTCATTTTCGAGATCCCACTTTTTGTCTCGCAGACACAGACTCGCTGACGTGTGATGCGTATGTAGTGCTGTCAAGCATCCGAAGGATGATGACAAGTCTGCGTCTTTCAGGTACGTCCCTAGCGCATGCGTCCCCCGAAAACTCGCGTTATGCGCTACCCTCTCGTATTCTGCGCCTTCGACGACAGCCCAATGGATCACGGGTGCTCCATTCTGAGCTGGTGAGCAGTAGTAGGTGTCGAAGAAGAGGTACACGCCTTGCCACGTTCCGAGCATTAGTTGCCCATTGGAGATCGGCAGAGTGAGTGATCGTCGTGTTAAAACGTCCATCACGATCGCGTTTGTATCTGGACTATTTTTATGGTTCAAAGCAGTTGTATTTCTTGAGGACTTCGGAATCGGATCTAGGTAGCCATTCGCGATCCGTCTTAAACCTTCAAGCATATCGGAGCGCACAGTGCTGTCACAGTTTTCGTTCACGGAAAGAGAGCACCAACTGTTTGCCGGACAGTACAGGTGCAAGAGTCCCACTGGCAGAGGCCGGTTGCTTAGAAAGGGCTATTCGGATCAACATTTTTCATCACCGGCTGAGGAGGTGGTCTAACCTGCTAGTCGACACCCCTAGAAGAAGGCAACTATGCATTGTAATGTTCGTAGCCATTCCCGGCTACAAAAATAAATCAAACCATGAACCTAGCTGCATCTGCAATAGCAAGACCAAGAGCCCAGGGTTGACGAATTGATCCCGTTCTCTGGTCTTAACTTCGGAGTCAGTGATTCTTCCACTTTTCGCCAAATTTCCTGCTCCGGCAAAGGCAGCAAAGCGACTGAGAGCGTTGGGTTCGTCGCGACAGACATTGCTCTTCCTTGGAACCGCTTTGGGTCTACTGTGAACTCACCACACCAAACCCGTGGTCGCGGAAGTGCACTGGATGAAGTACTCGGCGTGGACGAAGCCATCCTCATAAAAAAGAATCAGTCGACCAAGCACGGACTCAATTTTTCGTGGTGTATCTGATGGAAAACTAGAAAAAACAAAAATTGCAACAATAACTCAATACGTAATATTCTTTGAGGTTGTATCTCCCTCTATGATTTTCTCAATAGAGCGTTGATGTTGAATAATGTACAAGACACTGTAGCTCTGGTAGATGTTTGTCAGAGAAAATGACGACGAGGCCGAACAAATGCGCAAAAAGGAACAGACTGGAAAGGGTTCGGGGGTGGCTTAGGAAGATGGATACTTCACTTGTTGAGGGGGAGAATCCTCACCCTTGTCGCAAGAAGTTGCGAATATCCATTGAAATACCATGAAAATTGGCATTGTGAGGCAAAGGGCAACCTCCCACTTCAGAGTAGACCGAAAAGTAGTCAGTATCACATATTCTTGAAGAGATGATCTCCAACGACCTCGAACAGATTCACTCGTTGATAAACATACCTATCGACAAGCAGCAGTCATTGGTGATGGTGTAATGGGGAGTGTAGATTTTCTGTCATAAACGCGCAGTTGAGCCAGCAGAAGTTACAAAAGATCTCATCTGCTAGCACAAAGTACCAGTATGGGTCTCCTGCTGTGTCATGCGGATCCCTGTGTCTTGAGTTTTTTCTTTGGTGTCCTAGTATCTACACGCCTGGACCTGGAGTTATCTATTCAGCTACTTGTAAGTAAGTATTGGACGAGAAACCGGTGAATCACCTGCACAATTTTGCAACTACCAAAACCACGGGGATGAGGGTTCATAAAAGATTTCTGACATATTCTCTATTTTTGGTGTCCTACTGTCCACAAGCCCGACGATATAAGTATTTATTAGATATCAAGTGAAAAACAAAGAAACCGCAAGTGCAAGTCAAACTAGCTTTCGCGGCACCACTAAGCAACTTTTGCATTCGTACACAGCAAGCAAACATGGATCTAGTCCTTGTGTGACCTCAATGATCAAATACCACTTTATTACACAAATTCACGACGCAGCTAAAGTAGTCTAAAAAGTGAAGATGGTTAGGGTGAAAGATTCAGCCAAAACAAAAACAAAATTCAGAATTATATAGGTATATCATACGCAAAGGTAATTGCATAATATTCATAAATTTAGAAAAACTAAAGAACTTTTAAAAGATTGATAGGAGAATATGCGGCAGCACGAAGTGCGAAAGCGGACTTTTGCCTAAGCGTCGCTCTGTCGCATTTCTTTTATGTCGTCTGCGATATTCAGTGGCGCACCTGTCGACGCCTTCACGTCTTCGGCGGAGTACCCCGGAGCAAGTTCTGTCAACAGTAATCCCTTTTGTTTATCGATCTCGATGACTCCCATTTCCGTTATAATGCTGTTCACCACGCCCTTTCCTGTTAGTGGAAGTGTGCACTTGTCCATGATCTTGTGCTTTCCCTTAGCCGTGTGCTCCATGGTAACCACCACTCGGTTGCCACTGCCGACTAAGTCCATGGCGCCGCCCATGCCTTTCATCATCTTTCCCGGAATAATCCAATTTGCAAGGTCGCCGAACTGACCGACCTGGAGTTGTGGAAGGTTTGTAGTTGGAAGTGTAGTCAGCAGAAGAACGAAGAAATGAGTTATACTTAGTAAGTGTAACCCTAACCTAATAGATTGTGTTCGTACTAGAACTGGACCAACAACTTGTTTCGGAATAGAAAATCGCTGTAGTTACCTGTAGCGCTCCCAGCATTGTGATATTTACGTGTCCGCCGCGTACCATCGCAAAGCTTTCTGCTGAGTTAAATGCTGCGCTTCCCCTCATCATTGTAATCGTCTCCTTACCCGCATTGATTATATCCGCATCGACCTCTGCCTCTGTCGGATATGGTCCGATGCCTAGTAGGCCGTTTTCGCTATGCAGTACAATGTTCACTCCCTTTGGCACAAAGTTTGCTGCTAACGTCGGAATGCCGATTCCTAGGTTGGCGTACATTCCATCCTTGAACTCGAGTGCCGCTCGCCGGCCGATGCGTTCGCGCTCTGGCTTCAGCTTGCTGCCGCCACCACCACCTCCAAGGACAACTTTTTCAATGCGCTTCTCGTACTTCCTCCCAAGAACTAGGCGGTCAACGTGGATTGACGGCAAATGAATCTCGTCAGGACCAAGCGTGCCAGTCGGAACAATCTCCTCGACTTCGACAATGCAGGTTTTGCCTGCCGTGGTAGCTCTTAGTGGATTAAAGTAAGCAGGGCAAACAAGATGAAGTTATCGTTGATGTGAGTCAGCAGAATTTCAACCTCATTGTGCGCGTACTTAGCTCGTTGTCATTATTTGAGGTCCAGCGCGACAAAGTACAAAAATTAAATCGGTGAAAAGCACCTGCCGCTGCCATTACTCCGTTGAAGTTATTAGCAGTGCTGCGAAAGATGACGTTTCCCATTTCGTCGGCCTTCCACCCTTTGACTAGCGCCCAGTCACCGGGCAGTGCAGTTTCCATCACGTAATCTTTACCGTTAAAAGTGCGCATTTCTAAGGGCTGCGCGGGCATCTCAGGATGCTTGTCATTCTTCTGTCGGATAGGAAACCTGATCGAACGAAAGGATGCTTTTGGAGGATGTTGACCTCTGTGTGAGAGTGACACCTGTTCTTAGAAAAAAAGATTGTAACAGCGACAAAGTTGTAGAGAGAACATCTACGGCTAGGCACACCCCCACTTGGTTTTTGAAACAGCAAGAAGAATGCGACAAACTCCAAGAACAAGACCAAGAAGGTGAAGGAGCCCGTCGTGTAACAAACAACTACAGGTTCATCTACCCGCCCTCCTGTATCATCGTGCCGGCGCCTGTGGGAGTGTAAAAAGCCGGAATTCCGGCTCCAGCGGCACGAATTCGTTCTGCCAATGTGCCTTGCGGCGTCAGTTGCACTTCGAGCTCACCAGCAAAGTACTGCTGCTCGAAATTCTTGTTTTCTCCTACGTAACTGCTAATCATCCGCTTTATCTGCTTAGTTTGTAACAGAAGGCCCAATCCGAAGTCGTCCACTCCGCAGTTATTTGACACACACGTTAGATCATTGATGTCTAGGTCCTTCACTGCTAGTATCAAATTTTCGGGAATGCCGCACAGACCGAATCCACCAACAAGCAGGGTTGACCCGCTCTGTATGTCCTTCACTGCGTCTGGTGCCGAGTCGTAGATTTTTGAAGATTTGGTAGAAAACGTTCTACGTCGGTCATTCAGTCGAAAAAAGTCGTGCTGAGTACGGCCCGCGAAGCAGGCGATGTTTAAGATTCCTCTCGAAGGTGCTCCAGCTGTATGCCTGGCCTGTAGACTCGAAGCCGAGCAGCTCTGGTGCCTTATTCTAACGGGAAACACTCCCATTTTACGCCGGGCGGCGGGCCGCAATGCGCGCCCTATTCGACTCGAAGCGCACAGCACCACCATCTTCTATTTGTAAATGCCTGAAGAACTACGTATTTTATATTCTACCCCTACGTGCAGAAAATCATTAGGGGTCCTACGGTCACAAGAGTGATATCTAGCTGCAATGCAGTGAAAGTTAATGATTATTTATAGAAGGGCTTCGCCTTCGACTCCTAAGAGGTGAAAAGAGTCTAGACTCTCAAATGATGTAGGAGAAATCATGATATTAAAAGATAAGTTATTATACATAATGTGCAGAATTTTGAAGCATGACTGAAGTGTGGTATGTTTTTGGAGTCCAGTCTAATCTTGAAACATGTGAGCAGAAAAGGGCTCGCCACAAAATGGATTTGATTCACAAGCGATAAAAAACCTTTTTTTCGATGATTCATTCAAATTCAAGTTTCGGAAGATTTCGAATTTTGCATGAATTTGAGATAAAGTTTACTTTAGAGTGAGTGATGCATTGCCAGCTCCGCTTTTCAAAAAGTTTGGAGTCAAAGCTTTATAGTTTGAGTAGATTTACATACTAGACACCGCTTCTAGCTTAGTAAGCCAAATTAAAAAATGGAAACAAGGGTCGTCGGGTTTTCCTTTTCTGGGGTTGTCTGGTAAATTGAACGTTTTGTAACCTTCCGTTCTCGCTTCTCTGCTTCCTAGCAGTCTCGTTACCTCCTTTCACTTGCATGCGCCCCTCTCCCTCTAAAAACCAAATCTCAAACGAAAAAGCCTGTATGACGCTACGGATGCGCGAAAGTTGGGCACTAGATGACCACGCTGTTGAGAAACGGGAAACGCGTAATCTCCACCTAATTCAAGGACGCGCTCCGCGAAGTTCTTGTTCATTTTTTTCATGTCATTCTTAGAAGGCCAGGCAGGCCTCGTTAGATGAGGTACTACATCAAAAATAATTATGCGGGAAAAAATCATATTTATAAGATTCGGAAGATTGAGATTCTCTCTTGTTGGACAATAATCGCGGTTGGACAAACTTCGCCTACTGTGGGATCATGATGAGCAACACAAAACCGCTGCTGCTCCGATGCATGAGCCATCGTCACAAGCATCCTGCAAAACAACAGTTTCGCGGACCCCGCAACCCGCCAGGGCCGGCTGCAGGCTATCGTTGACTCGCTCACGATAATGCGGGAACGACTTGTAGACAGTCCCGTCGATGGAAACCTCAAGGTGGTGTTTTTGTCGAAGTTACAACTTCTAATCACCATGAAGTACTCGCACATGTAGACGAGGAATTAGAATCATCGGAAATTCAATTTCAAATGTACCACAATCCTCTTTCTCCTCGATCGGTCCAATTTTCGTACCATAGCCAGGATCATCACGGCAGCCATCTTTCCGGACCTGTCAGCAACGGCTTCGCATGTTGCTTCTAGCACAAGGCGGTCGTGCGCCGTCCAAATCATCGTTCCGAGAGGGCGCCGTCCTAAGTTAGCATGAGCGCCATGCGCGGCCTCGCCTGCGCACACTCGGGCCATATCGTGGGTCGTAAAATCTATCTCGTTCCAATCCAAGCCCTGGCAGTTTGTGTCGTCGTCGAGAATGAAATTTGATGTGCCTATGACTAGGGAACGAATGGAGAAATAGTTTTCGAGTTGGAGCAGTTCCTCTTGGGAGTATAAGTAGAAGTAGGTACCTTGCGTTTCGCGTCAGTGAAGGCAAGACCTTTCTGCTGCAATAGGCTAAGCGTTCGTTTCACGACCTCGCCGATGTAGTGCCCTGAGACCATCTTTTCTATGTGCTGACAGCCTGGATTTGTACTCACCACGTCCAGAGCATCGTCTATGAGATTTCTTCGCATCTCCGCACACGTGAATGCCCCACATTCAGTGTTGATGCACATGAGCTCCTCAGGTGGCAGATGATCGTCGTTAGAGCCACTGCTTGATTTCGACACATTGCGATTTGCCGCTCCCCAACCGAGAGAAGGAAAAGCTGACGAAGACGAGCTTGTCGAGCCATCACAGCAGAAATTGAAGCAGCCGAGGTTCTGCAGCAGCGCTTTGCCGAACGGCGCAGTCGAGGAGGAGGACGGTGTCGCACCTGATGTCGTTTGCTGAAAGGCGTTGGTTTCCTGATCTGGTCGAAACGAGCTGCTCCTGTCGAGCGCAGTGGGGTCGTCAAACGCTGTGCCAGTTGAGGACGTTCGCGTTGAGATAGTCGCTGTGCTGGTGCGATTCTGCAGTGGTGCGGGAACGTCAGTCGTTGGGCTTTTGATGATGCCTTTGCTTTTCAGGTCCTCGACATCAAGCTTGACGATCTTGTCCAGGCGCTCCAAGTATGCACAATTGGTGCCCGTGCCCACGATGACGCCAACCGCCGTCTCCGTGTCGCGTAGCGTATTGGACATCAGCGCTCCCGCTGTGTCGTTCAGCAAAGCGCCTACTTCCACCGGAACCCGTCTAGTCTCCAACTCCTGCTGCAGCAACCGGCAAACATTCTCCCCCAGGCAACCCGTTGTCTGAAAGCCCTTTGCCCACGCCACCAACGTGCCGCTTTTCAGAGACGTCTGCAGCGTGGGGAAAGAAAACGTAAAACCCAAAGGGATTTTGACGTTTTCAACAAAGGAATACCTTTTGCTACACTTCGGTTTATTTGTTGCGCCACTTCCGGTACCTGTGGTCTGATTGGCACTTCTAGAAGTTGCTGCAGCTGTCTTCTTCTGTGCATCGTCTTCGTCGAACTTCAAGTGCAACTCTTCGCGAAGAAAAAACTCCAGCTCATCCGCAATATGTCCGAAGAGGTCGTGACTCGTGCCTGTCATACTCGAAGTTGGAATCTTGCACTTGCGCACTGCATCAACAACGTATTCACCGCCAGGATACAAGCGGATGTACATTACCTGGAATTGGGAAAAAGAATGATTCTAACACCACGCTTCAAGTCGAAAAAAATGTACACCTGAGCGAGGAACCCCCGAGATCTGCCTCATCAAGCTGAAGACGTTCAACAGATTTTTCCGGCATTTCTAGTAGAAGATTCATGTCGCTTCCAAAGTTTTTTCAGCCGCACCAAGAGCAAAGTCCTTCTACGAATACGAAACCAAGCCGTCTTTTAAGGAGTACCCGAAAGTTGGTGCCCCCGAGGTCTACAGCGAGGAATTCGCCTTCCTCGTCTCCCTGGGGGAAATTCTGGATGAAAGTGGGCAGCATGCGGATCAGGGTCCCGTCAGACCGCAGCCCTTCTTGCATACGTTCCAACAAGCGATCACTGATAGCGACAACATCGCTCTCCCCGTGATGAAACCAATCGTGCAGCAGTCTGTCAATCTTTGCATTCAAGGGCTCAGTCGGCCTCGGAATCTTCTCTAGCACCACCATGGTGCTACTCTTTCTCTTGATTAGTTTCACAACGAGGACTCTGTCGTCCTTTATTCGATCAGTCTCCACTTCATTTTCATTTTGATTGTTGGGCAAACCAAAAATCTTGTAGGGACGTGTTAACCATAACCGAGAACAGGGAAAAAGGTCGAAGATCATGATGCTTCGTTCGACTTTTCTCTGTCTTCGCCATTTTTCATGCGCTACATCAATGGCTCCACTGACACATGTACACACAAAACTTCAAAAATCAGGGTGTCACTGGAAAGATGTTGGTATTGGAACAAACTAGCGCTTAATCTTCAACTTCAAATGAAAACAGAATTCAGATATAGTAAAAATGGACATATTAGTAGAGAGTATGATGTTGAGATTCTTGAGTCTTATGCAAGAACAACTTGTAGTAGAAGTAGTTATAGTTTTCATAGTACAAACGGAACCAAGCAAGCTGCCGGATCACCCAGATTTGAATGCACCCGGGACACAATTATTTTGAGCGGCTCTAAAGCTTCTTTCATTATGCATCACAGCTAGGACCAGAAGTTGTTTCTTTTAGAGCTTGCATCTTACTGTGTACTCAGGAGCGCAAGCATGGTCCTCGTCATGATTAAGTATTATGTGCAGCGCAAAGGTGAGTGGTAAGAGTTGGAGTTGAAGTTGAAGTTATAGGCCACATCGCGAGTCGTGACATTTCCTGAACACGACAGGTACACTAGATCATAACGGTATCATCTCAACGATGAAGCAGGATTTTCAAACTGCAGCAGCTGGCTCCATCAGAAGTCGTCGCATTGATTTGGTCTTCCTTTTCCTCAAGTTTGGATCGCGTATGACCATGACTTGTTTAGTCCTCACTACATACCTCAATCAGTTTTCTTCAGACTTTCTGTTCATTTCCAGGAGACTTTGAGAATCGTACTTCTCGTGTTTCGGTCATTATTAAAAAATACCATCGAGGGCACGTGGTTGAGGCTTCGATATTCACTTGGACATTTATGAAGAACCATAAGAATCTATATATATATTATAAATATCGATCTTAGACTTAATAGCAGGGTGGAGAAGTAAATAATAAGTTAAGTGTCTGCATCAAATGCTGCAACATGTTATTTGACCTGTTCTTCATTGGACTATATTCTTTGAAGAAAATCATCTACAAGACGAGCTGTAGGTGTAGCCCGCTGCTGTACATTAAGAACTAATCTTACTGGGACCACAGAAGGAATTATCCCTTACAATCTTTTCATTCGACAGTTTCATGTTCAACCTTCAATCTTTTCATTAACTTGTTCAACCTTATAATTAGAAAACCAGCTCTGGATCAATCTCCAAGAAGAGACATGAAAAGAAAAAAAGTTCAGGTTTGCGTGCAAGATAGAAAAAGAGCTCTGATAGGATGGTCAATCGGTGGGGTCCGTTCATTATAATTATTATTTCTCTGGGATAGCAATAGCCTGAATAGCATTAAGCTCGTCTTCTACGTTTATCTCGGTTTGCATTTTGGAGAAGCAAACATAATGGGTTTCAGATTTACAGAAAATTCAGTTTCTAATTCTCATAAATATCCGATCTATACTTCATGATTCTCGTTTTCATATCGTCGGTTTTCTTGGGGAGGAGGATGGGAGATACGTTTCGCTCGACCTATTCAACTTCTACACCAAGGGGAAACTTCAAAGTCTTTAAGCAAGTGTACGTTTGTATTCCAGTATTTGTGTCAACATCTACGCAGGTGCAGTTCGTGTTTGGATAATAGAAAAGTTCATTTATTAGCGATTAGTGGTAGTCTCGTGCTCGTCAAGGGATGTTCATGTTGTTCATTTCGTCTCAAGATCTATCTTTTGAGTTTCGAGAACATATTTACACTCGTTCTAGTACTTTCTAAGAATGCCAAGTAAATTCTTGAAAAGCATTTTGACGTCTAACTCCTCATGTGGGGTACTTCTAAGTAGGCTTTCTCGAGATCTGCGACGAACTTGACGAACGAAATGCTCGGCTTTTGAGAGTTACTCTTCGAGCTGTAAAGGAAGTTGAGGATTGCGTCGCAATCTGTCATACTCAAAGCCGGATCGTTAAACGCCCATGCAACAGCTGTCGAGTCGACAAGCGCCGATCCCTTTTGGGCGTATTCCTCGCGAAAGCGGCGCTGGATAATCGGACGACGCGCGGACCTGGATAACAGTTCAGCCGCATACTGAACTTTGGCTTTGACCTGTGCCTTATTTGCGTTGTCGGCGACCTCTTTATGCGCCTCGTCGAGAAACGTGGACGAAAACGCGGGCACACGAAGCAGGTGTCCTGCTCGACTAGCATAATCTCGGTGCAAAACCGCCAAAAACGTCTCAAAGTTGATACTCGTCGTTGATGTAGCCGCCTGCTCCTGCGCTGTATCATCGTGAACAGAGGCTTCGCCAGCAAAGATAGAACTGTTATGCCTGTCTCGCTTGGCAGCTGCGGAGCAAGTGGAGGTTGAGGCACTATCGCTGACCTCGTTGTCCTTTTCGCCAGCAGTTGAAGCGGACGACGATGAGGATCCACCGTTGCAAAAGAACTGGAATAACCGACACGCATCGATATCGGCCACACGGAACCGGTAGGCATACAAGAGGCCCTGGATTTTTTATGAAGGAAAAGCTTTGGAGTCGCTTTGTCCTCTTTGACATACATAGCACGTACTTATGATGATAATGCAGCATAATCCTGCGAGCGTCAGCACCACGACTAGTTATCCTACAAGAAATAATCATAATGGTAGATTGATTTCTTTTTCTTTGATGCTTGTCGGAACATCGCAATTACCTGAAAGTCTCGGAAGCAAAGTCGATTGTCTTTGGTCTTGTCGAATTGTCGGAACAGGGTACGGGGGTTTCCTTGCTGCAAGCCTGTGAGAAGATCTTTCAGGATCTGCTGAAGGGCGGTCTCGGATACTCCCGGTGCCAAGTATTTGTTCTTACTCGGTGGTTGCTCGGACGTTGCAGTCGTTGTCGTTTCCGGCAGCGTTTGCGTGCTTTCATCGGCATCAGCGGAGTCTTCCTTCACGACAAGACCATCCTCTGCCCCAAGCGCTTGCTGACTCTCCACCTGTTCTTGGCTTTTCCCCTCGCTGTGATTAGTTGGTGAAAAGTACTTCTTCGTAAACGGACACATGTCGAGAAGTTTGTATTTGTAGCCTCCGATGTCGACCTCCTTACCGAGGCTGCAGCGCAAGTCTTCTGGCTTGAAAAACCTAGTTACAGTGTTTCCCACACTGAAAGGCGTATCAGCACGGCCAATAGGATAGCGTCCTCGCTTCAAGACACTGCCACGGGCATCGATTGACTCCCAACCGTCCTTGCTAACTGCTTCGGGAACAATCACTGACAGCGTCTCATCAAAGAGATGGTAAACCAGAACGAGGGACCTGATGTTATTTTCATTCGGTCGCTTTACTATAGATATAGTTGACTCTCGTTCTCACCCTTTTTTGTAGTTCTGCAGCCTGGTTAATGAGAACGCACATGAAGGAAAATTCTGGTATCCTTGCTGATGATCATTGCACCATTCGTAAGAGTACCTGCCCTCACAAGAGACTGAGAACTGCAGGGTACGGCCCTCCAATTCTGGATGAAAGTTGTAGGCTGCACGCGTCGGTGGATTGAAGAATGATACCTGAGATGAAAAATTGAAAGCAACCTGAAACATAGACCTAGCTTTAATCATCTAAATTCATTCGCCACTGGTACTTGCTTCCTTGTCCCAAGTTGATGGAAGCATCAGGAAAAATGGCCGTAGTACTCGAAAGCCAAAAAATACCTTTCCCTTTGCTGCAAGCGCTGTCCTCCCAGCCTGGCCGCCTAAAAGGCTCCTGACTGATTCCTCTCCACCTCGGTTTTCGACCGACAATTGGATTCGGGTCCTCGCTATGGGCCTGCATGAACGACTGCTCGTTGCATAGGAGCCTACAGACGCCAAAGACACCTTACTGGTTCCAGGTTCTTGTTCGGAGCCGCTGGCACATATGCTAGGGCCCACACCATTGTCAACATGTACTGCGACATCCTCCTCGCGTCGGAGGCAGGTGCGCGCACGCACACGTGCGCTAATAGGAGCAACTTCCGCACCGCGATCGCCGCTGAAAAATCGAGGTCCGCCAGTTTTAGGGCACGAAAACTGTTGCGTCTTGTAATAACCCGCCTTGCTATTTCCGGCTGAAGACGAGCTTGCCTTGCTGTTCTTGTTGGATCGAATGACAAAATGTGGCAAGGCGGCGCCGTTCGTGCTATGCTCCATCTCCATTTGGAGTCGTGCGACCGCCTCCGCACGCGATGTTTCGATACTCTTGTCGACTTCTACCATCCTTTTGATGCTTTGTTGATGTCTTAGATAGCCTATATTACTCTTCTTCTTTTCTATATTGAATTCGTTTCAGCCTAGAAACTCTATCCTTTTGCTGGGATGATGTTTATGTTAAGGGAAGAAGAATACCATTACTTCTGCTATTTGGTTCTACGCATTACAAGCGCTTTTTTCTCTTGGGCATTTTTCTTGTTTTTCGAATGCACATCAGTTTATTCAGAGAGCAGGGACGAAGCCGGTACTTGCGGCATCGAGTGTGGATCTCCCGCGACAGGCGAGTTTTTCTCGATAAAGCTTAGCTTCGTATGTATTGCTACCTCGAATCATCGATGCGACTCCAGTGACCGCAATTGTGCGCACTGCCAACGATCAATGAATACGAATAGAGGTGAATGAAAAGCGAATGTTAACCAGCTCAAAATGAAAAGAGAGACCTTCATCTTCATCACATTTTCATCAATGTGTCAAGATTCAAGATTCAAGGGCCTCACGAAAGAAACATTTTTTTTTTTTTTGTATCCCGGGGCTACTAAATGAGCGGCCTCAGCTTTATCCGGTTCGCAAACCGACGGCAGGTGGAGTCCGGTTACCTCCTTATAATACAGCGCACTAATTGCCTACGAACCTGCCGATTCTAAAAAGCTGAACCCTAGGAGTAAAGGAGGCGGATTAAGAGTTTTATATAAACCTCCACCGGCTGCCAACCGTCCCACTCTTATACGCCTACCTACAAGGCACGAGCGCAGGGGATGCCAACCCTGCTAACTCTTGACTAATGCGCAAGCAACTGACAAGTGAACAACTAGAAGTAAATGCCTACTGGCGTAAGGCCCTAAGTACAACATGTTTTTCGTTGTTGAGGGAGCACTAACCTAGTTTTTCTTATCTTCACTGCCTCGCGCTCTCTCCTTCGCGGCGTGCACCATCCTCAACCGGATCCCGCTTCCGCAATCGCCATAAAATACCCAAAAAGAAAAACAGAAACCGGAGGGATTACTCCTACCAAAGGGGCTGCCTTATGCCTGCTAGCCACTTCTCTGCTAAGAGCGGGCGGGAGATAAAAGGATCGGCGAGGGAGAGCGATGGGACGCTCTCCCCCTTTTAAATCAAGCTGCGCGTAAGATCTGAAATTTTTCTATTCTTCCGTCCTCTTTCTTTTTGTCCGTAAACAAGTCCGCGCCTCTCGACTCACACATGACAGAAGTTGGGAACACTCTAGACCCCAATCAGTTTCCAAAGGGCGACTGGCGGGTCACCAAAATGCTTAAAAAGTCACCCAGGTAGGTAGGTGGCATTTATGCATTTCGGTTTCACTCGACTCTCAACAGATGCTTTTTTTTGCCAGGACGACTGGGCTTTTTTTTTGGATCCCGGGGCTACTGAAGGAGCGGCCTCCGCTAAGTGCGACGGCGTGGCGAGTCAGGACATACTATGAGTTAGGCATCAACGATCCCTGGAACTTCACTTTTTTGACAACTACTTCATTATCATGCACATTCATTGACAACTACTTCTAGTTATACTTGTAATACTACAAGCGGCAGAAATTGTAAGCCTTATCTTTAACTCTTTTGGTCATTCAACAATTGCGTAGTTTCTATCATTAGCACACGTTCATCGATGCTAACTCCATGCACCTAGGACTCTGACTTGAGTTTTTTCACTTCATATTCTGTCACTGTTCACTGAACAGCAGGTCATACTATCACTACAGAGAATGGTGGTCCCGTCTGATAGATATGAGTAGTCTATTTTAAGTCCATTTTAATGGCGTTGAAATAATCTTTGATGGAAGTAGATAGATTTTGAATAATATAGACGTGCAAACTATATATAACGTCGTCGCGATTTGGGTATTGGTACTCGACGACGCGGACACATAATTATTTGCAGTAAAGATGTGCCTACGGATATGAGCATATAAATATTTACAACTCAACTCCTACAAATAGGTTCTAGTTCCAGTTCAATTGACGTAGGCCTATACATATACATGGTCATTTGTAACATAATTCATTGTATTACCACACAACATAAATTTTTTGCCTGCTAGAATTATCGGAGCTCAGTTCATTTGTTTTCGGTCATGATTTTCGAAAAATCTTACAGTGAATATGCTTTCAAACCTGTCCCAAAACATGAACGTAGGCAAATCGATTTAACCCCGCACGTCCTTCGTCGCGTCATCGCTAACGACTTTCACAAACTGCCTGAAGCTGAGAGGCGCACCCCTGTCCGACATGTAGTTGAAAAGAATTCCCTGATCCTCCTCCGTGAGGGAATAGCCGTAATGCACAAGCATAAGGTGGAAATCGTTTGGACAAAGAACGTGGTCTTTCTCAACGTCGAAATAGCGGAAAGTCTGGTAGAATTAGTGGGAGGTTCTTTTGGTTTAGAACGTAGTAATTGGTGAAAGTGATGGCGCGCATCTTGTTGAGAACTCCTTTGATTCTATACCCTTTAGTACTTGTTCTTCAGTCATACTCATAAAGAATCATCTACTTCACAACAATGTGGTCGTGCTGAACGGGAAAGACATTACCAGATGTTGCTTACCTCCCTCAGTGTCGCTTGTGCTTTGCGCAATTTTCCGATTAGCCTACACATGAGTCTCGCAAGCTCACCAGGAGACATGTTTTCAACCTTCTGCTTGCTCGGTTGCCTCTTCTGTCTCTGCTCTCCTCCAGGCGCACCATGCGGTTTTGTACCACTGTTAATTTCTCTTGTTCTACTGCCAGAGCTACCAACTGCATTGTGGTCCTCGGACTTTTGCGTTGCTGGCGATTCATCAGCTATAGCCGCGTGCTCGTCCATCTCATCCCCTTCATCCACACCAAGCACACCTCGCTGTTCAGTATCAGTGCAAGTCGTCGAGGCACTCGCCATTTCCATCTTTCTCGTGCTGCACATGCTTGTCTCCTGCTTCTGCTCGAAACGGGACGGGATCATTCGATGCACTTTTTCCACCACATCTGCTGGCAATTGAGCCAGCTCCACGCCGACAAATTTTGAGAAAAATTCGCGCGCGAACGGCGCAGCATCGTAGATGTAAAACTCTTGTCCGTTCAGCAAGATTGTTTTGCCGACCTTATAGTTTTGTTCACTTTTCACTACTTCCGCAATAAACCATAAGCATAAATATGAAGATGGAGGCGCGCTTGAAGAGCATGTACTGGGTAGTTGGATATCATGTTCGTGACCATACCAGATGTTCGTACATATATATCATACCTGAAAATCTTGAAGTGCGATGCATTCTTCGTCCTCGAGTGGCTGCAACAAGCCTTCCTTTATGCAATGTTTTGCTTCTGCACGCCTGCATTTCCCGCGACGAAACCATATCGAGGGCTCCCGTCCACTCCAGCCAGAGAGGCGTTCTGGCGAAGCTATTTCGTGTACCGCTAAGGTGTCGTCTTGTAAATAGTAGTCGATCAAGAAATGCCGACGTTCGTACATCTCCGTGTACATATCATTCACGACCGCTTGAAAACGACAGATTTTACCTGTTGTTCATCCGTTGATGTTGTAAGCATGACCATCAGCATGTAACTCACTCGTGCATGATGTTCATCTGTGCCTCTAATATGAGAATGCTTACTTCTATTGATGGGTTTTACTCGTCAATGACATCACAACGTCGAGAATGAATGCCGACCAGAGTTTCACTAGTATTACCTTCGAAATTCGCTAGTTGTTCGTATTTTGCACGTCGTTTTAGCTTTGCATCAGACATCAGCCTCGGTGTCGGCACCATGGAAAGTGGGGAATGTTTTTCATCCTGTTGTCGCCTTCGTGCACTCTGCATCGCAAGGCGTGGTGTTGCTGCCTCATCAGCCTTTTTATCCTTTTCTATTCGGACCCCGTTCACAGTTGCAAATCGGAGCCGCCGACTGTGCCTGGGATCATCGAGATAAACGCGTTTACGAAATTGAGTCCGTGAATCGCGTCCAAGGTTGATGGATCCACCGTACAAAACGCAGCACATTGTTGCACATTTCGAAAAATTCAATAAACTCGAACATGCTAAAACGTCTAAACGAGTGTGGGAAGATGAAGTACGATGTTTTCTGGAGTGCGTCGAAGTCTGGTGGAGCATACTGCGGAAGATTGGGACAATAGGCTTGCCAATATTGTACCGTTTCCGGATCCAGGTCCGCAGCACGTCTTCGCCCCGCGTCGTGATCTACACTTGGTTTTTCTTCCAGTGTTAGAGCTATCCAGACACGTGAGTTGACCACTACTCGTAGCATATCGGAAGTACCTCCAGACTGGAGAGGTATATCTGTTCTCGTCAATGCCTGAAGCGTGCATCCATGACGAGAGAGATAAAGAATCAGCCTGTAACGATACTTAGTATGAATAGTAGTTGTCCTTGCCGTAATGGTGCCCCTTTAATAGGTGCCTCCCTGTTGCCATCGCTTGAGGTGAGCAGTGTCCTCGGAGTGCGGGGGCCACCACGCCCTGTTGCAACAAGCTGACGCAGCCGCGTAGATTCGTTGAAGAACATGATAAGTATTCTATCTTCTTAGTACGAGGTCTTCGTGGTGATACGTGTTATTAGGAGAGCATGTCTGTGAAAATATCCCTTGTCAGTCATGCACTGACTCTCAACACAAAGAAAGTCGCTCAGTTAGAAAGATATGGACAAAGTACAATGGGTCATGCGCTCATGTCAAAGCGCCAGTAGCTCCTTGAAGATCCAACGAGTTTCTGCTTCCTTTTGCTCTCTCTCTCTCTCTCTCTCTGTCTTCTTCTCTTCCCTCTTTTCGCACATTGCTCCAATGCTACAGGTTCCTCGTGACAGCTGTAAAGGAGCTCCAGCATCGAACATGCATAATGCGGATTGCATTGGATCACTGCAAAGTCAAAGATAGACTCCAACATAATGACCCAAAAATGGTTTGCGTGATCCTTTACAAGTTGGTGAAAACTTTGGGACCCAAAAAGGTAAAGCTTGCTCCTGATCATCTCTATTTCTTGGTTTATTTTTGGAAGTCAAATGGGATCGACTACATCAAAGCAAATGCCAAGCGTTGCAGCATCTTGAACATCAAAACCAATAGCAAACCTCCATATACTTCTCGGAGATACAAGAACGTCTACGTATCAACAACAAGTTCTTTGCGTCTGTGCGTAGTTAGAAATATGACAAATAGTTCAACTCAAGAACTTCATCAAAACAACTTACTACCAAACAAGGTTGGCATGATCACGGTGTAAAAATGGTTACTGATTATAAATTGAAGAAATGTTCTCGTGCATCAATAGTGTAATTTTCTAGGCGGAAATCAAAACTCCCTATTCATCTTACATAAAAAGATGCACGATTCGCTTAAGTAGTTTCAGACGCCATCTTTTTAACAACGGGAAAGACTTTCCTGCGCAAGCTTCGTTATCTATCAGAGACACTGCAGCGAGGCGCTGTACTATGTCAACAACTCCACGCATGGTTCAAATCCGGAGAGCACTCATCCTCGACGTTATGTGGATTGGTTCGAAAGGAGCACTCTGGCTGACGTCAACCTCTGCCTCGGTGCGCAACTCAAGGAGCTCGTAGAAGGCAAGGCCAACGTCATCCTCGTCGCTCAGAGTGTCGAGAAAGTCGCCCAGGAGTAGCTGGTTCCTCGATCCACTGCCGATGAATGTCCGCAAGGCGTTGTTGTGTTGGATCTGTGGTCCGGCGTCGAGCTTGATAGATGGAATCGACGCTAGAGTGCCTTTTGAGTCAACAGACTGAAGATGGGGGCTTTCGTTGTTGTAGCTCATATCGTCCATGCCCACATCTCCAAGTTTACTTCTATGGCCACCAATACATGCTGGCAAACTGACTCGGCACTGCTCTTGGTCAGCCTGGTCTTGCACATGAAAATCGTCGCCCACCTGAAAATGTTGCATTTCGTCATCCTGATTTGCGCTGAGATTCCTTGCTCGCTTTGATAGCCGCCCGTTCTCTCCTACAGGCTGCAGCGCCAGCACTTTACCGACAGGAGTCAACTTGTTATCGACCACGCCGACAGGCGTCTTCATGGATGCTGAGTCAGGCGAAGGTATGTAGAACATGACATCGCACAGCGACCCTTGATCAGGTGTCATCATGGGTGTGTCCCTTCTTGCTCCTCTTCGTGCGCCCAGATGCACATGCACTGGGGTAGGAGCAGGCACTTGCGGTCGATTGTCAACATGTCGGAGGCTGCTTCTTTGATCTTCCTCAGACTCGGATCGCGCGCGTTTGCGGTGGCCCGCGCTAGACCTAATCCTATCGTCTGAGAAAACGGGTGACGCAGCATAGCTCTGTTCAAGTTTTTTACCTAGATGATCTCCCCCACCGTGTTCTCCTTGAACACGACTTCGCCTACCGCGTGCCGCACTCGCAAGATCAGCATCTGCTTGGTCTTCTCGTGGTTCCTGCGGTGTAAAAAGCCGCTTTGAACTACTTCCAAACTGCGGTCGAAAAAGACGTGCACTGAACAAGTTCTGACGACGATTGCGAAGGTAGGATGACTTTTCCCCGTGCGCCTTCTCCAGTGAGTTCGTTCCTGCACCCACAGCCCCACCAGCTACGACTGGTGAGCACAAGCGAATCTTATCCTCTTCTCGATGCATTTGTTCTATTTCTCGCTCTATTGCTTCTGCATCCTGCAACTCGTCGCCTCCTGGCGCTAGCTCGATTCCCTCAGTGAGAAAATTAAAGTTTTCTGAGGCCCCAGGCTGCTCGTCCACGCCCTCGCTCGCAGGCGTCACAGGCATACCAGCGCCTCCTCCACGGTCTGACGGAGAGAAATCACAAACGAATGTCACATCCGCCCTTGTTTCTTCAAATTGCCCTCCGGTCCCTTCATCTTCCGTAGACCGCTCTGCGTCGACATCTGGCCCCAACCGTCTACTAGGGGGATCGCCGTCGTGACTGGCCAGCTGCGGCGTTGGCAACTGCGAGAGGTCGGGTGCGATTAGTTTTTCGAAGCCTGAGAACCCTTCCGCCTTGCTTGGACTAAGCATTTTACCCACGAAGCCGTCACCTCCGTGCCCCGACGCTCCTCCTAGTGCATCGCGATCTTGTGGCTCGTGATCACCTCCAAGAGAATTGTGGTGCGGAAGGTTTGACATGTCTATGTCAGCGTCGAAATCCACGTCCATTCCAGCAGATCCATTTACGTCGACGCTCCGGTCGAGGTGCGGGTCTTTGGTTTGTTGCTTTTTCGAAGCACCAGCTTGGTCGCTAGAATCCCGCACCACCGTTTTCGCAGAAGCTCCGTTCTGAATGTGGGCCCAGAAGTGCGAGAATGTTGGCCGCTGAGCCGATATGAAATCGGCGTCGTGGTCGAGTGCGAACAGGCGGCGTCGATTTCGCAACAGCGTGTTTTGTCGTCGGACGTCACGGGTTAGTGGTGCAAACGCATGCGTGGCTGGCATAATTGTTGGTGCCATCGCGAGGTCTAGTGTCAATTCTAATTCGATCTCTGGTTGCCGCAGCATGAAGCGTGTGAAGTCATGCCGAGATGCTTTCTGCTTGTCCAAATGCGCATCTGTGAGAACTAGATGCGCTGACTTTTTTCGGAGTGCCTTCTCTTGCGCAAGTTCAGCGCGACTCTTCCTTGACCGATTCCTTCGTACTCCTTGTGCGTTCGGTCTGGCAGCGGTATCCGGCTGAAAGGGATCAGCATCCACGCCCTTTGGTCCACCGCCGCTGTTCAGAATTAAGCTTTCGTCGGGTTTTGCGCCAGTCACCGGGCCGCGGGTCGCCCATTGGTTACTCGGCGTGCCGAATTTCCTGACGGATTGAAAGCGACTGACTGAGACGCGCTTCGCAGCCGAAGCGACTGGCACAAGCGCCAGAGGACCGTTTCCACCAAGCACAAAGCTGTTGTCAAGCTGCGGGCCATCTTGCAGGAAACTTGCGTCTGCCATCCCTGAGACGGACAGTGGTCGGGCGCCTGCTCCCATGAGTACGTCCTTCTCGTTTTCGTCCGCCTGAAGACCAGGCGTCGTTACCCCAGAATTACGAAGTGAAGGAGTGCCGCTTCCAACATCCCCAAATCGTGGCGAAGGCAATGTGCCCAGCTCTGGGAAGGATGGCGCGGAGCTCGCCTGCCCCATGTCTAGATATCCACCGGCATGAATATTTTCACGCAGAAGGCCGTTTTGGCTCAGCGCGTCAATATCTGGTGTTGGCTTTTCCATCGCGTCCGACACCGCCCCGCTCGGGACAAGGTTTTGTCCTCGTCGATCGGCACGAGACGACGATATCAGCTGTGGATCAAGCGGCTGCAGCTCGCGTTGTCCGGGTTGCAGTCCGACGTCGATCCCACCTCCTGGAGTGAGGCTCATTTGGTACTTGGGCGCACTGCTCACGAACTCGGTATCCTTCTTAGAAAGCAGATGATCGTTGTCGGCCATTTGCAAACCTTGTAGCAGGTGATTCGGATCTGCGCGATCGTGCTGTGACAAAACATTCTGAGCCAGTTGCCTCCGGCTACGGGTGCGGTAGTTCAGCTCGTAGGCGGCAAGATTGTCGCGACCCGCGAGGTCCAGGTCCACCGCGTCCTCTGATGGACTGCGCGCTCCACGAAGATTCTGGCTACTAGGTACATCGCCGAAGGGAAGTGCCAGCGGGCCGGCACCGAGTGAAAGTCCACCGCCTGACACGTCCATACCACCGGGTGTAACTCCTTGCGACAGCCCTCCCTGACTGCTCTGGCTGCCGAAGGCTGCATGAAGGCAGTTCGGATCTTCCTCCAGCCCTTGTGAAAATGTCATATGGCTGTCTGAATTCCTGTCGTCTTTTGCGTCCCGTCTTACGCTGCCAGCGCCGGACCAAGTTCGTTTGTGTTGAAGCGAGTGTCTCAACTCTTGTGAATTTTGTGGAGTCTCAAGACCTGCCAGAAACGAACGCTTTTCAGCAGGCGATAATCGCTTGTTCGAAAGGATCGATACCTAGAAGATGAAGAATTGGCGCTAGTACCCACGTTTTTTCAGAGTAAAAGAAACTTCGCAGGTTCAAGAGGTTCTGATATAATTGCTATGATCTGAAAAGGAATGAATGAATTTATTTGAAAATCAAGTTCCATATCATTGAAAGACGTAAGGAAACAAGCAGAAGAAAGCTGTGCAGGAGTACCGCTATTGGTGATAAGCGTAATCTCCGCGAGACGGGAGGAGAACCAGCTTCGGCAGGGATATTATTGCCACTAGCAGCTGCGAAACCGCTACTGCGAGACATCAGATTAGGACGATCAATCGAGTTTGCTCCGCCCCGCAGATCTTGAATATCATCAGAGGCCACACGGCCGCGAGCTGCATCTTGCGCTTGTGGCGGTTTCTCGTCCTTGTCTTTCGCTTTATCTGAATCTGGTAATCCCTCAACAAGGTCAGGCGCATCGAAACCGAGGTCCAAATCAGGAAACTCAGGCTCCTGAATCTCGATGAGGGAGTCTGTTCTTCGGCTTACTTTTCGTGCGCCTGCGTCTTCGCCTGCGATCGCATCAGCGGGTAGTAGGTTGTCGTTCGACAGCCGCGGAAACATCAATATGGAGGAGCTTGTGCGTGCCCGAAGCCCTGCCGCCTTTTTGTCGTCGTCATTGCCGTCGCTGTTCTCCCTGTGGTCTAAAGAAGAACGGCGCCCAGGAAAGAGCTCCTCCACTAGTTTGCGGCGTTTTTCCGCGATTTCAGAGAGTGGCGGCAATTCTGGAAAGCGATCTCCACCGAGGCTCACCACCGGTCGGGGTCCCGCGGCTGCACGCAAGTCCTGAATTGGCGATGCAGCACAGCCATCGCTGTTAAGGCCAGGGCCGATCAGTGCCTTGTTCTGCGCCACTGCGACTTCTCCCGCTCCAGCTGCAGGTGGGGCTACAAGACCTGCTATGTGTTGGATCACATTATTTCCCTGTCCTTCGACAATACTCGGTAATCGACTTTGCATATCGTTGCCGTGTAACGTGTGCAGGCTCGCAGCCCGCCGGTCGGCGCTAGCAGGCGGCGACTGAACTGCATTCAAGTCAACTCCTCCTGAGGGTGAGCTAAGACCTCCCTTCATTTCATCTGTTTGTATGTCTACGGCACGCTCTACTTTCGCATTTCCATCTTTCGGACCATCGGATCTGGGGAGCGAGAGATCGAGATTCCCACCACTTTCTAGGAGCATAATATCTTCGCGCGTGGCCTCGCGCAACTGACCACTGCGCTCCAGATGCTCGACGAGGAGACTGCGGTCACTCGCGTTCAGCGATTGGAGCATGTGGGCGTCGACAGGAATAGAGTCATCGTCTCCGTTGCCCATCCCCAATGGATCACGGTGTGCTGCGGCGCTGCTTCCGCGTGCTGGTCGGCTCCGATCACGACCAAGACCAAATGCTGGTGACGCTAACTGTTCGAATAAAGGTGACTGGTGTTGTTGAAAAACGTCTACCGCATCGTCATCAACGCCTTCTTCGAAATCGATCTCCATGTCTACTGGCGGCAATGCGCCCGAAAGGCGGTCTTGCCCCTTCGAAGCCTCCTGATTTCTGTGTTGCAGCGGTGAGCGGGGTCTACTCCCCGAGGCCGGATTTTTGCCTACGGAAAGCTGACGGGACGAAGGCAATTGGAGGGATTGCGCTATGAAATTATTGTCGCTTCCAAGCTTGCTAGCGTCGATCCCTTCGCGGACTGGTGGCGAAGCGAATGCGTCAACAGCGTCACCTCCGAAAAGCATATTGTCTAGATCATCTGCATCCCGCTGCTTCCGGTCAGACGCGTTAGACATAATGTCGGCGAACATATCACCTGTTTCAAGAAAATTATGGGTATAATGCGAGAAGTTTGAAGATGTTGTCTGAATGGATGCTGAACTTTGGGCCAGGATCATTTGTTCAGTTTTTACGGGAGTGCTTACGAGCGTGCGTCGTAGCCTGTTATTTGTTACCTGGGCCGTCAAGCGCAAGCTTTTTACGTTCCTCCTCATCTATCCACTGATTCATCCGTGAACCTAGTACTCCTCAATTGCATCAAGATCAACATTGAATTTACAATCAACAACAATAAGAGTGTGATAAAAATTCGAAGCGTCAACAACGACGAGTAGTAGAAAATGCAAGTACTCACAGCCTTGAGTTCTGCAGGTGACGCCTGGCCAAAGCCGTCTTCCATCAGCTCTTGGATGTTTGAGGGTGTCCCGATCTGAAGTCTACGACGCTTGCTCTCGCGACGTGGGGAAACCGGTATCGTGATTTCTTCCCAACGCGATTGCGTCGCCAGTGGATCACCGAAGTCAAATCGCATCTCAGGAAGGTAGACGCGATTGCGACGTGCCCCACGACGCCCTGCTCCTAGCATATTGTGGTCTTCGGCGGGATTGTTTGCAGCGACGCCTGGCCTCGCGACTGCGCCAGAGGAGGGCCGCTCACCATGAGTGCCTTTGTTGTTGCGTCCTGCGCCTTTAATATTTCCTCCTCTATTATTAGCACCCGTGCCTTTTCCTCGACTTTTTGTACTTGAATCTCTTCCACGGCCTCCTGGCTGGCTTTCAGCATTCTGGGACTGATGCGCATCGTCATTCTGAGACTCCAACAAGCTGTTGATGTCGGGCTCTGGATACATGTCGTTGACAAATTGAAGATCCAGCCCCTGCGACCCGGCGGGTGCTTCCTCTATCTCGGGCTCAGCGATGTTAAAGTGCAAACTTTCATCCAAGCCGTCCCACTCGGCAAGATGCTCTACTAGATCGAGCTCCGCAGGATCTACCGGTTCGAGAACCGCGTTCATCTGCTCATGAACTGCAGCCACATACTGCTGCTGGTATTAGAAGCTCTACTTAGTTGTGATGCTGATGCCGACGCCTATGTGTGTCTATGTTGATGTGCATTTAGGAGTAACCCTTAACAGGCGTCAACGTCATCAACTAAGAAATTGAAATTACTATCACCGGTAACAGAAACCAAAATCAACGAAACGCAGCGATGATCATGAAAAATGAGCATATTATATAGATAAACGTCTCCAGGCATCATCACGAGCCTTAATGATAAAGGAGTTTCCGATACAAGATGCGAGTGGCGCCTAGAACCAAGTGGCCGTGCTGTCGCAGAGTCAATTTGTCTTCGCTATGCGCCTGCATAACATCCTGAACCGTGTTTTCGATATCAGCTTCCAGGAAGTCATTTTTTCGAAGCCGACGCTCCCAGTGTGCGGCCAACCAAAATGCCGACCAGGGACCGCCATCGACCTTCCGACTGAAAAAGCCAGAATCTATCGCTGACCGATAATTTCTGTTTCCAAGCCGCGGACTTGCTGATGACGATCGAGGTTCGTTTTGCAAGTGGAACACTCTATTTCTGGGTGTGCTGTTGTCGCCTGCTGCACTATTTCGGTTTCGTGGATTGTGCAATTGCTGCTGATGCTGGTGACTACTGCTGGCACTAGCACTACTTGCACTTCTATTCCGATCACTAGGTCGTTGCAAGTTGCCGCTTTGTCGTCGTTTGCACTCGTCTGCAGCAGCGCACCGTAAAGATGCGATGCTGTTCCAAGGTGCTGAGCTGCTGCTCGCCGCGCCGTGCTGCTCCCTAGTAGAGTTGCCCAACATTTTTGACTCTACCGACGGAATATTTTTAGTCACTTTCGGCCTGAGCAAAAATTACTTACCCCCGCGCTAAGTAATGGGTAACACAGAGATCTCCACCCCACAAAACAAGCGTGCGGAAGTGGACAAAGTCAGAGAAATAGATAAAGGTGTGTCGAGATAATCAAGGTGCATTGTGGTTAATCATACCGCTAGTTCAATCACTGACGATGCAATCGCTTGAAGATGTTCATTCTCATGTTGATGTGATCTTCCATCTGCAACCCAAGTAGAAGAGCAAGACCAGCTATACATAGTAACCAGAGGCTTCAACAGCTACTGCTACAGCACGAGCACCAGCTCAATAGAAATACTAATGAATACAAAGTCTTCTCGCAAAAACATCAAACTCAGTTACAACAGGGGTTCTCCTCAGCGTTAGGCTTAGGCCAAGCTATTGTGAAAATGCCGTACAACCCCACGATAAGGTCTTTGCAGGCTGACTTCGTTTACTGTTTAGACGCAGCCCATCTCCATCAGACTGTTGTGAACAGACGAAAAACTTCGCAGTCAGCAAACGGACCAAGCCGGCGAATGAAAAATCATTGTTGGGACTCAAGACGCAAGCGCGGAGGGACTTGACTTGTCATTCGTTGGAGAACCTCGCATTCACGAAGGGATTCGGGGGGGTGTAGGTGTGATGTGAAAGAAAGGGGTAAATTATTGAAATAGCGGGCAAAAGAAGTTGTTGAACTACTGGAGTGATATACTTTCCACATGAGGGGTGATACAATTATTAATCTTTACTTCAACGTCGTGGCAGTGAATCTCCTTCAACATCCTACGACCAGCTTTGAAGTACTTTGTCCAAAAGGCTCTGCGCTGCTTTCCTTGTCAGATAGTTCGAGAGAATTGTGGCCCTCGACTTGCTGATTCCCGGTTGCAGCGGAGGCCCAGTCTCTGTCGGGAGTTTTCTCCAATGCCAGCAGCGACCTCGAACGTATTTGTGTTTGTGCGGTCGCCTTACCGCAGTAGCTCGAAGATAAAAGCTTTTCAATAAAACGTCGTCGATCGGGCTTTTCGCACGAAAGGCACCTTGTGAAAGCCACTCGGGGAGAATGATCAGAAATGCTAGAGGACGCCCACAGCCCGCACCTAGATGGTTCTCGATTTTTTCTAATGTGCGCTCAATGAACACGACATCAAACGGCGGATTAACTTCGAACAAATCAGTGTCGGAAGGCAACGCGTCAAGATCAAAAAAGCTCCCGCTGCTCCCAAAGGCACGGTCTTCCGGAAAAACGCTGCAGTAGGGATGAAAAGTAGAACTAGAAGATGAACTTCTACTTGTCTTTTCCAATTCAGCAGGAGCCTCTCGTTCAGTTTTTCGTTTTTTTCGTGCTGGAGAAGCAGCTTCTACTCCGTCTGACTGTTTGTCTGGAGCAGTCGCCTTATCATCAGTACCTCCTTCGCCGGCTTCAGTAGACGCAGTCGGTGAGTCTGCCAGTGCGACGCTGCTTATCATGGAAGTGCCAGAACTCTGAAGTTCAGCGACGTCACTGATTGGCCCTTGTCTAGAGACATTAAAGGGACTGGCGAAGCATTCCATAGTTGATGAAGGCAAAACGTCGAACACGCGTTGCGGCATCGCCGCCTGCAGACCCGCTCCCTCAATGTCTTCGCCGCATAGTGCTGTATAACGAAGGGCGCAACAGAAAACAGCCGTGTAAAATTCTATGCCGCAGTTCTTGTCAAACAAGGTAGACAATTTTTGCATCGCCCATTCGGAGAGGCAAACCGAATTATCCGCGGATTCATCAGGCTCTTTTATGCTCAGCGTATACAGTCGGTTCTTTGGATCGTAATCGACTTCAACTGTTGGTTCCTGCTGCTCCGGTCTTTCCAGCTCCTTGATGCCTTCCTGTCCACCACGCTCTACAACGTTCTCCGCACTAGTATCGGCTGATGTAACACCTTTTCCATTTGCATCTTCACAAAGATCAAGTTGAAAAGCGGAAGCTCGAAGCTTTGTCATCTCTACAGCGATTCTTCGTGCTATTGGCAAGATTTTCGGTGCTACGATTTCGCGTGCAGCAGTTCGCAATGCGTTTGCTGTTGATGCAATTTCTTCATGTGCACTATCCTGTACGGCATCTTCTGCTGCCCCTGGCCGTACAGACGGTTCGACTTCGAGTAATTTCCATACATGGCCGCTCACGTGATCTGGCTTCTTCAACTTCGTCTCGTTCTTTGGCCCTTCATCCGAGCCACTATCATGATCCTGGAGCCACTGGAGGAGGCAAGCCCGCCAAGCACGACGATTCTGTAAGGCTTTTTCGAGCTCTGTTGGGTACCAGTTGTCAAGCTTTAGCGGGAGGTCATCCAGAAGTTCAAACGCCAAGCTTTCTTCATCACCGGAAAAAATGAAGCGGTTCAATGCCTCTCGAGGAGGTTCAAGGTGAAGCGGCGAAGACGTAGTTGGAGAGGTTGACTTGTTTTTCTTCATCCTACGATTGCCGTTCTTAACACGCTCCCCTTCTCTCTCCTTCTCTTGTCTACTATGTGAATTCCGCGAACTCGAGGATGTAGTAGATGGTGCTGATCCGCTCTTACTAGTCGCTTCTGGTGCCTGCAGCCGCACAACTTCTACATGCTGCTCTGCCGCATCCTCAGCATTTGCAGAAGCGGTTTTTTTTCTTCTCGTCGACGCTTCTTGTGTCGTGTAAGCATGAGGAGCAAGGAACTCGGCGACTAAGCGCGAAAACTCCGACCGCATACTGTCAAACGCAGCTTTTCGTCTTAGCTCTCGCAGAACGGAACCCGCTGACAACATTGTGCAGTTGGAGGTTTTTGACGTTGTCGATGTCACTGCCATCTTCATTTTTTCGCTTCGTTCTTACCTACGGCGATGATCCAAAATTCATAGTGGTCGCGCTACCACGACATGATCGGTAATGATAAAAACATGCGGACCATCTTCATCTACGCCGTGTCGTCCTGAAGGTTTTTTTCGCAAGAATGCATGAACCTTACAATCATCATGATTCTTGAAACTGAGAAAGAAGATGCGGAAACAAATTCAAATCATTAGTTCGAGATTCAGACATGATTACTGTTCTAGGCCTTGCTACTAGATCGGATGAGCAGAATCATAGCTGCACTTCGTCTTAAATGTCAGGCAGTGAAATTTTTTGGCTCTGTATTTTCTTGATCAGCAAATATTTTAAATTAGATGTCTGGAAATTTTTCTTGGTTGTACTTGTTGTAGTAAGGTCTAGATTCTAATTCCGTATTTCTCCAGGATCGCTTGTTATATTCCCAAGAAAAAGTAGAAGTAGAACTACGATTCTCGTTCCCGTTGAATCCTGATCCAATTTTTCTCCTTGGATCGTGAGAAGGTAGCAAGAGCGCTGAGGACAGACTTGTTGAACGAAAAATGTTTTTAGCACGAATTACTTAGAAGTGATAGAGCAGTACCACGGGCGGCCCCGATGTCCATCACGGTATATTCGCCTCAGAACGATGCTGCATGCTTGATACCGGCTGATCGTGACTTCAGGCCGAATTGAAAGTGGGAGACCTAGAAGAAGGCCTGTCTCGCTGCACTGGCACCATGACCTTCCAAGCTGCCGCCAAAACGTGCGGTCATCTCTTCTGCCTTCGGAAAGCGCCCTCGTATCGGCTCTCCCATGGGAAAAAGCACCATCATAGGAGGCCCCTCGCCGTTCATCGAAGTTGAAAGCGCCATGTTGGCGTTGTCGTCAAACCGCGAATTGAACTCGTCGAGGGATTCCTTAGCCCGCTCTGCTTTCTCAGCCGCCTTCTGCGCAGCAATAATGTTGGGATTTGGTTTTTCTGCCTTATCTTGCGCACCGGCTGCAGCCTTTTCCGCTGTTGGTGATGCAGATGACTTTTTGCTTTCCATTTCGCTTAACTCTGCTTTGAGCCGGGCTCCGAGCGCCGCCGTTTGCGCCTGCGCCGCTTCGCGCTCAAGCGCAAGGCGCTCCTGCGGATCGGCGGACTCTTCGCCCATACTAGAGCGCAAAAGCTTGTCCTTCAATCGAACATGCGGCTCATCTATCTTGAACCGCCGGCCAGCGTCCAAAACGATGGTTGTCTTCCAATTCTTTGTAGAACTGGCAGTATCTTCGTCTGTGGGTCCTTCAGCAGCAGCATTGTGTGATGCATGTTGTGGAGAGACTGTTGACGCGGGAGGAACTTTTACTCGCATCTGTAGGAATCCACGCGGAACTTGACTATTTTCCGCTCCTTTTGGGCGCTTTCCGAACTGCAGCAACTTTAGACAGGGCTGATCCGCAAGGTGCTGGTGCGATGGGTCGCAGACGTCAGCAACTTTCTCTTGCTGATCGATGGCGTCGTAGAGTTTCGGAAGTTCTACACTAGACGCCCGTCTCCCTAGAAGATCCTCTGGGATGTTCTCTCGTCCTTCGTGATCGTGGCCCCACTCTAAGCGAGCAAACGGCTCGACTTCCGCCACGTAGCATCCGTCCTCGCCTTCGAGTTGTGGCTCGCGACAACCTGGCTGGCCCTGGAAAATGAAATGTTGGCCAACGAATTTGACAACAAGGCCTTGAGCGTTGAATTTCGTCGGAGGGGGTAACGCGTCCTCAGAAGTCCCGTCTTTGTCTATTTCATCTTCTCCTAGAGTTGCACTTTCCGGACCTTGTGGTCCTCTCGAATTTTTTGTCTTCCCCGCGCCAGAGGACGCAGAACGCTGTGTTCGTCGTTGTATTCCCAGCAGATCCTCTTGCGTGAACGCAAACTGCCCTGCCTCATCCTTGAAAAGCGGAAAATGGCTAGGACCGTCAACCCCGTTCTGGACGCGAGGGTGAACAAGGTAAAAACCGCCGATCTCGAATTTGGCGATGTCGTCACTTGGAACTATGGAAGGAGGGTCTCCTGAAGAAGCAGATCCGTGATCGATATTTGATGATGTTGCCGACCCGTCTCCCACATCGTCTGCTTCGGAGTTCGCCAGCTCTTGCAAGTCGAATCCCTCACCGACGCTGCCCGCATACGCGCCTGGTGAACGGGTGACGTCGTCGTCTACGAAGGAAGATAATATCTTCTTCTTCCAATCGGATCGAAAAGACCTCGTCTTACTAGGACCTGCTGTGTCCAACCAGGGATGATCGGCGATGAGGTCCAAAAACTTGCTCATCTTTCCAAGAAAACTTAGTACATCTCATCTATCAGAGCAGATGAAGAATTAGGCTTCTCCTAACAACACGCAGGTGGGAAAAATGAAGGGAATTGGGACATTTTCTGTAACATCCGATTAGCGCGACCGCTCAGCGCATTTTTGTGAGGAAACCGATCGAGACACAAATAATAGATGATTTCATTTCCGACCTCGACTGTGATACACTCTGATTGGGCACAGGTGTCTCTATTTCAACATCTGGTACGCAATTTCTATGGAAGACAGATGATAGTTTACACGATTAGCTCTTTCTTGCCCATACTCGACCAACAACGACGAGGACAATTCATTTCTCGACACTACCGAATTCCGCCTGCTACTGCCCTCTCTACCACTCGAAGATAATCGCAATTCGTCAGAAGAATACATTTCACCGAATTAGAGGGAGAAGATTTCTGGCTTGCGATCTTGCAAGGTCCATGGCTCCAGAACGGCTGGGCATAGGATACAGCGCATTTCACAGACAAGAACAAACACAAAAAGTGTGAGATTATAGAGAGACAGCGATAAGTAAAAAGAAAAGAAACCGGAGGATCCTGGCACAACTCGATGGAGACTAGAGGCAGACAAGAGATAGGCTCACTAAGTGAACGGCCACAACTGAGCAGCAGAAAGGGAGACTAGTTTTGATGGAATGCTTAAGTAGAAGATCTCCCACGCATTATACGGTCAAGTCTTAGATAGCGTCTTCTTGTTCTCCTTCACAGACATGGCCAAAAAAAAATGCTGCATCTGGTCCTAAATTGAAGTGCAAGTGTCACCGATTCTTTTCAAGAAATATGGGAAAGGTCTACCTGTTTTCCTCAGCTGAGTATTGTTGTGAAAGTCAAGTTTTGAAACAACGATAACAATTGGCTGCGCAGCTCGAGGAGGCTGGTTCATGTGAAGATGAGCTAGTTATTCATTCTTGCTTTTTCAGAAACGGGGAACACAAAATAGTATGGATCTTACTTTTGAGTGACACACATTGTAAGGGTCGCCCTCATCTGTGTAACATTTGTCGATTAGAGTTTTTCTTAGACTAGCCATGCCCTGCTTGTTTCATTGATTCGTCACTGAGTGTGGCTCTTCAAATTGTACCGCAAAACAAGTCAGTCTTATTCATACATCGAGTACAACTCGGAAGGGGATCGCCATTGCATACGCAACGACCTCAGCAGCGAATTTGCCGGTGTCGTAAATAGATTCACAATGATGGCCCTCCGCCGTTTGTATCTGAGCCCGCAACATTCTCCGACTTGGTCATCAAAGAGCCATCCAGAGAGCACTCGGGGAGCAAACTCCCATGGACGGCCTCAAGCCCTGCGGCATGGAGAGGTACCGGCTTACCGTTTGGAAGCTTCGGTAGCTGGTCCAGTAGCTCCTTAGTGATCTCCAGACTCGTGCCACCGTGTGCCAGACAAGCGTCGAACTGGTCGAGGATCTGTCCAACTGCGCGGTCTCGCGTTGATTTGAGCAACGTTACGATGTTGCTCCATCTGGGGTTGTCACGGATTTGTGTAGAGGCGGAACTGCGATTCTGGACGGGACCGACAGCACGCTCCGCAATACTGATGCGGAGCCGCTACGGAAGCCACACCAAGCCCCACTCTTATGGGCGGCGGCTGCTGCGCGGCGAAGTGGTCACGTGCGCCAGATATCTCATCCCATCCCCTGTCGAGCCGTCGCCCCTCGAATTTGTGTTGAGGTCCCTAGATCCTCGAAGCCACAAGCCATTGACGACGATTCCTATCCCGACGGATTCCCCCAAGTGCATGCGCGGCGCCCCACCGACTACTTCCGCCGTGATGTTGACGTGCCCGCTCGGTTATCTCCTTCACGTAATGGTCCAGAGCCCTATGGATGTCTCCAAAATTGCGTCCCTCGTGCCTGGGGCGTGCAAAGGTTCACCAACATCCCCCACAAAGTCGGTTTGAATCTCTCGCAGGACGATGCTAGCGCGCTGTCTCTCTCCTTCACTGCTTCGACTTGCTGTAAAAACCCACATGTTAACCTGGGCCATCGCCATTTTTCGAGCGATGTGCTTCTTGAGATCTGCACTCTTTCGGGCCAATTCCTCTCGCTCTGCTGCCGCGAATTCCTCTGACCCACGTTTGTAGCTAGCATATCCTCCGAGCCCTAAGCTTTTTTCACGATACTGCATGCACTAATAGTGCATCTAGGCCCTTGAACGGAGGACCCGCTAGCAGGGGAGCTCGACGAGGACGCTGAGGATGCCATTGTATTGTACGACAATCACAATGTTGAGGGTCAATATAACTCGTGTGCAATTCTTGTTATCGGCGTAACAACTAGAATGAACTGTACAACAATGTTATCGCCCGAGGAGAAACTGCCCGACGTGCTTATTTTTACTTCTTCGTTGATCTTGATTTCGAATATGGAGACCGAAGATCTTTCAAAATATCTTTCACACGACTTTTGGATCATAAGAACAAGAAATCGTTTATGTTGTTCGTCCAGCAAAGTAAGCACCCGTGGTTGTCTCTTCGAGGAGGTCCTTCTCTAATCCATCAGCGTGATTTTCATCGTGTGCATCTTTGACCACGACGAAAGACTAATTTTCATTTTTTCTGCATCTTTCTTCTTGTTGCCAGAGGGAAAGCTTGTTCCTTGTTCTCGCAAAAGGGGATGCGGCTGCAGGCGCCAAATTCGAAACGTCCATCGATGTGCATTTCTAGAATGATCGGACGCATTTCATCAACATGGCCACGCAGAGCGTGCAAGCATATGACCACATCAATTATATGACTATGTGTACACATCCACATGATACAAGGTTGCTGCCAATCTGCTTATTTGTTTTGGTCCTCAAATTCAGTTTCTGTGCAAGCAGCGGTGATCGCACTAAGTACAGCAAGCTATTCGTATACAGTCCTCATAATCATTTTTTATTTGATATTGATCGTTTCCGTCCTAGTCAACATCCCGTTAGGTTTTAAATTCGTCCAGGAGGTATGTATTGAAAATCATGAAGAATATTATGAAAAATCTGTATTTGCGACTCCGACTTCGACTAAATATGACACGATGATCTACATCTTCATGATGTACAATGACTGTTGAAACTACGTGATAGATTGTACCTGCACCTCCGCATCCCCTGCCTGGCCCGAAGAGCCACGGTATATTTCAGTGAAGTATTCTTGGAAAAATGGAAAAGACTCGAAAAATGAAACACAAGACTTATCTATCAGTGTTGATACGAATCTGGCAATAGTAGACACCGACACGAGCTTCATTCGACAACGAAGTCTGCATCAAGTGTTAATCAGAGAAAAACAAAAGAGCTTTGTTGATTGGATACTCAAAACTTCTTTCAGCTATGACGTTGCCATTGAACTTACCGACGTAGAAAATCTCATTTTCGCTATTTTTGCATTTATGGAAGATTCATGAGCTCTTACAGCCGGCTGCGAGTACGACTACGAGTAGCACTACTAACTCATACTATAGCTCCGCGTCTGCGCCCGAGTCGTCTTCAAATACTGGCTCCAACTGCGATGCTAGCGGAAGCACTTCCGGTTCCAGGCTGTCGGTGCTCAGCGCCATCGCATCCGAACCCAGAAAGCGGAATACTGACTGCTTCTCGTAGGTGGTAATGTAGTCATCAGGTACGCAGAACGACCAAAGCGGACGACCTTGAAACATTGTGGATTTTAGCTCACAGCGCTGCTTCTCCAACACCTCGTTCCCTTCGATATTGATACCTACTGTATTCTTTATCTGGAAGCCTCCGCAATTTCGCATCTGCTGACAGAGATCGGCACAGCGGTGCAAAAGTTCGTAACCGTTCAGCTCCTTCAGTTTGTCGACATCCTCTTTTCGATCAGGCGTCACTTTCAGCTTCGACACGCCGCAAACCGTGTATGAGTGCTCCAAGAAGGTCACCGTTACTTTACCTTCAGTGTAGAAAGAATATGTAATTCAGTTTACATAAAATATGACATCTAGTACCAATTATGAAGAAGTAGTGTTGTTGTCAGATGCTTTGGATTTGCTGCCAACAAAAAGATAAAGTTAATACCATCTTCAAGGCGGTCCAAGGAGTGAATCTAGAGCATCACTCAGCCATCTGATACTGTTGCTAATTGCTATTGAAGGTGAAACAAGAAGCATATTCATTACTCGATGTAATATAATGACAAACATACTTACCTACATCGCCGCCGACGGCACCTTGCGTGTACCGTGTTCGTGAGAATGCTCCAATCTCACTTTTCTGGAGCAGTGCTGTTCCTGATGAGACGCGTACGTTGCCATCGCCACGTCCCATTGTTGTATTTGAGGAAGAAGACAGCGCAAGGAGTAGTGCACTTGCATTTCGATTTTGTGCTGCATTATAGCGCATCTTCTGGGCTGCTCGCTCTTTTTCCTGTTTCTCTCTGCCCAGAGTAATAATGTTGTCGTACACCGGCGAAAACTGGGTTCCTAGAGGCAAGAGAGCCTCGTGATCCAGCGTCTGGGTTGGCCTGGTGAGGAACTCGTTGTTTTGTCCGATGAAGCTCAGTGTCGTCTGTCTAACGTACGTCACTGCGTCATCGGCGGGCACGCAAGATGCCCACAAAGGCCTGCCCGTGAGAAAAGTCTTTTTCAACATGCACGTCTGGTCTGCCAATTGCGTTCCGGATGCTGCGTGCAAGGAAGCCAGCGCGTAGGTATTCTTGATCAGGAAGCCGCCACACTCCAGGTGCTGCTGGCATATGTCCGCGCATCGATGCAGCAAGTCGTAACCGAAAACGCCACGCGGGGAGTCGACGCCGAGGTCTTCCGCGGCGCAATCTGTGAACGGATACTCGGTGAAAGCGACCAAATGCCGCGCCACGTCCACGGGTGCAGGTCTCGGACAAATGTTCAGCCGCGCTGCTGTAGTCGTCGCATCGGTGTCATTGGTGCTGTCAAAATTAGAAGAGGAACAACCGAAGAGGGGAACGCTCACTTTTCTTAATCAAGGAATTACCCGTTGTACTTCTAGTGAAGAAGAATCCGACGGACAGTCGGACAATTACTTCTAGATAAATGATCCTTTCTTCTCTTTGAAGTCATAATCGGCGGCGCCGACGTTGAGCTTGAGCTTGAGCCACCGCTGGCGTCGGGTCCGGGCCACGGAATACAGGGTTCCTCTTGTGGAAACAGGAGAGGTATGGCGATTTGATTCCGCCCCGTGTATATGCCTACCTTTGCTATCTGATTTCCGATCGCAGCACCCTGGTAGACAGAAACATTTGACTGCATGCACCAGAACTAGGATTAGCAATGTCGTGTGTGAATTTCTGCTGCCGTCGGGGTACCAGAGACCACCACAAGCAACTACTTCTTAAATTCCAAATGTAATTTTCTAAAACAATCCTACGTACCCAGTAAGGATACACGCTCGAGGGCTCAGGACTGAAGGCGAAGGCCCCCCGATCTAAATTCTTGAGGTGGGGGCCTCCAGCCCCAGGCCCTCTTGCTCGAGGGACAGCCGGGCAGGAAGGCCTCGAAGCGCCCACCTTCGCGCCCTCGCGGCTTCTTGCGTGTACACTCCAGAACCTCAGCACCTGAGGCCGTTCAAGCACCGACGGCCGGGGGTGGAAGGCTTCCGAAGGCGGCAAGGCTTGACCCCCTTGCCGTGTTGCATGAACCCGATAGACCTCCCGTGTGCGGGCGGCTCCTCACGGGGGGAGCTTCTTGGGGAGTGGAAGGCCTCCGAGGGCAGCAGATGGCAAAGCTTGACCCCTTTCGCCGTGCTGCATGTATCCGACAGAACCCAGGCGGGCACGCCTTGCCCCCACTCCTCCTCGCCTTTGGTCCTCAAGCCCCCGGGCGTTTGGTGGCGGCTGACGCTGCCACCAATTGGGGGGATGAGGGCCAAAGGGGCCAGGCCTCGCGACCGAAGCCGCCTTCGGCGGCCTTCTGCCCCCGGAGGCCGTCCCCCTAATAGGGTCCAAGAGTCGGGAGGCCTGTGAGGTACACGCGGAGAGCCGCCAAGGGACTCCGGGCCGGCTTTTGAGGCCTGCGCCTCCGGGAATCCTTACGCGTCACCACCGCGGAAAAAAGGGCGCGCCGACGCCGCCCCCGCTCCATCCACAGGGGGGGGCTCCCCTCCTGGTACATATTCATATAATTTGAAATTGCGAGCATTGTTCTTGTCGATCAATGTCAAACACGTAGAAGTACGAGTAAGTGATAGATCAAAACATCGACGGTTGTACGTCTCCTGTTTGGCTGGGGATGTCTTTCCCGAGTGGGTCTCCGAATAGCGTTGTATTTCCGTTGATTGTCACCGCAAGCTTAATTGCGTTTGAGTCATCCGTCTCAAGACGTAGCGTAAACTGCTCTCCAGGAGTGTAAGCGACCCGGCCTAACTGAGAATCAGAAACAAAAATCATCTGATGTTCGAAAATTATGACAAAGAAACTAACTAGCACACAGAGGGTCCAGTCGAACAAGCAGAAAATAGTCACAAGGACACAGACGTCATCACCAAGACCAAATGAAACAGAGATAGATGTACCTGCGGCGGCTTCAATCCCGCAATCCGCTACCAAGTCGGGGCATGTTTGAGTGACGGCGCTTATGTCCGTGTCATCGATACTGAACAGAGTGTTTGGGCCGTCCAAGATGAGATGCATAACTTTGTTGCTCACTGTCTGCAGGACCTGAAAGAAAATTAGTAGGCGGTTGGAGAAGGAGAACGTCGCTCGTATTTTTACCGACTCGTCCGACGACCAAAAAAAATCAGTTCTTTTGTCATCAACTTTTAACTTCGACAAATTGAAGATGTTTATCTTCGACGTGGTTCATGAAGATTAATATGAAAGATTGCTGCTCTATCAAGCACAGGTAACAATCCTTTTTCTACCACAGCCAGCCGGCTTCCGTCGTATTCGTATTCTCCGTCCCCGTTGGCATTTGGTGCATAATCGGTATCACCTTCAATGTCGATAATTGTGCCACGAGTTTTAACCACAAGGTCAATCTCGAGACTTTGAAAGGCCTCGAACTCAGGTATTTCGTACATCAGCCGGCGTCCACTGTATTTACCTTTCGCCGTCATGAGCGCCTCACTCTCGGGTACGCCGCTGTCGAAATTGGATGAAGGGAGGTCCTTTATGTGTCATGAGCATGATGCCGACGATGAGTTTTGACATAAAAGAAATCAAAAGTAGACACGGAGAAGATCATATGTAGTTTGATGTTGCAGAGTTGTAAAAATCATGTGCAAGGGTTCATATTTGGAGTTTGATAGAGTCTGTCCCCAGCCCTGCACTCGTCCGATTTGAAAAGACTAGAACACCAAAATACATTCCGCTGCAATTCCAAAACTGGCCCTGGGCTTCCGAGAATCCTGCGCATCGGGCCGAGTCACGTGTGGTGACATCCTCTACGCTGACATAGCACCCGTTGACTTGGAATTTCAGTGGCGTCTCTTCGGAATTACCGGAGCACATACTCACAGAATCCAGCATCTCTGGTGGGACTTCAAATCCCGGAAGTTTGCGTCGCTCACTTAGTACCTCGCGTACAGCGCGACGGCGACTCTGCATGAGCTGTGGGCCTTGATGAAGTTTTGATGAGCGTTTGCTGGAACGCTGTGGCTTCCCCGAAGGTGATGACTCACGATCTCTTCTTTTCCGTGCGCGATTCAAGCGTCGAGCTTGAACGCCTTTCTGGTGATGTTGATGTCCTCTACTAATTCTCCTCCGATCCTGCTGACCTGCTGTCTTTTCTTCTGCGTTACTATGCTTTTCTTGATGCTGCTGTGCTGTTATCTCATGTTCATTGACATTCTCGCGATGCAATTCGTGCAAAGCTGTGACTCTTGTAGCTTTCGCGTAGGATACTGCCGATGATGAATGAGCAGCGCCTGAACGAGGCAACTCCGAAGACTTCGTATCTTTGTCAAGAGCTGACGATGGCTGATACTGTTCTTGTATCTCGTCCTGTGATTGGTCGGAGTCTTCCTCGTCCTCGTCCGCAAAGGTGCTGTCCTTACTTGAAGATACCGCTTGGGTATCGGAATCGTTCTGCTCTTTAATGTCAGCATCGTTTTCGTCGATAGGATTTTCACTGCGGCCTTTACTCACTTTATTACCAACTCCCTGCTCCTCCCGAGAGGATCTTGTCAGGGTGTGATCTTCATCCTCGTCCTCTCGATCCACCGCTTCATCCCTCTCACCTTCGTCGAGCAGGGATCTCTCGAAGGCGTCCTCCCCATCGCCAGCGAAACCTCGTCGTGCTCCCCGAAGTCTGATTTCGTCATGCGGTGGGTTATTCAGTGAAAGGGCTGAGCACAAGGAGCTACGTCCTGCGAGGTAGACGAGCGAGATGTACCGGAGAGTGGCAACCGAACACCGCTGGAACTGAGAGCTCATAGTGGGCTTCATTCACATTCCCTCACCTCGAGGCGCGGCCTCAGTACGAGCGGCGAAAGCCCTTCTGGCGCGAGCGGAGGAGACATAGATTCCGGTTCGACGACGCGGCTGCCTCTCACACTCACGTCAACAAGAAAATTCTGAATTCCGTCCACTAGACTACCTACTTGGTGGGTACAAATTCTGGTACTACTTCCCTAAGCTTCATCAGAAAGGAGGAGCCTGAGAGTCCTCAGTTTCGACTTCGAGAACGCTGTAAGAAAACCCCACGTGACCTCTCTGCCCCGCCATCAATCGCCTATATAAGGCGCGACTGCTCAGTGTCCTGCACAGATCAATTTTCACGGTCAACTTCATCAGCGTACGCCAATTTGCATTTCCGAAACAAACTAACTAAGTGTCTCTGTCAAATGTCCTGAATAATTGTTAAGCACTCCGCTCCGTATTATCAAACATTCGACACTGACTGGTTCAAACTTTTTTCTCTCTGTCGTCGGCAACGCATTGTTGATGCACACTAGCTATGCATGGTAGCGAACCGCCAGAGAGCCTCCTTCTTTAACGTAAAAAGTAAAAAATGAAATTGCGGTTATAGAAGTTCGTCACATTACTGGTGCGAAACAACACGAACATTTGTTGTCCTAGTACTGCTCGTCAGTCTGCATCGTCTTCTGCTTTTTCTAAATTATTCTCCCTCATGTGTTCCATGTGTGCCCCATACTGCCATTCGTCTACTATATTCTGCATTTCATATCGACTGTAGTGTTCTATCAAAAATCTTTTTTCCCTCCCGTTCACGAACTCGACCTGGACTGTACTTGGCGCGTCGTACCCCAAAAGCTCCCAAGTGGCTTGTAGTTGCGGAAACTTTTTCTTCGTGCCTTCCGAAGTCATTCTCATTATCAGCCGCCTGTGGAAGTGGAAGGGAACATGATAAATTGAGTAAGTTATAGAACTGGAAGTAGAGGCGCCGATTTTATGTGTGCTCCAGGACTCTTACTCTAGTCGAGGTAGTCGTAGTGTCGTCGTGCCGTCGGCACCATACTATCCATCTATCGCAAATCTCCTGCAACTGAGGAGGGTTTTATCATCAAAACAAGTTCTGGCTTCTCGCTGGGGGTGCACAATGAAAACGAAATAAAGCAACATTGTACCTTGCAACCTCCGTTTTTGGCCGACCCGGGTGATAAGAGACGTGTATCCGTTTCAAGTAAGCAAAAAAGTCGAGACGTGGAAACAGGTTGTACTTCATTTTTTTGTCTGTGGTGGGTCGCTCCAGTTGCCTCTGCTGAGTTCTGACGCTCTTGCCTCGTTCGTGCTTTTGTCTCTTTTTCTCTCTTCTATTTACGGCCACAGATACATCTGAAGCGGCCTTGCTTGCACAGATCACTAGAAAGGACCGACCGTTTGCGTAGAGGTGGAGACGTCGCAAACGAGAGAGCTTCGTCGCTGGAAAAACGTCGATCTTAGTGTCACAACGATCAAAAAGGTCCTAGAGACAGATTGGCAACAAGGCGCATGTAACAGCTGCGTCATATCATCGAGTTGGAAGGGTGTGGCACGGCACGCCCAGCAACAGGTGTTGTTTCCTCGACAAAACTGCACACGTGTGGGCTTAAGCCAGCATAAAATCAGAAAAGGAAAAGGATGTCGAAAGGAAAAGTCGGAAACTACTGATGCGTCGTCTTATCAAAGTCACACTTCAAGCTTTCTGGCGTAGTAGTCGGAAAATCCTTTAAAGTTGCCTCCACTCACGGATAATTTGTTGTGCCCGCATGATAAAAACCTCCCAGAAAGGGCTAGGTTTCCATGGACGCCCCTCGGGAAAAGGCAGAGTTATGCCTAAGGCGTGAAGTACGCCGAAAAAGCCACCTAAGCCGTCACAAGTTCCAGCCATTCGATCTGCAACGTAGCCGCCAGTCAGTTGATAGCAGCGGCCGTCCGCATGAAAACTCATGCTTAGGATCTGTGGCGGCGTGAGCACGCGCTTGGACGAATTTGCTTTCACCAATGTGCAACCGAGGCCAGGAAGTTTTAACGGACCCGTTTGCAGCATGTCGCCGCGACTGAAAAACCAGACGCGATCGGGCTCTAGCGGGTCCACCTGGAAGCCGAAGAAGTTGCCTCGCAGTTGGGGAAACGTGTTGCGCACCTGAAAACTCGAAAAAGCCTCCACAAATTCGCGCTTGCTCAGCGGACCTACAACCGGAAAGACGAAGCGAAAATCCTCTGCTAGAAGGTCTGGCTGCATCGTGCCGAATTCCGCACGAAGGATGTTATGTGCTAGCGCTATCAGGTTGGCTGAGCTTTGGCGGGCGTCTCCTCCACCACTGACGAGACTAGAGGCTGCGCCACCTTTCTGCAAGAGCGGATCCAAATCTGTTTCGACTGGAATTTTGGATTTGGAGGTGCTGACAGCACCTTGCTCACCGGCATTTAGAAGAGTAGCAGGTCTCGTCTGCTCCAGCGTCGCTTCTTCGTCGAGCACTTGCGGCAATCCCGCCCCGAGTGCCCCCTCGGATCCGGGCCTATAGCGGAGCATCCCCGCATGCACGCCTTGAATTCGTGGGAGAATCGAACATGGAGCTTGGGTGCGCAGTTGTTCGATGCGAGCACCAAAAAGCAACGAAAGTATTCGTGCCGTGAACTCGCTTGTCAGGCGGACGCACTCGGATACAACACCACCGCCGAGAAGCACACAGCTTGCCAGCGCATGTCCAGTGCAACGCCCGGAAAAGGCGACGTATTTCCTGGAGAAGGTCGTAGTGAAATATCAAAAAGTTTACTTGGTATTACTTTTACTAGTATTTACTTACCTCAATAGAGTACTGTTCTTTGGCTCACGGCTACACAACCTAATCCTGGACCACTACAAAAATAACTATGAACGCTTGAAATTGCTCTTGCTGAATAAATCCTCATTTATTTCAGGAGTGGGAAAGAAGGACAATGTTTATGATACAGAAGTCCAGCACGCATCGCGAATCGGCACAATCTGCCCGAGGTTTGCTCCCTGAGCTCGCAGCTAGTGTTGAATATGACGAATCTAGGCGCCACTGACTACAGTTCAAAAAGTTGACTACCCCGCCGTGGTTGCCTGAATCCGGAGAGCCGCCACAGAATCAGCTACACGCAAGTTCGTATTCATCTAGGAAGCCGCGCCTCAGCGCACTGCCATGTGATGTCTTTCCCAAAACCAATGCTCGACGCGTGACCTACTTCGCGCTGCTGAATTGAATACACAAAAATATTTCATTGGCTACGTGCAACAGATGAGCAGGAACGAGCTCTCACCTTCTACTTTTCGTTTCCTTGCGGATAAAATGGTAATACTGTTGTAGTTGACCGATTGTCGAGAGTCTGACATACCTTATGCATCTTCGTAGTTTCTCTATTCTTTCATTTTCGACAGATAAGAAAGACGGGGGGGAGCGGCTGCACGACTGTGAAGAACACAAAGAGAAGAAAAGTGCACAAGTCAATGCAATTGCGTCCATTTGTCCTCGTTTTCACTGTCCCCTGATCTGAATTTGGTGCGCGCTTGCATTTCACTTGCCCATGCTTCATCTACTTCTTTGTTCCTGCCAAAAGTACTGCAAATGGTTGGCACAGGAGTAGGACAGATATTGGTTGTCCTTCTTCATGGATTTAAGTAGATTTTAGGGTGTATCCTTAACCTTATACTATAAGAGCCATCGTTGAACATTTTAGAAGAGGGGTTTAATGTCAATGAGTTCAAGCGTTTTCAACAGCTCAGCAAGCGCCATTTTGTCACACTCCTCTTCCATCGGCAAATCTGTAATTCTCACAAATTTGTTGGCGTGAGCACATTGCATCAAATGTCGTAGGCCGGGAAAGAACAAGGTCTCCAATCTGACACTTCCCCGTGGATCACGGTCTGGCTGGTTTGCAGAGGAATTCTCGTCCCCGGGTGAATTTTCTGCTGCTGCTTCGGCCGCTTCTGCATCCAAGTTCGCGTAGTACTCCGCAAGGCGGGCCTCGCCGCACATGTGCAACTCTGCCAAGTTTCTGTGTGGAAAAAGGATTAGGCACTGGCTTTCCTTGGTCTCGGGATCCTCATCGAGAGCACAGCGAACTGAGCGCCGAGCATAGGGACGAAATCTAATTTCACTCGTAGCTTGTAGCGGAATGCTGCTATCATCCGGATCTTCATCATCGTCATCAGAGGAATCTTCATCATCTTCTCCTTCTTCTCCGTCGCTAGCGCTAGGAGGCATAACTTTTCTTTTCTTGAGACCTGCAGCAGTCATCTTCGATATCTTAGAAGAGCCCACGTCCTCATCATCATCGTCAAGATTTTCTGCGTCGCTCATTTCCTCTTCCTCTCCGTCACCGTCTTCGCCTTCTGGTGCTTCTAGAAACTCGTCAGTTTCGGGAAACATGTCAGCGTCTTCTGCCACCATATCATCGTCGACCTTGTCTTCCTCTTCTTCCTCCATCTCCTCCTCTTCCTGGTCCGAATCTTCGTCGTCGCCGACGAGCTCCATTTTGTCTGCACCATGAAGGGATGTGCTGGAACGATCTTGGACTAGATCAGCGGATGGAGGCAACCGCTGCACAACGAAGTCGGACCCCATTTGATCGGCAGCTTTTTGAACAACTTCGTCTTGTGTTTCTATGGCCTTAGCCACCTCACGGAGGAGTTCGGAAAGTTTCGTGCGCAATTCCGGTGGTGGACCGCCTTGTAGGCATCCAACGGTTTCGTAAAACCGCGGTGGCAGACCACGACGGAACTTCTCACTGTGTACGCGACAGTGCTGCAACGCGGTAGGCAAAAGCTCGTTCAAAAAATCGAAGTATGAATGCTTCTGGTATGTCGAAAATGTCAAATGATGTGAGAAGCCTGGTGTCGCCTGACCCGAACGGTCGCCTTGCTTCTTCTTGTTTCCAGCATTGCTCTTGTTTTTACTACTTGAAAGAGCTGCTGCTTTTTCTGCCGGTTTTTTAGAAGGACTTGATGATTCGTCAGTAGACTCACCAAAATGGACCGTGCCTCTCGGGATGTAGAGCAAATCACCTTCCTCTAGCACAACGTCGAGGCGCAAAGTCATTTGGGTCGCGCACTCCTCGAGGGTGAAATCCCGAGAGAATTCTCGTGGCAGTGAACTCGACAAATTCTGACCATCCAATTCTGCGGTAGTCGGAGTAGTTTTCGCGCTTGAAGTCGTAGAAGACGACGCACTACTGCCTGGAGCGCTGAGAGAAGTACTAGATGGTGTTGCCGAACCACTTGCATTTGGGTTAGGCGCGGCGAAAATTTCACTGCTGTTAGGTGTCCAGCATCTCCAGCGCTTGCTGCCTTCTAGTTGTAACATCCAGACTTCTACGTCGTCAAAATGCGGAGCAAAGCCCACATATCCAGCTGGTGTCACATAGCTGTTTGCGCCAAAGAGACAGCCAAACTCGTCCTCCAATGCGCTCAACGCGTGCGCGATTTCCGGTGCAAAGCGCTGCGGATGCATCAATTGACAGCTGGTTCCGAAGCGGTCCAAAGCATTGCGAACTTCGTCGATCTCCGCAATTTCGCCGTCGTCCTTCACGTTCTCAATGACCTTTTGCATTTTTGTGCCAGAAGAATCGGCACTCTGGAATTTTGCCAGCGTAACTTCACTGCCGTACTTGAGAGTACCTTTCATCAACTCACGCTCGATTGCGGCACGATTGTACTGGCCCAAAGAGCTCACACGTTGATAAAACTTCGAAGCCTTTTTGTCGTTTCCATTTCCTGTTTCGTCATCTCTGTCACCTGAACCAGCTGAACCTGAGAACGAACTCGTCTTCTGCTGCCTCTTGATCACTAGCGGTCTCTTTTCGAAATACTTTGTGAAAAATTCCTCTGGCGTGATCGGGAAGAGCATCTGTCGCAAGGCTGACGGTTCTTTTTGCAGGAGATCAATGTCCGCATCAGTCACATCACAAGTGATCACGTCTGCTAGATTCGTATGGACCTGCTTCAAATCTCCATTTTTGTCGCGGGCGCCACGATTAGCCTCCTGTCGCAGAATCGCGTCAGACTTGTCCTGAATCTCCACACGAGCCTCTAGACGCTTCTCTTTGGAGCTCTTTTTGTGTTCGTTGCCAGCCTTGATGCACAGCCCGGTCTTCTTTCCCTTCTTGGATTTCCCCATTTTGTTGATCGTTTAGCTTGTCAGGTTGACGAGTTCTCCTGTAAATCTGCTTAATTTATTCGTACGACAAGAACGAACCTTTTCTACTGAGCTTAAATAAAAGCCACAGGAGCAGAGAATAACAGCGACAAATGGCCTCCTAAGCGAGGTTGTGTCTGAAAAAGGGTAGAACCTGGAGAAAGTATAGGTCGATGTAAAGATGGCAATCTTGTTCAGACGTCCAATGCACGAAAAGACAGTGGGGCGAGGAATCCAGCACTATTCTGCATCCAAGTTGTCGTGGATCCTCATATAGACATGTTGTCAGTAATCGATTTTACAAAAAGATGAAGATCTTGAGAATCTTCGTACGCTAGGAAGGTGATCTGGTCCGGATCGTTATCTTTCGACATCATTCTGATCTTATTATCTACAGCATCGCCGATGTCGACTTGCTCAACAACTACTTTCACATTCGTGACACCCTTGGTCGAAGGGGAGATAGGAACGAATTCTGTTGTTGTGTTGATCATGGCATAGAAACATACGATCCACTACAACACGGACTCGGAAAACAAGAAGTACGTGTTTAACTTCACATCTTCTAGTACACTTATGTAATGTACGTCGGTGCCCGCGCCATTGACGCAGGCTCTTCATAGTTTTGCTCTTTCTCATGCATGCTCAGCGATGACAAAATCGCGCAACAACAATTCAAGTTCATTTCTTGCGAATGCATAGTCGCGGTAAACTCCCGTGGTGAGTAATACCGGATTCCAGTCTGTATTTTGCTGAACATTTAGTCGGCGCCGATTTTCTGTTGCAGGTCCACCAGTTCCGCATCCAGCGTTTTGTCGATGCTCTTCCGGTATTCCCATCTGCGGTATGCCTCCACCAGGAGGCAAGCCCATTTGCGGTATGCCGCCAGCAGGAGGTAAGCCCATTGGAGGTATTGCGCCCAGGCTAGTGCCCAGGCCCGCAACTGGCTGCCCAGACATCATCAAGGATAAACTCCCTTGCTGCGGCTGTAGTTGTGGCCGCGGCGATGCAGCGGTTATCGATATTCTTGCTGGTATAGCTGGCTGTTTCTCCTCCATTTTCTCTGGATCCGAGTCTCCCAACTTCTTGAGTGACTCATACTGCAGTAAGTCTGGTTGCTGCTCGTCGCTGGATGAAGAACAGGACGCAGAAGTTCTACCGGAAATTTTCATCTTGACGTCTTTCATTTTTTCTTCTAAGCTCCAATTCGAGGGCACAGGAGGAGCCTTCTTGTCATTCACAAATGCGGCGTAGGGTACGAAATCGCCGCGATGATTGCAGTCGAACCCAAAGATGGGTTTTTTCCCGAGGCTGACGCCGTCACTAAGACCACCATGGGGGCTGCGCGACAACCGCTGTTCCACTTCGGAGAGACGCAGCCCATACCAAGGATGCGCCTCTGCCACCTCGACTGTGCCGCACCATGCTAAGTAATCATTACGATACAGTTTTGCGGACACAATATCGCCACCACCAGCCAAAGATGACCCAACAATGCGGGCCTCCTTCCCTCCATTCATCGCGTCTTTTGGAAAAATCGTCTCTGCATGACCTGGTCCATATTTGAGAAGATCTCCGCGACAGACGGGAGGGGCCCGCGTTTGTATCCATTCTTCTAACTCACCTTTCTCACCTTCAGCCAACAAATCGTGTGTTGATGGTTTGCTTCGAAGCATTATTAATCTCCCACAATCTCAAGATGCATCTAACCATTTTGTTGAGGAGGTCGAGATTCAGGGGTATTGCTCGTCGACCGATGAATTTTGATCTTACTTGTATTTTTCTCATCAGACCCTGATTCAATCATGTGTCCATTAATGCTGTTAATGCAAAAGAAACCGTCCGAACAGTCGCGACCATATGATGCCGACGTCGCTTGAGAACAAATTCAAGGGAAAGCATGCACAAAAACGCAAAAATAGTCCTGGTTACATGATCATATTCGGCGGCATAAATGGTAAGCGCTTTTTCTCAGAGCGATCCACACTAGTGTGTGCGGAGGATGAGGTAAGTAGTAATGGAAGGAGTAACTAAATCTTCGGATGTTGTCACTCTGCAAGATAGTACCACGTGCTGTGCATCATCAGTCTTGCTTATTTTCCTCGATGTAAGCAGCCACATCGCCCGCAGCGTTCCCCGTAACGAATCACACCTGGAAGCTTCTTCTTTGCACACTTTGCACAGTCGACGCCTCCAGCTGCTTTGGTCTTCGCGTCTTCAATTCTGCGAAACACGACAAGGCTGCAGAGCCACTTATTTTCACTCCTTGTGTGGCACTCTACGGGCCGTCGCGTAACGAGTTCTAGTGTCGGAGGTATGCCAGCAGCCGCCAGTGCCTTTAAGAGTCTATCCCCGTCTAGAGAGAAAAGCAGAAACCGTGCACTCCCATCACGCTTTAAAACTTGTGCTACTTCCTGCATGTAGATGAACAGGCTGCGAAGCTTCTTCTTCTCGTCAGGCTCACATAGGAGCGCATCTGCAAGACCCTTCTCGACAGCAAAATCAGCACGAGCCGCTGTCGGACTTGGTCTTGGACTCGAGGACGTGCTAGGCATTAAAATCAGGTCTAGACCCGAACCTTCCGGATTTGAAATATCGCATGTCTTCCATAAGTGCTCAGGGTATCGCTTTTTCATCTGATTTATGACAGTACCCGAGTAATCGAGATTCAAAACGTAGCAGTGAGTCGCATCTTCAAGCGCAACTCCTAGCGAGCTGTTGCCACAGCCCAGGTGCAAGATACGCGGTGCAGGACTGCTGGAAGACGAGGCAGATGATGAGGTCGTACTGCTTCTTGTCGTTGCAGCGAGAATACCAGAGGAGGAGGACGTACTTCTTGGAGACAAACGAGTAACCAAGGCTGCATCGTCAGCGCTAGTTGGTTCTGCCAGTCCATCTCGAGGCGAACAAGACGTCGAAGGCGTCGACGCTTCTGATTGGACACACTTGTTGTTACCAACCTTTTTCGGTAGCGAGCATGCATCTTGAATGTGATCAACGAGGTCGTCGAAACAGCCCAACCACTCGTACTCCTCGCCAAAGTTTCCGGCCTTGTACTGCCGCTCCCAGTATGCTCGCTCGTGATAGTCCATTTATTTGTTCGTTCGTCTACTCAGTCTGTTATGCACGGAGATAAGCGTGGGGAGAAGCACATGCGCGAGCACCACAAACACCTAAAAGATCAAGGACATTAACTTAAACTACGTTGCACGCCCTGCTGCGGCTGGAATAATTGTTGATGATCGAGTTTTTGAGAGGGGACCAAACTACATGCCACACCTCCTTAGATCAACACAGTTGGAAAGAACATGTAGAACTAGAACCATCTCCGTTGGACTTGGATTCCAAACACCTCGATCATAGCATGGAACGCTTCCCCGTAGGTGCCCCCTTTTCTTCTACCTTGGCAACTATTGTCTACACTTAGCCATAGATCGTAAGTTCCACCTCCGAGAGCTTTAGATCGAAAGACCAATTCCGAACAAGATCAAGTTCAAGGCTAGATACTAGGGAAGCCACTGTGCCAGATCGTTTTCCATACTTGGGAACGCAGTGGACAGAGTATAGCTTCGTCCTGAGAATGACCTTATATGTAAATCTGTCTCACAACATCTTTGCATGAATGGCGTGCAAGTCATTTCGAGAAAGTCTGATACTTTTGCTGATGTGTTGCTGATACACTTAATTTCGTGCTCGTGATCGTCGTTCGTAGGAGGACATGGACACGCCCAGTCCAACATCATGATCCTCCGCCAGCAGAAATAGCCATTTTCACATTACGGTCACCTCCTGATCCAGAAACATCAAGCTGCGCTTTCTGATCCCCCTCAGTCTGTTGGCCAATTTCCAATGCCTCTTCATCCCGGAAGTGCTTCTGCAGGTCTGACGTAGTATTCAATCGGGACTCGAGCAAGCCCGCAACAGTCTCTATTGCTTGTCGCTGCGGATCATCCGCGTCGAAGAGGCGCTTGCACAACAATCCAGCCCTCTCAATTTCCTCCCTTCCTCCAGCGCTAGCGTACCACTTACAACAAGCCAGGTTATAATACCTTTGTTTTGATGGAGATTTTGTGAAGTGAGAAAATGTGAATTATGGTGACACTGAAGATGGTGTGTTGAAAAGAGTGTCATTGTAAGCGTCGCGATGAGCTAGTACTACTTACATGTTTACTTATTAAATTGTGGCGGAGCAGACCTAACTAGAAAAAGAAAGACCATATTTACTTATTAAAAAACAAAAGAAGTGGAATTGGAAAACTCCAACGATAGTAAGAAATGAGACAGTTGTGCATCAAAGTACGTGAGGCAGACGAAGCGGTTATTATCGTCGTTTTCGTAGTACTCGAGTAGTCGTTCGAGTGCGATTTGATAGTAATCTATCGCTTTCTGATATTTCTCCCTCTGCTGTAGACAAGCACCAAGGTTGTTGTATGCCTCCGCCAGTTCGCTTTTCTGAGCTTGGTTACCCATGGCGTGGAGATGCTCCAATGCTTTACGGAGATGCCATTCTGCTTTCGCGGCGTCAGCCTCAACCGTCTGAACTAGTGTCGCTGCAACCTCAGGCTCTACCGGTTCTGATCGGCTAGATGCTCGAGGCGGTTCGACAGTGGTTGAGGCCGATGTTGGGGTCGGAGAAGGTGTAGATGTCGCAGTAAGACGCGATACTGAGGAACACGATTCAGCCGCTTCTTGTTCAGCACCTTGTTCTATTCTCTGCGCCTCACTGCTCTGAAGCACTCCATTTTCGTTTTTCTCGTGTGAAGTCGATGCGAGCATAGCTTGTTGATTTCGTGAGTCCACTTCTTCTTTGTTCAAACCTGGTGAAGTGTTCGTAGATCCCAATGTTTTTGCAGAGTTTTCTATGCTAACATTCGCTGCGTCCATCTCGTGCGTCGTGTCTTCCTCTTTCTTGCTGGCTCGTTTTCCAGGGAATATGTATGGCTCATTGCGTTCTTTCCAAATGGAAGAATTAATAGCCAACGCTGCGATGTTGCTCTCATCCAGAGTAGGATGGCCATCCTTCGAGGTTGCAGAGCGAGCCTCATCAGGTACGCCCGCTTCGCGAACTTTGATATGTCCTGCGGCTGCATTCTTAATATTCGCCTCCGCAAGCCGCTTTTTCTTATCGAATTTTTTCGACGCTACACCGGCTTCTTCGCTGTGGGTAGCAGACGACAGCGCTGGCTCTGTAGCCTTGGCGGCCCCAGCCTCTCGTAGTGTCCTGCTTCCTTGCAAGCCTGAGTCACTAGCACTAGTACTCGTCGCATCTTTCGGGACTGATAGCACTGAGGAGCCTGCTTGTTCGTGTTCATTGTCTACTGCTGTTTCTTTTTTATTTATCTTCGCCTCGTTCGGGTGCATCTGCTGTTCCTCAAGCAGAGTATGCCGCAACTGATTCGATGAGTACAGCAGCGAGAGACCCATATACCCGTGACATTCTGCCAGCATGGAATTTAGAGGGAGCTCCTCGAGCCATTTGAGCAGTGAGTCGCGCACATTTTCTGGCTTGCGTCCTTTAGGTCGTCGGCCAGTGATTTTCTCGACAACCTGGAGCACCTTTTCTTCGTCTCCTTTCGGCATCGTTGCTAGTTCTGAGCACACAGCAATGAGGTCACGAGAAGCAGAGGTGGACCCTAGAGGAGACGAACTCGAACTCGTGCTAGCGCTACCTACAGCAGGGACCTCGTTCAAAGACGACGTGGATCCTGCTGTAGTTGGTAAAAGGCCGAGACTGCGCGTGGGACCAGATCCCGCCGATGCGGCAAGCATTTTAGGATTTTGCGTTTTGTCACCGAAAATCGCACTGCGCGCCGCCACGAGTAGTCTTTGAGGCCATGGAAGTTTCGGTTGCGGTGGTGGTGGACGTGTGTCACCCGTGGCTCTCACCTCCGCTAGGTAACCAGCGCGCGCGGCCGCTAATTCATTGCATTCCTTGAGTGCGCTTCGGAAATAACCAGATGCGCGCGAGGCGTGACCGCCAGCGTGATAATGCTTCCCCAAGGTGACGAATGCCTCCACGCGATTCAGAACATCCTGCATACTGCGTTCTTCCGCGGGCTTCGAGCCCATGAAAACACAATGAAAACAAAGAAAAACTTTATACCAAATTATATATAAGTAGCATAGATATCCATCAACATCAATGAATCGCGTAGACCAGGAGGAACAGCATCAGATTAATGAAGCACCAGAAACATAATCTATGTCTATCAGTTCGACTCCACCACAACCTCGATTACTAGACTGCAGATGTTAATCGAGGAAAAGAAGTCGATCAAGCACTGGACTTACGAAGATGTGATCCCATAGTACCTGCATAAATATCTCAAAAATATGGTAGAAATCGCAGTGGTAGAAGTGCGACTATCAACTACTATTACATAATCATGATCCGACCATACATCGCAGAAGGAGCTTCAGCATGCTGTCCAACTGCTGCAAGCCAGCGAGGCCCTCCTCGTTCGTCTTCGGGTTATATCGGCCTAGAGACAGAAAAGAAGAAAAGTATCGCGCTCCGCTGCACCCTCTTGTTTTATGGGATCTAGCGCGATAAGCACCTCCCGCTACATAGGAGCATTGCAGAAGCAATACCTGGCGAGTCTTCTCCTTGTTGGGCACGAGAAGGCGCGCTATTGCGCCACGATTATGGCCATGCATTGCCGAGCCCCATGGCAGCAAACGCACGACTTTCGCACTGGGAGGAGGCTTCATCATCTTTCTCATTTTTAACATCAAGTACCGATCAAGCTCTGATTTTTTCCATAATTGTCTCCCAAGTCATTGTTCTGCTCTTGTACTACTCAGCCTCGTCGTACAGTTGAGTTTCTCATGATGACTTTTCATGCGAATTCTATTCTTTTTTCAGCCAATGGTGGTATATTCTGCCTGACAAATCAGATGCACTGCATCGCTCCGGTAACCAACCGCTCGCCTGCCCGCTTATTTGTAATGGAATCATCATTTTGCCGCAACCTGTGGAATGGGAGTGCCACATCGCATACGCAGCTTGGAGGTGTTCTCAATGTTGATCTGGCTACTTGCATTGAAAAGTAGATTATTATTGAGACAATCTTGGCGGTCATCATTCAATGAAGAGGACTACTGGTCGTGCTGCTGGTCCTGTCCTCTAGATGTCTCGATACTCCTCACAAAACCAGGAGTCATATAAATTTCGATGCATTGTAAATGAAGATAGATGAAAAAGCTCCCTAATCTGAATCTTCGATCATAAGCGCTATCAACAAAAGATTAACAAGGTCGTTAGATTTCTTCATCTTGCTGAGATGATCAAACAGTGAAGATCGGCGAATGCGTGTACAAGTCTAGAATATAGCAGTGATAGAAACGCTTGGGCTGTGTACCCAGAATTACCTATTTTTAGAAACAAACTACGCGATCAGGATCACAAACATGTAGCTGTAGTTCACGGAGACTAATTTTCTTGTTGATGTGGTGGCAGTAGCAGCCGTACTGCTTCAAATTGCCTGAGTCAGCAGTGGAGTTTTCCGACTCCCCTCCTTCTTGTTTGTATGTTTGACCAGGCGTAGGTGGCACTAGACAGTTTTCTGCAGGTGCTATGATGCAGTTGCTGCAACGAGACCCTCTCGGGCGGCAGAAGACGCTCGTGCATTCTGCAGAGGGGTTTGATCTCGGTTTACAAACCCTAGCATCCCAATCGCGATACACAGCAAGACGATGAGCAGCAACAGGTAAAAATGAATGTGGGAAAGAAACGGGGGAAGGGAATGAAGTACTAGGCAATCACCCATGATCATGATGAATTTCCCTAAGGTGTGACTTAGTCCCAGTAGCCTGGTGTGTTCGATCTTCTGACTGTCTCGTCTATTATTGATTAGTAGTAGTTGCCTTGTATGAGTTGTATCCGTGAGTCATAAACATTGAGTACGTGGCACCCGCAACGTTTGAGGCAGTCTCGACGTTCTCGTCGAAGTGTGATCCATCTATCGACTGCAGCTTCCTCATCTTCACTATCGGACCCGCCTAGAAGTTCTGGATCTTCGATATCTGGGCCGCTGAGAAACTTGTCACCACCTTTTTGACAACCACAACTTGATACCTGGTTCGCACTATATTTGTAATCCGTTGACTTGTCAGAAGCGTTGCTTGGCGAGTCGTTCGGGCCCCTAATTCTCCTTGACGTAATGCGATTATTACCTCCTGAACCAGACGCGGCTGCTGTATCGATAAGGAGGTTGTGAACTTCGCGGCCCGCGCCACTCGCTGCTAAAGCAGCACCTGCCGTCGAGTGATGCCACCTTGGAAGCAACTGCTCCTCGTCCTCACTCCGAAGACTGCAACTACTATCGAGCATACGCAGAGTACAACTGCTTTTCCGGTCTTGACATGGAAAGTAATCTCTTGATGAGGACGACGAGGAACCACCCGTGCTCAGCATCATCATTTTTTGTGTATGAGAAATTTTTCTATGTTTCTTTACTGCAGATGAAGATATTTACGAGGCGATCGCTTTTCTTGTCACTTTCTATTATACTACGCGAAGTATCAGGTCTCGCTCCCGTACACTAAGACTAAGTATTAGTCGTGCCTTATAGGTTTCATCTTTACGACTAGTTGTAGAACCGCAATCGCTTAACTTCAAATAAGACCTTTATATTTTTGATGGAGATCATATTCGGACAGATGAAGCGCAGGTAAGCATCGCAATCGGATCAACATGGGTCATCTCATCTCAAAAGTGTGAACAAAGATCCTCAACGCAGTCGTCAGTAAATCAATCATCCACGAATATCTGTTGCGTTGACTCCACACATGGTGAGCAAGACCTTTCATCTGTTGCTGACGCGAATGCGAACGGGAGAACGCATGCTTCCTTGCTAGAAGTCTAAATGCGGAGAACACGAAGGTGGCGTCTAGCGTAATGCTCGTCTGCATATCTCGACGACTAATGATCGTAGAAAACAAGATGGCACTATCGTCTACATATCTCGACGACTTTTGAACTGGACACCAACGTATTCACTGCACTCGGCCCTCGAAGTTTGATGTTGATCATCTCCAAGCTACATCAACAACAAAAACAACCTCCTTTCCTTTTCCTGAATCTGTGTGGCGCTTACCTTTTTTCATACTACTTCAGTTGCGATTGCGCTTGTAATATCTATCATCATTTATGAACTAGTAAATTATAACATTCTGGGTATAATTAAGGACAATTATGATCGATTATACGAAAAATAAAATGCATTATCACTTCTGTATTTCCTCTGTTGAGCATACCAAATTCCTAGTATGAACATGTGAGAGAGTGAGAATCATGAAAATTCCATCTACTATGAAGAATGGAAGAAAATTCTATTTCTTGGAATCCCCGAAGTCCGTCAGGAGTCCTCCACGTAATTCTGCTTGGCAGCCTTCTATGGTATTTCATCAACTATGGAGCATACTTCCCCCTTTAGGAATGAATCATCGTGCTGCTGCCGCGACGTGCTTCTATGGTAGTTTAGGTCTACCCGATTTCAGCTTCTATTTCTGATATTTTTCTTGGTTCATCATCTTCCTCTAGTTCTTCCTGAGTAATATTGAACATTCAAGATGGTTTCTCCTCTTTTTCATGAGTTTCTAGGAAAGGAAATTTTTTGAGAATCAGAATGACACGATAATGCGGTCCTATTCTTAAAGACTTCTCACAAATCAACCAAGGTGGACCCGGGTACTCTTAAGCACTAACTTCTGTTTCCGGGTGGGGAACCAAGTGATTTTCGGCTCCTAAAAGTCCCTCGCAGTCGAGCAGTCCGAACCTCGCTGTGGTCTTTATTGAAGGCTAGAATGCAGATTAAATTTAGTGGTCATTTGCACTTAAGTAGCACCTTATTCACCTAGAAGTCCTTCAATCTTCAAACTATCGTTTTTGGAGAGCCACTTATCGTGTCAGTCTTTTCGTTTTCTTATGATCATTAATTATTTTGAAACAAAGCATCTTCAATCATCTGGTTGACAAGATAATAATTCATCTCCGTCGCATCCGCCAGAACCAGATGGCTACAATCATTAATTATCTCCACTTATTGTTCCATCTCATTTTCATCCGCAAGTTCGAGCATTCCTCAACAATACTCCAGAGACCGTGTAGATGTCTGCGTCTAAGGAGCACTAGCAGCAACATATGCCTGAGAATGAGACAATACGAGACGAGGATCATTCTTCTATCCATCACGATCACCTTTCACCAAGAATCAGCGTATAAAAATTGCTACTGCTGTACAACTACTCATGATTCATTGTACTCGTGAACTATGAAATACTCGTCTAGCCCGTGCCCGTTGTATTCCAGATAAAAATAAATATGAACAACCTAACATATTTATACTTATATCTTGGCGCCAGTATTATTATTAGGAGAAGGGTAGACGGTTATCCACAGACCTACAGACGGCCAAGAGGCGGAATCTGAAGCACAACGACGCGTTAGGCAAATGCAGGAGAGTCCTAACAAGAGGCGCCGCGGCCCGGGTGCGTTTGCCGGTGCCGTCATGGTAAAGAGAGGCAGGAGGCCGCAAACCAACACCGAAGAAAGGTAAGCAAGTGCAGCGGTGGAAACAGCTAGAGAAACATCATCAGGGGCATTTAGTCGAAAGCCGGCGCGCCGCGCTAAGGCAGCCCCAAAGCACCAGACCCCCCCGCGGCGAGCAGCGTCGTAGTTCGGAGCGCAAGCTCAACGACAGCAACAGGCCTGCACAGCCACAAAGTGCGCGAGGAGGGAGCGGCGGCACTCCTGCGCAGTGCCGCTGCTCGCAGCTCGCTCGTTTAGTTCCCGAAAGGCCAATGCATCACAGACCGCAACCCGCAGCCCCGTATAACATAAGCGTAAACCCACCAAGTAGCGCAAACCAAGACCAAATAAAGCGACGCAGTGAAACCTGACGCCCACCCTCTAGACGCCGAGGCGCTCACGCAGCAGAGGCAGCGCGTCAAAAAGGCGCCACTCCTGGCCGGCAGTGGTGTGGTGGAGACCGGTGGAGACCCTCCGCGCCAGGGAGAGAGAAGCCGAGGGGGCCGCGAAGCCAACACAGGCCAGCACGCGCGAAGGCTCGCGCTGAAGTCTCTTGCCCACAATCCGAAAGCCCAGACATGGGCACCGCACGCCAGGAAGGGCCAGCGGCGACGCGTCGCAGTTCGCTAGCGTGAGCGCGTTCCCTGCGACGGAGTGCAGCGCCCGCCTTCCTCTATCCACGTCGCCAGGCCGTAAGCGTAGAACCACGAGCCAAGCCCCGGCCCGTCCACGGGTACCGGAGTGCGCAGGTCATCTTTCGACGTTTCGCGCGGTAATGTTGTCCCAATGGGACCCCGGTGACCAGCCGGGTTGGCACCAGTATGAACATTGAACAGCCATATATATAAATATTCAAATTAAAAAACTATGTGTCTAAACAAAAAACAAAAAGAAAAAGAAACGACTATAACAAATGTGAACTTAGTATGCGGTACCCTCCAGATCTTGTTCTTTCCAACCGTTGCAGTACCTCACTGACGCACGAAGCTCTGCAAGGCAGTCGCATCATCGTCAACCATGCCACTCGGACGGTACATGGACCCTTGTTGCGAGCCCCTGTTTGTGTTTAAAAAATGACGATAATCATGATGTGCACCTTCACCATATTTGAAATGGTCGACGTTCTACTTCATGCAAAATTCTTTCAATTCAATGTTCAACGGTCATGCAAAATGAAAATTGCTGATCACTCAGCCTATACTTGGAAGCACAAAGATAGAAAATGCAAATGGAATATTGACCTTGCTGCATCATCCTGTTCGTAGTATAGATCCAATGCAGGGCGGCGGTCGTCCGAGAGAGAAACGAGACCCGCAGCGACAGTGTCAGTGCCACCGTATGTCAGTTCTGACTTGAGGCTGGGTTCATACAGCTTAGTCTCGCCAGAGGCTGTTTTACGCGCATTTGCGCCACCAGGCTTGGCCATCATGCCCTTGTTTCCGGACTTGTTGCGGTCCTCGCAGCAGCTGCAGGCTTGACCCATTTTTGTAGATTTGGTTTGGTGCTGTGGGCAACCTTTTTTTATCACGACTGATGTAGATGTGCTAGGGTAAAAATTCAAACCTTGAGATTTACTTGTATAACACCAAAAACAGTAGAAGGCGATGAGAGTCCAAGTTATGATAGTAATCTTTGTAATCTTTCACAAACGATTAGCAGAAGATTCCACAATTAGTAGAGCGACGGAGTAGATGGTCAACTTGACAAGGTAGTTGTACGAGAAGTAGATGGTTAGAAAGGCAGCCTTGCAATAGAATGTCTTCGCATCGAAGTCTTCTGAGATTGTTACTGTTAGACAGTTTCAGCTAATGTCAACAAATAATGCTAAGCAATATCGATCGTAGCGGAGGATCCAACACAAGTGGGGTGCAAAAATGCGGGAAAAAATTGTGTTAGATTTTTGGTATTTTGCGTTGTTTGGGTGAAAGAGAATATGGACTTGTTGTAATCAGAATGCTCTGTCTATGGTTCATCAAACTCAAATAATGAAACAGCCATCTACTTGGACGCGTGAGAAATGAGCAGGATACAGGAACGTGGAAGTAGAAATTGAAAAACGTACACTCTCAACATAAGTCGCACTATGAAGACCACTTAGGTCTGCCAGACTCATTGCTTTTTCTCAACAGAGGACACTAGGCATTTGACGTCTTGACAAGTCTCACAAGCGCGCGCCCGTCGCTCAACAGATGAGTGCTGCTCAACAGAAAAGTCTCCTCATGATTTATCGCACAGACATCGTAATTATGTCTTTTCTACTTGTTTTTAAGACCTCCTTCATCATTACTTTCGTCATTCTTTCAACAGTAGACACGACTCTGGTACACAGAGAACGAGAGAGGAAGAGCAAATCACTCATCTTCTAGAGACGTCATATCACCTGCGCTGAAGATCATTCAAAGCACTCAAAGTTAGCTACAGTGAGATGCCGTGCGTCCCCTTTCTTTCCCACGTGAAATAAGGGGCGGGGCCACTACTTCGCATACTCCAGATGGGATAGTGTTAGTGATAGACGAGCCTTAACAAAGTTTATGTTTCCAAACAACTTAACGCAGTGAATTCCGGCGATCCTGTGTCATCCCGAACACAAGGTCGAGTAAATATCGCCCATCCCTGTGCTGGTTTTGACAATTGAATAGTAAGGCCATTTCCCAAAGACAACATCTATCACTATGCATGAGTACGCTCCAGACGGTTTGAATATTCGATGATCGTCACAGTGCTCCCTTTACTGCCATCACGAGTAGCCAAACAAGTCTATCAATGCGATTACCGCATGTCGCCCGTGCAGACTTTTTTTGTGGTAAAAAAAAGATAAATCGCTGATAAATGATGCAGACCCGCAATGTAGCATGTATGATGAAGTGGCATTCGAAGAAGCTGCAGTTATGATCATTCTATGATTTCTATGATATGGCAACGGTAGTATTCCTCGTGTTTTTGTGTATTTTGTTCACTTGCAAACCCTTATTTTCCCAGGAAATTACAACTACGTTTTTTGTGAGTGCATAAATGATAGTCGAAAATTGAAATTCTTGTCCAATAAACCGAATATTACAATTTTTGAAAGAAGTTAACATCCACGTCGATTTTCTCGATAACATAATAGAATTTCTACACCTCCAACGGTAGAAGTACTTTCAAGGAGAACATCGACTTCAACTTGGTTGTGCAGAATCTGTACTTTTCTCGATTTTTACCCTCCTGTTTTTATTGTGGCGCCTCTGACAGGAGCTGCTCATTGTTACCATCAACGTCCGTGGCAGGGCTGAAGTGGGATATGATAATAGAAACGATTGCGCGAAGGTCTTCATACAAAAAAAGCGCCTCAGTCTACTCATTCATTTTTTCTTGCTACAAAAACAATATTCAATATAGTCACGTGCACCATCCAAGTGATCTGTAATTCGAAAGCCAAGATACGTGCTGTAAAACGACCCGAACAGAAACAGCATTCGACGTATTGACTCGCCAGACGGAAAGGGAAACTCCATCGCGATCACAATCACAATCAGTAACAGAAAATAGATATGAGAAAGTTGTAGCCCATATGTAAATGGTCAGTTGATGCGCTCGATGAAGAGGTTGTTCGTCAACCCTAATATATAAAAATGGAAAAAGTCTAAGAATACTTGTAATCATCAGCCGCATCGTCCTGCCTGTAATATTGTGTCATTCCCATAGGCGCTTTCTCTTTGTTGGCTGGTGCCATACTAATCCCAAAACCTGGTCGCTTCTTACCAGATGCCGTCGTGTCTTCATCGGGGTTGTATAGCTGGGTTCCTTCTTAGAAGATGAGCTATATGATCATCTTCAGTAACAATTATTCCTGTTATAGAAAAGCCAGCTGCTGATTCGAATCTATTCGGCAGCTTGTAGTTTAAGATTTCCATGAGAAAGGCCAGCTATTTCTTCCCTCTTTATTAATTAATAAACGACAAAAATCGAGGTCCGTGGTCAGGGTTTTAATAAGGCGAATCAAGGGGAATCGCAAGGGGGGCGGAAACAAAGGCCAAGATTCCCAGGGCTTCAAGGCGGAAGCCAGGGAATCACAGGGTTCGCCACTAACCGCAAAGGCTCAAGGTTTTGAACCCGTGCCAGGGTTTTGAATCTCAGGGTTGGCGAAAAAGGGAACAAATGTCAAGGTTGGGTTCTTGCCAGGGTTACAAACACGTAAACGAATCGCAAGGTTTTGCATGGGTGTCAGGGTTTTGGAGACGTTCACAAGTCACCCGGAGCGGCAATGTCAGGGTTTGGCGCCTCAGAGTTCGAACGTCAGGGTTTGGCGCCTCAGAGTTCGGAAGGTCAGAGTTTTGCGCGTCAGAGTTTGGGAGGGGACACGCTTGCAAGTGGCCGGGCCTGTCAATGTCAACGTTTGGCGCCTCAGAGATTGGAATGAATGCCAGGGTTTGGCGCCTCAGAGTTCGGATTCGGAAAGCCAGAGTTTTGAGAGTCAGAGTTTGGGAAGTCAGCCTCCCAGCGAGTCAAAGGCGGAGGCACGCGGGCCAATGGCAGCGCTTGCCGCCTCCTCGAGCTGAATGCCAGCGGCCTTAGTGGCGGCCCGTGCACTCAGTGGCTGACAGCGGGGACACCTGCCGCGCAGCCGTTAACGGGTTTAAACGTGGCCACCGGGCGCGTTTGGGACGGGTAATGTCAGGGCTTTGGAGACGCTCGCCAGGTGCGCCCTGCGTGGCAATGTCAGGGTTTGGCTTTGGCGCCTGAGAGTTCGAATCTCAGGGTTCGGCGCCTCAGAGTTCGGAAGGTCAGAGTTTTGCGCGTCAGAGTTTGGGAGGGGACACGCTTGCAAGTGGCCGGGCCTGTCAATGTCGACGTTTGGCGCCTCGAGGTTCGAGTGTCAGGGTTTGGCGCCTCAGAGTTCGGAAGGTCAGAGTTTTGCGCGTCAGAGTTTGGGAGGGGGGACGCTTGCAAGTGGCCGGGCCTGCCAATGTCAACGTTTGGGGCCGCAGGGTTCGAATGTCAGGGTTCGGCGCCTCAGAGTTCGGAAAGCCAGAGTTTTGAGGGTCAGCGTTTCGGAAGTCAGCGCTCCAGCGAGTCAAGGGCGGAGCCACGCGGGCCAATGGCAGCGCTTGCCGCCTCCTCGAGCTGAACCCCAGCGGCCTTAGTGGCGGCTCTTGCCCTCAGTGGCTGACAGCGGGGACGCCTGCCGCGCAGCCGTTAACGGGGCGCGTTTGGGCCGGGTAATGTCAGGGCTTTGGAGACGTTCGCCATAGCAATGTCAGGGCTTGGCGCCTCAGAGTTCGAACGTCAGGGTTTGGCGCCTCCGAGTTCGGAGGGTCAGAGTTTTGCGCGTCAGCGTTTGGGATGGGAGACGTTTGCAAGTGGCCGGGCCTGTCAATGTCAGGGCTTGCCGCCTCAGAGTTCGAGTGTCAGGGTTTGGCGCCTCCGAGTTCGGAAGGTCAGAGTTTCCGTTTCGGTTGTCAGGGTTTGGCCGCTACTAGCAGATTCTCGCCCATCGTTTTTCCTCGTCCTCTCCTCTCTCAACCACCGCGGAACACACGGGACACGACTAGTTATATCTCCATCGTTCGAATGGTGAGTTCTGATGTTCTTTATTCCGTGAAGATGCGACATATCATGCCTCACTCGTAGTCGTACTTCGAATAATTATCTAGACTAAAATTTTTGCATAATTTTCCCACGCTTCAGTTTGTCTGGCATTCGTTCCTGCCTGGGCCTTCGGTGGCTTGGTTCCCTTCACCTTTGAGCGCTCGTCGCAGCAGGAAGAGCAGCCACCACTTGTGCTTCCGGAGTTTCCCATTTTTGTGGATGTTTGTAGCTTATTTCGTTTTCGAAACGAAAAAACAACTGCGTCTGTAGAAGAACGAGGAAAACTAGTGAATGTCGTGAGTGTGGCGCAACTCGCTAAAAACATACACTTAGTTACAGGTACGAGAAGTAGACCTAGAAGTTCACGTGTAATTTGTAAAAGTACAACGATCTTCACAACACGGCAAGAAGGATTCGCACAAGTTGAAGTTCTTAAGGAAAAGTTGATGCGGGGGAAGGTCAGGAAAAAGGAATGTTCTTCGCTGTTCATGATTAGACAGGACAACTTTCGTTAGACCACCTTGAGTGAACTAGTGAATTCCAGATCGATTGCGGATTACCATGATCGCGAACGAAAATGAACTTTCTTCATACAACGTAGTCCCTCTACACAGATTTCCGCTTCTATTTCTTGCACATCGCTGCACGAAATCACTAGTAGCGGACGATCCTCAAACTGTACAGAAGGCATCAGCAGAATAACAGACTTATGTGAAGAAGCACAGGAGAAAATTTATCTCAATTGACAGATTTTCTGAGTCACCGATTGCATCTCTGCATGGGTCTGCTCGCTCTTCTTTTTCTAGCTTACTGTTAACACTCCTCAATTCATACTGCACAGATAGTACGAGTTGGATTGTACATCAGAGATATATCTAGTAGAGAGTACTCTGTCGCATAGTGCTGGAGGACTTCACATTTATCTTTGACGCTTATATTTCAATTTCTTCGAATTGCCTCAACATCATTCTCATGTTCAAGATAAGGTAAAGGAGGCAAGATAAAGGCTCCCGATCCCGACCTGAGAGACTAACAAAGGTAGAAGATTAAGATTCAGCATTTTAATCTTTTGTACACTAGTCTAGCGCGCTCCTCCTGCTAGGTGTCAACGCAGTTGTCAAGTTTTCTTTCGTAGAGTGGGGTGTTGTGCATGATTTCCCGCAATTGGAAGTAGTCTTTGATGCCGAATTCGTATCGATAGAGTGAGTGATCCGCTGGGTTCGAATCGTTCACGTGGAGCATGCGTTGCCGTGAGAAGGCCTCAGTTGGTACACTAGACAACTGGACCGCTTTCGTTTGCAGCGGCGGTCGCTTCTCCTTCTTCGTCCCGGTCACTGCCAGGGATTCGGAGGATGACGATGAAGCTGACATTCTTTCTAGGTGATCAACGTTTTTGATCTCGTCTTCTGCTTGCTCCGAGTTGTTGTTGTAGTAGTTCATGGAACTTCTGGTACTTGCGTCTTTGCTGTCTGACTTTGTTTTCGCGGCGTCGCTTTTTGTTTCCTCTAATTTGTTCGCGACTTCTTTTAGACCTTGCTTATATTTATTCATGTTGAAAGAAAGGCATCTTTGGCGCGCCTTCCCCTTAGAAAAGGAGTCAAAGATGCCTCCTAAGATGAATTACTGTAAGCGGCCTTAATTCTTTAGCTGCAGCAGCGACAAAAGACATAAAGCCGAATCCGCCTCCTCCAGATGGAGGTGGTTCTTTCGACTTTTCACTTGCTTGAACTCCCACGTGCACGTCGATCTCCTCAGCACTATTACTTGATGTAATTGTGTTGCCTTTTTCAGACGGCCCTTTTTCTAGTGCCTTGTTCACTTTCTTGTAGATGTTCTTCGCAGCACCAGCAACGAAAGCACCGACGTCTTGCACGGTTTCTAAGTGAGACAGAAGGGCATCGGGAAGCATCCAAATTGTCTTCTGATTACTGTGATGAATGTAGTGGTTGACGCTCTTTAGCGCCGTCGCGGTGTTAACCCGACCCGTCTTTTCCAGGAGGCGCAAGAGGACATTGTCCTCCTGTCGGTCTAGTCGCGGAATCGGGTCATTGTGGAATACAAACGCCGTAATTTTGTGTCCTGAGTGAGCTGTCCATCTTTTCTTGCTCCCACCTTGTCCTGATGGCCACGACCCTACCATTTTCTCCTGCTCATGTTGAAGTTCCTCGCCACTTTTATTGGAATCGCCTTGTTTGAAGTCATGTTGTGGATCGAAGAAAATTGGCGGCGATGCAAAAACTATGGCTTCCACTACGATATCCTCGAGTGCCCGCGCGTGCGTGAGCCGATGCATCGGCCGAAACTCCTCCTCAACTGCTTTCTGATAGGTGGCATCCGACGCTTCACCGATTTGCTCTGTTATCTTTGCCGCTACTCCGGTGCCAGTTTTCTCTTGCCGACCACTAATTAGGAGATGATCGCGGTCGGACGCGCTGGGGTCCGCATTGCTGTTGCTGCACGCATCATTTCTATCAGATGAAGTTGTAGATGCTCCATTCATCTCATGATTCGATTGTCCACGCGTCTGAACAGAACCCGCTGCATCACCAGGCCTCGTGCGTGGCGAGTCATTTGGGACATTGACGAGTTTCGTAGGAATGAAGCGCTCTGATTCAAAATAGCCCTTCTGCAGCAGGGTCATGCACATCTGCGCGCTGCCACCTCCTAGAGAATGTCCTACAAAGTACCAACGCGTCGGCTCAGGCATCGGCCTGGTGGAACCATGACAATTCTTAGAGCAGCTTCGAAAAAAACAATGTAAGTAGTTATTCTTGTTGTTTATAACGAATCACACTAATTTTAGCGGCTTATCCGTGTACCAGATCCAGAGCGAGGTCCTCGATCTCGAAAAGTCTAATCATGCGGATACAAGTAGAAATACCCATTAAAATAATAGTACTTACAACAGCGAGCAACTTAATATCAACACGCCGTACCCGTAGCATGGGATGCCGCCGGCCAGGGGAACTGCGCTATCTCACGTTCACATATTGGTGCACGCCGATGAATCAGTCCGACCTGCTCTAGCGCCGAACGAAGCTTCACATTCTCGATTACATTTTTGTACATCCCACTGTGAAACTGCGTCGCTGGCAAGTACGGGCGCGAAAAACCTGATTAAGGAGCTAGTCCTTGTAAAAACACTGCGGGGCAACAATGCTCCTGATGTTTTCCGTGTGACAACTGTTTTTTGGACTCTCCCGGCATGTTGCATATCCACTGATTATATACTTTTGTAAGTAGGGATTTGCTTTGCAAGAGGAATCACGACACAGCCAAACTTCTCGATGAATTTCAGACTCAGGAGGTCCCAGCGCTAGTACGAAAGATTTGATGAATATGCTTACCGTCGTGGTGTGCATAAGTCGGAATGGCTTCACTCGGATGCGCAGCGAGATCCGTAAAGACGTCTCGTGCACTCGCTGTACCTCGGAAAACCACGAAGCCTTCGCCATCACGTACTGCAATAAACCAAGCCACCTTTTCGACGCACAGAGTGAGGCCCAGTCCTTCCAACCAAGGCTCGCGCTCGCCCTTCGGTTTGTAAGATATACCGCACAGTTGATTAAAGCCAGTAGATTATCATCTGCGGCTGATAAGTATTTCTTTAGGTCTTTCCCTTGGTTTCGCCTTCAAATCAACAACGGTATTCCAGTGGAAGCGAACAAGATGGTCCACGCGAGATAGTGAACGACTATCCTTAAGTTGGCATGCTAGTGCGTCCACAGCTCGGATTTGGGCTGGCGGTGCCTGCTCGCGCGCCTCGCGGGCGTGGGCGACTCTTGAAACAGCACCCAGGAGAAAATCCATTATGCTGCCCCACTGCCACTCCCTTTGGAATGGATGAGGATGTGTCTGTTGTTGTGACACTCGACACGGTTGCAGACTCTACCAATGCTGCGGCAGCTTTTTATCCTCCTGTCACTGAAAAAAAGCTTCTTTAGAGCAGCGCGACAAGGCCGAGAACGCACGAAAAGGAGGAAAGCTGCAAGAAAAGCATGTACATGTCTCGGCTATTCATAGTTTTTAGCAGATGCATGCTTACCGGTACTATTGTTATTGGTGAGCTGCAAGTGATTACCTAACATGCCACATGCGCACCCCGTATGATTCATTAAACAGAATCTCCTCCGCAAGGAATCCACAAATCATGACCACACTCTTCGATCTTCTGTGTCATACGAAACCGATGAGAAGACAGAAACTATCCCACTTGCCGGAATTGATGGCATTTATGAACGACATTCGGGTTTTTGGCCTAGACTTGGATGTTTTTAAGTTTTAAGTTCAAGAGCCTCACTCATTCCAGATTGCTAGGCGTTTTTTTTTTTTTTCCATAGGACTACATGCCACCTCCCATTCAACTACTTAAACAATCCATTTACAAAACTTACATACCGGGGGAGCAAGAAGACCGTATCACAACGGCCAAAACCTACGACTATCGGAGGGAACTATATTACAATAGCCCCTGTAGAACAACTAAGGCACAACCTAACAGTGTAGGGCCCTGAAAGCAAGTGTTACAACCTGCAAGGGTATGACATGCCTGCCCATCGAAAAATGACTTACTGGAGAAGAGCCTAAACAACCAGGAGATTAAATAATTAACAAGGCTATCAACAGCGAAGATCATGTGAGCAGGCCTCACTAAGACTAATTTTTCTTTCAGTAAAAACTGAATTAAAGCAGTTGCTGCGACCGCTTGATATTTTGTTTTCTTAATTAGGTTAATTAAAAAGGTGCATTCTATTCAACCATAATTTACAAAATCTTGTGGGACTTAGCAGTGTAGTGAATCGGCCTGATGAATGTTTTGCTGTTGGCAATAAGTGCCGGCCTAACAATTTAAAAAGCTATTTTTCTGCTTGTTCTTGTGCTTCAGCTCAAAACGCAGTCGCCATTTCCTTTTCACTCTAGCATCTGCTTGCTTCTTCCTTGTCCGCCTCGCCTTCCTCCTCCTTCTCGCTGTGTTACTTTGCTGGGATCATCAAGAGTGTCTTATTTAACCTCAACAAATCATACAAAAATGAAAGTATCCTAAAAAGAGCAAAGGCGGGCTTCGCTAAACAAATTCTCTGAGAAAAAATCATCCGCGGGGGAGACGAAGCTGGGTGGGAAGCGAAAGTACATTGTAATAGTTCATACTAAACAGCTCTTTTTTGTAACCGTATTCGATTAAACTAAGCGGTAATGCCGACCGCTTGATATATTTGTATAAGTTGCGTAAGTGTTGCAGAACCGACATTCAAGCTGGATATATAGCTCACATCTGTTGTAGACACCATCATATACCATGATAAAGAATAACCACAAGTCATACCAACAAAGCCTCAGTATAAACGCGTGTCACTTATCCTTTAGTGCGGGCTTCGCGTGGATGTCTCTGATCAGCGATTGTAGGAGGACAAGGGGGAAAGACCAACCAGGGCGGATGATCTTATAATCGGTAGTCTCTCAACATCACGAGGTCTAAAGGAACGACAGAGAAGATGTTCACACAGAAGCTAGACTCTCGTATGTGAATTATATAAAACTTGCATTGCTAGTTTCTCCGTGCGTCCTTGCGTGATGCAATTATTCATATAGGATCTCTCGTGTAATCTCACAACAGAAAGAAAAAACGCTCTAGGTCCCAATCGGTTTCCGTAAAGGCGACCGGCGGACCACCCAACAACAATGTGAATCTCCTGGTAGGTAGAGAAATACATTGAAATTAGGTTTCTCTCACAACAGATTAATTGTTTTTTTTTCCATAGGACTACATGCTGCAAAAAATCTGCGTTGACTCCTGTACGCACACATTGTACTTCGCGAGAGATAACGCGTAGGTCTGTTCGGTTTCACGGCCCACTTCGGATGACGCGGCTAGAAGATGAGTCCACTGATCACGCAAATTCTCGAACCTCTTCACCCTTCATGCTCTGGGCCTCCTAGTAAGTCTCGCCGCGGAAGATAAGTTTGAGAGTGAAGCTGATCTAGATGGGAAAGAACTGTCGAAGAGGAAGTACCGGGAGAGAAAACGATGATGTTTGTTTCTAGCTCCCATATCAACATTGCTCTGTCGATTCATCCTCACCGCTGGCTCTGTCACAGCGCAGCAGCCTGATAGTGATAGTTCTGATAGGAATGTGCGATTTATCTTTGTCATTTTCCTAGGGACGAGATGATCTTCATCTTTGTGGCTCTGGCTGGTAAGAATATTTATATAAATATAATCATCTCGCTGCAATTATTTTCATCAGGCTATTCGTATTCTCCGTGTTCAAATCCTGCTCAAAATAGGACAGAATTCCAGTTCGGGGATCCTCGAGCCACCACGCGGGAATGGGGACGATTCAAAGTCAGAAATATTACAACGACCGCGAGTACATTGAGAATCAAAACAAGAGGTTTCTAGCCACCTATGAACATCCTCGAAGAACTCAACAGCAATATATCTTAGTCTATGCTCTTACTTATCTTTTAGCGTTACTGCTGTTCATTTCGTGTGATAGACGAATGACGACACCATTCAGTTGGAAAGCGAATGTGCACATGAAAAAAATGAACAGATCATACCTTTTATGACAAATTATGTGCACCATTACATTCAAGGATAGTGTCTATGAGGAACATAATACTGCGCCTTGCTGCTTCTGTACACAAGTAAGATATCAATAGCACTACATCGTAATCGTATCATCTTCTATGTGCCTAAAAATAGATCTATCTACCGAACTACAAGAATCAAGAACAGAAGGAATAGGGATTGAGAACAACAAACATAAAATTCTACTAAACTTCTTTCTATACCAATCTAGTACTCATCTACTTCATTCTAAGAATGACATTCTTCAACTACACCTAAGACTACTGTTTTCTCATGGGAGGTATTCGTTTTGGAGATAAGCGATCAAACTAAGAACATCGAAGTCCCTTCTAATAAACATAGATCGACCAGAAGCATTTGTTAGTACTTCTATCAACTAAATGCGACCCAAATACATCTTTTTTAGTGTAGTTGGACTGCTTGGAATGAAGTTGCAATTTAAGAAAAATATCTTGATACTCTTGTCCTGTTCATAACCCTGGGAAGGGCTAATTGCCAAGAATCATCAGTGGTTTCATTTTATTGACAGAAAAACTACGATGACATCAGCTACCAGAACCCGTACGACAAAGTTGATGGCGATAATTATATATTTATAAATATAACCGAAAAAACAAGTTCTGAATTGATTCTAGTCGTAAGAGGATACTGACTCCTGACAGCAAGAATTAACAAGTATGAGCGAGAGCGACATCTTCATCGGATCTGTAAATTTTCTGTCATACACTACTTTATGTAGCGGGAGCACAGCTTTTGTTCTTGCTTAGATTTACAACGTCATTTTTATGCCATCCGAAGAACGTATTGCCATCTTGTTGAGACAGAGATAAGACTAAGAAAGTAGTTGTACTACTCTTGGTCTTGCCACCAAGACGATTGACTATATATATCTTTCATTTTATGCGAAGAAGAGGTGTCATTTCTATCAATATGGGTGAAGGAAAAATCTAGCGTATTCTTAGACTGAAACTTTTCTCTTCTAGCGTAAGGACTACTTAAGAAGACGAATAGATGCAGAGACAGAGACTTTTAGCAATCTTTACAACGAATCGGAAAGTCATGGAGCGTTTCTTTTCATCTTCGAGTTTTCGAAAAGGACGAAGACGGAGACCACGCCCACGACGCGCACGGTTTATTTACTAGTGCGACCCGACTAGTAGATACGGCTACCGGAGTAGCTGCGCGGACTGTGGTTCTGCCATGGCGGCCTGTTCATCGGGGACGCCGCTCGGGGTGTTCCCTGTCCTCCACGAGGAGTGTAGCGGTTCACGCCGTAAGCCAGTCTTGGAGTTCCAGCGCGACCGAAGGGCGAAGGCGAGCCTATGCGCGCACCCGCAGGTGGATAGTTATTCAGCGGAGGTGTCTGCTGCCGGTGATAAACTGGAGGAGTCGCGGCACCGTGATAGCGTGGAGTGTTGTAACTAGATGAACGCCCCCCGCCAGGCTTGTGCTGCTCAACAACAGCTGGGATAGCGGGCGGTCGTGGCTTGTTGTCTTTCGCGGACGATGGCTCATCCTTCTTGGGGCGCACCTATGTTTTTATCATCAACAATCAGTTATTGGTAAGATGAGATCGTCGTGTCTATGCGACATAGTGGCGTTCCAGTCAAGATGAAGTGGGCAAAAGTAGACGTCCGTAACCAAGTACCTTCTGTGCTTGCACTCCGAGCGAGAGCCATGCGTTTGGTTTGCAGTGTACTTGAATTCGGCCTTCTGAGTCTACCGCTGTGATCTGCGCTGGGAGCCACTCTTTGTGCGTCTCCGACCAATATTCTACGATCTGGTTCTTCACATACTTCCCTGCATCGCTACCGTAGGGACCTGGCACCGCTGCTGCGCCTCCCCCTGCGCCTGCTGCGCCGCCAGCCTTCGCGACCTTATTCCCTCCGTCCTTCAGAAGCTTCTGCTGAATTTCGCTAATATCGTCATTCTTTGATTTCTCCTGTCCACCGACAGATGGGGCGCTGCTTTCCGCCGCGGCTTGCTCCGACTCAAGCTGTCGCACGCGGTCGGCAAGGACCGCGCGACTCAATATCACCGCCGCAGTTGGCCTTCGTGTGTGATCCCGCACCAAAATCTCTGAAACTAGGCCCCGGACAGCAGGAGAGAAACTGTAAATCATGTTCTTGAGAAAATAAGTGACATTTGCAATCACGAAAATAATGCTCATGAATATTGGCAGTCGTCTTTTCTCCTCTCTTTGTTTTTCGTCCTAGACCTACATTATCCTATCAATGATCATTTCCCAGTCTCATCCACATTCCAAATCTAAAAGCAGTTTCCAAAAAGTACTGTGTAGGAAGGCTTGGCGTCGGACCCCTTGTGATTCGGTGCACTAGTGCTCTGAGGTCTGCGGCGTCAAAGGGCACTTTCAAGCAGCACATTTCGTACAAAATGCAACCCATGGACCATATATCCGAGGGCCAAGCATACGCTTTTTCTTGACATATCTCCGGTGATAAATAGTATGGTGTACCTGAAAAAATCAAAGATGAACAAGAAAATTGAACCGGTAATAAATCGTCCAGGTAGTTTGACTTCTGCTACAACGGTTCGCTTAATATTCCTGCCTGTCCAAAGCGATTGTACAACGGATAAACCTTAGTGGTTCACATTTTTCTGTCATGAACTGCTGTCAGATCATGCAAGTGTAATACTTACCAATCTGCGTCTTGGCTACCGCGGCAGTTGATTCCAGCACTTTCGCGATGCCAAAATCTCCCATCTTGATATCGCCGGTTTTTGAAACTGAAAGTAGAGTTGCTCGGATGTGTCTTCAGCAGCACATTGACATGATTTGATATCCTTAGCAAGAACTACTTCAGCACCATGAGATGAATTTCGTCGCAAATCAAAGTAAGTACTAGAGTGGAATATATACGAGTAAGAATTATCTAACCTAAGTAGAACAATGAAATGCAGAAGAAGATCTTGTACGAAAAAAGTTGCTGCTTTTGAGGTCGCGATGTAGAATGTGCTTTTCGTGGATAAACTTGAGGCCCAGCATGCACTGCGTGAACCATCGTAGAATCTGCTCCTCGCCGAAGGGTTGGTGCAGCTTCTTCGCTTTTTGGATTCTTTGATACAAATCGCCACCCTCACAATATTCTTGCACGATGCACAACCATCCGTTCTCCAAAAAGCTCTCTTTATACCGGACCTAATAAAGTGAAATGAAACAATGCATAGAAGTGAATATTAAACGAATGGTGCAAGAACCGGAATCTTTATCAGTGCAAAACATTCCTTTTGCTTTGAAAGCGTCGCGAACGAAAAAAACAAGTGGCTCCTCCTCTAATCGTATGGTAATACCATATCCCTTCGTCCGCTTTCCAAGAAGATGTAGATTGTGGTGTCATTGATAAATATATGATAGAACTACGAAGCAAAATAGGCTGTATGTGTACCACGTGCTGTAGCTCTAGCGGTGAAAATCAAGTAGAAACCAATTACAACGACCATAAAGTAGTTTAGTACCACATACGGATGCTGGAGCGTCTTCAGTACTGAAGCTTCGTGCAAAGCATCCTTTTTCTCCTTCTGCGTACATCTGCTAATGTCGATCTGCAAAGTGATTACAAAGGCTTGTATGAAAATGGAGACTTGATGTAAGATGTGAGAAGATGAAGACTAAGTAAATGACTTGTACTTGTCAATCTAGTTACGCGGCTTACAGCGAAGCAACGTCATCGGAAGAACACCCTTACTAAACACTTAACAAAACAAGTAAGTAATCTGGCAGTACCATTTTGCACACGTAGTTCTTTTGCGATCCATTTTCCTCTTGTCCCACAAGCCAAGCTTGTCCGAAAGACCCTGATCCCACTTTCTTAAGCGGCACATAGTTGTGCTTTTTCAGAACCGGAGTTATTCTATCCATTTTTTTGATCCAGTGCTACGACCTAGCTTCTTCACGTCACAACTCGTCTGCGTTGCTGTAGGCCTTGCCGTGTGCATGCCGCGTGTACGCAGAAAGCCGAGCGCAAGTAGCGAACGAAGACTGATCGAATATTATATGCGCGCTTAGCGGACGCTACTATGACAATAACGGCCTTTTCTTCGGGGTGCTATGCGCGCTATTGTATCTATAAGACGCGGGCGCAATTCAGATTGGATGTGTCGATGCTGCCTGCAAATCAAGACTGAAACTCAGGTGTAGTTCTCTTTGACGAACTGCTTGCGCTTCTGTGTGGTACTTAATTTGTAGTCAGGACGGAACAAGTTGTAGTTCTAAATTGCGCCGTTGCGTCGCCAATCGAAAGTAAGACGGATTGTGAAGAAGTTATTTTTTTTTCACAAAGTTTTTCCAACTACTTTTTCGAATCATCAACAAATGAACAATATTCTCACAAATGTAGTCATGCAAAAAAAAACGAGTACGGAAATAGATAAGAAGATGAAGCCTTACAAGAACTCCACCATGCTATGGCATCTTCCGTCTTCTATCTGTAATACATTGTAGGAGCAATGGTAATACAAAGTCAAGATAATGATATCAGGAGAAAGGATGCCTTGCGATGTTGAAACCTCCTGCGACTCTTATGTAGGCAGGATGTCAGAGGACTTTTTCTTTTCATTCAATTCGTTTTGCGCAATTTTGGTCTCTCTCAAACGAGCCGACGAACCGAATATCATGCTGTTCCGAATGTAGTTGCTTGTTGACTTGTACTTGTTGGGATGTGCGATCTACAGAGAATATCCAGACGAGACATGCGACGGTGACGAATGCAGTCCTGGGGAAACACAGAATCAGCAATCTGAATCTTCTTCGCCAAGAATATGCTTGACATGTCAATCACGACAGTGTGGATGACAAACCACCGAAGGGACATCAAACAGCCTGCTGTGACAATTCCATATCACGTGCTCGACTCGAGACGGGCGGGGGTACACGTGCACGAAGGCGGCGCACTGCACCAAATATCAATCACGGCGAAAGTGTATTAGAAACGAGGGAGAGAGGAGCAACAGCAAGACAATATCTACAAGGGGATGGGAGCATAGAGTTGTCAGGGCTGGAAAAGAAGGATTTTGAAGAGGAGAACCTTATGGTCGACGGATGCGACAACAAGGATACAAAAGTACAAAAATTTTTGAGACGCAGCTCTTGGGGAGATGGGGGGAGGGAAATCAGCAGCATGTAGGGTACAAGTGGTCTTTGCACGACATTCTTCAAACGCAGTCTCGCTGCCTGTCGTGAGATGCTGATTCTTTGTGTAGAGCAAGTGAATGATTATGGACATATTCTTTGCGAGGGTGATGGCGTACATCCGTGCTAGCGAATTGATGTAGAACAAGGTTGTGCCTATTTTCCATCGTCTTGTTCTAGCCCCGCTCTGGTTCGCAATCTTCAGTATAATTTTCTCCTGTAGAACGAAGGACGAGAGAACATTCTTAATCTAATTGCTGGATACACGTACTCATAACGAAGTGTGCTGGTGCTGGTCCTGAGTTCGTGATCAATTACTTTTGTATGTACTAGGTAACTGCATACGCCACTCAGTGTCGTTTATTGATTCTTGGATGATCATGATTAATTTTCATCTTCATGACAATTTTTATTGTAACAAATACGATGGAGTTGAAAGGTCTCTTGATTATTATGACATGGAGGATGACCGTATGATTTCTTCTCCACGAACTAAAAACGCGTCTGAAAACATGATTTACAGCTCCTCCTTACTTGGCGCCTTGGGAGGCGCCTTTTTTCCACGCTTTTCTGCAAGAATAATACTGCGAGGGCCGGGTAAGTTTTCGTTGAGAAAGTCCTCGACATGGTCTGCTAGTGGTTCAGTCGGGTACTTGATGCGGCAAGTGATCACGAGCTTGCCAGGTAAGCCGGTTCGCTTGTCCGGCATCCCTTCGTCATCCATGACGATCCTGCTGTTAGCTTCTGTTAGTCCCGTCTTGCTAACCGTAATTTTTCGTCCATCCAAATGCGTAATCGTTTTCCTAAATCCGAGCAGCGATTGCGATCATGAAAGAGGGCAATCAAGCATGGACATCATGGATCGCCAAACTACTTTACTCTTGAACATGCGGAGGCTCCACGTGACCACACATTCGATTGACGAATAATCATGTTGTAGGCCTTCAAAGTACAAGAAACTGATTCTCTATGATAAATGAGCGCACTTCCCTGCAACAGGAAGAAGACTGCGCGCGCTGCCCGCGGGGGCTTCGCCTGCTGATAAATTATTTGTTTGGAAAGGTGGATTTTTCGTTCACTTCAAGGAAAATCAAAAGAAGAATGACGACAAGGCAATTACTCAATTTCAAGAACTTCAAGCACATCATAACTTGAGACTGATATCGAGATCCAAGTGGAGGTGGTTGTTTTTCCGAGACCAATGCGGTTCAGGCGTCTGCTTAATTTTGAAGACTAAGTCTCCAGGAATTTTGCCTTCATCTTGATCTGCCTCACCAGCATGAACTATTTCATCGCCATCCCGAGAACCTGGCGGAATCTCGACTTCGACGTCACCCTTCTCTGATCGGCAGCGTTGCGAAGACTCGACCTCCTGCTGCACTTGAAATCGCATACCGTTGCGAATCATAAACCTAAAAATTTACTATTTGGCCAGACGCGTGGGCGAGTGAGTCTGTACATCTTAGACTTAGTACAGAAGATGCACTTACCGCTACAGAACAAATACATAATCAAGTACTATTAGATAGCGTACTTGTATTCGATTCGCTTCGGGCATATCTTTTTGCACGTCTGCGTGCAAAATGGTGACTTGGAGACATCGCATCCGCGACAAAGGCGCAAACGTCTCCCGACTCTAACCTTTTTCGTCACACCCATGTACATTTCTGCGAGGCTGAGCGAGATTGTGGTCTCTTTCTTATTTCCTCTCTTTAGAGATGGAGGCAGTTTTTCACCACAAATAGCCGTACTTGAGTACTACATAAGCGATTCCCTTTCAACGTGCTTGAACTGCTACCTCTATCTCCTTGAAGTAGAAATCGAACAGTTTGTTCTATCTTTAGATCATTAGTATCTGCTTCTAAACGACGTAGTGATAGTGACGAACTGTAGTCCGTAACTTTTCCATCTTCTCTTTCCGTGCTTCATCTAACATCTTCCAGCCGCCCATGTCGTACACATTGCGCCACTTGCGATCCGACACTATGTCCATCGCCTCACGAATCGCGTTGAACTTAACCTAGTAAAAATCGAAACGACAATTTTGACAAGAACTCTTTCTCAACTGATTACAAATACATTCTGATGCTTATATAGGCCATCCAGTGCAAGTTCAAGTTCACGTGCTAAGTAGCAGACTCTTAACTCACCTGATCTCCACCTTTGTCTGGGTGGTGTTTCAGTGACATCTTGCGAAATGTTTGCTTGAAAACGCTTTCTGGAGCGTGAAGGTGCGTGCCTAAGGTCTCGTAGGCAGATGGTCCGTCCGCACACATTTGCTCGCACGATTGGGAATCCGTTAGCGCTGGATTATGGCAAACGGGGTGTAAAATTTGGCGTCCTGCGCCGCACTCGCATATTCCAGGCTCGTTTTTCGGTGTGAAGCCACAAGGTCGTAAATCTATGGTAGTTGTATGAACACACACGACTTCACTTTCTAAATCGAGATCCTTTTTACATTTACTCCAAAGTAATTCATCAAAAGACCTTCGTAAGTCTTTTCCTGGCAAATATCGATTAGCTTTACCGAAGACGTTGACGTGCTTGATCCGTGGTGCGAAAGCGGTTATTACATGAGTTTCTTCTTCTTGTCATTTTCAATAAAAAACCCTGCGTAGAAGACGTCGAAGTAGATGATGATGATGATGATGTACCTCCTTTTGGCTTCGCCGCTGTGATATCGTGCACGCACGAATCTATTGGACGGAAACCTTCACACATGAGCTCCGTATGCCTGTTTCGGTGAATGAAATTCAATTTTGTCCAAAATATTTTGTCTGAGTCATCACCAAGTTGAAATTCGCACATGAGAATAAATGTGCATCTATCTGCAATCTGTCGCCTCGTTCATCAACAAGGTGGTCGTCAATTGCGCAAACAACGACAGCTAAAACAGTAAGCAAGGAGTAGAAGGATTTCTGTAGAGTACCGCGAACAGGCGTGCTCGCAGGTAAAGGGTCCATGGTCACACGTTACACGACGGAGGCGGCGGAAAACGCCTCTTCTAGTCTTGCAGACGCAGAAGCCTGACATTAGAAACATGCAGCCACGTGAATCCCGAAGGCAGCAACTTCGCGGAAACTTTCCAGAAACTTCGCCACATTTGTGACTTTTCGGAAGTTTCTGGGAAGATTCTGAGAAGGTTCTGGGAAGTTTCCGGAAAGTTTCCCCGTCGTGACTGGGGTAATTTTCTGGAAAGATTCTGAGGCCATTGCTTGCGAGAAGATGGGAAAGATTCCGGGAAGATTCCGGGAAGTTTCTCCCTTCTTAGTATTCCCGTGGATCCAGGTACATAATGACATGCCGGATGTTATTTCCTCATCGCACTTCTTTGTGTCCTCCTCCTTGCCGTCCGGAGTGCAGCCGGCGGTGACCTGGAAGCGAGAGCAGCGATACCCTTCCGCCGCCTCACCATTGGCGTAAGTAACCGAAACGGAAGAAAAGAACCTAGTAAGCAGAAGCACAAAGAAAGCAGTGGCTCTGCATCCACATCCAGTAGAACTTCGTCCCATTCGTGACGACATAGTAGTGGCCGAGGCAAAATGAAATCTCGTTATCGATCTTCACCCTCGGAAAGAGCAGCAGGAACGCACTTTACAACCCAGAGCCAGAAGTTGCGTACTCAAGTAATTGAGCAGGCACGTTGTACGCGTCGAGAACGACGCAGCAAGATGCGAGCAGCACGTCTGAAGATGCGCCAAAATCACCACTCCTGGAGAGAACAATAAAGCCTTCTCGTCAACGTCAAGTAGAAACGAGGATGGGAAAAGCAGGCAGCTTGGTTTCTCTCAACCTCAAGACACAAAAACGCCGAGACCAAAACGTCTATCGCTATCCCGAGACCACGGCAAGCGCGCTGCGTGTGTAGTTGTTCTTTGCCGCGGTTGTTGTTCGGTATTCATGAATAACACATGTGCACAATGACGAGAGGGCGGTACCAGCTGTAGCGACGGAAGCTGGAAATCGAGAGCCGCCGATCGAGCTTCGTTCAGGAGGTAGCCTTCGTCTGCCTCTACAAACACGTAGTCTGGAAAGTGAGAAAATGGACACCACGGCACTGGGCTACAGATGTAAAGGCACGACCACAAGAACGGACGGACACCAGACGATCACGAACAGGATCCACCTTCTTCAAGTATTTGTTGGGGGTAAGGTCTTCTCCTCGTGCGTCTTATTTGGAAATGTCTTTAAAGGATAAGCATTTTTATTAGCAATCTCAAGAATAGATCAGATACTTCTGCTTTACAGCCTCCGCTCCAGGATCGTGCACCACCATGACGAGCGCGAACCACAAGGAATATGCGTTTGCTACCGATTCTGATGTAAAATTATTCGCCCCTCACTCTCATCTAGCCATGCTGGCTGCATCCTCGCTTCTTCTGAATGGAACAGCTCCCGACGTAACTTCAAAATGAACACTTTTGTCCAGCTGCTCTGAACAGAAGGCAGTCTCGACGAGCTGGCCCTCCTACGCCTACCGGTTTGTGCAGAAACACAAAAAGGCTTGCTCCCGGTTCAAAACAATTTTTTTCAACAAATTCGATCATCCAGGAAATTATTTGATTTAAATAGATCGATGAAGTACATCCTCGGGTTTCAATCAAATAATACTTCCACGACAGTCATATCTCAAAATTTCAAAAAAGCTTGGCATACCATAGGAACTCTATGTTCATCATCATACTGCATCCCAAACGACTATATTTAGCCATCGGCGGGATGATACATTTCCTGCGGTTGTGAAAAAGGCCGAGGAAGCGTTAAACCTACTTGAGGTGCCGTTGCATCATATGAATACAAGAACAACGATGAACCCATACTCAAATTATAATGACGACAACTTTTGCAGAGGCTATTCAATGGTATACAATTTCTCTATCAAACACAGGAGTAAGTCCAAGAGGGTTCGAACGGTAAGAATTACAGAACATCTGTTCACCTTTCGCTTGTTTCACGTCTCCAACTTTTGGATACTTGAACTTGATTCAGTATTTTTCTTAATACAAATGGTATACGACGAGATGTAGAGCGCTGTTGCATGACATCGGCACACGCTCTCTGTCAAATGACGATGACAACAGCAGACAAAATTTTCATTATATTATGAAAACAAAAACGCTTTCCTTCGCTGTGCCTGGCTTTGTTTCCCAATCAGAGCGCTACTTCGTAAGCGCATTCATCAAAAGCCTCATCACTTTTCCCTTTCTCTTCCTTCGCTGTGCCTGGCTGACCCTTTTCCTTTCTCGCGACTGTATTTGCCTTTCCTTATCAACTTTTTCCTTTTGCACTTGAGGAATCTTCGTGTGCTCGTACACCTCCTCGACGGCAGCCTCATCAAAATGTTCTGTAGCACGTTCTTCTTCCGCTGCGGCCAATTCGTCGGCCTTTTTCAGAAATTTGGCAACAAGTTCGTGCATTGCATCACCGTACTTTTTTAGCCAATTTAGGGCATGATCGGGGACCTTCGCGCGAAGCGCATAGTAGACGTCGTCCATGAGGCCTGGAAGGTTGCGGCAGTGGATCTTGGTGCGGGCAATGATTTTCTGTCTTCGTTTTAGGATCAGAGATCTTGGAGAGTCGAGAGGCGCGGACTTGTTTACGGACAAAAAGAAAGAGGACGGAAGAATAGAAAAATTTCAGATCTTACGCGCAGCTTGATTTAAAAGGGGGAGAGCGTCCCATCGCTCTCCCTCGCCGATCCTTTTATCTCCCGCCCGCTCTTAGCAGAGAAGTGGCTAGCAGGCATAAGGCAGCCCCTTTGGTAGGAGTAATCCCTCCGGTTTCTGTTTTTCTTTTTGGGTATTTTATGGCGATTGCGGAAGCGGGA